GAATTATGAAATAAACATTTATAATATCTTATAAATAATATAGTTCTATAGTTGTGCATAATTAACTTAAAATACTAATAGTATTCGTTAAAGATTCTTAACATGGCGGGCTCAGTGAATATGGTCATGTGTGCTTTCGATGATGTATGACAACACGGACTCATGGATAGTGACGTCTAAATTAATTAAAATAACATCTTTACTCCAGAGGTACTTCTGAGTTTAACACTTGCTATCGTGGTCGGTCTCGAAGCGGAGAGAAGAGAACGTTTGTGTATATCGCTGCATTATATGGACGTGTTAATATTTTATATAAATTACAGCAATTCGTCACGTCTGACACGTGACTAACAGTTGGCCATTTTTGTACAGAAACATTCCGTGTATCGTTCTTCATCGTAAAACGAAAGTATATCATATTATCTACTACCATGCTTTGAACACGGGTTTATTTAAGATTTTACTATGAACATTTTAAATTAATAAATCAACGACGACTACCGAGTTGTTCAAACCCAAGTTACTTTTTCTTTCTATTCGGTTACTCGTACTAGAGGTCTATTTTACTAACATTTTTGGCTACACGGTACAACGAAAATTGTAATTTGAAACATATTCGAATACACAAATCGGCGTTTATCACTAAAAAAACATCCAACATTATGATATTATTATAACACTGTAATATACAGCCAATGAGCGAGACATAGGTATAATCGATAAGGAAAGTTTAACCCTAATTATAAACATTCGTTTAAAGGATGAAAGAAAAATATGTTTTGAATTTTTTTAACACTGATGGAACACAAAAATCAATTATACTGTAGAAAAAATACTATTATTATTTGAAGAGGCAGTTGTTCGACATCGTAGATTACAAACCTAGGTTTAGTCGACACTGTTCCAGCATAATATTTCGAGTGTTTTGAGATACCTGCCAACGCAAACACCACCAGTGTTCGACACCGCCCACTTCTCCGCCACAGTGTGATATTTGTTACACACCACACAGACGAAATAACAACAAAGTGAACACACACAAACACGTTCATGCCGTGTGACATCCCGGGACATGCCCGCGATGCACACGACCGATGCACGTACACAAAGAGTACGGTCGTCGTAGTGGTGCACGATACTGGTCTCTTTGTCAGCGGACTCGCAAGAGGTACCGGTCCGCAGCAGCTAATAACAACACCGCCGACAATACGGTTTTGGCCCGTCCGCGATAGCCATCGGCCCGAAGTCCGCTGTCGTGCGGCGCAGATGAATAGACGACCGCTCGTCGCGTCCGAATCGGATCGATTGTTCGGCGCGGATGGCACACACTCGATCCGAACACCTTTTGCTTTGCCGTGCACGTCCGGCAAAAAGGAAACACCAGAAAATCGGATAAAGCGAGAGAGGAAACGCTTGTAGTCAGTCCACCATAGTTTATCGACCCAACCACGCGGTTCGGTTCCTATACACCTTTTCCCCGGTCCAGGCTAAATACGACAAAACCAAAAAGAACCAACATAGTACATACTATAAATATATACTATACTGTTTATTATATTGCTGGTTCGATTTTCGTCCCGCTAACGCTTATTAGTTTTTAGAAAGTCGCCCGGCCGTTGGGTTGCCAAGCGAATTTAAAAACAAAACGACAAAATGTGTCTACGCACAAAAGAACACCACAGACGCCACTCTCGATTATTGCATACGCGAAATAGTCGGTTGATTCCCCAATGGCACTGGCGGTCTGCCAAGTTACTACTATACTCTGTATTTGGTTTTCGGTGTTGCTGTTTTCCGTTAGACCACCATAACGTTATTGCAAGTACTTAAGCAATCAGTAAACCGAATCCGCAAGCTTTTAGGGCCAGCAAATACTAACATTAGCGCCTATCGTGCCTGAGTACCATTTTAGCTTCGATGCTACGGAGCTACGTAAAACTAATTAATGAACAAATTTGGAATTTTTTACATATGGTTTATAAGTCATTAATCAAAATACTTTTTATAAACGTATCCGATATGTCGGTATGATAATAAAATATAATTTTAACCCACAAATAAAATTTAAAATTTGTCAATGTTCATAATACAATTTAAAATTTGTTAATGTTCATAATACAATTTATTATTTCATTAAATGATTTTGAAGTTGTGTTGTTATATTTTACAATAACACATTGTACCCTTGATCTGTAATTCGATGGCGCTAGGGGAAAACTGTTGAAAATGAGTTTATGACATATACTTATAGATTCTAGAAAACTTTCTATGACCTAAGAAAAATTATACAGATTTTTTAGTTTTACGTTATACGTTTTTGAATACTGAATATTTTATATTTTTCCGAGCACTATGATTTTGTAACACCTATTTTGACAGTAATTTTATGATCGATTGGTAAATTCATACCCTCATCCTTTTTTTTATCTTTATTTATTAGTTATTTATAATATTTTTCGTAAGCCCACACACGCACAAATTATAATAAAAACACATTTTAATAAGTTGACTCGAAAAATCCATAAATAACTAAACGTAATATAGAAATAACGACTCCCGGGCTTGGTTTAATATGTACAAGTAGGGTTTTAATTTAAACATTTTGAACCACAAGACAAAATATCTCTTGGAAGGCCGCCCCTTTCCGTGAATTAAATAAATGCCTCCCAAATAGTTTTGCCCCATTTACTATATTATACTACTACTAGGAACCAAGAGTGGACTGACAGATCGAGAGACCGGGAAATTTCCCGAAGGAATGGCCAAATAATGGACTGAAGTCGTGGGCCTAGACTAGGAGTAAAGGGGTTGTGGCGAGGGTCGGTTTGGTTAGGTTATGTGAAGTACTATTGTGGACAAAGTTGTGCAAATTCTTATTGTAATAATTGTTGCATCAAATATTATTATTGTGGATATATTTTTGATTATTTTTATAGGTAACCGTAAATCAAGGCGCTACGTCTTCAGTATAGTTAGAACTTTCATAGGCCCTAGCTTAGTAATACCCAATTGTTATTCTCCATTGGTAAATACTTGTGATACACAGTATAAAATAATATTGTTTAAAAAATACCTAGCTGCGGAAGGCATTAGTCCATTTCAATTTTCAAATGTTTATTCCTTGTTTAAAATCTAAAATGTACATACTGATAATGTTTGTGAGTCATCAAAAAAATATCCAATGACCATCATAATATCAATTAAGTAATTAATTAGGACTTAAGGCTGAAAATTAGACTGAAGGTAGACCTAATTTATAAAACTATTCCTTTATAAAAACTTTAGTAATCGTCCGACTTTCCAACTCTCCATACACGGGACATTTTATAGTTATCCCCCCCCCCCCATTTAACAAGAACTGATGCCTTATGTAATATTATCAATTTTTATTGTATTATTAATATGGGGAGCCCAGACACGTGCCTATCTTGCCTAATGGGTAATATGGCCCTGTATATTACAACGTATTTTGTTGATATAGGTTTGTACCTACGCATATTATACATATGAACTGTTCCTCCATTCGTTTGTCCGCAAGAACAAAAAAATGTCGTTTAAAAAAGTAATGCGTAAAATGTAAAAAATAATAAATACCTAACACATAAATTCTTAGAAATAAAAACGAAAATGACAACGTAACCGAGAAAATATTCAGAAAAAAAACGTCAACGTTATTAATAAAAACTAAAATAATATTATTATTGAACGGCTCACGACGGAGCTAACGTTTTTCAGAGCGCCCGTCAAACGTTTCACATGACTTAGAATAACATTTAAATACAAGTATAATAATATTCGGCTTTCAATAACTAATAATGAATTGTTAAAAATAACATGTGCGCGCGCGGACTCGACGTCGGTGATCTCATACAGAACTAGCTCTGACGGTAAAAATAAAAGAGTTAACGCGCGCAACGATGACAAATACAACACAAAAACAATAATACAATGAATTTCCTGGAATGTGAACGTTTGGAACGAACCATGTGCATGACAAAGGATATTTAAATATCCGAAAGGATTATGGGAAAACGGCGATGAACGCACGACGGAAATAATTTTGTGGAATTCTCCGGGAAACCGAAAATCAACCCACGGCCGTGTATTGGTTTGTTTTCCAATCGTCCGGGACGGGGATGGGGACGTTTCATCCGACAATTTATTACCGGTTTAATCGGTTCAGTGTTCCTTGTCGATCCTCTTGTGGCTAAATATTAATTACTAATAACACCAGCTCGGGGATAATATACATAAACAATTATTATTATAATTATTAATTAGACGCCGACTACCCAAAGAGGATTACGCAGTGTTGCGAGAGAACCGAAAATAGGTGACCGTTAACGCACGTTCGACCCTAACCCGTTGAGTCTTGTCGCCCAGGTCGGGTAGAATAGTGGAAAACACTCGCCATTGCTTCGCCGTTTTGGTAGTATCAGGTAGACGCGGCGGTTGCAAAAAAAAAGTTGTTAGTAGCGTGCTGCTAGAGGACGACGATCGGAGATGCTGCGGCCGCTGCCCGCATACCCTGCAGGCTCACGCTTTTAGGTACCTACGAACCGCACGCATTTACTGTGCTGGCGCGCGCGCGCTTTATACTTTCTAATACCTCCCACGCACAATGGATCGTTTACAATTATTGGCGTTTACTAATGTCCCACTTTTACTTTTTGCCAGTTAAATAATAATTTGTTTTTCGCCTCCGTACTTCAAAGCTATACCCGTGAATCATGTTGGTCTTTGGATATGCAACATGATCACAACACGTTAATGAGGGCAAGGACGATGAGGGAGGGACCACTTAACTATAAATAATCAATGTTAATAATAAACGACAATCAAACTCGAAAATTACATATACATGTTTTATATATATATATTTTTCATCTCCTTCATTGATACATATTAAACTCTACTTAGGACAGAATATAAAAAAAAGTATTTACAAAATACCAATACAATATAATATATATATATATATATATAAGTACACTAATTTGGATGATCACAATAATTAAATATAACAACATGATAAAAGTTCGACTATATATATATAAATGTACACATTAGTAAACATTCCTATAAATAATATTTTATGAAACTGATTTAGTTGAGTGTCTGTAAGAGATTCTTTATATTAACTTTTTAATCAGAGGAACATCATATAAATGCAAATTGAAACTAAAAGAATTCATCTAAAGTTATAAAACCAGAACAATAATTCCTATTTGTGTTACTGATATAGGAAAAATTCAATTACAGACTACTCTTGACTTATTAAAAAAAAAACAATTAGTAACATACAACAAGAGTAAAATAAATCAAGCCAATAAATAAATCAAGTCATGGAAAAATATTAATCCAGGACGGACATTTATCAGATATCATTATTCACAATAAAATATTTTTTTATGCATGAATGCTACTATAAAATCGTTACTAGATATAGATACTTTGTAAATACCTATGTTGTAAAAAAAATGGCACAGACATATTGTTAGTAAAAAAATAAAGAAGCTAAACTATTTACTTTAAGATTAAATAAGTATGTTAAGTATAAGCCAAAGTTATTTGTTCGATAACGAGAGTGATGTTACAATAACAAGCTGTCAACATTTTAACACTGAACATTTGATCATACATTAAAAGTCATCCTTTTGGCTCTTAAAAAATAAAGCAGTCTTGGGGGAAAAAAGAAATGAAATTGTTATATCATGGAATGTTTTTTAAGCTAAAGGAACACATTAAATATAAACAGAAAATTATTACATAAATAATTATGTACAAAAATAATAATAATAATAATAAAAAATAATAGAGGATAATCATCTTATTTTAAGGCCTACTTTATTTTAAGTACAACAATTATCCCTGTGATGGTGAATTTTGATGGGATACATTTGGTCTTCTGGATTTCGTTCATCAGCAAGAGAACGAAATCTGACAAACCCATTTTCTGCTACTAGCATGGATGGCGAAGGCTGTATGGCTGCTCGTTCAGCATATGCATAGAGACTTCTGGAATCTTCTTCCATTCGTTTCAATGACCTCCTCTCAGTCGTGTGTGCAAATAGTTGATGGTTAACTAATGGCGGACCACCCATTGAATATGTATCATCATATATATGTTTACCAGTGCGCAATGTATAGTTATGTACAGCTTGGTTAGCACTGCATATGGCTGGATAAATATCATCAGATGGTGGGTCACTTCGAGATACAGTACTGCGACAAGGGAACAAAGTTAGGCCAGATTGGTTTTGAGCTTCTTTTTCACTGGTGTATCTAAGTGGTTGTATAGATGCCCAGAATATTAAGAAGCACATTGAGATCTCAATCACACGCACAGAAAATTGATATCCCCACCATAGCCAAGGGTTTGGCTGGTCTTTGCCCAACATTTCATAAACGCCAACCATTCCATAAAGCTGAACAGATGCCATTAGCAAACTCAACATGCTAGTTGCCAACGTTACACGAACCGAATGAGCCAAGGTAGGACGATGTTCATGAAAACTGGCACCAAATATGGTCCCTTGTTTTCTCAGAGACGCATTAGTCATAGACCTATATAAGCATATATAAGTCACTCCAAGTAGTACACATAATAAAATGTAAACACATTTGGATACCAATGAAAGTATATGCACTTCTGAATAGAAGAGTACAATGATACAAAATGCCATATAACAGCTGATAAATATTGCCAATAACGATGACTTTTGCAAATTATAAAAAATAGTTTTCACATCTGTAGCTCTTAACAAAAACAAAAATAACACTGAATATACAGTCAACAGTAGTGGAAATACTATATTCAGGGCCAATCCAGACACCTGGGCAGATAGTGTTCCATTTACATTGTAGGGATCGTACAATAAATACGTACTCCGCAAACAGCCTATTATTATCAACAGGATGTGTATGGTGACAAAGTATCCACAGGTCAATAGCTTTTTAAATGCTCTTATTCTTATAATACTGACCCCTGAACAAAATACCAGTATCAGAAAAAGTATAGCGATTAAATATACATGAACGTCCCAAAAAACACCAAGAATATACCTAGCTCTAGGCTCAGGATGGTCAGGCATAGAAACTATTTCTGGTGGTGATTCTGGTATATCTATATCGCTCTTTGATTCAGTCACTTGTTGTTCTTTGAACATAGTTGGCTCATATTTTTCGGTTGTTTCTTCAGGTGTAGTTTCATATACTTGAGATGTTGGTGTCGTTTCTGATGTTTGAATATTACGTTGAGTAGGTTTGGGAACTTCTTGTTTTACGGTTCGCGATGGTTTAAGATCTTGGTCAAAATTTGGTTTATCGTTTCCCATTAAACCATCCATTTTTTTACCTGTATCATCAAATAAAATTCTAAAAACGTTTGGACTGGATAAATTTTGTACTTGTTGTACAACAATATTGTAAGTATCATTTAGCCCTTTAAATCCATTTGCTGCCGTTGTACTTGTTGGTTCAGAATAAGTAGACTCTGGTACCCTTAGCTTATTTAAACTAGGTGTATTAATTGTTTTCTTTTTAGTATCAGCTACTGGAACATCTACTGGTCTGATAGGTATGAATTCTTTTTCAAATTTAGGTTGCACAATTCCAGGTCGTCTAGGTGGTATAGTTTTTTCTGAATTGCTACCCCTGAGCGTCGGTTTATCAGCAAATGGATTAAAACGTTCTGGAAGCATAGGTGGCGTAAAAGTATTTCGATCTGGAGGATTATATGCAGGTATTAGACGATTGGTTGGGCTAGTGACATGCTGCTGTTGCTGTGACGAATTAGTACGCGAAGCACGAGAGCCTGACCCTGGCTTAGACGCCAACGTCTTATTAAACACCTCGTAATCCACACCATCGGTCAACACTCTTCTGTCCAACACACCCATGTCATGGTCGAACATCTGTGCGTTGCCCTCGGACACTAAAAGCCACAGCATTGCCACAAGCAATACCTGTGGCATGGCTGGACGCATTTGCGAGATATCAGATATGGCCACCTTCCATCATATATAATTATTTTTTTCGCCGTACGTTAATTAAGATTACCATTAAACTCGTCTGCATTAATACAGACTAAATCCGTAAAAAGACTTACGACAATACCATGAACATTGCTCGACGGCCGGATTCACAGGTGTCGGCGGCGCTCGGGCTGCCCATACAATCCTTTGTCATGATACGCTGTTGACGCGACCACGGTACTCCCAAAGTGTGTCAGCACATTATTAGAATTAAAATCACGCACTACACGTCACACTGTATTCACACGGTTGCGGCCAACGTAAGGTCACAAACGACAGACACGACAAACACCGAAAACGAACACACAAACAGCGAAAATACGCCCGGAAACAATAAACATTCCCTAACAAACCATTACGTCTAGTGGTACTGCGCCAGCCATTTGCATTTTGTTGTAATGAATTTTCAAAGACATCATAATAAACATATGGTTCAAGGACGCTATAAAAAGAAAGAACACACGGACTACGCCAAAATCCTAATTTCTATTACAAATTAATTGGCGTCTATTGCCTCTAAAAATCAAAGAATCCTTAAAAAATAGTTTATAAAAAAATAATTTAGATTCTATAATAAATCATCGTTTTAAATTGAACAAAAGTATTTTTTATTTTTCACCATAATTACACATTTAAAATTTAGGTTAACAACGTGATTAGTGATAACAAATTTAAAATGGTAATCCGTACTCGGTAATACTCGAAAATATGAATTTTTGTCTTGTAAACATTATTATTTATTTTTCATTATTTTACTTCTTAGTTATTTTGTAAGGTCTATGCAATTTTCAAAACATACAATGAGTAAAAGACCAAGAACAGAACCACCAAATGATGATTTCTGGGGAGACGATTTCACTTGTGATGAAGTGAATACTATTGACAATATTGAAACGCTTGTTTCACAATCGCACTATCCCGGTGAGTAGCGTTAAAAAAAGTATAGATCGTTGATTTGAGGTATTTTTTTTCTCATAAATTAAAAATTCAAGCAAGAACAATTATTGTATTTGTTTTTTTAATTTATAATTATATTATTCGTAGAAAAACCAATATTTCAAGTGATGTGTGGCTTAAATGTGTAGCTCATTATATGTTTTGAAAGTAAAATAATAAATTATTGATAGTTAAATTTAATATTATTGTTTTAAATCTACATTTTGTATGTTAACTTTTTATAGACAAAATAACAAAAAGAAATACATTGATATTCATATGTTATATATTATACTTAACAAACATTACTTCCTTAAATAATTCTTATTAAACCATCTTTAATCAATATTAATGATATTGGTTTTATTTCAAACGAGTTTGATTTTATTGAAATGTGTCTTAATAGTATATTTTACAAAAGGTCCATAAGAAGCAATTGCCTTGGAGCAGCTCTCCTTACAGTATTTACGCCACTGATACTTAACAGTAACTATGATGTTCATTTTTGTACAGGTTTTTATATTTGGACCAACGTAATAAAAAAATATATTAATTATTTTTTCACATAAAACTATTTATATGCAGGTATATTCTCCATCCTAAATTTCTATCCAATATTATTCTTGTTTACTCTAATTAACAATATATAATAAGATATCCGTAATATACTGAAATATAGATTATATAATATTAATTTATAAGATTTCTGTTGTCATGTTTTTAGCTCATCTCAATGAAACTAATACCTATAATAATTGTGGGTTCAAAGTAGAAAGTCAAACAAAAGAAGGTGAAGTTAAAAATTTAAAAATGAAAATTAAGCAACTAGAAGTACAACTAAGTAAAACAAAACAAGAAAATGATGATAAATACAAACATTTGAGGATACAAATGGAAAGTAAGGATACAGAGTTAAAATTTCAAGTAAGTGTGTGTTTTTAATTTAAAAATCAGGATTGTAATTTTAATTTTATTGCAGAAACAAGAAATTACTGCGTTACAAAATAAAATTAAGGAAGTTACCATAAATGTTAGCAAAGTTGTTCCACAGAAAAATGTTTCATTTAGTTGTATGAAAACTGGTAGCAATTCTAAATTATTGTATGAAATATATATATTAAATATTTAATTTATCAGTGACGGCTCGTAGCGATAGTGCGGTGGTCTACATGCAACAATTGTTACCACATCTGACATGTGACTGTATGTTTAGGCACCATGAGCTTTAATTATCATTAGTTGCTACATGGACATAGGTTAATCAAACTGCCTGTTAAACAACCACGAGCCGCCGCCGACATAAACCCAGAATAATTAAATTTTATTCCTACTAATTAATCATTAAATATACAGACATGATGCTTCTGAGCATTTTAAAAAGACTACATCAACACAAACTTACCAAGTGAAAGAAAATTATCATGATTCTTCAATTGATAGTATTGTAGAAGAGATAAATAGACACAAAAATTATGAAAAACTGAAAAAACACTTGTACCCTGATCTCTATGGATGTCCCAATATCAATAATAGTAATATAATTTACAAACTATAATTTTATATAGTTATCTGATAAAATAATAAAACATTTGTGTGCTTAGATGTAAAAAACAACGGTTCAATACAAGAATGTCACATTATACTAACCAAAATTATAATATTAGAAGATTTTAATGGAGTCCAAACTTATTCTTTAATTAAAAAAGTAAATACTTAATGTATGATTTTTACAGGGCTTGAAACCAATTTTTAGAAAACCCAATAAAAAAAAATTTTATAATATTACTAAATTAGCTTAAAAACTAAACTCGGTTGTGTAGTCTGAAGTCTGATACAAATCTTATCAATTAGTAATAGATTTCAATCAATTCCAAAGTAAATATATCTTAATTATTATACAGATTATAAAAAATTCATTAAATAATTAATAAAATAAAAATACTAATCTAGGCTAGTTTGGATAAAAAAAACAGCTTTTTAACTTGATGTAATTTAAGTTAAATTATTAAAAATCCAAATTTGTATTTTTTGTTAGTTTTTATTCGTTTCATAATTAATTTCTTAACCAAGATTTAAATATTTGTATTGGCTTATGTTGAGTTACAATAATATTAATGGATTTCAAGCCCCAATTTTATGTAAATTACATATAATTTTAATATTCAATTTATATGCATTTTAGTTGTTCCAAAACTGCACTGATGTAATAGAATTAACAATCAATACTCTAAAAATGTCCCTAGGTAATGCTGATTTCGTAAAACGCGAAAAAGAACTTATATATAGCTATTTAAAAGGAAATCAACACAAATCAAAAACTTCTTTGTATGTATAATCAAATTTTAATTTAAATATACATTATTAATTCTATTTTTTAATTTTTTAGGTTTGATTTGCAATTTTCTTATTTATTAGATAGTATATCAGTATTAACTACTGTCACAGATCTTGTGTCAAAAGTTGTCTTTCATGATACAAATGACACATTTAAAACTATAATCTCATTTTTACAAATGATTGGTTCGCAAGTAATTAAATTGATTATTTATTTTGTGGATAATTTTCAGATACATCCCAGTCTTGAGTCATAACATTGCAAAGTCCATCTTCGAAGCAATAGTAACCACTTTTCAACGAGTCTGAAACGTCAGCAAAAAAAACTTTAGACATTGTTACAATCGAAAATTATCCACATATTTAATTAAATCCATAAAAGTTTTAACTCTCTGATTATTTATTTTGAGCATGTTTTTAATTAATTCTTTCTTATTTAAACAGAGCCTTACTTATGAATTTATATTAACTATAAAAATGATAGTAAAGTTTTTGACTAATGTTTGCAATAATCATAAGGATGTATCTGAACAAAAGTAAGTAGTTAACTTTTATAAAATAATAAAAAATTACTTAATTTGATAATTGGTTATTGATTTAGACAGTTGGAAATATTCAGCATAGTGAAAGAAATTGTATTTTGTCGCCCTCCTGTTGAGATCATACAGGAATTAATCAACTTGTTTTGCCAAACCACCATTTATCCTGTATTTACTAAGAACTTATGTCAACTACCTTGTAAGTTTTTAACGATAAGCAATGCCGATAATGGTGATACTAACAAATTAAAAAATGTTGAATCCATTTTATTCTATAGTTGTAGATGTTTATTAATGAAGGTCAAAATAAAGTTTTAAGCAAAATTTACATTTTACTCGTAAACTAAAATTTAAAAAAAATTATTTTTCGAAAAAATAAAATGTTTTGGATAAGCATTTCTGAATTTTGAAAAAATCCATTGCACTGGGGACGTAATCTGGTAATTTAGTACAGCTAAATTGTAATTTTTTGGGTTTTTCTGAAACAAGCAAAATGCTGACTATTGATTTTTGAGAAATTATATGAGTTATAGTCCCTTTTCTAGATCTACCAATAATCTCATTTCAGACCTAAAGTCTTAAAACTACACTTGAAAAAAAAGTTAAGAAAAATGTTCATCCCTTCTAGAAAAAAGATAATATTTGAGATATTTATTTAGTTTGTCAGCATTTATTGATCTATATCTAAGAAATAGTCCATACAAATTTGGTACTTGTTAAACTATTTTTTAAAAAGTTATTGAGAGCTGTAATTAAAAAATGTACATACTTATCATGATTTACTCGATTCTGAGAGAAAGTGGTTAATTTGTTTTGCCAAATTAAGTACCTTCTACGTTGTACGATTTCTATAAAGATGTGTGTTGAATGAATTGGTTCAGTAGTTTGAAAGATATCACAGGTCCAGACTCTACACACAAAAAAATAAAGCCAGTGGAACAGTAGAGACGGAGGATATTAGAGCTGGAAAGGTCCTATGTTTACAAGAATTACTATAACTGAAGGTGTGATTCGAAACTGTAGTCGTAGAAGTACAAATATCGATAAAAGCATTGTTTTAATGAAAAAAGTGTGCTTAACATTGTATTTCTAATTTTGTTGAAACTCATGTATCGTAATTATCAATATAATGAAAATATTTTTTTTAGGTTGTGATGGTTTGGTCATGTTATGAGAAGAGATAAGGCCAGAGGCATTGAGAGGTGTTATAAAGATGGATGGATAGAATACAGAGTGATATGAGGAAAGCTGGGTTGATTGAACGAGATGTAGAAGACTGAGTTCTTTGGAGGTGTAGGACTAGGGTGGGGCCAACCCCATGTAGTTAGGCGTGTAAGGTGAAGATAAAGAAGAATACAAATATTTTTCATATATCTGTGTACTGTTAATTCATTTACATGTAGCAACCTAGAAATTTTAATATGGTAATAAATATTTAAGTGTAATTTTCCCCTTTTTTTTCATTTATAAAAATTAAGTGACTACAGATTTTTGAGAAAAGTGTATATTATATAGTGTATGTGTTAGTTAAAAATTAAAATGTGAATTTTGCTTGGGACTAGTAACGGCGTTGGGCATTGAATAATTTGTTATGTAGATAAAGCGATAAATAAAAAATTATCTTACTAATGTAATTTTAATATGATAACAAATTTAGTAAAATTTGTATGTTATATTTAACATAAATGGATCCTTCATTTACACATAACTCGTAAACAACTAAAGATTGATTTTTTTTATAGAAGTTATTTTATATTATATTTTTTAATTTATTATTTACACTGTATGATGAAGTAGTGTATTTAAGTTAAAATGTTATTCATAAATCATAAATAAAATAAGTATTCTTTATAATAATTAATGAAAATGTATTTGAAATTAACTAAAAAATTATGTTTTCATAAATAAAAAATTAACAGATTATCTATTATTTATTGTGTTACAACAAATTTGTATTCATAATTTAAAAGTGGTTTATTATTTAATTTAAATTTTGCTCAACACTGATTAGTAAAACATTTTAACTATTTTTATTTATGTGTAATCCATTTTATGAATACAATTGAGTGTGTTCCATACCCATGGATACATGTATGATTATGAACTTATTTTTCTCCAATTAATTTAATTTGTAACGCCTCTCTTAATAAGTAGATCTTGTAAAAATATAAACCACATCCAGTCTTGGACAACGTCTATCTTGAAGTGTTGCTAAGATCGAACCCGAGACATCTAGCACACCGAGTTTGACACCTTTACTAGCCTCACAAGCATTAACATATATTTAGCATTTTTTATTTGTATTTTTCTTTTTTAGCTCAAAAAACATTTATTTTATCTGAAAGCATAAGTACATTTACTACAGGTAAAAATATTCATTTTTATTTTACTTCAAATAATTCTATTTTTACTAACATTGTGCCATATATACATTTAGGAACATGTGTGCTTCGTGTATTCTGTTTACAATTGGAAATCTTAAAATACAACTATTACATTATATCAGATTTTTTAAGTTATGTATATGTTCTCCTAAATAGTAAGCACGTACCTAAATGGATGAATAAACATCCAAAAAAAAAATGTGAATGTACATCATCCTTCATTGAGTTAATTATACACTTCTTGTATATAATCTTCAATGACTACGAAAAAGGTATTTAAATATTATATTTTTAAAAGACTAAAGAGTACTTATCATACAATTTTTAATTGTTATTTTGTTTGTATATAAATATAACACATTTATACTGTATATATTAGATCGTCCAAGGAAAATCGATTTTTTTCTACCCCCTAATCGATTTTTGTTATATTTTTTTAATGAAAAACTTAAAATTCCAGTAAAAAACAGTAAATGCAACATATTTGTTGTTTCTTTTTACAGAAAGAGATTTATTTACTCATGATGTATTGAAATTGGTGGAAGAAATAATAGGAAATAGCTACTGTATACTTTATCGGCTAGGAAAGTTGGATGATGATTTCCGCAGTCATATAGGTAAATGTAAGGGGCGGTATGATGCGATTGTTGGAAAAATTCAAAAGCTTAAAATCTGCAGTTCAAACAGTAAATATGAGTTAAAAATTAATAGATTAAATTCTTAATATTTTTAAAAATTAAAATTTGTAAATGTATGTTTATTTTATTTTTGTAAAGAATTTTTAGTAAGAGAATTAAAGCGAATTGAGTTCAAATCGTTACCTAGTAGTCAGTGCAGTTCTAATTTAAAGTATGAAGCTTTTCCTATTGATATACCAAAATTCACACAAAAATCACAATGTCAATTTGAAGAGCCAAACAAACAAAACAATGACAAAATATTTCAATAACCAGCAAATATCTTTGATTAAATTCCTCCTTGTCAAAACAACCATTTATTCAGACCAAAATAAAGTATATTTAATTTATTTACATATTTATATCTATATATATTTTAGAAATGCATTAGTTTCTTGTAATTGTAAATATCACCAGAAACCAGTAGTTCCTGATATTTACAAGTTTTAATCGTCAAGTTCTTCTTCATCACTAAAATATGAATTTTTGCGATATACTTTTTTATGATGTAGATCAGCTGAACTAGATTGTATACAATATTTTTCTTGCTGAAAGTTAAAAATAAACATGTCAACATAAATTCATTCATTGTATTTTATTTACTCTTACTTCTTCTTTTATTGCAGCACTTAAAGTTTCATTGTCCGACACATCGTTATCCTCGTTTTCACTTTTCGCGTAATTGGAACATAATTTAGTTTTATCATAAAACTCTATGTCTTCATCAGAACTTGGGTAAAGTATTTTATTCTGTATAAGGTATCAAAAAAATATATAAACATTACTTATCTTACTTTAACAACAGTAGTTTTAAAAAATAGAGATTTGCGTTATTATGTTCAAAACGTCAACTGATTTTATGTAGGATTCCTGCCATTTTTGTGCATAATAACACTTATACGTATATTTTAATATCAATGTTTGTTGAAAGTACTTAATAATTTGATTTACTTTTGTATCATTTTCTTTGCTGTTTTGACCTGTAGGTTTTTTTTTTTTTTTTTTAGGTGGTGGCTGCCGTTCTCCCAAACAATTTTCTGGACACATATAACTAAGATGACCTTCTTTACCACATTCATAGCAGAAGCTTTTATCACAATATTGGCGTTTTCGAATGAATTCAGTACTTCGACCATTATCTACTGCTATAGAACTTTTTATTGAACGTCCAAACATCTATAAAGTGGATTTAAAATTTTTATTTTTATAATTTTTTTCTTAAATTATTTATATTTACTTCAACACTATTTGTAGCTTTAACACATGTGTTTGCATCATCTTGATTCAGAAATAAAATAAAAGCTATTCCTTTACTCTGCCGTGTGTTTTTATCTTTAACAATAGTAACTCTAAAAAGAAAATAATATACTAGTCGGTAGAATTTTTTTATAAAATCAAATTAAATGAAATAGCAAAAAGTATATAATGTGTAATATAAACATTAGTATATACACTAATGTTAATAATACTAATTTACTATATTAAAATTACTATCTTGATAAAAAAAAAATACATAGCATTTCTTGATAATCAATGGCTAATGGTTGGGATTAACTTCACTAAGGACAATTGTGTGAACCTTGGAATATATATATATATATATATATATATATATATATATATATATACAAAAAATTGTTTTAAAAGAAATATTTAAGATTCTATAATAAAATATTTTAGTGTATATTACTCGACTTGATTTAATTTACAGACTATTTGTAGAATATTGAATTTTAAGGGAAGTCTGAGTAGAACCTACAAACGAACATTAAAAACAATGAGAGAGAAAAGTATTTAAATATGCTTTGGGATAATGAATATATTGTGTATTGGTTGGGTTTACCAATATAATTCATAATCAAATGAATACACAACAAACTAAAGACAAGGGAATACTCATTTATAAACCTACTCTTGTATCTATACTGGGCATTGAACATATTCAGTTTGACTTAGTTAACAATACATTCACGCGGTCCACATCATTAGTATTCACTATTTAGTCATTTTTTTAGATCTAAAATCAACAGCAATAATGGGAAAAATCAGCTAAGCTTTGTTTTAACCAAGTTAATATAATTTTGATATAGTAAAGACTATAGTACATATACTATTATAGATAATAGTATATATCAGAACTATAAAAGTTATATTATTAATAAAAGAAATTTCCCATAAAAACTTACTTCACAATTTTCCCATATTTTTCAAGTACTTTATGTAAGTCATTATTAGTTAAATTAAACGGAATGTTAGACATATACACAGTGCTTTTACTTGGTGCTAATTTATTCATAATTTTGAACTTTAAATAATTTAGTTTCACGTAAAATGTATACAATATTATAATTATTATTATAATTTTATATATTTTATATATATAAATAGGGTAGACACTAAAACTTATCAAGTAATATCTGATAATACTAATAGATAAGAATTAATAAAACATTTTACTCATTCTGTGATAACAGTGTAATATTACGTTGATCAACAGCTAATAACATAATGATAACATTACATTTCTTAAAAAAAAACCAGGACTTACGTTGTTAGTTTTTACTTTTTAGTTTAATAATATTTTACCATTCAAAATATTAAACAATATTGTTGTAGTTTTATAATTTTTTAATAACTTTTTATTTAATACTGGTTTTTGAATAAAAAACAAAATATGTTGTTATTAAATAAAATGATTGAAAAGTCGATCTATTACTCTATGTGATTAATTATTATATTTTCATCATGTATAAATCATATGAAGATTTGCTATTCAAATTACTAGAAAATATCAACAGTTTTAGAAGAAAAAATGTATAGTATAACTTTTTTATAATGTAAGTTTTTTACTAAATAATATCTTATATTAGACATGAATCATGGCTTCTACAATGAGCCATACTCATATTGTAGTCCTATGTGCTGTTGCAAACTTTATAAATGCTGCTGACCGTGTTATTATGCCGATTGCTATAATACCCATGACAAGTTACTTCAGATGGTCAATGCATTGGCAAGGTTGGATATTATCAGCATTTGCATTTGGCTACCTTACAAGTCAGGTAATAGGAATTATTTTAGTAACTAAAATAAAGACCTATATTTAAATTGTACACTGAATTTAGATTGTAGGAGCATGTGCTGCAAAAAAATATGGAGGAAAATCTATATTATTGTTATCTGTTTTATTATGGTCAATATCAACTATTATAACACCAAAAATAGCTCATAACATATTTGCTTTAATATTATGTCGAATAATGTCTGGATTGGGAGAAGGACTAGGTATATGTTTGTACAATTTTATAAATTTAAAAAAATATATCTAATAATTTCTTTTTTATGTATATATATATATTCATTTGTAGGCTTACCAACAATATTTCATATATTTGGTAACAATATTGCTGTGAATAAGCGGTCTAGTGCTTTCGGATACTTAGTAGCTGCTGGTTCAGTTGGTCAAACTATAGCATCTATGGTAAATCAAAAAATATATAAATGTATTCGTTTTAAATCAATTTGAATAAAACCAGATATGATTTAAAACCAGATATGCCCTCATTTGGTATGGCAGACTAATTTTTATCTATTCGGTTCAATTGGAATTGTTTGGTCAGTTATTTGGGTTTCATTATATTCAGAGAAAGAAATAAGGACAGAAGAGCTACCGTTAATAATAAATACCTCATATTATGTAAGTTTTTGGATGTTTTTATATATAATTTTTAAAAAGATTATACAGGTTTACAAATTTCAGTCATCTTTTGGATTTAAGAAGACAAGAGTGTTTTTTCTCGCATTTTTGCATGCTCAATACAAATCTTTTACCTGTTTCCTGCCATCAAGTCAGATTTTGTATTTTGGAAAAATTGCGTTGTTATAGCAAATGATTCTGATTGCATAATAATTATACGCTTCCATTACCTGATCCAGATGATTCACAAAATGTCCTACCCTAAAATCATAGAGAGAATTTTCGTCAGCCGTGTATAAGAAAATTATTAAACAACAATAACTTTACTATATTTTTATTCACCACAGCTGCATTAGTATGGGCATAATTTAAAAACATCCTCTATAAAAAAATAATTTATACTACAGTCAAACTATCGTGAATCTTTTGAAAAATAACTTTCAAATTTTGTTGAAAATCCATTTTATACGTTCCCATTTAGATTTTACTATGTTATGTAATAAACCGATTTTCATTTAAAATCAGTTTCTTGAAATTAAATCAATTAAATTTGCAATTTTTTTAATATTAAAAAAAATGTAATAATAAAAAAGTTAATAAAAAATAATAATCAAAAAGTTGGCTTCCTACATAACTAAAGTGATACATCCGAAAAATTAATTAAATAGTCAATCAGAAGGTTCAACACATTCAAATGTATTCCTTTTTATACTAACAATTTGAAACTGAACCAAAAATTAATCTTAAAAATGTATATTTAATATTAGCTTGCATGTTAGGAACTATGGTTTGATAATTAAAACACCAAAGCATACCATATTTTACCAATGTCAACATAAAATGACATATACATTTCTGCAATCCTACCACTAATATATTATGCTCTATTTATTTTTACAGTTGTATTAAATCTAGTTGGTTATAATTATTATAAAAATAAATAAATTGTTTCATGAAAAGCAATAATAAAATATATTATTTCAGAATGCAAGTGTAAATATGAAATTAAAAAATTTTTTTGTTCATTGGCCTTTATGGGCAATATATATTGCTCATTTTTCAATGAACTGGTCAAATTACATAATAATGCATTGGCTTCCTACATATTTATATTATTTGGGAGCTAATCCAATCAGTATGAGTTTAACGGCTATTCCATACATCTTTAATTCTGCGTTTGGTGTTGGTATGTTAAGCTAACATAAAGTTGAGAACAATTTTTAATTATATTTTATCTATTTTGTTATTTTCTGGTAATAGTTGCAGGAAACTATGCTGACAAATTAATTGACCGTAGATGGTCGATTTTAGCTGTCAGAAGGATAATGACAACCATAGGGCTAATGGGGCCAGCTGTATTTTTGTTACTATTTTGTACAATGAACAATGTAGTAGCAGCAATAATGTAAGTAAAATATTTTTATTATTTGTAAAATAAATATCTAACTACCTGATGTTTTTTTTCAGATTTATATCATTATCAATGGGTTTATGTGCTTGTAATTCAGCTGGACATTTAAGTAATCATGCTGAAGTTGCTCCTAATCATGCAGGAATTACATTTTCTGTATCCAATACATTGGTAAGATAATATTATAATATAATGGTATTATAATTTAAAAAAAATCAATTATTGTTTTTTTTTGCATGGACTAATTTATATATATATATATATATATATATATATATATTATAAGTTTTATATATATATATATATATATTATAGTTATATAGTATATATATATATATATATATATATATATATATATATGTGTGTGTGTATATAAGTTTTGCCTCATAAGTACAGTTCATTTCCTATTGATTAATAAGATATAGTATAGTAGAATCTAGGCTAGCCATCAAACAGTTATTCAAATACTTTTATTTGAAAAAGTAAGTCATGTATTTATATATTTTTTTTTTATCTCACTGACTTGAATACAGTTATCATAATATATCTGCTTTTTTTTTCTTGAAGAAATAAATACTTTATATATTTTTTATGCATCTAATTGTCGTAAGACAAAAGAATACAGTAAACAGAATACAGTAATAATATAGTAAACTATAAGACACAAACTGGATTGATTTAATTGTACTTGTCAGAGATGCTGACAGTATTGCAGTTTGCTGTCTGGGTTCTTCGCGGATGTCGAAGAACCATTGTTATAATGAGTAAAGAGATTAATGGTGATAGGACAGGTAAGAGGTGCGAACGAATCACAAAACACATGTATGTGGAGAGGAAAGTTCAAGGTATGAATGAATCGCAAGACACGAATACTTGGAGGATGAAAGACAGGATAAAGTATGAGGTGCTAACGAATCGCAAGACACGGGTACTTTAAAAAGGAATGTATACTGTGCGAACAAATCGCAAGACAAGTGTACGAGGAAAAGAAAGTAAAAAGTACAAGGTGTTTAAAAAAAAACCAACACTGTAAATTCAAATTTGCATTAAAACTTTATTTCTAGTAACATAATTGTATGTATATATTTTATTTTTTTTATGACTAAAAAATTATTAATTATTTAGCTATTCATTTCATAAGTTATACTAATAACTGTTGTTTGCATATTTGACAAATAATAGGCTACGATACCAGGAATTATATGTGGTCCTTTGACTGCTGAACTAGTGACTGCCTCTCATGGACGATGGTATCCAGTATTCATTTTAGCAGCTGCAATAAATTTCACTGGATCGATTATTTATTGCAGTCAAAGTTCCGTTACACCAATGTTGTGATGTATTGTTATTAAAATTGTAAACAAATCTTAATATCAATATAGAGTAATTATTTTTGTTAATTCGTTTTAGAGTTACCAAAGAAATAAATTATTTATTGTTTGTGTATTTTATCAATATTATATATTTTATATTAACTATCTGTATCGTCCTACTATGAATGTACATATATAAATATTTTGGTAAAATACTAAACCAGTTGAAGAATTCATTATAATTGTGTATTTTCTTATAATATTACCATTGATGACATATAAATGAAAATGATTGAATATGTATTGTTAATAACACAGAGTATTAAGTTATAACTAATAGTTTAAAATTACTATGTGAAAGTCTGTAAACCACAATTATTAAAAACTTATGTCTAAAACCTGAGTATGAAAGTAGCACCATAAACTCATTTTCTTTCCACAATATTGTTAAGTTTAACTTGGTATTATAAAATATAAGAGCAGGTCCCCTCGAGTCTGTTAGCCAACAAAACCCTTCATACCCTGAACATAATTTTTGACGCTGCCTACACATATAGCTATTGCTTAAGACATAATATTTAAGTTGCGGCACATAAAAGAAACTTCAAGTTTCCATGGAAACAAACAAGATAATGGCATTTTTTTTCATTAACAGTCGTATAGTTTTATCTTTTAAATGTTATTATAATGCATTAGTGCAAAAATAATTAGCTATAAAATCATTAAATGGCACTCAAGGTAAATATTTTACTATGCTTTTATACAACTACACTTGTGATTAAGTAAATAAAAATAGATATGTGCTATGATTCTAACTAAATAGTTAAATTTGTAGTATTGTTTATGACTTGGTGCCTGGGCACAGATGTATGTAATTCGTATTAAATTTGATTTTATGGTACATAATATTAATTTTAAAATTAGGTACTTAACTATTGTAATAATTATATCACATTATTTTTTTGATATTCTTTTGACAGCGTATTACGTTTTTGGCGTATTATGCTATGTATACACCTTATCTGTCTTAGTTCAATACTTGATATCTACAATAACGATTTTCGATTGAATATTTGTTTTAGTTAGATTTGGACATAAGTGCTGCGCGTAATTCTATTGTATTGGAATGGAATAAGCCACCAGAATTATTGGATGCTCTTTATCAGTTGGAAGTGAAGGAAAAAGGGCGAAACTGGGTGGTTATTTACAAGTATCTATGACAATAGATCTACAAAAATAGATGTTACAATGAACTACATAATACTTCTATTATTTATACAATACTGCTAATTTAGACGCCTAAAAGTGGCTAAAAATAACTAATAGTTATTCATGTTGCAACTCATAAATGATTCTTGTGTTTGAGTAAAATATTTACTATTATTTATTAAGCCTATAAGCCAACATATAAGTAAAATTGATAGTTCTTAATTGTTATTATTTATTATGCCCATATGGTTTTTACACATAGTATCCATTAACGCCAGCATTTTTTTTTTTTAATAATTGGTGTCTTGGGTGCTAGTTTCTCATATTACTTTTTGAAAAAAAAAAAAAAAAATTGTGCATTTAAATTTTGAAAAAATGTTATGTTGCCATATGGCCACGCTAGGCGCTAATGGGTTATAGATGCAAATATGAAATAATGTCAGGTGTGGGGGCTGTGGGGCTACTCAATAAAATTACCTCTTCCCCTTAAAAACCCACAAAAATCCATTTGCCAATTTTTCAAAATAGACATTTTTAATCAGCTCTTTTCTCATTTTAAAAAATAATCTAAGCCATATGAAATTTAAAGTTAAATATTTATTGAGCCTTGAGTCTTGAGCCTTTAAATCGATCCTACCCAACTGAAATCTAAACTCCTTCAAAAGATATAATCCCCAAAAAAGGGCAAAAATCAAGGAAAGGTGGCATTTGTAAAGTGCCGGGTATACTTCATCCCTTTCTGTTTGTAACATCGTATCAAATATTTTAAATACATTTTCTATTTTTTAAATTGTATACAGCCATGTAGGTAATTAGGTCTGTACAATATATGTATCGGACCGTTGTGCCGTCTATCCAAATATTTAACACTAACGCTTTATAATTGTGTCTCTTGGTCTGGCTGAAGGAAAACTTAGTCTTTTTTTTAATGTTCACCTTCTTATTTAAAAACTAAAATAGGTGATGCCCCAGTTATAATGCGATCCATGTTTAATACTACTGATCCAAGCAATGATTTTTTATTTGGGTTTCCAAAAATAATCTTAAGTAACGCGTAATAAATATTTATATATATATATATATATATATATATATATATATATATATATATATATATATATTAATCACCCAAATGTTTTAACTTACGGTTAGGTAGACATACGATTTTCTAAAAAGTTTTATGATATTTCCTATACACTAAACGGCTAAATGTTCAACTTCTATAAGAACATGAGTTTTTCAAACACCCAAAAAATAAATTGTACGTCTATAACACATGCATCTTCTATTTTTTTTCTTTAAAGGGGCTTTGGAACTCGTTTTCAAGTAAACAGTTTATCTGGAGGTTTCAGTTACCAATTTAGATTGATCGTGAAACCTCAAGGTGCAATGCCAATCGTAGTAACTGCAAGCTGCGTTGTTAAAAGTAAGAATTTATCTATCTCATAAGTATGTTTAATAAAAGGACAATTTTTTTTTAAACGTAAGCCGCAGAATGTAATTACTTCAAGTAAACAAATTTTCTGAATTTCTTTGAAAAATCAATAATATAAAATGTTATTATTAACCAGACCTATTACTTATTAGCTATAGGTTAATGTTAATAGGTCTATGGTATTAACAGTTATATTTCATTCTGAAAAAAATTTCTGTTTTTTCTGTTTTTGTTTTTAACTTTAAAAGTAGGCAAGTCCGATCGACAAATTCCGACTTCACAATCGTTGACAATTCACAGAACAAAAATTAAATATACAAAAAAAAAAATTCAAAAATTGCTAAGACACTAAATTGCATTTGTCCTTATTTCAATGTTCTAAGAAAGACTGTGAATTAAAAGACGAAAAACAAATCTTTTAAAACCATTATCGCATGGTTTATTTCCCATAAAGTTCAAATGCGCCAACTCAACCTGAAACATTGGCGTAATTCAGATGTTAAAATTTTATGAGTACCACCTATTAACTATTATAGATTTTTTAATAGGTATTCACTAATCTTATTAACAACTAATTAACTGGTCTTCTTATTAATATCTACGGTAAAATGTTTGTTTAGATGAACCTCCATCAATTACACAGTTTCAACAAAGTATTAACCAGAATTTACCTGCACTTTTTCGCGAATTTCTGGACACAAGACCTAAGGAAATAAATATCTATAACGATGTCGGCGATTGTGCATTGTCCAAGGCGTGCGCTGCTGGCCATACGGATATGGTCCTTACGTTAATACAAAATGGCGCCGATGTGAATTTACCAAATATGTTAATGAAAAAAACTCCACTAATGACTGCTGCTTTTCATGGACGTTGTGACATAATTAGAATTTTAGCGCACAACAATGCGGATGCTAAGATGAGAGATATGTCAGTACATAATATAATGTTTAAAGTTGTTTAATACCTTTTTGAATACTTGTGGATATGTATTCCGTGTACCCCAGCACCTGTATTATAATTTCTTGTACTTCTAGAAATAACAAAACAGCTCTTCATTACGCGGTAGATGGATCTCAAAATTGTGCCATCGAAATGCTTTTGACAAGAAAATGGAGCGATGTAAACGCTATCGACTCGAAAGGGTGGAGTCCACTCATGAGAGCTGGTGAGTATATATGGTTAATGGTTATGGTATATTTTATTGTATAAATCATTTAGGTAAAACGAAAAAACCCTTAATAATGAAGGTTTTTTCGGTTATCAATTTAAACTAATTATTAAGTTATGCATATTTTTTTAGTGATAGTATTTAGTAACGCTGATTTACTTAGAATACTTATAGACAATGGAGCAGGCCTTCACATGAAAGATATAACTGGACAAGATGTTTGGCAATTGGCTCATACTACAAACAATTGGGAAGCATTAAAAGTGCTTTCATTATAAAAGTTTATTTATCGTGAAATCATTTCACATAAAACACTTACAAAAATACTTTTCAAATATCTACTCTTTTATTATATTACTAGTACATTGTACAATTTCTCATGTGTTCGCTTTCATAACTGCGCTGCAGTATCATTATAAATAATTAATTAATATTATGGTAATATTTCTTCCGACATGTCACCTTTATTATTGGTAACCAATTAAGGTTTTTTTTATATATTCTTGTTTTATAAAAAAACATTATTTAGGCTTAATAAACCAAAACGACTTTTTCTTTCATAGATCATAGTAACTTTTTGTAGAATCTTATTAAAAATAAATTCATCAGTTTCCTCATGTTCCGTTTTAAAGTCGCCAAAACACCCCATAAAGACATAATATGACATATATTATATTATCCTCAGAATACATATAATTTATTTAAGATTAACCCAACCAACACTGATACCACAAACCAACCACAATATATTTTATCATGCACTGTATGAAGGTATTCCAAATATTGGTTCATTAAAAACACAAATATTCATTTCATAACTAATGGTTTTATGAAAACATTATATATGTCCACATTAATAAAACACAAAAGTAAAGCATTAAGTATCAGTAATGTTTATTATTACAATAATATAGTATAGCATTAAGACACTTACACGAGTTACATTTTTAAGTTTTTTTTTCAAGAAAAGAAACTTTCTTATTACATTTATCATAAATTATAATAAACTACTTCTAAAATGATAAAAAACTTTGTTTAAAAAATTATATTTATATATTATTGTTGATATCAGTATTAATAATAAATAGAGTGTAGTTATAATTATATTTGGAAAAAATCTTGAAGCATTGTAGCTCGTCTTTTTTCAGCAATATCCATTTGGTTTTCTAAATCACCCCTATCTGTAGTTTCTGCTCTTTCAATTTTCCACGATAAATTTTCAATTTCCGCTTCTAGTTTAGCTTGCTGGTACTCAAAAAGCTCTTTTTTTGGACCATTTTCCAAATAATATGCATATGGATATGTGTACTGAAGGGTATACCTACATTTAGCTAATAATGTAGCAGAGTCTAATAGATACTGCCAGTCAATCCATGTACCTTTACTTGTCATCACTTTACTATTAATTCTTTCTTTAATTTTATCCAATGTTTGTTTCTCTAATTGCAAACTTTTTGAATGATTTTCCCAACGTTCATAGTAATGAAGATATTTTTTTAAAGCTTCACGAGCTTTAGCTGATTCTGAACCATTTTGTGGGTTTTCTCTATACTTCGAACAATCGTAATACTCAGTGCCATGTGCTTTCCAATCTCCTAAGCACATCCAACAAAAGTCAAATTTACAGCTTAAACACTGCATATGATTACAACCGCCATTTTTCTCAATGCATATGTTACATTTTGGACAATCTTTAGTATTGGCTGTAATATAATTAGCTGTCTCGCTATCATCTGCACATTTAGTTATCCATTTTTTGATAGTTGCACAATCTGTAGGTGCGTGGTAATCATTACCACATTTAAAACAAAAAGATGCTTCACATTGTGTACAAATTGCTTTTTTTGCTAAACTTTCTTTAGACTTTATAACTGCATTGCAATTCGCTCCTGGACAAAAGCGTAACAATGGATGGGATTTAATATACTCGCGGAAAGCAAAATGTTGGTATTGTTTTCTTAAAATTGGTTTATTAACAGTAGACAACACTATTTCTTCAGGTACTAAAAGTTCGCAATTTAGTGCCATACAAGATAATTCTGTACTAACACCTTGTTTAATTTTATTTTCAAAATGAGAACACCAACAGGTATTACAGTATTGATGCCCACATGCTAAACTCGTTGTTTTCATATTTTCTTCTATTGGTGCTACACAAACTGAACATATAAATTTTTCACTTTTTACTTTATTTAAAACTGGTTGTAATGTTTTCATTCTCGAAAGAACTAAAAGCTTATCAGCATCTTCAGTGTACTTCCATATTACTTCTTGTACTGCCCATTTATTTTCATAGAGCAAAACTTTTGACATTGAAGGTGTTACATGGATGCTTGTACACAGTTGTTCAACAAGCTCATTTAAAAATTTTTCTACTTCATCAACTGATAAACATTGTACAGGAAAATACTCAGGATCAGGATTATGAGGCGGACTCATAACATCACGATCTGCATTGTAATAATCCTCATAGTCTTCTTGATCTGAGTAATCCATGTCTTCATCATCATATTCAGACATTGCTGTAAGATTTGATAGCCTTTAAAAATGCAAAAATAAATATTTTAATCACCATAACTAAAAATTAAAAATATTTCTTTAGAAAAATTGTATGATAAATTTAAATTAGAAAATATTAGTCAGCATATATCTTTAACAGCGTGTAAAAACTCAGATACCTAAAAAAATAGACAGATTTACATAATGCCCAAGTAAACAAGATTTAAAAATACACGGATTTCTTATTTAACCAGTTGGCAGTTAATTTAAATACCAGAGAAGTTTTAACATCTACTAAAGATATTCTACCTGGTACTATAAAAAATAACCCTAGTAAAGTGAAACCCAAAACCAAATAAAACCAGATTTTAGAAAAACATTGTCCACCATCGGTTTTCTTTAAAATTCAAAATGAAAAATCTAATACAGTAAATAGGAATTTTCAATTTTACAGCTTAAATATAAAATATATTCTTCCCAATTATAAATATATATTATTCAGTTACACATTATAATAATTTAGTCTAGAAAAAACTTGTGGTTGAGTATAGTTAAGAAATTAAATCATTAAATATTTAAATAAACCCTTAGTCACAAAAATAATTCTCTATAGTGTTTATGTATTTCAGCAGCGCATACGATAGACTAAGAGTACGACTAACAGACTAAAAGTAGTTGTAAAGAGTCTGTTATAAGCACTGATGATGGTAACATTGCTGCCGAAATACATAACCGCTATCGAGTATTATTTTTATTATTAAGGATTTATTTAAATACATATTTTTTTATTTCTGAACTATAGAAATTTAGACTTAAAACATGTCCATTGCACTATTCAATCTACCGGTGTAATATGGAATCTGAAAACTTATTTGAATTTGTCATGTATTAAGATAATTTGAGATTGGTTTTCATACATGCATTCCAAATTGTATTTTTTAATTTAAAATTAGTTAGTGTTAAAACAAAATTTGAAGTATTAAAATTAACAATTAAAGTTAAAAAAATTAATCTAAATTAAACGTGTGACAAACTCAAATCTGTTCTCAAATTCCTTATAGCATCAGCAGATTGATCAGTACAAAAGATAAAAATAGATCCCTTTAAAAGTGCGATCAATCAACAGCAATCGACTACAACATTGATTAATGGTTTTTGTTTTCTTGAAAACTATGAAAAATATTGCTTATCTCAAATGCCTTTTAATGGTACAAATTAACTTTACCATCCCAGACCTGAATTTTTTTTTTTTTCAATTGATTTCTTTTTTAGTGCTGAAATCATTTTCAATGATGCAAAAAAAATTTGCAGATATGCTTAGTTTTTAAGTTACAGCTACTTTTACTTGGAGAATTATCATTGCGCGAGATGACCGTGGTGCGGCCTCCCATGGATGCAGTCACTGGAAGCTGTGTAACATGTGTTTGGCACAAAAAAAAAGGACTACGAAGGACATAGTTGTGTCGGCCGCTAGCCATTGCCGCCGCGCCCGTTGCCTACTGCTATATGGAGAAAATGTTTAAATTCAAGTAGCTGTAACTTTTAAACTAGAGGAGTCTGCCTAATTCTGACTTTGGATTTGTTATCAGCGTAAAAAACACTGTTTTATGGGAAATAAAAAATTGTCGTCGACTGCTGCAACTGGAAGGCCGATGGCACAGGAGTCTGAGACAACAATATTTCTCTAAATTAATATTTAAAACCTTCAGCGCTAATGACAGAAAAACAAAAGAAAAAAAGTGCCATTTACGCTGAAGATGACAATATTGTAGCTGAAATACGTAAACGTAGATTGTATTATTTTATGGTTACAGGTTTTAAATATTAATTTTTTTATTATATACAACCATAAGGTATATAATAAAAAAAGTAATATAAGATGCTAAAGTTTTTCCTAGATAATTCTCTACGTTTGCTGTAATTTCAAAACTAAGCGTTTTCGCAATTTTTTTTTACCGCCATTTACAGCTTGGAAAAACAATGGGGGGTAGAGTGGTAAAGTCGATTTAAACCCTTTTAACTATCAATAAATTGACTAATGCCAAAAAAAACGTTAATTAGCAGATTATTAGTTAATAACAACTTCTGATCCAACAAAAATATTAACTAAAAAAAGTTAGCTGATGAGTGATGGATGTAAGTTTTTAAATTTATAAATCAATATTTAACTATAAGTTAAACATTGATTTATAAATTTATAAGTTGGACAAGCAATTTGAATTACATCTAGGGTAAGTAGCAAACATATGGCTAGAAATCTATGACTGTGTCTTGGTGCATGAATGTATATTTTACCAGATCAGTCAAGTATAATTTATATTTTGACAAATTATCCTATAGTGTAATGATATACCAATTTAACATGATTATACTTACAAATTAATATTAACATTAATAATTTAATATCTAATATAAATGTACCAACAACAAATTATATATGTATAATAATAATTCAATGTGGGTCAGAATTTAGAATTTATTATCTGTTGAGCTGCAGCTGGTTTGTTGTATAAAAACATTTTAACATATTGGTTAAAACGAGAATATTAATGTTCATATTATTAGTATTTCGCCAAAAACTGACATTGGAATTTTAGCGATTACTCTCGTAAAAAAATAACATTGGATCTAATAGCACCATGAAACACTAATCTTCATGTGATAAAAACATTAACTAGGTCCGATAACAATAACAAAACATAAAACCTAAGACTATTCATTATAATCTATTTTGTCGTGATGTGACGTCATTCATAAATATAGATAAATATTTCAGTGATAAGATATCAAACAGTTAACAGTCTTAACACCAAACACGTTTTTTTTTCATTATTGGACAAATTAAAATTGCAAGCAGACCCACTATAGTATTTGCTATTAATAATTATAAATTTGTATTTTTTAATATAAAATATAAATTTAACATGAATAATGAACAGATTGGATTTGAATGGAAGGTTTCTAATAATTATTTTAATAAGAACAACTGCGAATCTGACGAGTCGGATGAAAGAGTATGTATATAATTATATAACATAGGTTTAATGAATATTAAATAATTTATAGTTATTTTTTAGGAGGAATGTAATGAACCTAAAAAGAAAAAAAATAGAAAATTAAACACTGCTCAAAAGAGGGAAGAGCAGAAACAAGAAGAGTTGAGATTACGAAAAGCTGAAGAAGAGTTAATAAATATTGAAACAAATCCTCAAAATGCTGATCATTTTGACAGACTTGTATTATCCAACCCAAATAGTTCACTCATTTGGATAAAATACATGGCTTGTCATTTACAAGTAACCAACATTTTAATATAAATATCTTAATTTTTTTATATTTTATACTTTTATTTTGTAGGCCACTGAAGTAGAGAAAGCTAGAGTTATTGCTAAAAAAGCATTATCAATAATTGGTGCTAGAGAAGAACAAGAACGGTTAAATATCTGGACAGCACTTTTAAATTTAGAAAATTTATATGGAACTAAGGTAATTAAATTTAATAAACACATATGCAGACTGCAAAAGTAAATAGAAAAAAAATTAAGTTTGTTTCTCTAGTGGATATATATTTAATAATGTTGAACACAAAAATCCTTAAACATACATTTTGATGAATTAGTACCTACATCAGTTAAAAAATGTATGGAAAAGATATTAAATTTGATACGAAATTAAGTTTAGAAAAATATAAAAATAGTACCTAGTTAATGTAGTTTGAAATTTTACCCTAAGTTTGAGTTGGAATTTAAATTATTGATATAGTTTATACCATTTATTATAAACAGTTTCATAATTACATAAAATTGTAAGATATGTAACTGAAAGTACCTTTGTTTTTAATGATATGCCATCACGGTAGCGTGGCCGAGTGGTCTAAGGCGCTGGTTTAAGGCACCAGTCTCCTCGGAGGCGTGGGTTCGAATCCCACCGCTGCCAAGAATTTTAGAAATTTTTTTCATACTATTTTACATTTAAAGTGCTCACGTTACTGTAACATGATAATTATATACTCTTATGCAAAAAAAATTGTGTTTTGTAATATCAAGCATGCACTATGTTTTCCAAACAATTTTTTTGCTGACATGATACTAAATAACATAGAGAAATATATTATTTTAATTTATTGTATTTTCATTAAATCTAGACTAACGGACTGTTTTTTTTCCTGTAATTTTTTATTCTTTAGCATAAACTCAGCCCGACCCTCTCAACACATTTATATTTATTTTAATTTAGATTCATAATTTTATACATTTTTAAAGTCTGGCCATGCCTGTTTTTTTCTGACTGGTATACCTAATGTGTATTGTTAATTATAATACTTATATTATTATTTTTATCACTAGTGGTGCAATAATAAAACATAAAATTTAATTAAGATTACCAATTAAGTTGAGTTTTTTTACCTTTGATCGACCTGGTCCAGAGCCATACACTATGAATCGATCATAACAACCCAAATTATTGTATATATGATCCAATCTGTGTTTATCAGAAACTGTACACTATATGTTTACATGTATGTTTATTGCAAACACATTTTTTGTAAATAACCTGAATTTTCATTTAATTTTAAGGAAATGTTTGATTTGTTAGATACTACGTGTAGATAGTACGCTCTTAACTTATTTTGAATGTGCAGCATAGATAGTTTTAATAGTTAATTTTTATTAAGCAACTATAAGGACGATGATTTAATTTTGATTTTAAATTATTGTTTTCTTTTATTATTTTATTTAAAAAATAGTTTGTAAATTAAAGTTTAATTGTTCTCTATAATATAATAAGTAAAGTACATTATTTTTTTGTTACTTTCAGGACTCATTTAAACAAATAATGGATGAAGCATTGCGTTGTAATGATGAATATCAAATATATACAAAAATATTGGATTTATTTGCCGAGTCAAATAAATTAAAGGTATAATAAATAAATCAATTTATCGAACTCATTGTTGTAAGAATAACACTAATTTTGCTTAAAATTAAAATTATTATTGTCTCGGTTAGGAACTTGAAGAAATTGTTACAAAAATGAATAGAAAGTTTCGAGATTCTATTGATGCTTACCTACACTGTGCATCTGTTTACTTTAAGTTGAATAAAGCTGGAAAAGCTAGATTTATTCTACAAAAAGCATTATCACACCTTCCAATTAAATCTCGTTAGTTGTGTATTATTCAAATTATATTTAATGTTATGATGTTATTTGTATAACTTAAGTTCTATTAATTAAAATTAACATTTATTTTCAGATGTATCTATGATTAGTCGTTTTGCATTAATTGAAAATAGTGAAGGATCTTCGGAAGAGGCTCAAACTTTATTTGAACATATTCTTACATCTTATCCATCACGTATTGATGTATGGAGCATATACATAGATATGCTAGTCAAATCAAACAAAATTGACCTGGCTAGGTAATTAAATGTAGAAAACACATTACTATTTTTTTTAGGCATTTTTACTGGACGTTAAAAATTAGTAAAATTACTCAATAGCGCAACAACAGAGGAAGAGGAATTATCCCGTAGTTGCGTCACTGTCATTTTGCACACATTTACTTAATTTATCATAATTATAATTTATTTGTTTTATTATTGGATGTAAATATCATGTGAATTTACAGGCATGCATTAGAAAGAGCAACTATTCAAAAACTTGCCCCAAAAAAAATGAAAAGTTTGTTTAATAAATGGATGATGTTAGAAGAAAAACATGGAAATACCGAATCCATTGAAAAAGTTAAAGACAGTATGAATAATTATGTAAATTTAGTGTTAAAAAATAAAAAATGATTTATTGAGTTATTTCTGATAATCCATGCTTAAAAACAATAAACATTTTGTAATTTATCAATGTGGTATATTGTATAATGAATGTATGAAGAAGTTTGTAGAAATACCAGACATTTGATGTTATTAGCTATTTTTTTCATTATTAGTTTAACAGTTTTAGTTGCATTGCTAGTTTAATCATGAATAATAAATTGCCTACATTACACAAAAGTTTTACCTTTTGAAACAGTCTTATATGAAATGCTTTGAATTATAAAATCTTATTTTACGTGACAAGGAAAAAACTTCTCTGGCCAACATGGGGAGGGATAAAGCATTTAAAAACACATCGTTCATCTATAGTACCCTGAATCAAAGTAGTTTACGTGATCGACAAATTTTTTAGTTTACTTAATTTGCAGAAATTAATGTTTAAATTGGCTAGACTCGTGTTTAACGAAAGAATTGCATTGTTTGCAGAAACACCATACGACAGGACTAATGGTGTTTCTCTTGTGGACGGAAAATCCAAATCCTTATTAAGCACGGAAAAAATCTCCATGACAAGAGGGTTCATAAAATGTATGTCTTGAGTCTTGCAGAAATGAAAACAAGAAAAACGATTATACCCAAAACAGTGACTTAATGTAATTTTAAAATGACCGAATCGTTTATTAACCGTCCCAAAGTCACCAGGCGCGCAACAATATATTTTATTGTCTCCCTGTTTATGTGACTTTTCTACTCAACACCACCCAAAATCGTTGTTGAAAATATTTAGTATTGAACTATGGTGAATAAATATAATACATCTACGAAAAATATAAAATATTTAATCTTTAAAAACCTATTGAGTATTATTATTTTCATTTTCCTTGTAAGTTGTATGTAAGAGATATGCTTCCCCCCCTCCCAACATCAGTGTAACCATATATTGAGAGAGTTGGGGGCACAGATATATATAATAAATTAGATTGCTAACTAGCGATAAGAATTGAAGCCGACGGTTCGCCATTCTGGTGGGATTTATGTGTGTTTTCAATGCATATAATATACATCTGTATATATTATTATATCAATGTTATATATATGTGATTGTTATAAACATATTGTGGCGGATGCAGGCAAAAGGTTGCCCGGCCGATGTCCGAAGACATTAGTCGGTACTTGTCGTGTGCGTATTTATATGTGCGCTCTGGGTGACTTTGATCACATGCGAGAAGTTCGCTACGATTCGTCACAGCTACCGAGATCTGGCGATCTGACCATGTGTTGAGGCGGTATCGATGCCGACAGCTAGGTTGCGCTAGCTGTGGCCATCACGATTTAAGATAATATGGTTGCCCAACGGTCTATGTTAAGCCCATTGTCGCATTGACCGCGAAACTGTCTATAATATGGCCGACATGGACAAAAGTACAACAGCGCTCCTAACCGTAAAAGTTGCAGTCCAAAATAATGATAACCCGAATACCCGCCAAAATATAAATATTTATATAATGAAGTTGTTTTTTTAGATGAGCCCACGATTTAAGATAAATAATAATACTTAAAATCGTGAACTGTACTTTATTACTAATTACGTATATATAATATACACAACGTATAGTTAATTTATAAATATTAACACTTAACATTATATATCATTATGACGTGTTGTGTACCGATGTGTTTGTCAAAAAGGACAAAAAGTACTTTTAGTGTACCCTAAGATAATAATCTTTTAAAAATTTGGGAAGAAAATTTAGGGGTAAATTTAAAAAGAAACTCTAGAGTTTGCGAGTTACATTTTAAGTCCGACAATATAACTACACAATGGGTATCAGGACAAGGCTTTAGTAAATACACTGTGTGTTACTGAAATTTCAATATAATTAATAAATTAATTACAAAATTTCACTAATTATTTAAGTATTTACTAATTGTACTTATTTTTAGGTTTGTTTAAAAAAACCTAGGTTAAAAATAGGAGTTTTACCAATAAAAGCCAACTTGGATTGCAGTGCTTTGGCTAATCCTTTAGTCATGCCTCCAACAAAAAAAAATAAGGTTTCAATCAATAATATACATTTTTAGTGTAACTACAGAATAAATAATTGTAGCCTGCAATATTATGTCTATTAGATTATAAATGATACTGATATTATTGGACATGATCACTGCTATTTCTCTAAGGAGATAAATGACTTAAAATTGGACACATTTTTTGAACAAGTTTTAAAACACAACAAGTCAATGAAAGTTCCAATAGGATGGTTTGTAGATGTATAAAGTGGTTACTCTAATCAACTGTGTGTTTGTTTTCATAAACTCGGTCCCTTTAAAAAGGACTATACAAGATACATAGAAAAACAACTTGTTTTAACTAGAGGTAAAATAACAATTATATTATCTCCCAAACATGTATTCTTCTTTTTGGCTATAATTTATGTAAATATTTTATCATACTAACTAGTTATAGGTATAATATAAAATAATTTTTTTAATATTATTTAAACTTTAAAGATTTAGCCATAGTTCTTCAAATTAATGGAAAAACTATTACAATATCAGACATTGATATAGAGTCTAATTTTAAACTTAAGTCCATTGAAAAACTAGAAGATATAATACAATTATTTGACAAAATTAAAGTCTATCAAGGAATAGATTTAGATTATAAATATAGTTCTATAAAATCAAAATTTGGACCACAATTCATTAATTATTTTGACCAGTGGAGACATGTAAAATGCATAAGTGTACTAAAAGCAAATATGAGGTAGGTATAATTCATAACCATAAATATTGAGGGTTCTAGTAAAGCAAATCATGCATTGGTCTTAATGTGGCAAAGTCTAGCAGAAAATGTAGACCAGCCTATTGCTGTATTTGCCTCACATGGAACAGTCAAAGGTTAACTATTTATCTAATCTGTATGCTAAATTTAAAATTAAGTTAATAAACTAAATCAATTTTTCTCATTTTCAAAAGAATGCTTTTGAAAAAAAAGTTATTGGTTGTAGAACTACTGAATACTTGGCTACAAGAAAAAGTTTCTATAAATGCTGAAATAGTATTGTATTTTTTTTTTATGAAGGTGTTGATTTAGCGAAGCTTATACTAAAAGCTATAATGTTAATAGAGGATTCTGGAGGGCAAGTTATTGGTCTTACATGTGACGGTGCTTCTACGAATAGGACAATGTGGAACCAATTAGGGGTATTATAAAATTAACATTTATATAATGCTATGTATTATATTTTTAATATCACTTTTTATTACTTTTATTTAATACCATTAGATAAGTGTCAACTCAGTATTAGTATTTACACCAAGGTGGATTTATAAATCCACGATGATAATAATTATTTTAAATCGTGATTGTTATACAGGTTGTAGGCGTCAATAAAAAAAAAAGCTAAATATTCTTTAAAGTGGTAATGCTGGTTTTGTGGTTTGTCCGCTAAAAGCGCTAGGAGTGATTTGCACATAGCAATTCTAAGCGAAGACAGTTTGGTCACAGAATATTCTGTGGCCATACATCCGCTACAGTGCTGTATGTGGGGCCGCCACAATATATTATTCTCGCGTGATAAGGTTCTAATTCCCACCGAAATGGCGGAAAGTGGCTGCTTCAATCTTCTCTATTGGTGGCATGTACAGTTGGCAATCTAGTTTATTATATATATCTATGGCTCAATATTGAGTTCAGTGTTTGAATATTTGATAAGCCTATGTAAAATTTCAATTTTCAGTGTACACATCGTTTCAAAATAATGCTATTTTGATTCCTTGATTTAGAAAACACTGTTGTTGGGGGGAAAATTTTGAGTCAATACAAATCATAGATAATAAAAACGTTGGAAATAAATATGTTTTTATTATCTGATACAAATAAACATTAACTTCCCGTTATTAACATTTATAGACTATAGTGTTTGCATTTTGCTTCAAGCTCTCCGCAGTTGACAGAAATTAGAACTTGTTACTCGTTAATCATTATTCAATATTCATTATTACTTAGAACGGTCGACCTACATCTATAAATAATTTTCAAAAATAATAATTGAGTTGAAACATTACGCTTTAAAGTTTTATTAACTTGAGTTAAACTTAAATCAACTAATTCGACGCCATAGGCTACACGTATATCATGCCTAATATCCAATGCCAATGCTGTTAATTACAACTTTAAATAATAATAGACTATACACCTAACATGGATAAATCAAATATTAATTTACCAATGATTATTTTAAACAATAAACAAGTTTTACTAAATTGTGAGTATGAGCATAATATTTAAACTAATTTTTACATATAATATTTAGATGTGTGTTCTTGTGTATATAGGTACAGTAGTTTCTGAACACTTAATTACTAACAGTGACAGCAACGTTCTGAAAATACCATCAAATAGAAATGTACATTCTAACTATCAACCAGAAAAAATGTCTATTAATAAAAAGAGAAAAGGAAAAATACGTTTTAAATGTTTACATTGTGATTATTTAACCTTCAAAAAACAAAACCTAGTTTTACATCTTCGACAAAAGCATGAGGTAATATGACTTAATTTTAGTAAGCAAAAATATGTAGAGTTGTAACTATGAATAATTACATGTTACCACCACAGCCGGTATTGCTTTAAACAATTAAATATGCAATAAGGCTAACAATAATGTAAGGAAGAGAATGTTTTGCACTGAATAAGTTTGATAAACAAAGAACAAATAAGGAATATGAAAGTGGCTAAAATGACAATGTTAAAATGGTTTGGCGTGTTGAAAGAAAGGAGGAAAGCCAAGTAGTAAAACAATTTACAGAGATTATGATCAAAGGATGAAGAAGTATCGGTAGACTGAAGAAGTACATAGTTATGAAAAGAGGGGAGGATATAGAATTTGTAACACTTAAACCTCCTGTTTCACTTGTATTTAGTAATTATAGCATTACTTTACATTTCAATACATCAAAAGGTCTAATAATATTGTTATGTCAATATATTGACATAAAATAATGTATACTCATTAAAGCGTATGAATTTTTAGACTAGAAAACTGTCAGAATGTGAAGCAAAAACTTATAATACAAGAACAGTTGAAGTATTCACATGTATTCTTTGTAAATTAACATTTGACACACTGGAAAAATGCAAAGAACACTTAATGCAGGTATTTTTAACATTAATTTTAATTATATTCTTAATCTCTAGCCGTTTATCTAGTTGGGTGGGCAATCGTGTTGGGAAAAAAATAGCCATTATTGATGCCCCTGCTGCAGAAATCACCAGGAACCACTATACCATAAATCTTTTCCAGAATACAAGTTATTGTTTACCAACGAGAATTGATAGATTGAAAAAATGTATACATTTTTTATTTAGATGTTTTATCTTTTTTTTTTCTTAGTGTACTATGTTAAATCTTTAACTTTACAAAATCTTCAAAAAATCATAACCAGATCCACGCCTAACAACAATGTTGTCATTAACAACATTAACATAGTTATTTGATTCAATGGTGGTAAATCTCTTAGGTCTACACAGAAACAGTGGTGTCGACATTACTTTTAAAAACGATGCTTAGGTGTGGATTAAACCTCGTACACACTAGTAAGCCACACCCTGAGCTATTTGTAGCTAAATGTTGCGAATTAGCTGAGTGACTTTACAAGCAATATTATCTTCTTGGTTCGACAGGATAACTTAATCATGTGAGACGAAATATAATGTTATGTATATTTTTGCTATCTGATTTAAATTCCATTTAGCTTGATCACCTGACCAAATTGGTAACTGGAAAAAAATTCTTTCTTTATTTTTTCGGGTTAATATTTTCAGTTTCTACAAGTATGATTCCAAATATTTAGTATTTCAATAAAATGATGTTTGTACTTGAAAAGCAAAAACCAACTAATCAAGTTATGCCGCAGGTCATCTGTACGCAATACCAGGTTTGGTAAGGCTACCATTCGAACCAAACAGATTGTATCGTTTGTAGGGGCTTTAATGGCGGTGTTTTGACAAATCCTTAAAGTGTATATTGTTGCAATATTTCCTGAGTTTGGCTCGCTAATGTAGATGAGGCTTTATGTTTTTTATAAGTATTTATAAAATACTTCAGGTTCAATCCACAAAAATGTCATTTTTTCCTAGAATTCTATGTATAATATATAACACGCATAGTATGTTTTATCATAGATTAAAGGAGCACCAACACAAAAAAAAAAATTTTCACTATTATTAAATGTTAAATTATTGTAGTCACAACTGTTAAAAACGATTTGATTAAAATCCAATATAAAAAAAATATATTATTTTAGGTGATATTAGGATATTTAGAATAGCGGGGCTCGCCATAATTGCTATCATACTCATGTAAAAGAGGTTCACGTTACGTAATTTAATTAATTTGAAAACATACTTTGAAGGTATGTAAGTGATGATAAGATATATAAGATAGGCGCAATACAGTGAGTACAGCCCTATGATGTCACATGTATTTTTTCAAGGTTTCCTAACTCATTTTTGTGAGTAAAAATATTAAACCTATATAATTTTTCTTAGAATTAAACATTCTTTTAATTTAAAAAACCTATTTTTTTATTGTGTGCTCCTTTAAATACTAGAGATGGGTGATGCTCAAATATAGATTTATATTTTTTGGGTTTCATAACAGTTTAAACTTTAAACACTATGAAATTATTAAGTAAGAATAGTTAAATATATAATAAGTTAAATTAATTCCAAAATAAAAATCTATGCCCACTAAAAATCTAAAACAAAAATCCTATAACTTTAGGATTACAAAAACTCAAAATTGAAAATAAAAAGAACTATGAATTTAATTATATTTTGTTTAATTGGATGGTTTTAATTATTATTTGTTAATAAAATGAATATTTACAATTTTTTATAGCATGTAAAACCATCAAACAGTGACCATAGCAGTAAAATTAGAAATGTCAGTTTGAATAAAATTAATTCTGATGATGTTGAATATATCGCAAAGTATGTAGTTTATTTAATTTTATTAGTTATTATTTCATTGTAATACTTAACATTTAGTAGTGTTCTTACCATTTGTTTAGATGTGAACATTGTAAACGTAAATTCAGATCAGAAAATTCCAAAGTACTTCATTCGTTATGTCATTTAAGTGATAGTAAAGACTACAAATGCAGTGAAAAAGATTGTGATTTTACTACTTCCAGGTGGAATGCCTGTCGGTTCCATTTATGGAAACTTCATAAAATTGATGTAGACATGTTTAGATGTCAAGTATGTATTATATTGAATTTACTTGACGTTTAGCATTAATTTGTTAGAGCTGGTTCAATACCGCTTTTATCAGATATATATTGCTGATACAAAACCAATATCCGATATCATCTTTTATTTTCTAGAATCCGTGGACCAACACATGGGTTCAAAACCCCAATATCTGATTAAAACTGATATAAATTATGTGACATATTAAAATATCTTGTAATACGGCTAGAGTGATTAATTCATTATTTATTATTTTATTAAACTTTTAAATTATAATGAATTCATTAATATTATTTAATCATACTATACTATACTATGTTCCACAAGAGATTATGCCATATGTCAATGAAAATCGGATCGCTTTGTTAATCCGCATGGCATAATATCATCTCATGTGACTTCACTACTAGTTTGTTGAAAGTGACATCTTTATTACTTATAGGAAAAATTGTATATTATTCTTTACAATATTAACAAATATTCCCATGTTAGTTTTTTCTTAAACTTTTTAATGATTGATTTAAATCTTTTGTAAGTTTTCATCATTTTAAAAATAGAGAAAAAAATTGTTTTTAACGTTTTTATTTCCTATTGAAGTTCTATTCACATACATTTTTTATTAATCTGTTTTCAAAGTATTTTGTCATGTCTTTAAACATTGTAAATTAATATCTCTTCAGCTCTGTGTCAAAGCAAAAGGTTTTTTTTTTACTCTACTATTTCATATTGTAACTTATTTAATGACAGATGATTCATAATTTTAAACAAATATACACAAGTTGTAATTTAGTGAAATAATTTTTTATTTATTTTGTAGGTTTGTAAAAAATATACAACAACTACCTATCATAACCTAATGAACCATGTTTCAATGAAGCACAATAAAACGCTATTTTGTGTTGATTGCGGTGCTGAATTTGATAATTCAATTCAATTACAAAATCATAGAGTCTTCCATTCAAAAGCTAAATCCGTGAATAAAGAAAGATGGTAATGTTTATTTTGTTAATCAAGGAATAATATTTCATGTGAAAAGCAATAAGAGATCTTGTGTCGCCATTTTCCAAAATTAAGTTAATGACTGCAATTATTGTACTTTGAAGTTTACAACTAGGAATAGTTCGCAAGTTATTTATTTATTATAACTAAGCCTCAACTACTATCATTGGCTAACAGATTAGGTTAATTACTACTGGTACAGTAAGAACTAAGGTTAGATTATTACAATAAATTACAAGACTTGGTTTTATATTATATGAATTATTATATTTTTTTAAGAAATTCAATAAGGTTTTTTTTCTGATTGTGAGTTAGTTGATAGGGTTTCCAAGTATTTTTACATTTTTCCCGAAATTTTCTGAAAATAGGCCCCTTTTCGCTTCCGCGTCGCATAATAAAAATTATTAATTTGCTGCATTTCATAGCTTTTTTTTTAGAGAAAAATCAATGTTAAAGTATTCTTATTTTACACGTTCAAAAATTAATTTTATAACTTCTTGTCAAAAATGTTATGTTGCTTTCTGGGAACTAATAATAATAATGTTTTTTGTAATATTCTTTAAATTTAAGGTATATGGAAAAATCCTGTCCAATATGTCATATGGTGTTGGCTAACTCAAAAAGCTTAAAACTTCATACAAAAAATGTGCACTTAAAATTAAAACCCTATGTCTGTCAAGTATGCAATCACAGTTCAGCCACAAAGCACATGATGCAAGTCCATATGCGACAACACAATGGTGAAAAACCTTTTTCATGTGATGCTCCTGGCTGCAGCTTTAAAACAGGTACAAATATTTAAAGTAATACAATTTAAAGTATCTCTGAAAATCATTATTTGAGAAACTTATTTTATATAGGTGATCATAATTCACTCAGACGTCATAAACTTCGTCATACCGATGATCGACCATATAAATGTACACATTGCAACTATAGATGTATACAAGTAACTGCACTCAAAAGTCATATTACAAATAATCATCGAGACAGTGTGGGTAACTCATATTATTCATGCAACCGATGTACATTTGGTACTGTAAGCTTGAAAAGATATAATGACCATATATTTAGCCACGATAATCAAGTTCAAAATGGTAACAATAAAAAAAAAGATATGCTTCACTCATTGATGGTTTTTCATGATAATTATTATGATGTTTTTAGGTTTGGAGCTCAGTCCTATTAAACGTCAAGAAACTAAAATTGATGTAACCGATGATGATGATACAGCTCAAGGATATGTCGATGATACAGGTGGAATTACCATTTCTGAGAGTGTTAACTCTGTTGTGTTAAATTCAGACGATAATGCAATCATGCTTGCATAAATATATATTACTAGTATAATTATAAATTAATATCAATACACAGTATTTAAAAAAATATTATTTATTCTGTAAATTAAATTCTAGAAGAAAAGAATATATATTATTTATATTATGTTGTTGCTGAAATATGTTAAAAACGTTTGATGAGATTTTGTAATCGTTCATCATTAACATTTACATCCCTGCACCTAATCAACAATCAAGCAGTTTGTATTTGAATGGTACAATAAATTAAAATTGATGGTTAATAACAAATTGTTTTAATATTTTTTAACTTAAACTAAACAAAATAAATAAAAATATATTAATTAGTTGTACATTCATGTAATATTACATTCATTTTAAATATACTAATTTTAAGTAACTTCATCAATAACTGAAATATTACTAAGCGACTGATTATAAACTTAGTAAAAACACATAATAAACTGCTCAAAACTATATTTCATTCATTTAACTTAATTTTAAAATATTGGCTAAATGTGAAATGAATATACAATAAATCAAACAATAATAAATAGTAATAACAAACATATTACTAATAGGTAATAAATAATTACATTAAACGATAACTTTTTTAATAAAAGTAAAAAATATAAAATTTGTATCCAATTTAATTGTTTTAAATCTTTTAAAAAGGAATCCTGTAATTATAATTTAACTGGTAAGCATTAAAAAACATTGAAAAAATTGACACAATGTAGACAGTAAAATTAAACACGCAACACACAAATCACACATTTATGAAAAAAAAAATGTATGTTTAATTATGTATATAAATTGAAATTATATAAAACTGGTTATCACAGACAAGTTACCAACATCTTAGGTGTAGGAATGTGTGTGAATTGAGGTGCCATAGCACCCTGTTAATTATTTGTTATGTTTAGGTGGTACCTTATTACTAATAATTATTTATAACACTTTATCTAATAAATAACATTCCATTACCAATAATTAATTTCAACAAATATAATACAGTTAAAATACTTGTAATTTTAAAAAAAATATGATATAAAAAAAAATAAAAATGAACTATTGAGCTTGGTTTTTGTAGTCGATAGCAATAAAATAATATTATGATTTATGTCAATATTTAAAACAAATACTTTCACAAAAACAAAAAGTATTATAACGTGTTAACCACTTTAATTTTCAATGTTATGCATACAAACCAAGTCGGTGAATTTTAGCCGAAAGGAAGTTATGTAATATGAATACTAATGGTTTTGGGCTACATTCCAAATCCAGTTCCTAGGCAATAAAATATAATAAGTTGATTAGTCTCAAGTAATAATGAGAATAAATGAATGGGAAATTTTAAAAAATTTGAGCTTGAATATTGTGAATTTGAATACTTTATTTATAAATTTTGAATATTCCCCATCAATAAATTATTAAAAACCATCTTAGAACTACTAAGATTTTTTTTATAAAAGTAACTATTATCAGGTCTTTTAACAAAAAAAAAACTCAAAATACCGGTATTTAGCAAACCTGTAAACTAAAAACACTAAACCCCAAATATTGTAATAACTAAAAAGTATATATACCCTGTTCGACGAGAGAGCATGACGCGACCTGACAAAAATTGACCGTTCTGCGCACCCAAGCGCGGCACCTAGTGTGACTAGAGTCCGCCCTGTCTACCAGCCTTAGTCTACATGCGCAAACCTGGCATGCTATCTCAGCGAACAGGGTAAAGTTATTAGTAATAAAGAATTTATACAGTTTATTAGAGGAAATAATAATTATTCGAGAAAATAAATGAAATGTTCTTAATTTTATAATTAATAAATAGTTAAAAAAAAATATTTTTATAATTTATTAAGTAATTAAACAATAAATAGCAAATGATAGCCTCAAAAGTACAGAACAGACAAAACCCATATTGAACAATAATACCTGAAGTAATGTATTAAAAGTTCAACAAATTGAAAAACCCTGTAATTGTCAAAACCCATTAAACCGGTAAAAATGTTTTCGTTTTAAGCCCTGATTATTATTGTTATTTATACGTCCTTTATAATTTATAGCCATTCTACTTACTATTTCCACACTATCACCAAAGTCTAACCATATCAGCCTGTTGTTATCATCTGAAGACATTTTCAACTTTTCAAAAGGATAACTCCATAATTTCTTAGGTTCCCGTCCAACTGACCCAGTTGTTGATTCATAAAGAGTAAAACCATTTTCATAATGTATATAAAGTTGAGATGGTTTACCTTGCCATAAGCAGCCTAAAAAAATATGATTTAAATTACATTGGGCAAAATTTTAAACTAACAGTTTATATGTATATTTAACAAAAAAATCCAATGAAAGAAATGGTGAATAAGGCAACAGGTGAAGAAATTTGAAGATGAACCATTTAGATAAATGTTTTTAGTGAAAACATGTAGGTGTTTTACCTGGTTAATTGAGTCTTGTAATATTAGAGCATAATATTTTAATGATGAACTGTTAAATATTTACATACCAGTAAAATAATATAAGAGCATTATATTAAGTATTAACTATTCTGACTTTTGTAAATGGTAATAAGCGAAAAAGCAAAATACTTAAATAGCAAAAAATGATGAAACTCACGGCATGTTAGTTCCTTTCTATTTGCAACTGAATTATGACAACCTTGAATAATAGCTCTAGCCCAACTGGCAAGATCCCTTTGAGTATCCACTTTAAGTTTATGACTAATAACTCCTTCTTCTGTTCCACACCGAATACTGAATGTTATCAATTCAGAGTTACGAGAAGAACTCATTAACCTTGTTGACAATAATGGACACACAAATAGGGGAGTAGACCAAGCGTCTGGACTCCAAGGCGCTACATCATATAAACGCAATTCTTTACTACTAACAACACCAAATACTGCTTGCCATTTATCGTTAACTGAAAATTCTTCTTCTGAACTGCCACGCATACAACCATTCTAAATTAAAAATATTATTTACAGACAGCAAAATCCACAAAACACATTCCTCATTATATTAAAGCCATATAATATGTGATTAATGTAAAGTGGATCACCGTTTTACATACATATGTTAAATTTAATTTGTTCAAATTTAACGTATTATTACACTATTATTATTTACTTTTTTATAGTATTCAAAAAAATATCTTAAAACCAACCTCATTATGGTTTACTCTAAATAGCCATCCAAGGTGATGAATTTGACCAAGTGATGGTAATAAATTTCCTAAAACTTTATTGGCATCATGTATTGATCTTAAAACAAGAACATCTAAAGCACCGTGAAGAGTATTGAACCAGCAAGTTGCTTCACTTGCTTCTTTAGTTCTCAGTACACAAGAATGTGCACCATCTGGAGAATGCAGCTCAATTATCTTGTTCTCTATAATTATAAAAAAATGTTTTATTTAATGTTGCTGTATCATTTAGATGAGCTTTAGTATTTAATACCATTGTCAGGGTGCTTATAATTTCTGGTTAAACAGCTAAGTTGTAATGGTATATAGCGGGTGTCAGCTTTTTGAGGAGACCTATGAGCAGTTGGATTTGATGATAAAAATTCTTTTTGTAAATCCCAACCAACTTCTGATATAATTGTTGCCTTTCTAAAATATGGAGTAACTTCTCTTAAATATTTAACTGAAAAAAAAATTATAATTGTTTATATTTAACAGAATACAATGATCATATTACTCACATATATAATGTTCAGGAACAAATGCACTTTACAGAACACCCTTTTTTTTTCCGGCATGTTATATTTTTTTTTATGCTGATTACGAATCTGAAGTCAAAATTAGGTGGACTCTGTTAGTTCAAAAGTTATAGCTAATTGAAATTTGCATATTTCCCCTATGTAGACATACGCGGCGGCACTGTCACGAGGTGGTAATAACTGATAAGGACGGCAAGTCTCCGAGTGTTTTGGCACTCACTCGCTACACTTGCTCAACACCGTTGCTTCGCTCCGCTAACTAAAAATATCCTAGGTTTGCAGGCTACAGTCTAGGAGGAGATCACAGGTTTAATGTTAAGTTGGTTTAAAACGGCTCTAGAAGCCATGTCACGTGTCCGGCATTAAAAAAAAAAGACCTTGAAGGAGCGCTACAGTTACATAGGAGAAATATGCAAATTTAGTTGAAATTTTATTTAAAATGAGTAATGATTAAAAATTGAGTTGAGCTATAACTTTTGAACTAATGGAGTCCGCCTAATTCTGACTTCAGATTTGTAATCACCGTAAAAAAAACACTTTAATATGGCAAAAAAAAATTGAAAAAAAAAGGGTGTCCGGTAAAGTGCGTTTATACCAATGTTCGTAATGGAGCTGAGAGAAAGTCATACTAGTCATTTTCTTATGGTGTTATAATATTTTGTATAACTTACCTTCCAATTCAACAACTTTTCCAGCCTGTTTAAGTGCTTTGACGGCTTCATCATGGGTCGCTTCTCTTAAATCTTGTTTATTAACAGAAAGAATTGCATCTCCAACGTAAAGTTGTTCAGTTTGATCAGCAGCCATACCTTTAAATATTTTGGAAATCAAAATTGGCATTTTGTTTTCACATCCACCTTTAATTGATATGCCCAATCCATTGCTGTCAGTTTTTACAACACGTATGAGTCGTTTCTGATTGGCTACAGAATCAGGTACATCTACACAATCTATCAGTCCACCTGAAGAATCTAAATTATTGATATATGCATTATAATTTATACAATATATACTTTGTTTGTATTCAAGTTATTCTATATTTGTAGACAAGTAATTCAAACATACCTAAAGTATTATTGTTTAATGATCCATTGACAGGTGTGTTATTTTCATAAGTCTCATCTAGACTTATGCATAGATAATCGTCCTCCAATGAAACATACACTTTATACCACTGACCGCGCACGTAAGCTTCCTGAACACCAGACCGCCCATAACTAATTGTCGTCATTATAAATAGTTTTGTCGAAATATTTTCTATAATCAAATTTTTATTTCACGTGAGCTAAAATACAACAGTTGAAACGATTGTAGAATACTGCTAAATAATATAAGTAAAAACACCTCAAATATACATAATTGTCAATGGGATAGATTTGTGAGGACGATCTTGGCTATTTATGGATAATTACAAACGATACCTATGTCATACATTATAATTTGAAGTTGTTGAACACTTTCACGGCAATGATAATAATAATAATAAATACCTAATCCTAAGTAATTTATAATGCACGAAGTATTTTACAGTTTACAGAGCGCACACGGTAGAATTTCAACGTTCGACGAGCTCGACATGACTTAAGATTGCGGATTCACTATCAGCAAATTACAGTAGTCTATAAAGTGTAAACGAAATACGAATGTTGTTTTGTTTTGCTTGCACTGAGGCGGGAGGCCCGTGGGCCATGCATATCACACTATATGCTATGTTTAGTGTAGTAGTTGCTTGTGTACTCTATGGGCTGAACTACAAGTCAGAAAATTGGAATCTCTAGATGGCGCTTTTTCTTTAAAAATCCAACCCTATCTTAATGCCTCTGTAACCCCTAACAAGTACCAACGCGTGTCGACATAGACCTATAAAGAAACCTTATTAGAAACAGACAACAGCCAAAAGGAGAATGTGTGACGAATATTATTAATCAGTAAATAGTAATGTCTTTATTTTTTAATTTAATCCTATATAAATAAAATAAAATAATAGATTATATTTTTAGAAATAAGAAATTAATTTTGAGATTGAAAAATAATCTTCTGTTGAATGTCGGTAGTGTTGACATAGATAGATGTTCAATGAAAAAGTGGAAATTCGGTAAAAAAAGTAAGAACTAAAGTACGTAATATTTCGATTTTGGAATATATGTGCGGGACTTTACTGCCTTCCGAAGATAAAGTATACGGTGCAACCTAAACGGCTCCCATCCATTGTTTGTTTTTTCCCAAACAGCTCCCGTCGAAAAAGGTTTCACGAGTAGGTAAATTCCCAAACGGCTCCGGTATTCGGTGCTACGCGTATATTATCAAGTCTCTTTAACTTTTCAAAAAAACTTAAACTTAAATTTGAACCTGTAACCTCCTAGACTGTAGCCTACAAACCTAGGATATTTTTTGTAGTACGACGCCGAGCGAGCGAGTGCCCAAACACTCGGAGACCTGCCGTCCTTATCAGTTATCAATACGAATTCCAAATTTGGTGTAAGTGGTAGCAACCCCTATTAAATCCTTTAAAATTTTGAAAAAATAATAGAACATTTTTCGTTTTCTTTCCATAAAAAATTCGCTGACGAAAAGGAACTTGTGTTGTAAAATACCGGAGCCGTTTGGGAATTTACCTTTTTGTAAAACGGGAGCCGAATGGGCTACGTCCAAAATATAGCCTAATTGAGGAAAAGTTTACAATCAGATATTTTCATTTTTATTTATATTAACTGCGGAATAACGTATCTTGTATCCGTACCGGGTACCCTGTATCGGTAGAGAACATATAAAAGAATAATAAGGTACCTACCTAACATATTATATCTGGCTGCTGGAGAAAATAATTCATGAGGACTGAGAAATATAAAGATCTACATTACATCAGTCATCAGTTACTATATAAAAATACTAATGATTGATCATAGTTACAGATTATAGTTGGAAATCATAGTGTAAAACGGATACACAATATCAAAAAAAAAATAGGCACAGGTTTTGGCTCCCTTTTCTCCTTGTGACAACAGTTTAATAACTTGTCAAAGAACACTGCTATACTGTCATACATGTGAACACGAATTAACAGACACAAACTACGACCAAATGATGGTTGACTAGAGACGTGAGAATCAACAGCGCCCTGTACCGGCATAGCGCGACGAAGGTCATGAATCCCCACCTAGCGCATTAATTTTGAGAAAATTGTAATTTTCAGATTTTTCCCTTTACTTACACTATTAGACCCACCTTTGTACCAAATTTCACGTTTCTACCTATACTGGAAGTGTTTTATAATTTTGACGATGAGTGAGTGAGTCAGTAACAAAAATTCAAATTTTGAAATCCTCCGATTTTAAAACCGCAAAATATTAAGGCTTCAATTTTAGACAGTGTCCTAAACTAATTAAGTTTAATTTAGGTTTCAAATTTTAAAAGTCCACCTTAAGAAGTAGCAGAGATATGAGAGTTAGAAATACCGGGTGAATTGGTTCGTGTAAAGATACACTGGCATTGCTAGAACTTAGCCGGCGCACTGCCGTGCGCTCAGATAAGTTCTTAATTTTAAGCTAAAAGTGATAAAAAAACTAAATATTGTTAACAAAAAAATAAAAAATTAGGGTTTCTTATCAAAACTACAAAAAAGTTTTTGTGTAATAATTGCAGTTACTTAGTTTGTTGCTGGATAATATATTAAATATTTATTACATAAATTCATTTATTCAAAGAATTAAGGTCACACGCAAGTTTTTTTATGCCTAATCATAGCGCATAATAAAAAAATAATTATGGTATTTATTTATATTGATAAATGATGACTACAAATTGCGACGTTTCCATAATATTAATGACCAATGTTCATTAAACCATGAAACCTTACAACTTAGTTGGTAAGAAAAGTAACCAGCCATAAACGGTAAACCTATCATTTATAATAACTGTACAGTATATGTGTATAATCGTATTTGAGTAATTTTTTTTCACAAAGTCAATTTTAATTTTAATGACTTCACTGGTGTTTAGGTAACATGCAGTTTTATTTGGTATATTATTCATATAACGACTAAAAAAATAATAAACAAACGGTTTTTTTTTAAAAATTGTTTTTTACACAAACATAAAATGTATTTCAATATTTTGTTTGTAGTATACATTAATGTTCTTAGTCTAAAAACTGTTAAGATACAAAATTAAAAAAAAAATTAAAACAATAAAAAAAAGTAAGATTATAAGTATAACGATTATTCAATAATGTTACAATAATAAATAAATAAATAAATCATAAATTATGTATACATTATACAATAATAAATATTTAACATCATTGCAAACATTTATAATTCAGTTCATTATGAAAAGTATAAATTATACATTAGTCTATAAGAAATGTTCATGCGAGATAATTTTTCTAAAATTGTATAAATAAATAATTTAAAAAATAAGTGATTAAACTTTAATAGAACTGCTAAATAATATAAATTGCTTGGTTTTGTCAGAAATGTAAATATTTGTTTTTTTTTTTTTTAATAAAAACATGCAATAATATTTAAAGGTAATGACATAGAAATTGAGTATTAAAATAACAAAAAGAACTATTACATAAAAAACAAACATAGTTTAGTAATCAGTATGAATTTGTTTAACATATAAATATACTATTGTTGTGCCAGGTATGCATGCATCGAAAATATCATAAATATTCAACGGATTTAAAAACTGTAAGTAGTGGAAAGACTAGAAATATAGTATATCTTTAATATAATTTAAATACTACAACTGTATTAAATTAACTAGTAATTTAAATAAGGGTCATCATAATATGCTAAAACAGTTGATGACTTTAGTATGTTAAATGCTTAACTTAAAATATATTTTACTTAAGAAATCTCAATTCATTAAAACACTGATCTTCTAAATAATATACATAAAAATGACTTGTAATACATATAAGAGTGATTTAATTAGTATACATTGTTCTAATACTGTGAATAATTAAGTACTTAAATTTAATGAGCAATTTATTTGATTCTACTCGTGAAAAATGTTTTTTTTTTTAAGTATTTCAAGAATACAAATATTTTTCTAAATGGAAAAATGTATTTTTTGTTGTACATTGATTGTATTACATAACGTAAAACAAAAAAAACAAAAAAACTTAACACTTACACTAAAGACTAGAAGTAAAAGAATAAAATACTTAAGGCAAGATTATTTACGTTTGCTTGCTTTTTCAGCCAATTTTTCTGCTTTTCTTTGAAGTCGCTCCTTTTCTTTTCGCTCTTTTTGTGTATGTCTTTTTTCTTTATCTGCTTGAGTTTTAAGATCTTTGAGTTTACGCTTTAGTCTATTTTTATCATCTCCAACAATACCAAAATGTTTAAAATCTTTAGTATCTAAATTTAGAAGTCCAACTCCTGAAACTTGGTGTTCCATAAATTTTGAAATGTATTGCTCAAGTCCTAATGCTAATAGCCACTGGCAAACCTGAAATAATTATTACAGGAAATTAAAAATATTATTGTATGAGTAAACTGAAGTCTTAATTTTCATACTTGTTCTTTTGACCATTCATGCACAGGAGCGTTGTGCCAAACATGTGTATTTTTTCTTTCTGTATTGGAACTGTCAGATAATTGTGAAGATGTCCATACATCAATGGAATCTAAAAAAAAAATGTTTAATAAATATTATTTATTAAGTTTAAACATTTTTTTTTTTTAAATATACCAGCTGAACCAATTATTTTTGAATTATTTAAATCAGAAGCATAATGTCCCGGTGAAGCACTTTCAGATGACGAAACTGAAGAAGGTGAACTCTGAGGTAGCTGAGTAGTATTTTGCTGCCATGATGTGTTGGCTTTCTTTACTAAATATTAAAAATATGATTTTTTTTTATATTTTATATATATATATATATACAAAAAACTTAAGCAAAATTTGTGGTTATATATAGTAAAGAAATAAAATAATATTGTCGTGTTGTAGCTGAGAGGCTTAACACGGCAGTGCTTCTATGCACTAGCTGTGGTTCAAATCTCGGTTGCTGGCCGGCCGTTTCTCTCACTGAGTGGGCAACTGTATGGAGAAAGAAACGGTTACTCGACTGGTGTGGAAGGAAGCGGAAAACCACCATATCGCCGCCCGGGTAGAACAATGACACAACTGCAATAATTGAAATTTTACAGGAGAACCAAAAAACCAAGTTATTTTTCACTAAAATGAATGCAAAATTAATTATTACAACTACAGTTGCGTCGTTTTTCTACCTTATACGTTCGCTATAACTTAACACATTAAAGCATTTAGTCCATTTTACCAAATTTTGCAGTTGTGTCATTGTTTGACCCGGACGGCGATATATCATCCACTTCTCTAGTATGTAGTACCTAATTGTCGTAAAAAAGTAATACACTATAGCGTACAAGTGTATTTTGATAGTAATGCTACCAAAATCATCGGGGCCCACAACAGACTTAGACCGATTAAGTTCTATATCAGGGAGGCAAAAGAAATGTAAAAAATAAGAAAAATTTGATAAACTGGTCTTAAGTCCATTATAAAACGTTTTACTCAAATTCGTAAAAACACGTATTGACAATGAGTATCAATTCCGGTATGACGACATTGTATAAGGAGATAGTATTCCTATAATCAATCTCGGTCTATGATTAGCCCTGAAGAAAGTCACATTGCTGCTGAAATACGTGTTAATGCTAGTGTATTATTTTTCATGTTAAAGTTCTTTTTAAATATTTAATTTTTTTATTTCTTCAGAATAAATATATATTCAGAAGAATCTTGAACCGGTTATTTAATTTTAAAATACATATTCATATACAATTTTTCCTTCCCTTCCATATGTAGTTAAAAAGGAAAAAGGTCACAGGTTGCGCAGAGTAAATTATTTCCAGAGTATTTTTAATTATGTATATTTATGTTCTCGCATTACAGACCGATTTAAGATTCTTCCGTACTTGGATATATTATAATTTTATACTCCTTCAATTTTGGAAAGTAATATACCTACAGACTAAATAAACTGCCTAAATTATATATTTTTGTAAAACGTATTACATACATTACACATAATATAACAAAATTTACAACTTACAATTTAAGCTAGCTTCTCTTATTTCATCTGCGAAAGAACTTGTTGAACTATTATGATCAGACGTATACACACTGTTTGATTCAGACAAACGTGATTCACGTTCAGCAAGTACAATTTTTAGCTGTTCAGCTAATGATGGTGGTGGCCCGTTTACTAAATTGCATTTTTAAATTGTTAAAAATAATTGTATTAAATTTGAATAACTCATTTTGTAAAAAGCATACAATTACGACAATGAGTGGACTGTTGAACTCGAGCTAAAAAGTGATCAGTCTGTTGAACTTGAGGCTTTTGAACAGAAGCATACTGTGGAATTTGTTTTTGTTCATAAGCTACTAGTTCATTAGAAATGTCTTTAGTTTCATTAGAAAATTCTAGGGGTTTAACTTCATCAGCACCATTAGCCTCCTCAATATTATAATCCTAGAATACATTGACAAAAGTTTCACAGTGGTAATTTAAAATCTTATATTTTATACACCTAACCACAATAGAATATTTACCAGACTACTATTAGATAATGATTTCCGAAGATTTGTTGGTAATTGACGTGTAGCAAGACCTCTTGCAGCTAACTCAGCTTTACTTTTTGATAATGAAACGTCTAAAAGCTCGTGTTGAGGTACAGCTCGGTCTAATTCTTCTTTAACAGGTAACTTTCGCTCGACTGTACCAACTTTTTCATCCTCAAAACAATCTTCCGATTCTGATAACTCTGCTCCTAATTGCTGAAGTAAAGGCGTCACAGGAGATGACTAATAACAAAAACATAATACTACACTTTTTGTAATGAATAAATATTATACTTGAGTAAAAAAGTCCCTTACCTTAGCTTTTTTAACAAGAGGTGTCAATGTAGATAAATAATGACTAGTGCTAGTAGTATTTTGAGGAAGTTGAACTGGAAAACCTGCACGACGTTGTGTTTCTAAAAGCTCATGTTCAACTTGTATTACCTTTTCAACAAAAAAATAAAAGCTTATGTTACCCATGTAGAAGATGTTATTAGGATAAAATGAAAATTACCCGATCTTTTAGTGCTTTAACTAAAGCATTATACTCAGTATCTTTTTCTTGCAATACTTGTAAATAATACTCTTCTCTGTGTATTAGATCTGCTTCACGTTGTTGAAATTCTTTTAAAATTTTCTTTAGCTTTAAATATTTTTTTTCCAAATTTATATATCGCTCCTATTAATTATTATTAGAATTAGACTTATATTAATACAAAATTCAATTACATAATATAATAAGATAAATTCTTAGAGTATTTAATTAAACTTTTGTGACAAGTTTATTTAGTATTTTAAGGTGAAAAAGTTGATTACATATTTTTAGAAAGCGAACTTAAAACAATTACTTCTGATGTTTGTAGCATTCCTTGATATGTCTCTTTATCTCTTTTAGCCACATACAAACATTTATCCAACTCATTCAAATGTAATCCAGACTGTATAAGTTTATCAGAAATTTCCTTTTTGTTACTGGCTCCATTCCACTCTAACTCTTCAACCTTAGAAAAATTAAATTCATAATAGTTGAATATCTTTAAAGTTAAAATATTATTTTATAACAACATATGTTAAAATAGCAAGCAAAATTAATTAGTTTAATTTATGTTATATTATTAGCAACTGGTAAGTAAGTAGCCCAGAAAACCCAGAGAGCATAATCATTAAGCTCACCCTGGTTTTCAGTTTGCTAACTTCATCTTCTGCTTTAGCTACATTTAAACGACTCTGTAAAATAAAATAAATTTATACTCTACTCCCCCCCAAAATAATTTTTTAAAAATAATTTGTACATATTACATACTTCTTGCAATAATTCTCGTAAAGTCTGAACTGTGTTTACGTCTTCTATTTTACTTATATCTTCACTTGATGACTCTGTTCGTTCATTACTAAATTGCTGGTTTAATGAATGTTCCAATTGACGTCTCTGAGTGTCTCTTTCTCGATCAGCCTAAATTAAAAATATACATTAATATTAAAATTAGTGGTTGACCCCAAATAGTTGATATAAAGGCGAAGTAGTAGAAGATATTTTAATTAAAAATTAAAGTTTAACAATAGTTAGCAAACTATTTAAGGATTTTTAATTTTTCAAAAATACTGATGGCTTTTGACATTTTATTGGCCATACATATTTTCTTAATGAAACACGTATATTTTAACAAATTTTAATTTATTTACTTGTAATCAAATGTTTTTTGTAAAGGGACAGCACAAACACCTATATTTAAGAGGGATCGCATGAGTAGGCAATTAAGTTTATTAATAAAATCCCTGATAACGGGTCCTATAATCATACTAATTCATATTTTTGTATACATATTATCCATAGCTATTTATTGTAATTTGGTTAGAAGCTGTATATGGTTTATCCATAGAGGTAACTAACATTTCTATTTACTCTTATGATGTTATGTTCATTATAAAATGTAATAATAATTAACTATTATAATAATATTTATAATTTAAAAACTAAAATAATACTGTTATAAAGATTATATAGGGAATTAAATTAATAAGTGGCGGTTCTAGCTTACAAGAGCGTGGACAGTTAGCTACATGAAATTTCTTTTGTGATAGCATTAAAGCAAAAACAAAAATTAAGGATTAGGTAGCTCACTAAAAAGTATAGTTTGCTCGTACAAAAATTGAGTCCTAGAACAATCACAGAATTACATTCGAAAACAATGTTAAATAAAAGCTAAAAGATGTTTTTTTTTTGATAACTTATAATTCAGTTTTCTAACAATATCAAAAATATTACATATAATATATATATACATATATATATTTTTTTTTTCTTTTAATAAAAGAATCAAAACACACAATGTGCACAATTTATACTTTTTATTTTTTCATAGTAATGTAATATTATTCATACTATGAAAAAATAATTTTAATACCACTCACATTGTGAAATATCTTTTTTCGTTGCCATATGGCAACATTAAATTTTTTAAAAATCCAACTAGAATTCTTTCTTTCTTTTTTTAAATAATAATAAACAAGCATCCAACATACCAATTATTGGAAGAAAAAAAACTCCGGCATAAATGGGTTAATTACATAAACACGGTCTTGACTGTGCTTTTAAGCTCATGTATGGGCATTATAATTAGAGTTTTTGAATTTAAAAAACTTACTTCCAATGACTGACGAATTAAATGAGCAACTTCACTATTTTCAGGATCAGTTTCTCTTCCAATTACAAAATTTACTTGGCCATAAGTATTCCTTAATACTGATGCTGCATATGCTTGTGTAACTCCAACTAATGATTTGTTGTCAACTTCAATTATTTGATCATTTACCTAAATTGTATTATCATATTACTATATTACATGTTTCAAAATAATGAATATTTTTAATTATTTGTGCCACATATGAACTTAACACAAATTTAAAATGTATTTAAATGTTTTAATTTGTTGCCTATAATTTAATATACAACAAACATTAGATTATGATTAGGTATAAAATTTAAAAAATATTAATCACCTCTAAATATAATATCACATAAGTGAATTATAATATTTGTTTTTTTCAATATTGAAATTAACATTAATTTTTTTAGAAATAAGAGTTTTAATAAAGATGAGTTCAGAAACTCTAATACATAATTAAATCTAATTAAAAGTGCAAGGATAAAAAATAGTGATAAGCCCTGTTGGGATTATTCAAATAGGACAATATTACAAAGGAACTAAAATACGGCAGAATTAGATTGTCTTAAGTGATTTAATAGAATTATAGTTGGGGACAGAACAAAATATTTTTTTAAAAATAAGTTAACATAAAAATCTAGACAAATTAAAGCATATTTTTCGGTAAAGGCATTACTTGAATACGGCCATCAGCAGCTGCAGCTCCATTAGGTGTGATGGTTTTTACAAAAATACCAAGTTTTTCAAGACCTGTATCAGCACCAACTCCCATTCCAATAATGGATAAACCTAAGCCTTCAGGACCTTTTAATAATGTAACTTTCATTAAGTCTAAACGCTCTACTCGTTTTTCTAATTCGTACTCAGCTGAAGCAGCAACAGGGTCAACATCTTCATTACGACGATCATATTCATCCATAGAAAATGTACTGTAAACCTGAATAAAAAAATTAAAAAAGAAGGTAGGGCAAAAATGAATTTTTAATTATTTTAACTCACCTTAATTGGATCAATACTGAATTTCACTTTCATGTTTTGTTTAGGTTGAATATGGCATTCGTCATCTAAATCGCGTTCTGGTAACCCAGGAACTTCCATCCAGAAGTGTCCATCTTCATAATAATGAACGCCACCTTCTTCAAAAATCTAATAATAAAAGCATCAATAATAAATGACACTTTATTACTCCTTATATTTTTAGGATGACCCATTACACTGTATACACCGTATACTTATATTAAAAAAAAACTGCTTAATTACTTCTTTGGTAGGCAACGGAATAAAGCCTTTGGATTTGTATATATCTCCATCACATTCATATTCTTCTATTTCAACACTCTCATTACAAACTGAAGTGTCTGTTTTTGATTCATTGTAGCTTTGTTCCCAAGAGTCATCCACATAAAAATCCTCCATATTATAGTTATTAATAGTTTCATTCATTTCTTGACTAAAATAAATATATCAAACATAAAAAAATAGCAGAACATTTTTTTTTCATAATATACTTAAAATGAATGGCGTTATGCAGAAAGCAACCATCCCACAAATGTACTTTTTGGATATAGTTGAATGGCGTTATGCAGAAGGCTGTTATCCATCAAAGTTATGAAAAACGAGAGTTTAGTAGAACGAGATAGACAATTTTAGATTACGTATTTTACAAAATACAACCAAACCAACATTGAAGTGCAGCGCTATCTATCATTGTTTTAAAATTATACCCAAAAAGTACATTGTGGGATGATTGCTTTCTGCATAACACCATTCAAATATACATGTGGATACTATTTACAATCATCATCGTCATCATGTAGCTTAACGGGCCATGAAGGTCCAACGCTACCATCATGAGATGGTTTCTTGACGAATTCGCTTCCGGGACGGGTTGTCAATCCGTCGCCGGAGAGGGGGATGGCGGTTCCTTTTTACCGGACGATTGCTCGCTCAGCAAACGGAGCGCCTGTGACCGAGTGTCGAACCGGCAACAGTGAGCGCTAACACACTGCCTCCTCCTCTTTACAATAAAATAGGTATATCTGAGTGGAGTGAGCTTGTAATATTTTTACAGCCCTCAGTTTAACTTTCTTTTTACACAGTTTTTTTTATAAGAAGGCAAGTGTTAAGAAATGAAAACACCACCCAAACTCACCAAGGTTCCTAACTTACAATTAGTTAATGAGTATGAGATTGATGGCCAACTAGCAAGAACCAATCAAAATGTGACATTGACGTTAAGTATTAATTAAACAGTAATGTTTTCAATTAGAAACCCACTTAAAACAAACCGAACAAATATTTAGACAACATGTAAATATTAGATCATAATCTACGTACAATATAGTAATACTATCTTATTAAAACAATAAAAATAGATCCACATAAAACAATAACCTTTGATTATTCGCATGTTCAGATTCCACTGATACAACCTCACTCATCCAGTCTGATGTATTCAATTTATTATCAGATGGCGATAATAACTTTTTAATTTCTTTGGCTTCTTCATCAGACAATAAGTTGTCTTGACTACTGTAAAATATAAATGATATATAGTTTATTTGAATTAATTAAAACTAAATTGATTGAGTGCAGTCACGGCTCGTGCATAATTAATAATTTTTTTTTTTTCATTATGTTTGTTCATACAATGTGATCTCAAATTCTCACAATTTTTTTTGTTTTTACCCCCTTTCCAACTTACGTTTTTTTGATAGCAACTTTTGAAACCTAAATGATAACGCATACATTTCTTTAACTTTTTTAATTGAGAATAATGTACTAAACATTTGACTGGTCGATAACCCGTTTTGGATAACTATTTTTAAAGTTAAGAGTTTAAAAGTTAGGATGGGAGGGGAAGTGTGGTTGGGAAATGTGTGCAGATAAAAATAATACTTCACTCCACCTTTGCTTCTACCCTAAACTTGAAACTTCAATAACTTATCTAATAACTAAAATAATTATCGACCATTTTTAGTACATTATCTTCTAATTAAAAAGTTAATGAAATGTATGCATTACCATTCAAGTTTCAAAAGTTGCTATCAAAAAAAAGTTGAGAGGGGGGTAAAAACAAAAACAAAAATGGTAAAAACTTGAGATCACATTGTATAAAAACACTATGTAAAGAAAAAATTGAATTTCTTATTAATCCCAGTGAGATATTGAGTGATTCAGGATAAGTTGATCACCTGGTATACTATGAAAAAGCTATTGATGGAGTACAACATAATGAATTAATAATGACTTTATGTAAATAAGGATTGAAGCCACTCCGAAATGTATACAAAAATTAATGTGTAACCATTATAATAGAGGATAATGATATTCTTATTGCACTCCTTTGTTATAACCACGAGCCGCTACAGATTGAAGGTTATTAAAAGAAATATTTCACATTATACACAATCAAAAGAAAAAACAAATACTTACATACTTTTTTTTTCCAGGATTCTTCAAAAAATAATATAAATAAACATGCAGCCAAATCATTATATGTAAAAGCGATGGAAAAAAACAAACAAACAAAAATAACAATCAGTTAATAATTTCCAAAATAAAAACACCTATCTTAATAAATTCATAACATATCATCTAACTTCACAACTGTACATACTGTTAAGCCTTAAGAGAATGTCACAGTAATAAGAAGTAAAGAATAGGCAGTTTTAAAATGATACAAAACTAACATTTTTATACCGAATACACCTAAGTTGTTAACTTTCATGTATATTGGTATTTAATATTTAGTTTTTACTTAGACAGGCCCTATATTTGTACCAAAACAATCTCAAGAGATGTACATTTCTGGGAAACTGGAGCAGTTTTAACACATATTTACTTTTAAAAATATTATAGAGTAAGAATTTGTCTTCATGTTTACGAAGCATTTTTTAATAATTTATTTTGCAAGATAAAATCTATTAAATAATTTAATAACATGATCCCTAGTAACATAAAAAAAAATCTTATGAAAATATAGTTTTAATCTTCCATTTTGTTTATAAGAAAATGTGCATTAACACTGCTCAGTTTTCTAGAAACAAGCATCTGCTGAACATGCTTTTTATGCGTAAACAAAAAGTTGTTTAACGCCCTCATAGAATGTTTAACTTGACAAAAAAAAAAAATGTTTACTGTAAATTAGTATCACAACTCGCAAGCTTACACTGATATTCACATGCTTAACAACAAAACATGTTTTATAAAATACACTTACTTTGTACTAAGTAATTGCTCAGCTTCATCTGGTGTCATCATATCTGGCTGTCCAGACGATTCAAGATCAATAATGTCTTCTGAACTTCTATTCAAACTTTTATCTCCCAAATCCAAAGAAATTTTGCCCTTAAAATGTTTTTATAAATTTATATTAGTATAATTATTCTTATGATATATTTACTTTTTTAAAGTAAAAGTAATTTGTTAAGTAAAGTAAATATGTTTATAATATAAAATAAATTTACTTCTTCAGCTTCATCATCATCAGTTAATTGAACATTAGTTAGTACATTATTTAAATCTTTATTCAGATCGGGCACACTAACAGCTTCTGAAGATATAAACCCAGAATCTCCTTCACTTTCTAATGGAGTAATTATTACTGGTTGACAGGCAGTATCTCCAATATTAAATTGGACTTTTGGTGTAGATGAATTGGCTTCATTCAAACTTAAGCTAATGTCTTCAATAATTTTCTCAAATTGATTATCATTAAATTCATTAATTGATGAGTTTAAACTATCTGCCTTTTCAGGGTTTATATAAGAATTAGATACATCAAATGAATTTTCTTGTTTATTAATAAGACAATTATCTTTTGGCTCCTAAAACATGAATAGAAAATAAGTTGATGATAAATTAATTAATATAGGTACCTACAATATCATTATATTGTTCTTCAATCTTTGTATTTTCTTGAACAGTACTTAAATAATCATCTGTACTTATTTCAATTGACTTTTCTTCAATTTGTTTACCAATGAAAGGTTCTTTGTATTGTTCTTCATTTGAAATAAGCTCAATTACATCATTGGTATGCATATTTGTTCTCCTATATCAAATATAAATTTAAGAAAGTACTTAATAGCGTAATTACAATATTAATGAATAATAGATACATACATATTTGTATCCATAGTATCTTGAGAAATAGATTTATCAATAACAAATGGAGGATGTGGCGGAGGACTCGAAGGATGAGCAACATTTTTCGGTAATGAAGATGTGGATGATGTTCTAGAAATTCTTTCAGTGTTAACATTTGGAGTCCATCCTCTAACTTCATTTGGACTAGGGTCACTGTTATACCTTGCAATGTGTTTAAAATAAATACAAAATATAATTAAATTCAATATTAATATTTTTTTAATTTACCTGGAATTGGAAGATCTTGGTGATTTAGAAAAATGTGAAGTCCAGTTTTTTTGTTTTTCTATCAATTCACGACTATTAAATTTCTTTTCTGGTTTTTCTGGTTTTGAAGGTTTTTCTGTCACTTTACCACCATTTAACTGTGAATGACTTTGTGCACTAGTAAGAACACCATTAGCTTTTAAATGATTTGATGGTGGACTAGGAGATCTTGAATTTGCACAAATACTGTCTTGAGAATTGCTCTGCTTTATTTTTTCTAGTAATGTTGTCTTAGTTTCCCCTGTAATTAAATGGAAAATAACTTGAACATATTTAAAGAGTAGTATTAACTAACACTATTAACTTTTAATTGTTAGATGAACTATTTATTTTCCTGTGTGTAAAAAATATTATTACTCAAATGATTGCTCATAGACCAGTGTTTCTTAACCTTATTTAAACTGCCACACCTTTTTTTCAATACCCCCCTACGTGAAAATGGGTTTTATTGCATGTAGAGTTCACAGTACCCTACTACTCAAAACTTACTCACTGCTATTACCGCCCAAAACAAGTTAGCTGCCCCACAGCACCTCTCACTGCCTCCGTTAAAAACCACTGTTCTAGACAAATTCATAAACCATAGTTATACAATACAGGTAATATATACCCTGTGTTTCTCTCTCCTTCATTAACAATTATACCTATACGTTTTATTCTGTCAACAGATATGTGAAAAATAGTTTCATTACATGGTAAATTGCAATATACCGTTAAAAAAAGCAACAAATTATTATAACAGACAACTAACCCTAATTCTATACTCTCTAATACTCAAAATATAATTTGAAGCACTTTAATTAGCATTTACAATTCTTTAATCAATTTAAATATTTCTACCATCTAGGGTATATACAAGGATTTTATTCGAAAATAACATCATTATTTTTAATGGCTTTAATTTAGTATGTTTTTCGTATATAAGAAAAATATAATTATTTAATATAATTTTGTTTTTCATAATCAACAAACATATATACATATATATATATATATATATATATATATATATATATATATATATATATAAATATATATGTATATTGCATATCAATCAAGTACACAATAAATAATAATTTTATTTTTTTTAGCAATGCAAAATTATTTGTAATACTATAAAGTATTAAGATTTTTTCTTACCAGTTCCTAATTTTTCAAATAATGCTCTAGCGTTATTAAATCTTGCTAAATGACTCTCAGTTCTCACAACGGTCACTTGGTTAGGCGTTTCAACTTTGGCTGGAAGTTTTTTCTCAAGGGTTGGCGAAACATTTTGCTTAACAGCCATTATATCAGTGTCTTTGGTCACTGCAGGCCGCTGAAAGATATTGGCGATCTGTGAAACTTTAGGGCCAACCATTCTGATTGACTTTTTATCTTCTGCTACAGTCGACATCTAAAATTTAAAACAGTAGTATAATGCAATACATGTAAGGTAATGTAAGCATAAGCAGTGTTATTTCATTGAACTCAGTATAAACAATGACATCATCAACAAAACCCAATAGTCTTGCAATTAAATCAAAACAAAATGTTACCCCCATTAGTGTTCTGAACCATTTTGAGGACAAATCAAGTGGGAAGTAAGAACCGAAATTCGCACAACAGACAATTATAATTAGTAAGTACTCACAGTTTAAAAATCGTTGTTTTTCGTACCATCATCATTTTGACACCACTTTGATATATTATGTACGGGTAGTACTCCGTGGCGCATATCTGCAAAAGTACGAAGAAACGTGATGCGTAGCAACAAGCGATTAATTTCACCTATTTGGAAATCATTTTTCCGCGAACCCGCAGTTCACACCAGAAGTAGTTGTCGTTGAACTCCACGACCCGCAGACACTCCAACAAAACATTGCAAATTGCAAGCGGCCGATAACAACAAAACTGGAGTCTGGATGTGTCTGTATTTACTATTTTGTAGCTCAAGAGTCACATAGGTTTTATTGCCTATTGGGAAACTATCGCGTAACTACGGCTGGTATCAGCGATGTTTCTCAATCTAGGGGACTGGAGCCATCGATTCTCATTTCTCATTGGCCACTTGTCAATATTTTCTTGAATAGCTTTAGTTTACATTGAACTATTGAAGTGTTAGTAGAACACAGATCATATAAAATTGTAGTAGTTTTAGTATAGAAATACTTTTCAAACACATGATGATCTTTTAATTTTAATAAATAACGATCATTCATTAATTATTATGATCAGGAGCACGAAAAATGAGCGGTGCGGCGAATGTTATGCATCGCTCATTTTTTGTGCTCATGACTGTAACGCTTACTAAATATATTAATTTTAATTTGTAGATAGTAATATTATAAATTATAATACAATTTCATAAAATATAATTGACTGTATGTGTGTGTTATTATCATAGAGTAATAAATTACTCGATGGTTATTGTTAATGCAACTATCATAAAAGTTGATCCAAAAAAGAGAATTATCCTAAAGTAATTCCAATTTCCACGTGCTTTTAAAATGTATTTTAAATATATTACGAGCTACTCTTTCGTAATATTTTATAATTTATACTAGAATAAGTAATAGATAGTGTTAACACCCTGAAAATACCACAAATCGGTGTTTTTACAACTTGTGATTTAAGTTATTAATACTATAGATGACATTTCCTAGGCCAATTCAGAATTCGAATAAAAAATCCAAAAATATAAATAGATCTCCGTTTTCTTTTTGTCAACTTGTTCCAAAATAATGTACCTAGTGTAATTTGTTAAATAAACTGTTATATTTTATGCATTAATATTTCCATACCTATTAATGTAATTATTATTCCTCCCCCCCCCTCTTTTAAGCTATTATATATGGAAGTATGTAAGTAGATTATAGTACACGGATAGTAGAATACATTATTTAGTTGCGTTAAAACTATAATCGTTTCCAGTTTTAACAGCATCTGCTTTTTAATGACTATTTCATCATTAACACTATTGACTATAAATGTAGGGAATTGTTCACTAGTCATTAAGATGGTCATGCAAGACAATTACGAATTAATGAGACCATATAATAACGGACCACGTAATATATATATATTCTGCCCTGCTAAGCAAAAATGCCATAACTCAGAAAAAAAAATGGAAAAAAACCATTTTACTTTGTTTAATCGTTTTTTTACAAGTTTTTTTGCCCGAGTTACGGCATTTTTGCTTAGGAGGGCAGTATATATAATGTGGATCATAATATGGTTTAATAGAATATGGCTACTATATACGTCTATAATATACGGTACCTATACCTGTTGTACCTAACCTAAGCTATTGTGGCTCTTTCGACTTTTATAGTTAGTTTTAATTTTTAAACTATGACTTGAGTTAAAGGCAATGGATAATGTGATGTTCTCTTTCTTACCTAGATCATTCAGTCTGTCGTGAGCGCTGAAGATGACAACATTGTTACCGAAATACAACGTATTCGCGGAGAGTATATAATTTTTATGCTTAAGGGTTTTTATTATTATTTTATTAGATTTTATAGGCTATTGAATCTATTGTATTGTCCGATAATAATTTATATATTAACAATATAAAATAATTTACCATATTATATTATTGAGATAAATTCAAATTTTATACCATTTCATATGAATCGTGAATGTAATAAAATTGTAAAACATAATTTTCTGTACTAGAAATTGGCCCTACTGTAAATAATTACTCCCGACCTTATACTACTATATAGACAGAATATTCATGTAGTTCCAGCGAGCCAACGCACTGCGCTGACGGCGGTACCTGATGACGTCATGAGGCGATCTCCTCATGCACATTTGAGTTCCCAGTTTAAGAGTATGGTGCACGCACGTGTGGTTTATCGTCCTTTAGTAATACGCATGACGATAATCATTTTCTCTTAATATCGGGCTATCAAAAACAAGGGTCGCTTTGTAATGCAGTATTTAATTGTAACATTGGAAGAAAATTCTTCTAATGTTACAATTAAATACTTCTGGAAGTACTTTTTTAGTGAAGTCATATTATAAATGTATTGTATGTTATTGCATTAACTAATATAGTAATCCGTTATAAACAATAAATACAACAAAATAATGTTGTACAATTCCTTAAACAATAATTTATTCCTCTCGCAGTGGTGTCACTGCTACGACAATAGTCGTGCTCGCACCACCCGCCTGCATCCTACCCAGATGCTCCGTCTAGGTTTGTTTATATATCTGTGGGTATATGCTCCCCGAGACGTTACTCTGGGGAGCACGACACGGAGCCACTCGACAAACAGCCACCGAAAATCGACACGGAGCCACTCGACAAACAGCCACCCGAAGAGATACCAACATGTACAATATTTATGTAAAATGTACGATTATTATTTGTGTATGTTGTGCGGCCGACACCACATATTATAACAGAGTAATAGCAAAAAATGTAATTTCCAAATTGTATATAAAAACAGTAACTTTGTAGAAAATATTATATTTTTATTAAAACCCCTATTGTATAGTAAACATTGCTACTATGTTCATTATTTTGTTACTAATATTTCAATTTACTCAACAGGATTTATTGTTAACTCATGCTATTATTAATAATTATTGTTTCTAAATACTTTTAGTCTATTATTATAAATAATTATACATTTTTATATTATTGATACTTATTTATTAATATAATACATAGGTAAAAAAATTATGTATATTGCAACGATATTAATTGAATAATATTTTAACTTGCTTTCATGTATTACAATTAAATTACAAATATATTTTAAATATAAAACAAATGAAGTTATTGAACATTGTTTAATTTGTGTGCATTTTCATGAGTATCGGAATGAACTATCCATGTATATATTATATATACAACTAAAAAGTATTTGATAAAGGTTTTTACTTTTTATTGACTTAGAACTAATTATTAAAAACTCAGAAGCAGAGGGTTAGAATTAGATAAATACCGATATAAAAATCCAAAAAAGTACATTTTTAGCTAATTGGCAAATGTGTATATTTTCCACCCATTTGGCTTATGCTATAGGCCATCTATATAAATTGGATTTTTTTATCTGATTTATTATTTCTATTTTTATTATCTATATATATATATATATATATATATAAATGAATGTATGTGTGTGTGTCCCTCACAATTTTCATCAGAGTTTGTAGAAAAACAGCATTATATATTTATTTTGTGTTAATATATGTAGAATCATAAAATATAAATGAATAACCAAATTATAAAAAATGATTAACATGTATTGCTTTATAATAGCCCGTAATACTTTATAATATTAGCGGGCGCGATAAAACATTAATATTTACTACTAAGTCATCCTCAAGTCTCAACAATGTGCATCGGGCGAGCCAAAAATTGTTCATTGTTCGCTATAGCAAAATCCCAAACTAGTCAAATATTAGCGTGATGAAATTATGATGCAAATTATTTATTATTGTGTTATTGCCTATTGGAAGTTGTAAAGTATTTAAGTAAATGTGTTTAATTTTATTGTCGGGTATCGAATAGTTTCGTATGAGGTATTCACGATGTATTGTTTTAAATAGATAGGTATAATACATCGGTATTAAATAATTTAAAAAAAAAGTATAATTTCATTGAAATTTAATCAATGAACATTCTGCTTTACTTATTATAAAACGTGCAAGTATGTTTTGAAAAACATTTTTTTTTACAAACTCAAGAGACAATTTATTGTTGGTAAATTATCATTATAATATAATATTGTAAATATTGTTTCATATACTTTCAGTTTTTTTTTTATATAAATTTCAATAATAGAAACTGATTTGATTATAACTTAAATAAAAAAACTCAAAACAGGAGACAGGTCACACAGTGAATTAAAAATAGTTCAAGCCTTATTGCATTAATTGTGAAATGTACAAGTTTTCCCCTTTAAATAAACAATACTAGCCGCACAACATACACGAATAATAATCGTGCATTTTTTATAAATATTGTATATGTTGGTACCCCTTCGAGTGGCTGCTTGTCGATTTTCGGTGGTTGTTTGTCGAGTGGCTCTTTGAGGTGTAACCTTACTCTGTGGGGTAGATCACAATTCAAGTACCAACCTAAAACCCAGACGAATAATGTATTATCAGTATAAATAAATAATACACGTCGTGATAATAATACCACACATTAGTGATTACAGATTAGATTAATTCTGTGATATTACTGAATGTATATATTACTTATTAGTATACCTAAGTCCTATACTCATTCATAAATTACATTTGAATTTCTCATTTTTTTTTGTTTCTAGAACTGGCCGACCTCTGTTGATGGTGTGTAGCTAAGGTAAATACAGAGCAAAATGATATTTTTAAAACAAATTGGGAAATTAAATTTTAATTTTAAAAACATATTTTCAAATGATAAACTTCAACTTTTTTCAACAAATCAAGTGCTTAGATTGGATTTGTCATGGAGAAGATCGTAAGTAACGATTCACTACTTAAGTAAAATCAGTTAATTCATAATAGAAATAAATATAATAAAATAATAATAAAAACCCTTAAGCATAAAAATTATATACTCTGCGAATATGTCGTATTTTGGCAACTATGTTGTCATCTTCAGCTCTCAAGACAGTCTGTCAGTTAAACTCTTATTTTTTATTAGTTTCTTGCAAAAGTAAATAAAGTATCTCTAACTTTTGAAGAAATTAAGTTTAAGTGTATGGAGTTATTAATTATAAATATAAATTTGACAGTACATTATATTTAGGGAAAATAGCATTTCGTAAAGTTAATTTATGTCATTATTTATGTATGATATATTATTATTTATTTGTTTTATATTTAAATGTCCATGTCATCACAGAAAAAAACTGCCACTAAACCCGATGGATAGAGGTATTTTAACTGATGGTGCAGATTATGTATTTCTGGATGGTCGACCTACACCATTTGGTATGAGAAGGAAACGCAAACTTCTACAACAAAGAGAATATGCTGTAAGTTATTTTGTTATAAATAAAACATATCAGTAGGTACCTAACCTAACCTATATAGTGGTGGCGTAGGCTAAAGACTAAAGTACCCAGGGGCAAGACATTTTTTGCACCCTATATTACATGTTAACGTGTATAGTAAAACTTACAAAATCGCCCTAAATTAAAATGCTCTTTGGGCAGCTGCCCCTCTGCATCCACGGTAGTTCGCCCCTGTACCTATATTTATAATATATTTGTTCAACCTTCTAGGTTGATTAACAACAATTTTTGGTAAACAATGATATTTGTGTCATGGGGACAATTCAGGTTTGGTGGTTTCTGGTTGCCTTCTATACCTGGGAGAATCGCTATTTATATCTTCAGACAGTTGCCCACCCAGGTGGTTTGTTTATAAAAGAGCAACCCCATTAATCCATTTGACAACATCGCCACATCTATATTTTAATTTTATTATTAAACTTATTACAAATAAAAATGAATTAAAAAAAGTTAAGTTTTTAAGTAAATATTCATTTTAGCTAGTACACCAATTATTTATTAAATTAATTCCTTTAAGGTGTCATTCTTTTGTTGAAAAATGTATTATAGTATTTAGGCTTAGCATCCTTTTTATGTATTATAAAATTAGTAATATACGTATATTTTAATAACACATTAAACATATGTATTATATTCTTCTAGAAAAAAATTGTTGAACTGTCAGAAAGTTTGGATCTAGCCAAGGAACGTTACGCCAACAAAATAAAGGAAAAAGAGGAAAACGTTAAGAGTATTTTAGATAAAAAACTTCAAACTAAAGGAGCTAAATTAATTGTTAAACAATAGTTGTTATTTATGTATATACATTCAATTATGAATATTATGTACTTGATTAGGAAAAAAATAGAAAAAAATATATACTGAAAATTATATTTTTATTTATTTCCATTTCCAAATTAGATAACTTACAATTCTTCGATTCAGTCAAAATGCATGCCGGAATATACAATTATCCACATTACCTGTAAAAATAAAATAATAATAGATTTAGACTTAAGTACGAGTTTGTACTTTTTACTATATTTTTGGTATTTTTGTATTATACACCAGTCATTTTTTTAAATTAAAATGTTAATAGTAATTAGATTGTGGACTTATTAATTTGTTTAACAAAAAGTTTGAAATATATAAATAAAATTGTTACAACTACACTCCGTTCCAAAAGAGAACATACCGATTTTGCACATCACGGCTGGCGGCTGCTGAGAGGCACATTTCTCCCACTCTTATCGAAATGTGGCGCTGATAGTACCTGAAGGTCTGTCCGATTCACAAACCTAGCCAAAGCACGTTGGGGGGGGGGAGGTGCTAGGCGGGAGATGTGTGCCGCCGAACGTAAACTGGTTGACGCCTATGGTATGTTCCATTTGGAACACATAGTATTCTCACTCACATTTGATGACCGAAATATATACAGGGTGGCCCACAATGATTTGACAAATGAAATAACTTTTGTTCTTGTGAATATTTTTGAGATTTTTTATTTTATTACATTTTTAAATTTTTGTCATTTTATTCAAAATAATTTTTAAAAAAGAATTGGTGAAAAAATTTTGTTTTATTCATCCGTTCATGAGTTATATTTATTTGAAATTAAGGATGACGGGTGATGGGAGGTGGAGTGCGGTAGATAACGCACGCAGATAAAAATAACTATGCGGTTTACTCTAATGCACTCTACCTCTCGTAACCAGTAATCCTTAATTTCAAATGAATATAACTTTTGAACGGATGAATAAAAATACAAATTTTTTTCACCAATTCTTTGTTAAAAATTATTTTGATTAAAATGGCTATCTTGAAAAAAAAAATAATTAAAAAAAGTAAAACAGGTAAGTGCAATAAAAAAACGTGGTGCTTATAGCGCAAATGAGTATAAATTATATAAAATGTAAAAAAAAAAAAAATGTCAAAAATATTCACTAGAACAAGTTATTTCATTTGTCAAATCATTGTGGGCCATCCTGTGTATATACTTCAGTAATCTTGAAATGATTAAACTAGGGCTCTTAATATTTACCGGGTAATATACAAAACCATATACCTGCATACATGATTTTTGTGATTGTTTGGTTCTGGTACCCAATTTCCTAATTTGGTTTCGATTACCAATTTTTTTTTTTCAAAATGGGTACCTTTTCTTAAGTTGTATTAGGAACCCAAAATGTTTGAACCCAGGTATCAAGAGCTTTAGTTTCAAAAACATATTTCTAATGTGGTAATTTAAAAAAAATATCTTACTAAAAATCCAGCTAACGAAGTAACAAATCCCTCTTTGGTCAATTCCCAAGCCCCACCAAATTCTTCTTCATCAATTTTTTGGAAATTTGTAAAATATGCATATAATACAGTAGCATTAAGCATAATGAATCTAGTAACACACACATTTTATTTATACATTTAAAATATAATATTTAAATTTAATTCACACTTACAATCCCAATCCAAATAATCCTTTTAGTGGTAATAAGCCCCATAGTATACCAGCAACAATACCCATGATTTGTCTTGTCCAATAAATAACGTCGAGAAATTCATCCTGAAATAATTAATTATATTATTATTATTATTATTAAATATAAACTTATACATTTTAAGTAGAAAGTAAGAAATTAAAAAAAAAAAGTACTTTATCAGGCCATTCTGAATTTTTAGTCGTAGCTTTTTTTAATGTATACCAAATGGACTTCTGGGTTGGTGCTTTTTTTTCTACTGGTCTGGACATTTTAAAGTAGCATTTATAAATATTTTATATTTAATTTTAATTTTTTATTGAATGGAAGTTGGTAGGTAAACTTTCTAACCAAATGACATTAATATTTTGCTCAAATAAAATAAATGTTAACGTTAATATCTACCATCTAATATCTACAAGAATCTCGAAGACGGGACGATTTACGGTTATGATTTCTGATAAGATATTAGATACCCCGATCATGGTCACACATAGATATATATAATGAACTAGATTGCTAACTGTACATACCACCAAAAGAGAAGATTGAAGCAGCCACTTTCCGCCATCTTGGTGGGAATTAGAACCTTATCACGCGAGAATTATATATGATTATAACAATCACACATATATATAATATTGATATAATAATATATGCAGGTATATATTATATGCATTGATAACACACATAAATCCCACCAGAATGGCGGACCGTCGGCTTCAATTCTTATCGCTAATTAGCAATCTAGTTTATTATATATATCTGTGGTATACAAATATACAATGTGTTTTTATTATATAATATAATAAGGTGTTATGCGGCTAATATAGTAAGATTAAATATCGTATAATATAATTTATAAAGCGGATAACTATTTACTTAATATACTTCATAAGTCATAACCTTTGCACTAGGCGTTTATAACGTAATACCACGAAATAAATTAATAGATTTATGAGAATAATTAGATATATTAAAAAACATTTCTATATTTTTTTAAAAACACTCGGAATTCACTCGTGTGACCGGTCTTCTGTGTTAAATTTTATTCTCTCGAATGTCAAATCTTATAATTGAGGTATACTAATAATAATAAAATAAATAAACACTGAAAAATTGTAGATCTCCTATCCAAATAAGGCATAATAGTTTATTTAAAACAATATATTTTTTTTAACTCATCAATTTGGCTGTACTAAGTTAATAAATGTGTTTACTTAAGAGCGAATATTAAATCTCTGAAACATACAACAGTGATAACTGATAAGTCTGAATAATAATTAGTAAACAAAAATATTTTATCTAAGTTTTTCAATTTTTATTTTCATCACTAAAGCGTGCTGTAAATTGTAATATCTTTTGATTTATATTATTGCAAAATATTTGCATTTTTTAATTATATGCTTTATCTGATCCATCAGTTAAAGTATAGGATATGACCATTAATTTTTGTTGTCATATGTACACTATAATGAATAAAATTATATAGGTATCATACTTGGGGTTAGGTTAAATCCTTAAGGTTCGTTTAGTGGATTAAATAAATAACAGTACTTTTAAATAAAGATACATACAGTTTAAGAATATGATTGATATGTAAAATCTACTAAATTTTTACTTTTATTTTTAAAACACCAATAAAAAAAACAAAAACAAAATCGATTTAAAAACCATTATTCATTAAATTATAATATAAAAAGTAGGTACATTTTAAAAACAAACATAATGTGGTGTTACTAATATTATAGTGTATGCATAATTATAACATTGAAGAACCTTATTTTTGTGATCGATATAAAATTGATTTAAATTTTAAGAAAGTAACAACGGTTATGCTCAAAAAGGTAAAGTATATAAAAAAATTGTAAATGATTCACAATACATTTTGAAAATTATCATAGACCTGTTACTTGTGTTAAATATATCATATAATATTATATCATAAATATGAAAAATAAAGTTATTTATGTAGTTTTAACCCCATTTATACTCATTTCGTAAGAAATACATCAACTCTGTATTATTATTATTATTGAGTAATAATATAAAAAAGTAAGTTTCTAAAAGTCAATAGCGTAAGTACATAATTTCTTAACTCAACAACACATTCTAGACAAACATAGTAGTAGGTAAATATAATACAAAAATAATTATTGGTTGAACTTTTTTCATGTTAATCAGATCGAAGTTAATTGAGTAAATGAAAATACAGGCATCAAACAGTTTTCAATTCCTCATTGGAATAAATACCTAGAAGCTATGTAACGACACTTGACATTAGTGCCTCCTACACATATATACACTTATTGGTATAAATATAAAAAACACCATAAGTTGAAAATGAATCCATTATTTCTATTAATAATATATTTTAAATGGAATTTATAAATCATACAACTATAAAATATAAAATAATATTTATAATTTATACAGGGTTATGCAAATTTTATGTTACAAAAATTTTATCTATGAAAAATAGTTTTAGAAGATTTTCAAACAAAATCATTATTATATAAAATGATCAAAATTGATAATTGATTTGCCAATTTATTACGGAATGATAAAATGAAAATACCAATTGTCGATAACCAGCTTTCATTAAATACTTTTTAGTTTAAGTTATTAGGGTTTAAAGATGTGGGCTGGAAGTGATGTAGACAATAATGTTATCTATATCCACACTCACCCGCACTTCTTTCTTCACCTAACACATTAAATGCTGATACTTTAAAAAGTATTTTTTTAAATTAGTTATCGACCAATCATTATACTTAATGCATCAATCTGCTCTTAATAAGGAAACCAAATATGTAGGTTGCTATATGACTTTTCAAGTTATTCTTTAAAACTACCCCTTGTACAAATAGTTTTTATTCAATTATTATATATTATTTTTGATCATTTTATAATAACATTTTTTTGATAATACAATTATTTCATAGCAAATTTACTATAACGTGAAATATGAATAACTCAGTTTACATTATTTAATGGCTACATTATGTACATTATATATGTATAATATATAACAGGTACTCTTGTTACACTTAATTAAGTGTTTAGTTCAGCTTACTTTTGGCTTCTTATTATTATGTATGGCTAATAAATCTTAAAAAATCAATTAGATTCCTACAAGTTAAAAAATAAAAATACCTTCAATTTTTTTAAATAATCAAGTTAAACATAGGATCTTATAAAAAAAGCTAAGAAATTAAGCACATAAAAAATGAAATAATATATCACAGATTCAAAGATACTTCAATGATATATTTTTTAGGTCATTAACTAAAAAACTATTTGATAACAGATCATAAAATCCACGGTATACTAGTGTTAAATAAAATCTATCAAAAATGGTAAAAAATATATTTGATTTTAACAATAGGCATACATTAGTGTTACTTTCCTATAAATTAAACGTGTATATAAAATTTTAAGTAGTTCTGGAGTTTTTTTTTTTTGATAGTTAAATTTTGTAATATAAATAAAGTATTGTTGAAGGATCAAACAATTAACATAGTTATAGATGGTACACAGAGATAGGTAGACTAGATACAATTTTGTTTATTTTATAATGGGTCTTATATACTTAAAAAGAATTTAAATAACTTAGTTTGACAATTTTTAGTATTTAATGATAAATTATATAATATTAAATATATATTCAAACTATTCGAATATTTGCATTTTTTAAAATTAAATATATATGTGCGTTATATATAAGGTTTTCTTTAAAATAGTTATATTATATTGATTGTTATAAATACATCAGCAGCTTAACTTGTAAAGGACGTACCTCCAAATTGGTAAATTGCTTAGGACAAGTAAAAAACAATCACTGTTACTATAGCAAAACCATTTAAGAAAATAAATACTCTTTATCGATTTTTAGAAGGATACAATTATGAAATCAGAGAATTTTTATTTCGTTAAACAATGTGCTTTTTTCTCCATTAAAAAAAAAAAATACTCACAAAATTGAAAATTGTAGATACACCCTTAATGAATTAGGCCGAGGACATACAGCTATTATACTTATACATTATACAAGGCGATTTTGTGTGTTATTAAACATCAATTTAATAATGTTGAAATTTAAAATTGATTGTTATTCTTTGAAAACTTTGAAATAATGTGTATGTATAAAATACAATTTTTATTTTTATACAATTTCTTTAAACATATAATTTATATTACCTATATATAGTATTGAAGATATTAAATTGTATAGTTCATGTCTAAGATATAATTGATTATTAAAAACTATAAACTTTATTGTTTGTTAAAATATTATGACAATTTTGTATTTTTCATAAACTCAAAAAAAAAAAATCATCTTGAATACTGTATAACTACATAATTATGATTATTTATCTTACTTACTACTTTGGTTCGATATTTGTTCTTAAATGTAATTATAGTTTACTTTTTTACAATACTAACAAATTGTCATTTAGAGTGCTAATAGAAAATTTGGCATGAGCAGTTACTAATTTTAAATACATTTTTATTTTAAAAATGAACAACAAATCATAACTATTTTAAAAAAGAAAAATACAAGAAAAAATGAGATCTAGAAAAAGTATAACTAATGCGTATTAAACAGAAGCTAAACAAACAAATTTGTTAGTTTATTAAATAAATTAAAGAAACATGATTATACAAACTGAAAATAATTGAAGCACTTAGGTGTTTCATGTATAACAATATTCGAAAAGGACCAATTCCTTACTGATGTTTTAATTATAGTTAATTCATCCACCTAAATTAACTGCAGCCTATTATGGCATATATTTTTATGTGCATGATTAAGAGTTAATCGCTTACTTCCCTGTATGGTATTTCTGAGGTAATAGTGAAGTCTTCAAAATAATGATTAAGGAACTCAAATGTAGGTCGTTTATCAGGATCAGAGTCCCAACATAGCAACATCAGTCTATATATGTCATCAGGTATAAAATGTGATACTGGTTTTGGCATGCGATAACCATGTTCTATTTGTTCGATCACTTCTCGACCATGCATACCTTAGATATAATTTTGTAACATTATTTTAAATAGTTTTTAAATTAAATTATTAGCAAGACAATATTATTTATCAACAAAATATGCAATGGTATATTTGTGTAAGTCGGACTGGCACTAAAATACCTAATCTGCAAATTGGTTTAAAGGGCTTATATAACAAAACAAAGTTACTTTACTAATAATTTTTTTATTTAACCATTATACTGCTGTAGACATCTATATGCGCCAAATCATACTCCGGCCACTTTAAGAAGATACCTCATCACGCTGGTGGCAACTAGTTTCCATTCTGCAACATTGTAATAACTTCGCACCAACTACCATGCATATAGATACAACCTGCGCGACAGTGAACGAATCTTGGTCCACTGCCCGGGTATCTTTTTAAAGTGACTAGAGTATATTAATAATGAGTTTAGAAAAATTTAAGTGGACTTATTAATACCATTAATTAAATATACCAGAGATAGATTTTTACAGAACCTTTGCATAGGTTGGTTTTTTTTTTTTTATTGGGATTTTGTGCACATAAAATTTATCTCTCCCCTCAGGGGGGTACTAAGCAATTAGTACTACGGGTTTGGCATTGGTTGGTGTGGACTGGTCCTCCAGGTTGGGGGTTGTGCGTAGGGCTGACAACCCTGCCACATAAAAAATGTAAATGTTAAGAAACAACAGCATTTTAAGCCTCGGATGAAAGAGATAACGGATTTACAAATCGGAACCTGGAACGTGCGATCGTTGTTTAGTAAGATGGACAAGTCCAGGGAGCTTGAAGTCTTTATTTTACAGCGGTGGGGACAAACATGAACGAGGTGTAGGGTTTGTAGTAAAATAAAATTTACTACCACAAATTACAAATTTCAAACCTATAAATGATTGTCTATGTTACATAGAACTTAAATGTAAGTGGCACAATATGATTCTAATTAACTGTTATGCACCCACTGAAGACAAAAATGAGGAAATAAAAAATGAGTTCTATGACAGTTTAGACAAGCTATACGATTCTCTACCAGCTGATAAACCGAAAATAGTAATCGGAGATTTCAATGCAAAAATTGGAAAAGAAACGATGTATAAACCAACAATTGGATTTGAAAGCTTACATGAAGAATCTATTGATAATGGAAATAAGTTGATCTCATTTGCAGCTTCTAGGAATATGACTATAACTACCACGTTTTCCTCATAAGAATATTCATAAACAAACATGGATTTCACCATGCGGATATGTAAAAAACCAAATAGACCACATAATAGTTGATTCACGAATTAAGTCTTGTGTAAGGGATGTAAGAAGCATGAGAGGGAGTAGCGCTATGTCGGATCATTTCCTCGTAAGAGCAAAAATGACTATCAGAATATCAACAAAATGGCGAAAGAAACAGAAATACAAAGAGAAAATAAATAGAGATGCACTGAAAACACCAACAGCTAAAGCATATCAAGAAAAGTTAATGTTGAAATTACAGAATATACAAGAAAGACCAAATATAAGTGAAACATGGAAAGAAGTAGAAAAATCAGTAAAAACCATAGCTAAAGAAGTACTTGGGTACATACCAGGAAAAACAAGCAAAATGTGGTTCAATGAAGAATGTAAAAGAGCCTTACATGAAAAAGATAAAGCTCGCATGAAAGTGCTACATGAACCCAATGAAGATAACAAAAGATTGTTAGCACTTAAACAAAGAGAGGTAAAAAAGGTGATTAGATTGAATAAGAGACTGTGGGAAAAAGAACGCATACAAACTATAGAAAATAATAGAAATAGCCACTCGAAAATATTTTTTGGAAAAGCAAATGAAGTAAGATATGGTTACAAATCCAGACCAACGGTTATGAGAAAAAGTGATGGAACCCTTCTAACAGGCAACAAGAAATCGCATGCGAATTCAAAGATATGTTTGCAAAGCTTTTAAACCAGCCAAGAATTAATATTACTGTAAACGAGGTAACGACAGTGGAACAGCTACTCGAAAAACCATCCAAAAGTGAAGTAGAAACGGGATTAAATATGCTTAAGAATAGTAAAGCACCAGGTGAAGATGAAATAGCATCGGAATGTCTAAAGAAGGGTGGTCCATGCTTACTGAACCAGCTTCATAAATTAATAAACATAATCTAAGAACAAGAGGAAATACCCGAATCGTGGCGAGTATCTGTCCTATGTCCAGTTTTTAAAAAGGGAGATACCATGGAGTGTAGAAATTATAGAGGAATCTCCCTATTCAACACAACTTATAAGATTCTGTCTAATATACTTCTGATCAGAATCAATCCATATAGTAAAGAAATAATAGGAGAATATCAAGCTGGATTCATGATAGGGAGATCAACAGTTGATCAAATTCATATAGTTAAACAATTAGCTGAGAAAAGTCACGAGTTCAATAAAGATGTACACCTTATGTTCATAGATTACAAAGCAGCATACGATTCGATTAACAGAGAAAAACTATGGAATGTCATGAGCCATATGGGAATACCAGCAAAATTAGTCAGAATGATAAAAGCATGTACATATGAATCCAAAAGTAAAGTAAGTTTTGGAGGAGAGGTATCAGATGAGTTCCCAGTAACGACAGGACTCAGACAGGGAGACGCGCTATCCCCAGCTCTGTTTAATATCGCATTAGAATCAGTTATGCGAAAGGTACTAATCCAAGCTAAAGGAATAAAAATGGACAACAATCATGAACTAACCGTAGTAGCTTTCGCTGACGATATAGTCCTTATAGCCGAAATAGAAAATGAACTGAGAAATACAACTAGCATCCTACTAAGTGAAGGTAAAGAAATTGGTCTGAAGATAAATGAGTCAAAAACAAAGTATATGATACTTTCGAGACGAAATCACAATACTAATTATTTAAAAGTTGATGATTACAAATTTGAAAGGGTACAGAGCTTCAAGTACCTAGGGGCAGAGATCAATGAAAATGCTAATAGCCACGAAGAAGTTAAAAAACGACTTATGGCAGCAAATAGATGCTACTATAGTCTAATGCCACTATTCAAATCACGATTACTACCAATTAAGTCTAAAATAACGTTATACAAAGTCATAATTAAACCAATTGCTGTATATGCATGTGGTTCATGGGCCACGACAAAATCGGACGAAGGAAAGTTAGGAGTGTTTGAAAGAAAGATTTTAAGGAAAATCTTCGGTCCAAAGAGAAATAACGATGGAGAGTATGAAATGAGAAACAACGAAGAATTGGATAATCTCTATAAGGAACCTACCATTATTGGGTCCCTGAAGAGCACGAGGATAAGTTGGGCGGGGCACGTATGGAGATCAGAGGGAATGATTGGATCAATAACTAAATGGAAACCCGACACTAAGAGACCTAAAGGACGCCCTTGACAGATGGACGGATAGAGTACAAGAAGACTTAAAACTTCTGAACATAAGGAACGCAGAAGAATGTGCAAACGATAGAGAGGGTTGGAGACAATATGTTGTTGCGGCGATGGGCCTTAAAGGCCTGTAAAAGCCCAGAAGAAGAAGAAGAAAATTTATCTCTACAGTTATTGAAGGTTATTAGATATAAATTAATAGATACATACCTGGATAAGGAACTTGTCCATATGTAAACAATTCCATTAGCAATATTCCAAAAGACCATACATCTGATTTAATAGAAAATCGGCCATAGACAATAGCCTCTGGAGCTGTCCATTTTACTGGAAATCTGGTGCCTTGTCTTGGGCAATATTCATCATCTTCAATAATTCTGGCCAATCCAAAATCACAAATTTTGGCTACATTGTTTTCACCAATTAGAACATTTCTTGCAGCCAAATCCCTAGTATTTATAAAAGTGAAAATGTATTTAAACTTACATAAACAATGATCAATGAGATTATTAATTATAAGTTGTTAAATATTAAAATTAAACAAGGTGATCCATTTAACTATAAGTAGTGTATTTATGTTTTTTTTTTATGCTTTCCTTGTGTTTATAATACAAAGTCAATGAAAATAATCAGAACGCAAATTGGCGTCCATGCGCGTTGTTCAAAGAATTATAAAACAATGCTAATGACACCTTTGGCGTGATGAAAGTTCTAAAGCTCAAAGTAAAAAAAGAATAACTTAATTGTATTATGGAATACCAAAACCTTTTTTTTTGGTACAAAAACCACAAAAATACGTATGCAGTCAACGTGTTAAATATTTTTTAATACTGTAAAATAACTAACTAAAATGTTACCAAAATGGAAAATAAGTGTCTTGCATTAAATGCTTAAAATCACCGTACATATATTGTTTTACCTATGTATCAATTGCTTCACTTCCAAATATGCCATTCCACTTGCTACCTGAGAAGCAATATATATAAGATCAGCAAATTGTAAATATTTGCTTTCACTGTTCCTTAGAAAGTCTAATAAGCTTCCATTGCACATAAATTCTTGAATTATTAGAACAGGCTCGTCTTTTGAACAAACGGCATATAAAGCAACAAGTCGATCATGACGAAACTTTTTCATTATAGAAGCTTCTTGCAGAAATGCTTGAGTTGACATGGACCCTTGTTTGAGCGTTTTTACAGCTACTTCAATATTATTTCGCCATTTACCATACCAAACTTCACCAAAATTGCCATGTCCAAGTTTTCTAATCAAATGTATTTCACTACGGTCAATTTCCCATTGGTCTCGTAAATTTGGTGCCAAATCCCAAATTTGTGGTTGAGGCTTGAAACAAGGATGAGCCAACACATGACACAACCCCAATGCATTTTCTAAAAATAATAATTATATTTTTACCAACAGTTAATAAAAATAACATAATTATTAAAATGTAAATCATTTTACTAACTAGAGTAAGCAATTATCAGCTCAGGAAGGTTTGAAAACGTTTGGTTCGTAGCTATGAAGAAACCGCCATTATCCAACGATTTAATTTTGTAGTGCTTCACGTGATAACCACGACCACCTTCCCAGTCTTTAACACTCAATGAGAAACCATTTGGATTATGTTCAGAATCACGTACCAAAAATGTACCTCTTTGATTTTCCTCCGATAACAGAAGTTTTTCTGCCTCTTTGCGAGATATTTTTCCAAAAAACCAGCTGTATATTACCATCAATAACATATAAGTTTTATTTAATTAAGAGGATTATTAAGACTCCAATATTATTTGTACTCACTCTTCACTTTCAACTGATTTTTCTTCCGCAACAAAATTCCATGGTATTAGTCCCTCTTCTCCTGTTCTTAAATGCCGTACTCGCCACCAGTCGGGTTCACTATCATCCAATAATTCCATTCGATCTCCTTTAACAAAGGAAACATCAGACATTTCCCGCGATTGATAATTGTAAACAGCGACCACGATTCGACCGTGTAAGGAAGAATGCACTAAAAGATTATATATAATATTATAATGTAGACTTAGTTAATACAAGACATAAAATATCTGTTCGTACATGCAGATGTTGGAGTTCGTATAATATCAACTCCATGTCTTTTGATGCTTGCTGTTCCATGCGGTCGATTTAAATCTGCCACATACCTTACCTCACTCGAACCTTTGTTTAAGACATCAATTGTGTCTTGAATTTTATATCCATGGTGGAATACTATACACAATACGCAGGACAAATAAATCAAGATTATAAAGATAAACAACCTACTTAAAAATGTATTGTTAATTTAATTACCTAAGTGATGAGTGGGATCAGGTGAATGTCGGCTACAACAAGTACCCATTTTATACACAATACTCAGCTTTCATGTTTTTTTATTAGGGCTGACTAATTATAAAAATAATTTTTCATACAGTAAAAATAACTAGTTCATAATAAAAAGTATATCAAAAATGACCTTACTGCGAACTAGGTGTTTGTTACACGCGTTAGTAGTATAAACAGAAATGAGTAAATTTTTATTTTTAATCGTAACAGATTTAAAGATGTTTACAGTTTAACTCTAAATTTATTGTACTTGAAAAGGTATTTTTGTACCTACGAATCGTATACATTTCGCATATTTCCGCCATCATCAAGCAGACTACGGAATACGGACAAGCTTGTTGTGAGTATTGATAAAAATATGAATGACTACAGCACACTCTTGTGGTCGAAAAAATTATAATATTACAAAGTCGAAATTCAAGAACAGTTAAGAGGGCGTCGCACCACCTATTTTTAAGGAGTAAAGTATAGGCAATTTTTCTCAAAATCTTAATTTAAAGGTTAAACTGAGATGTGTATCTATTAGTTCAATAACTAGGACTCTATTTTGGTAGTTAATTAATACACCACAGCATCCTTGAAAGCAATTTAAAAATGTTTTTTCATCTCTACATGTTTAAGCAGACTAAAAATAACTCGCTTAATTTTGGTTTTAGAGTAAAAGCACCCATTATAAAATTAAAAGAAAACAATATTCTGGAGGGCAAGACGGTGCGTTTTTTTCATTATTCCAAGTATAACGCTCAATACATAGTTTAGAAATAACGACTATTTTAACATTTTTAAATGACTATAACTTTTCAAAAAAACATTTTTTTTAAAAAACGCACGTCTTGCCCTCCGGAATATTGTTTTTTTTTTCAAATTTTATAATAGGTGCTTTTACTCTAAAACCAAAATTAAGCGAGTTATTCTCAATCTGCTTAAACATGTTTTTACCACTGAAAATCACCGGTGCGACGCCCTCTTAAACAACAGCTATATGCTGTAGAATAATAGGTATAATTAATAATTACAATTGTTGCACATGTATAAAATTAAGAATTTTCCCATTTTATTTATATAATATATATTAAATTAGGTTGTGATTGTTAAATCTGCATACTCTTTCATTAGGTTATGAGTAAAATAAAAATTCATTTTCAATTTTTAAAACCACCTGAATTTGGGATTTTTTGAGTAATTAAATAAATCTCAGAGTTTAGAAACTTAAAAGTCTTAATGAATTTTGGATTGACAAGGTTAGTGGCAGATTTGGGCCACAATGAGGATCATGGGTATCTATAATGTTTTAATTTAAAAAACTAGGTACCCGCTTCAAAGTATCTACCGGCTACCACCTTATCAGAAATCGTTTCACTCCTAAACCAAAAAGATCTTAACCAAAAATCTTATTTTATCATGCCAAAGTTTCTTTTTCTGAATTATAAAGATTTTTTTTTTTAACATACTAATTACTTATTTCATTTTTTAATTATGATGAAGACATTAGTTTTGAGTGTACAATTCTATAAAAAAGTTATTAATGTTTTTTACATTTTATGTTTTAACTACAATTAAAACCGGCCTAGCAGTATGCTCTATAAAAGTTGAAAAAACCCACATATCGATCGGGTAAGTGGTTCTAACTTCTAGGCCAACCCATCACAAAGATTCTATTTTCACATTGTTATGTTAGGGGGTCATTTAAAAGTCGATTCTCGAATTTTAACCTCGACGCTCCCAAAAAGTTTTTGAATACAATACAATAAAAAAAAAAATCGAAAAATAAGTGTTTTTTGGTGCTTTTTTCTGATAACTTTCTCTTTATAATGTACTTGGGGGAAGTCGCTTGGGCCAAAAACTTTGAGTACGATGTATCATAATTTTTGGTAATATAGTGCAAAAAATAATAGACTTAACTAGGTCAATAACACGATGTTTAAAATAAAGTTTACAATGACGTAAAATTATCAAAAAACACCTATTTTTGGTAAAATTTGGTTATTGGCAGAAATTTTGACAGATGTGAGCTTGGGTTATAGTATACATGTTCAGCAGACTCTAAGCTATAAAACCATCAAAACTTCAGCTCAAACTAGCTTTAGCAAGGGAATTGGCAATTTCATTACCCCTAATCCCAGCGTGACCTGGAACCCAGTGAAAGTGGACTTCTTTTACGGAAGAATGGATTTAGTACTTTTGAGTAAAAGGGATCTAATCGAAAGGATTACAGGGGAAATATAGGTGCGGAAAGGATTAGTAGTTAGAGCTAGAAGACTCGCTTGAAAATCAGAGCAGATAAGGAAGCGGTTTTCTTGTGAAGAAATCACATTGAGGAGCGCGTCAAGAATGGCAGTACATTCTGCGGTAATGGAGGAAGAAGATGGAAATAAGTTGGTGGAGAAAGATACACTAAGACTGGGAATAATATGCGCATTCCGACTTAGAGGTCAAGACAGACCCGTCAGTAAAAATTAAGTGGAAATCAGGGAAGCTGGTGAGCATGTAGTGTGAAAAGAGATTATTTACAACAGGTGAAGGCAAAGATGCAAGATTAGAGGAAGAGAAACCAAGAAACTGTGGAAGAATGTGAATAATAGGGGGAAATTATTACGGCCTCATAAGGGCAGTCATACAAAGAAAGGCGGCTATAGGAAGAATGAATATACTGAGAAATAGGACAAAGAGAAGCACAGAGAGAAGAAAAGATAGGCAAAGATTTGGGGACATATCTCCAGGATTGATGGACTGACTTAAAAGTTTGAAATAAAAAAGGAGAGGAGATAGATTTCAAAAGAAATTTACCAGCTAAACGACGGACCTCAATTGGAGAGCTAGCACATTCCACTTCGAGGCTAGGACCTGAAGCTGATGAAAGGGCGCCAACGATTGGGCGAAGACAGGAAGATAACAGGGCATTTAGTTTTTACGATGGCATAACGAGGCTGAGCAATAGAGAAAAGAAACATAGTCTACTCTGGAGAGAATTACGGAATTAAAAATCAGGAGTAGAGAGGACGGGTGGGAGCCCCACGTTGTACCCGTAATGCAACGCAGAAAATTGGACCAGCGAGAGATGAAGCTAAAAAGGACCTTGAATGGGGTAGCCACCTTAACTTAGGGTCCAGCTTAAGGCCTAAATAGGTAACTGTGAAGGTAATAGAACTGGAGTGATCATCCATTAAGACATCAGGAATAAGAATGAGTAATCTTTTCCTCGTGAAAAGGATAAAATAACTTTTCTCTGGGGCTGGGATAAAGTGAGAGGAAAGTAGGTTACTAGAGAGAACTGATAGAGAATTGTTGAGTGAGGTAACTGTCAAGAGATCGGTTGGAGGAGAAAAGAACAATGACATCAGCATAAAACAGGAAAAAAACCATTAGAGGAAAGATCCTTACTAATGGTACTCATATAAATATTAAAAATAATGGGGCTAAGGCTACCTTGGGGGAGACCTATAAAAGAAGAATGAGAAACAGACAGGCCAGATGGAGAATAGAAATGAAGAAAGTGGCGATGAAAGAGTGAACAAAACGAAATTACAAAAAAAGGGAGGTATATTAGAAGAGATTAGACGATCGACAAGTGTGGAGATGTGGACAGAGTCAAAAGCACTTTTAATGTCTATAAACACTGCTGGACAAATTTTTTTTTTGTAAAAAGATTCATAAATTAATCCAATAAAAGAAAAAAGACACTCCATCATGCTTAGTCCTCTTCTGAATCCAGATAAGTTATTAGGTAAGAGAGCATTTTTTTCTATGAACCAATCTAATCTAATTTTCAAAATTTATTCAACAATCTTGCAAAGGGCAATAGGCCGAAATGCTAGAGGAAAAGAATTGGGTTTAGGAATAGGAATAATATGAAAGTTCCTCCAAGAGGAAGGGATTAAACCACTAGACCGTAATGAATTTAAAATGGAAAGGAGTAAGTCCAAACCAAATTTTGGTAGGTGTTTTAACATAAGAGGGGAAACGCTATCGAGACCAGAAGCAGAAGAAGAACGAGAGTGGATGGCTAAAGAGAGTTCCTTAACAGTAAAAGGCATAGTGAGGGGATGTGGAATTGGAGGAAAGCTACTAGGCGTAAGAATAGGGGGAGATAGTTCATTGAAGGAAGGAACATAGGATGGGGCATCTTTGTTGCAGAAGGCAGGAAACCAGGATTCATTTAAAGAGGAAGTAGAGCGATAAACAGTTTTTTAATTTTTTGGCCGTAGACCACAGGTCATGAAGAGAGGAGGAGGGATTAAGGGATGTGCAAAATGAATGCCAAGCACGCTTTTTTGGTAACTTAAGTTTACGGATAGTGGAAGAGCGCATGCGTTGGAATGAAATTAGGTCAACAATGGACCCTGAAGATCTGTACGTTCTAAACGCTTGAGATCGCTCTTTAACGGCTATTGAGCAGTCAGCGTTCCACCAGAGAGAAGGAGGAAATAATTTAGTGGTCCTTTTTTTAAAGGGAAGAGATTAGGGAAGATGCATTAGCAGCTCTTTGTAAAATGACAACGAAGGAGTCATACTTAGATAAGGGCGAAGACAAGAGAGGGAAGTTGGATAGAAGGACAGAAACATGAGCAGAAAATAAGCCCCAGTCGGCTTTACAATAATCAATTTTATGTGGGACAGAAGGAGGAGAAGAGCCCGATGGATGGACAGAAGGAGAGGAATAGGAAATAAGGATAGGGAAATGATCGCTACCTTATAGTTTATATGCTGTCAAGCGTCGACCAAGACAAAGACCAAGAAAGGGATGGGGAAGAAACGGATATACCAACGGCAGTGTCGGCAAAGAAAGCTCGATTGGGGAGAGTAGGGAAACCTGTGTTGATTATGCAAAGATTATGGAAGAGAATATAAGTTTACCGCGATGGTTTAAGTTAGAAGAACCCCATGCGGAATGGTGGCCATTCAAGTCACTACCTAAAATGGAATAACAGGAAAACAAGTTAAAGATTAAGTCCATAAGAAAAGGGGGTGGGTTGGCGGAAGGGGAATATATAATCTTGACATAATCTAAGCCCAAAGGGCCAACTAGTGTTGAGAAATGCTAGTTAAAATGGTAAATGAAATAGTTTTAATAAAAACAAGAACCAGCGAACAACAAGGTAAGCTAAAATAGCTGGGAGAAACTTATCGTGAACACACAATAGAGAATGAACAACCATGCACAACGACTGATAAATCGCGACTATGTGATAGGGTTAAATTCATTATTTCCATTTAACTCAACAAAAACATTAAAACTTCATCCAAAATTATTTTCTTTACATCAAGACAGGATGTTCATTCAGTGCTGAACTATGTTGGGTATCGGTTTGTATTAAAAATGAGACCACAAAAATCTGGATTTAAAAAAAGTAAAAAACTGTATTCTAGAATGAATTAAAGCAGTTTATACAAGTAGAATAGTCATTAGTAATTTTTACAAAACAAAAAAATAATAATAGTCTTAAAATTACTTTTAAATATAAATACTATCCATTTATTGACATAATAATGCATATTAGAAGTTGGCCAACATGAATGTAAATTTTTCTATTTTTTTTTCATGATAATCTTGAGTATGTTTCTAAAAATTAAAAAAAAATTGTTTAAAGTTCAGTTACATAAAATGATTCTATAGTAAAATCAATCAACTTTAAAATCCTATTAGCACGGAAGATTTATTCAACTTTGTTAAAATTATCCTTAAAAATTAAATATCACTACCAAGATAGCCCCCATTTAGACTCCAGTTAAGTTCCGCCAACAGACTCTAGGTGATGCACGCTATGGACTTCCCATGTTCTTATCGTACATAAAAATAAATACAAAATGTATAAATGGCCAAGGATTATAATGCAAAATTTGAACTCATTACTACATTGGGTATCCAATAACCTTTATATTTGCCTACTAGGAAACTACATCTCTTAGAAGATCTTGTTGTTTTAGTTATTTGACTGTTAACATGTATATTATAATAAATTACAGTTTACACCCAGGCTTGCATAAAAAACTTTTTTTTTTTATTTGCTAATCGTCACTGGGACACTTCCCCAGGTCACTGAAGAGTAATTGACTAACATTAATTCTTAACTTACATTTTTTTCATGATTGTTTCGAATATTGTCCATTTGACTTTTAGATCCTTTTTCAACATTTTCAAATGTTTGCAATATTGGTGTACAACTTATTACTTTTGAAAAATGCCTGGATTTGCACATACATGTATATTTATACAGCTAACTTAGGAAAATATGTATTTATATATACTACAGTAAATTAAAATACAATAACTTTTTGGAACAATACAGGGTGATAAATAAAACGTAAGACACATATTTTCTTTTAAAATAATTGTCTTAAGCTAATTTGATAACATATTATTGTAGTTTACCATTTAATGTTCTTTGAATCTATGTTTTAATTTATAAATAAATAAAGATACAAAATCTTTCTTTTTTATTTGTGTCAAAAAAATATTTTTAGGTATTATATACAATTTTTTTAGAAGCTTCATAAAATGGTTAACTACATTTAAGACATCCCAATATTTTATATAATTCAATAATTTTGAAAATTGTTTGTCATAATATCTAAATTGTATTGAAACTTAAAAATTTGTCAATGTATTATAATTATTGGTTAATAACTATTGTATTATGTATAGTTTTATATTAATATAAAATAATTACTTTGATGTATGATTATCTAAAAATATTGTTTGGCCATTTTTTTCTGCATTATTGATATTGTGGCATTTCTTAATAGTATCCGGAATTAGTGATTTAATATTAACAAAATTTTGCAAGGCATTTGAAGATTGATCTAAAAAAAAATATATATACATATATAATATAGTTCAAGGATGGCACACACAATTTATATTTTATCACATATACATTATTTATAAATATTTATACATTAATAATTAATACGAGTACAGGTTTGTGGGCTAAAGCATAACAGGATAAAACTAATTATGATTTTAGGGTTAAATATCTATAACTAGAAAAGTTGGTAAATTTTCTATTATCCTTCAATATAAATTCCCTGTAGGCCATATTATTGTGCTAAAATCATCATCATTGTAGTAATATACATTCTCCATAGTCAGGTTTTTAGTTAGATAATTAAAAGCAAATTTGGTCTGGCGAGACCCTTCAGTCATGTTGAGGCCCTATAAGCTTTGGAGGCCCATGCATTTAATACAATTTTAGGATTTCCTAGGGAAAAACAACTGTAAAATTGTCTTAAATAATTTTAAAGTTTTTCATACATGGTGCATTCAATTTTTTTAAAAGTGGTACTGTTGCATCAAACTATTTATAATTCTAAAAAAAACAGACCCGATTCTATAACTGGGCAAAATGGGCACTTGCCCAGGGGCGCAAGGGTTTTTGGGCGTAAAGGGGCGCAAGAGAAGATTGGTCTGGATGGGCGTGGTGTGGGGGGGAAGGCAAACCTGTTTAATTTGCCAATAGCGCCACGAGGGTTAAAAACAGGTCTGAAATAAAATGTTACTATTTTCTCCATTTTTTTATTTTTGTGGGTTAGTCCACTTTTGCACTCGCCGTCTAATTTACGATTAGGGTTGCATTCAAGGACATAAAACAGTCGAACAAAGTTTCATTAGAAAAAATTGTAGGGGGATAAAACTGTTCAGAACTATATAACAATTTTTTAACTAATCACTAATAGTCAGTTAATAAAAAAATATATATATTATGATTCAGGATATTAATATAAAATCATATATTTTTTCTAAAATATTCTAAACCATTATTGTGCAGTAAGAATTTTGAGTTATTAATAATTATAAAATAGCTAGCCTATTTACCAACTAAATTATATTAAAATTTTGATTAGAAAAAAATCTGATTTATAATATTGAGTTTACTTAAATTTATAAAGTAAAATTATTTACATTAATGTAAAGTATTTTTTACTAATATTTAACTACATATAATTCCGTACACCAGATTTTTTTTTAGAAAGACAAGTAGCTTTTGTGTTGTATTGGATTCAAGTATTTATCTTTTAGAGTATAGTTAGTGGAGTTTAGGGGTATTTTATACAACTTTAATAAGGATAAAAGACGTAAAATTTGTATATTTATAGTGGATCATGCAAATAATATATTTTGGATACCGCACTTTCAATTTTAGGGATGAAGAGTGCAAAATATTGAATTATAATTACCCTTTGGAATTAACATAAATATACATAGCGTTTGAATTGTAGGAGGAACGTAGGAAGTCAGAGCTCGAATTAGGTTAGGTAGGAGCGTGGTAACTAATGATTATTATGGAAATGGAGTTAGAGGTAATTAAAATAAAAATAAGTAAATGTGCTTTGACTCTCCTGCGCCAACCTCGTGCGAACACTGTTACCATCATACATACCCATTTCAAAATGTTTTTTAAATACTATTTGTAAACTAAATAAATTTAATTTAAATAAATACAAATTTAATTTTGAAATTTAACAGCTACTTAAATGTAATTTAAAACTGAATATTCTCAATTCTGATAAAACGTTATCAAGGTTTGTGAACGAGCCGTGGTTATAGATAACATCATTGTGTTTTAACTTTTAAAGTTAACACAATACTCAGTTTGAATTACAGTATTATTAATTATTATTAATATGGTCTGGTAAAGTAGAATGACGTTTAAATATGTGGTGATTGGGAAAATTTTAATAAGAAGGCTCCGAGGCCTCAGGTCCATAATGGTTAACATCAATGTAAACATTAGACTGTAGAGCCAGGATCATAACTAAATATTCAATCAAATTCTGGCTTTACAATTTTTGATCTCATCTATTCGGGATCAATAGGTCTATGGTTCTTTGATTTATTTAATTTAATTTATTAACGATCATTCGTACAAAAGAGTGTACACAAAACAAAATAAAATAATAATTATAAGAATGTTATAATTTGTGATACTATCAAATCCTGAATATATAACAAAAACTAATAATAGGTAAAGTATTACAAACTATAAAATGATTAATTGTTATAGATTATATAATAAACTGTATAACAGCATGTTAAGGATGTAAACCTTGATTTCAAATAAGCAGCAAAACATTCAATGTGATCAAAAGAATAAAATAGCTAGTTATTTGTAGACAATCGACTTCGCCTTCTATTTTAAATAACTGAAACTATAAATAATGTTGTAGAATGTTATGTACTATGTAGTAGTAGTATTAGATTATTATAGATTTTTTATTAGTAACAAGGATTCGATTATTACAATTATTTAGCTAGTTTAAACTATGGTTTAACAATTCCCCGCCAAATTGTTATCAATGACGTAGGTTGTGGTTAAGATGTTAAAACTTGATAATAATAATAATGACTATGTTTGAAACCACGATTTAAGGATGGTGATTATTTATCTTAAATCGTGCTTGAAACATTAGAATTTGGAATAAGAATTCGTTTGCTTGAAATCTCAAATTCTCAATGTTCAATACTGATTAGTGAATACTGATTACAGACTACAGTTTTGTTCGTAAAAAATTAGTGTAATTTCTAGTTTACCAAACATTAGAATCTATGTTGTTTTATTAATTTATAGTATTGATCATTAATTTCATATTTATAATAAAGTAAAAATAATTATGTCAAACGTAGATTCAAAAACGAAAAATCGGATAGCCAGTTATAAGCGCGTCAAAAACCGAGGAAACAATTTTAGAGATATTTTAAGAGAAGTTAGACATTTTTAGTTACAATTTTTTATTTCTGTTTTTGTAAAGTTAATGTTTTTTTCCAGAGATATCGTAATTTAATGAAAAACAAACGTGAAACACTTTTAGAACGTGTACGCAATGTGTCATATGATATGAGAGAGAATGAGGTCACTTCATTTATCGATAAGACATGCATTAAGTATGAACATTAAATTAAATTTGATATTTCATGTACTTTATAACTTTATAATTCAGTGGAACTTAAGTTTACATATCAATAATCAAAAGGGGACAATTATTGATTCTTCAACTGAAATACATGTGTAAGGTTGAGCAAATAATAATATATTCTCAATAGTGGACTCTGACATTAGGTCCCAACGCTAATATTTACTTTATTAACTTCTTGATTACAGACATTTTGACGCTCCTTGTAAATACTAGAACCAATTAGCTGCCAAACAAAAAAAACTTCTGCTGTTTGTTTATTTAAGCAGTTTTCTGCTATTTTTCTAATAGAGCGTGATAATATCTATTGATCACAGTGCTTCTGTAAAGTTAAGCGTTTCAGGAAACCAAGAATTCATAACTTTTACTTCAGGCGAGTCTACTCTATAGTGGCAGTTTCCGGGTAGAATTAGGTTGAATTCACACCTCTTGTTCTGTCAGCTGCCTATACCATACTTGGAAGGGGGGGTTCTTAATACATAGATAGGGTATGCTATACCCATACAAAACATTATAGTTTGCCTCCCCTGTCCATTTTTCTAGGCTAGAACGCCCCTAAGAAGACGTTATTTTATAAGTATGTATGTGATATTAGATATACAATTCTATATTTTTTTTATAATAATAATTTTCCTATAACTATAAAATTTCCAAATTGCATTACGAAAATCCTAATAAGTTCATAAAAGTCTGTAATAAAAGAGATCTTTTTATTAATCAATTCATAACTTAAGCTTATGAAGCTTATTAATTAATTCCTGATATCTTAGTATTTCCTATATTTTTTAGTAACCTATTTAGCTTAATTATTCTAAAACATTACCCTTTTTTGTTCTAGAATGGATATTGAAGAAGATGATGGATTTCATTCCTTAGATGAAGAAGATCAAATAATTGATGAAATTAAACAAGAGCTTTTAGATGAAGAGAGTAAGTAAAAAAAATATCTAGGTATTATACATTAACTAGTATTAAAAAATAATTTTTATATTTCAGTGAAATGGATCTCGGCACAATATTCTGAGTATAATGTATATTTACAACATTTGCAAAATGATTCAATCGAGTGTCCTGTTTGCCAAACTGGAAGTCTCATAAAATCTGATACAAACAATATTACTTGTGATGTTTGTCATATTACTATTTATACTAGTCTCGAAACAGACGCATTAAAAAATAATTTGGAAACTTCAGCTATTGAACATTCTCGTAATTGTCAAAGACCGGTTTATTGCTCAGTTTTTCCAGCACCGGATGTTAATTCAATGTTTATGATGTGTAATGAATGTCAGTTCCTCTATCAAATATCATAAGTCAACTAAAAAAATATTTGATTTAAATGTAAAAATATAATGTTTATACAAATGTTAAATGATGTAAAAAATAATATAATGCAAATTACACTGTAAAATCTAATGTAATTTGCTCAAGTTAAGATTATAAAAGTACTCAAATTTGAATATTTTTGGTGATTTATTAATTGCTAAATTGTATTAGATGTGTTTATATATTTATGTATATTTCAATTGTAATTTGTCTAACAACTAATAATATAGTATTAAACTTATGTGACTCACTGAAAAATTGAAGCCAATTGACTACTTAATTGAATGGGTTATTATTCTATTATAACATGCATGTAGTCCAGTTTCCTTTTTAAAACTACACTACAGTGTTGTAAGATGTTTATTTAAACCATCATTCTGCTGAGTATGCAAGTAATTTCTTTATATGCTGTGTATTTTTTATAAAAAAAAAATGCACATGTTTATGTACACTTTTTTCATACTGTCTGTGATAAATGTAAAAACATTAGGTAATTCTAGAGGTGAGTAATTACTGATTCACGTTGTATATTAGTTAATTTTTATGATTTTCATTTACTGCTTATTGAATTAATCTCTATTTAGAAAGATGCGGGGTTCCGGTAATGAGGGGTCCGTGTCAGAATTGGATACACAAATGGTATTTCGATTCAATTTTGCACGAGTGCAAAACTTATGTGAGTGGTATCTGTAAAAGTGAAAATATGTTTGATTCTGAGGCAGAATGTTTGTATTATTGTGTTGGTGGTAAAAGTACGAATTTTACAACAATTTCTAAAATTTCAACAGCTCTAAAATATTTACTCTATTTTTATTAGATTATAATAATACCAGCATTGTCTCAGGATCTTTCAATCAGAAGTATTCATTTGGTACATCTACGCAAGCACCGATAGCACCTAATGATCGAGGAGCTGAATTAACATTTGCAGAAAGCGGTTATCATACTGTGTTTATGATGGCTAAAAACAATGCTTTTATACAACTCGATGGAAATCGCATACCTACTTTTCAACTTAGGTAAGTTAATTCGCGTTTACCACAAAATGTATATACTTTGTGTATAAATTTGATTAAAAATAGACTTTGTCGTGAAATATCTTTTCAATTTCGTACCCGTTTACCACATGGACTGCTCGTGTATCACAGTGTTAAAGATAGACCAGCTGGTCTTCCGCCATATGCTTTATATGTAATCGTTGAAAAAGGTCAGCTCAAAGTAGTTCATGTTTATGGTAAACATTCAACATCAGTAATAGTTGGAGAAGGTGAGTATTATTGAACATTAGTTAACCAGACAAGAATAATTGCCAACCTATGATTGTTTTTTTTTTAGACTTGTTGACCCAGTAATATTGGGCAGTGTTTACCTAATTAACAAAAATAACTTAATTATAGTAAAGTGATGTTTGTGTAGTTACCATTTTTTTAGGATTAAATCATGATATATGGCATACCGTCACTGTGCGAATAGATGTCCATGGTGCTCGGCTTATTGCAAAAGTAGATAACATAAGTGCAGAAAAAATAATACAAGGACTAGATATGTCTAGCAATTATGGCATATCTACAGATTTGACTTCAGTAGTTTTAATTGGTGGTAAGTAAATAAACAAAGTTCTTAATTCTTATAAACTTGGAATTCAGCTTAACACTGTAGAAATGACTATTCCACACTAAATTATATTAATTAAAAATAATTGTTTACATTTATGCCTTAATATTATGTGAAAACCTAGTTTTAGTTATATTTATTAAGTACTTTTAAATATTGAAATTTTGGCTAACGACGTAACCCTGATAAGTTCACAATATTTTAGCTTTGATGCGGAGCTGAGAAGGAATTGTAATTTGTATTTACAGTGATGAATTTTTATTTTTGTATCTAGACCCACAATATCTTTTAAACCACTGATCCAATTTCTTCGTATAGCAATTAGCAACTCTATATAGATCAGGAATCGTACCTAAAAGGTACTTTATGAGGCCAAAAATGTATAAGTTACCCCTTCCCCTTCAAAATCTAGAAAAACACCAAACAAATTTAAATATCTTTCAACTTGTTACGATGCTCTATAACAAATAATTAGTTGAATTAGTTCCAAAGTTGTATGGAATATTCTTTAAGCATAGTACTACCAATAAAAATTGACAAACCAAAAAAGTAGAAACACTTTTTCTTAGCAGGGATAGACATTTTTTCTTTATATCATCTTTTTAAGAAATTTTAGGCTCTAGGTCTAAAAATTAAACCGACGGTAAATCTAGAACGGAACTGTAACAAATACATTTTTCTCAAAAATCTATCGTATCCACCCTTATACTAAAAATTAATGATTTAAATTATTTGCAATATAGGATAGTTGGCAACTGCTAGTTTTCAATATTCAATATTTAGTACTCAATTAATCAGAATTTTTTTTTAACTACTTGGTCCTCATTAGCAGTTAGTTTCTTAAAGGTTATTTTTGTATATTATGTTCTACCATGTAAACTATTTAGTTTCAACAAGAAAAATTGTTTGTATTTAATATGTATTTCTTGATTGCTTATAGGGTTGAGTCCAGAAGAAAAGCTTCACGGCGTTAAGTATATTATTGAATCATTTGTTGGGTGCATAAAAGAAATGGTGTTGAGCGCTGGTAAAGCAGCATCCGATTTATTACCAATTAAACCACTAATTGCAACTAAACACGATAATGTCGAGGAAGGATGCATTGATACGTATGTGTTATATTATTTTATTTCCAATTAAATAATGTTACACGCGGTTATTTTCCAGATGTAAAACTGAAGATAACATTTGTTTTAAAGGAAGTTTATGCATAAACCATTATAATCAACTATCATGTGATTGTTTCGGAACACTATACGAAGGCGAATATTGTGATATATATGGTGATTTGCTATTATATTCTTATAAAACAATTTATCATATAATTTTACAAGATATGAAGTGTGCTATTATTCTTCAAAATATCACTACTTATACAGGGTGACCACGAAAACACTTAAAAGGCAATATATTATTATCTTTTCAAAAAAACATTTATTTAACTTATGTAACATGTTTGTGGGTGTATGCCATTTATTTTACGGAAATTTTCGAGAAAAAAAAATTATTTAATTTTATATTATGTAGTATTATGTTTGTGGGTGTAAGCCACAAAGAGAAAGTTTTTCAACATAAAACCCCGTACTTTGGATGATTTAAAAACGGCAATTCGTACAGAGGTGGCACTAATCACGAGGGAGACACTAGAACGAGCGTGAAAGAACTTCCTCAAAATAATTGAAAATTGCCTCATGGAAGACGGGCATCACCTTCCTGACCTCATTTTTGCTACTTGAAGTAAATGGCTTACATCCACAAACATAATATTACATAATATCAAGTTAAATAATTTTTTTTTCTTTCGAAAATTTCCTTAAAATAAATGGCATACACCCACAAACATATTACACAAGTTAAAAAAATGTTTTTTTTTTTTTAAATAAATATTATTTCGCTTTTTTGAAAATGTAAAGTGTTTTCGTGGTCACCCTGTATAACGATTATTTTTTGTTTAAAGATTCGGTGCGATATAACTTTTCTAAACATAGTAAAATTAGTTCCAAATTTGTATGGAATATTCTTTAAATAAAGTATTATCAATAAGAGTTGAACAAAACAAAAACATATTATAAACCATTTCCCCCAATAGGGGGGCAAACATTTTCTTTTTTTTAACCCTAGATTTAGAACTTAAGATCTGAAAATTATTCTTAAGGTAAATCTAGAGTAAGGCTGTAACATTTAAAATGTTCTCAAAAGTCCGCAGTCACTGTTTTTTTAATAAGGAAAACCAAAAAATTGGAAAATTACTCTTTAATTGTATTAAATTATCCAGGTTGCGTGTGTAAATGAATTAGTAGTAAAAAGGTACAGGAAAAAATATTTTCATTATAGTGTCAATTACGATAATTAATGGTTTCAAACGGCAACAGATGATTACAATCCAATGATCAACCCTTAACGGTTCCACCCTTTTACTCAAAATATAATTTTAAGCACATTATAGGCTATAATTTATAGTTATAACAAATCTGTTATTGTTTATTTGAGTGGTTTTATCATCTTCTGGCCCAATTCGACCACCATTGATTCATAATCCATTGATGGCTAGGAAAATAATATTAAATTAAGAACTGTGTACTTCATTCAACGACTCCAGTAAGGTGGAAATACTCAAGAACCAGGGATTAAGTACAATTTTAAAAATTAAGGGGCACGTATTGACAACAAAGGGATAACGCATCTGAAGAACTTCTGCCAATTATAGAATATTTTGAAAATTATTATGCCCTTGGCGTGCTAGCCTGAGGAAGAAGACCGGCATTCTTACACGGTTCCACCAAAAAGTTGAAATTAGAACGAAGCAGTTCTGTCTAGTAAAACTAATAATCCTGACCTTTATTCTGCTCTTGAAAAAGTTACAAGCGCCAAGCTGATTCAGAAATAATTCACAGAACTGAATCGAGGACGAAAATTAGGAATTCGGTCAAAAAGTAAATTGCTGGATTTCTACAAAGCGGATTATTTCGATGATTTTGACACGTACCAGGAGTTAGAATTTCAAAGAGTAATCGAAAGACATAATGCTGTTTTATAAAATTTAAATCATATTAAGCATTCACTGCCTAGCCTTTTTTATAACACTAACTTGTATATAATTATTATTATAATTTTATTATATAATTATTTATACCACAATTCTGTTTTCTCCCTCAAATCATCAAACCTCCCAATAGTAATCATATTAGCTTCTTTATTTTGATGGTATTTGAGTTCAAAAAAAAATATTATCTAGTATAGTTTACTTGATTAACAAAATACATATATCACTGAGTATAGATAAGTAAAATTAATAAATGCTAGTGTGGCATATGGACCTATTTAGACAAATTATTTTAATTATAGTATCTACTGTGTTAACACTTCGAGGCTCATCTTATGTATCGTATCGGGTGTATGACTGGAAAGACAGAGTTCATTCAAGTATGAACCGCATCAGTTTCATGTTTAAGACTAGATTTGATGATTCTGCGTTGTTTTACGCCAGTGGCGAATCCCATAAGCATCATCATATCGCTGTATCGATTTACAATGGTTCAGTTGTGGTTGAAATTGAACTTGGTGACGGTGATCCAATACTCGCTACTTTGGGTAACAATACGAATTCTAATCATTGGAACAATTTGACAATTTTACATAAAGATAATATTGTTGATATAATTTTCAACGAAGAGAGAATAAGTTATGTTTTAGCTGGAGCTAGAAATTATTTATACATAGATCCGGAAATATACTTCGGTGGCGGTCCAGCACTTTCTAACAAACCTGGTATTAAATCTGTTTTATATTAGATGCATGTAAAATAAAATTCATTTTTCTTTAGGATTGAAATCGCATAATAATTTTGTGGGATCATTGAAGTTCGTTTTTTTCAATGACATATCAATACTGTATGAGTTAAAAAGAGGAAATCCAAAAGTACATTACATTGGAATTTTATCGCCTGAATTAACTGAAACTGAAGTGGACATGATCCCCATAACATTGCCATTTCCATCTTCGCATATTATATGGCCAGTAGCATCCGAAAACCATATAAGCCTTATGTTTGATTTTAAAAGTCATAAGCACATGGCAATTTTAGTATCGTCTTCTGTAACAACATCTGCTCAGAATTCTTCAGGATTTTGGGAGGTAAGTAAATGCTAACAAATCTATTCCAATTATAAACCCTGAGAAAAAAAAAATTTCCAATTTCATTTAAAATATTTATAGTTGCGAATGGTTAATAATGAGATAAGATTTGAGCTTACTCCGTCGTCTAGTAAAAACGTTACTCAGTTGACGACTGTGAAATATGATTTAAACATTGAAGGATCATGGCATAAAATAACTTTAAATTATACAAAAGGGTTGCTTACGTTAAATGTGGATGACAATAATAAGACTACATTTCTTAACGGTATACAACATTTTTTGGCAGACCGAACTATAACAATAGGGAGTGGTATAGGCGGAAAAGGAAGTTTTGGTTTGTATATTTTTTTTTAGACACCAATTCTATTTTTATAAACTATGTACCTATATTTAATTATTTGTACTATTCTATTTATATACTAACCATATAGGTCTTGTGGGTTGTATTAGAGAAATTTGGTTGGATAGTAATTTTCTGGAAGCCAGACATATGGTAAGAACTAACCGAACTACTGGTCAAGTGTCTATTGACAACTGTCAATTGGTAGATCCTTGTAAAAGACCAAATGCATGTGAACACGATGGTAAATGTTCAGTTGTCGATGACGATGTCATCTGTGATTGTAAAGGCACTGGGTACATAGGAAAAAACTGTCATTTTGGTAAAAAATAAATTAAATTTTCCGTGAGCCGTGATGCATTATAATATTTAATATATAACATACTTGGTTTAGCGCAGTTTCGTAAAACATGTGAAGAGCTCGCACTCTTGGGCTACACTAAACCTGACGTTTATCTTATTGATATTGACGGGAATGGTAAATTTCCTCCAGCTCACGTCAAATGCGAATTTGGGGTCCAAGGAGACTCTAAAACTATTGTTGAACATAATCTACCGAGTCAAATTGTAAAAAACAAGGAAGAACCCTTAAAAAAAATTATTAATAATTGTAAAATAATGTTAGCATTTTGTGATATAGGACGTGAGGAGTGCTGCGGAATCAGATTTTAGCTTTACTATAACGTACAGAGATTTTCCGCCGGAAATGTTAAAAGAACTAATATCGCATTCTTTACACTGCAGTCAGTACATTAAATATGATTGTTATAAAGCGCCACTAGACCTACATTCGGCCACATGGTTTACGTCAGCGGCCCAGGAAGAACTTATCAATTTTATTGGCTACGCTAAACGCGGATCTTGTCCGTGTTCTGGTAATTTCACGCTTATGTTATAGAAACTATACGAAAAAAAATAAAACGGGTTTAATGGGTTTTCAGTTAATAAAACGTGTTTAAATCGCACTCGTACGTGTAACTGTGATTTTCCCGACGCAAAGTGGCATTCTGATGAAGGCCATTATCAGACATCTAAGTATGGAGGGTTAGGTATTACGAAAATGGTATTTTTACAACAAGAAAATTTGCAATCAGATGCCCTAGGCCGCATAACTTTGGGACCACTTGAATGTGTCGAAACAAGTAAAATGGTGTTTAATACTTGACGAATTTATGTATTGAGAACATTTTTATCATGTCTTATAGATACACAAAAATACGTTGTTACATTTACAACTAGCCAGTCCTACATCGAAGTTCCTGGATGGCGAAAAGGTGATATAGCATTTAGTTTTCGAACTACTGGTGAAAAAGCTATTTTGCTTTATCAACCTCCAATTCGAAGACAGCATCCTTCATTTATGGTCGCCCTTACAAGTGGTAAAATATAAATATTGACATTACAGAAAAATACTGAATTTTTTAATTATTAGAATTTATGTAAAAATATTGTTTCATCACGAATTCAAATAGAGCGTGAACTGTGTAGGGTTTAATTATTAATTACTAATACTTATTTATACTTGTGCGTATACTACAGAAGAATAATTTAAATATACTGTAAAAATTAAATATATTTTATTTAATTGTAAATTTCGTAATAGTAGTACAAATTTTTAATCACAATTCATATTGTGTTTAGATTTCAAGCTAACTTTCAATTTCACCTTAAACTCTGGTAAATCAAGAGAAATGGAGGTTAAATCAAGACGACGATTAAACAATGGCGAGTGGCAAAAAATATGGATTGATTATAATTCGCACCATGTTCGTTTTATGATTAATACAGACTACGAAATGATAGATTTGTTACCAAATGAGAAATTTGGTCCGTTTGAGGGTAGTATGTATATTGGTGGTGCCACAGAGTAAGTTAATTTGCAAAATTTTATGTAATATTATTATCTGTTGACTGTCGTATGAATGGTACTATCAGTATACTATTTCTTTAGAGATCTACTCCAAGTGACTTCGGTGAGTCAAGGTTTAATAGGATGCTTTCGTGGATTAGTAGTTAATGGTGAAATTCTCGACATTTATTCCTATATGAGTGTACATTTATCTGAAATAATAAAAGAATGTAAACCATCATGCGCGCCAAATCCATGTAAAAACGGTGCGAAGTGTAAAGAACTTTGGAGTACATTTCAATGCGTTTGTGAAAACCCTTGGGCTTACAGCGGAATTTATTGCGAAAACAGTTGAGTTTTTAAGTTAATTTAAAACGGTTCAAATCACAGATGTAATAGATAATGTTATGATTCATTTTTAGATATCAATACACAAGGATTGACATTTATTACTAGAGAATCATATTTCAAGAGAAATTATTTTAGTAACAACATAACTGAATTAAGTCAAGAGTCATACTATAAACTCTTGACTGAGAATATATTAATGAATTTAAGAACATACGATAACAACGTGTTGATACTTCACGCCAATGATCATCTTAACAACTTTGTTCAGCTTTTTATTATGAATGGAAACTCAATGGTTTTTGTGTTTAATCATCTTCATAAAATATACAACATCACAGTGAAATACCCAGGTAGGATCCAGGTAGAGGTTGGAGTTTAGACATTTACTCATTCAGTTTAGCTTTTAGAATTAAATCTTGGAAAATCGATTCAGTTAGCTCTAGTGAGAAAGAAAAATTCAACCACATTACACGTAAATGGAGCTAATAATTCAGTGCCAGTGGGTTCCAGCTTATTAGCAAATTACACGAGCAAACCTTGGATAAACCCAGAATTAGGTACCTATACGATCTATCTTAACCGACTATTAATATAATAATAATTATTATCAAATTTTAAAGAGATTTTGTCACCGCAAAGGCCACCAGCACCTCCTACCGAATACTTTCAAGTAAATATTGGAGGTTTTGATCCTGAAAATTTGATCAGCAGTAAAAAAGAGTCTGTGCGACTTTCTGGGTATGTAGGTTGTGTAAGAGGATTAAAAATAGACGATTTTGTGGTCAGCTTCAGCAGCCTTGGCTTAGCCAATTCTTCTTTAAATACTTCAAAAGAAAAAGGTATAGTAAGCATAACATTTTAAGATTTTTAAAATTAAATATCAGTAGCAAATCGTTTTATTACCATGATATTTACATTGCTTATTTTACAGATCTTAGAGGTATTATTGCTGGTTGTAATATGAAATGTGATGAACAACAGCCATGTAAAAACAAAGGAATTTGTATTGAAAATTTTGAAAAGGGTGGAAGTTCGTGTGATTGTGAACACACTTCATATTATGGAGATTTTTGCGGTTTAGGTAAAAACCTTCCTTGTATTTTTAAAAGTGCATCTACTATATAAAGAGTGTACATAATTAATCCATAGATAAAGGAGCTGATTTTAGTGGATTATCAGTATTAAGAAGGAAATTTCTTCTCGAAGGACCTGTCACGCAAGTGAAATTAAATTTAGCTTTCTCTAGTAGTGATAAACGACAACGAAGTACGGTATTGCTACTTATTCAAACAGAGAACAAGTAATTTTTGTTTTGCCTTTGGGAATTAAACGCCTTCTTATTGTTTTAGCTTAATTCTCGCTTCTCTTAAAAATCGGAAGTATTATCATTATGATTCATAATTGCTATTTTTTAATTAGGAGAAGTTACTATCTTATTGTGGCACTAAATGAAAAGGGTGAAATGATTTTTGAAGAAGACCGAGAAGGAACAGGTGGAGCATTTGGCGCGCGTATTAAGGATAGAAATTTTTTGAATGGTGCGAGGCACTCGGTATATTATAAGCGAACCGAAGCTAGTTCAGTACTAATGGTAAACGTGTACTATAAGGAATATCTATATCATGTGAATGATGTATCATATAGGTCGATTACGTCTAGTAAATGTATGTATAAGTAAGTCACTTAATTGTTTTCAGGTTGATAGAGATCCAATTGAACTAAAAAAAATCCCAGTTTTAAGTTTAACCGATACATTAACAGATATTACAGCCGGAGACAACGAAGTTCAAATCGGTGGACTTAATACAACTGACCCTAGATTTGCTTCTTACACCAGTTACAGCGGTTGCATTTCAAGTATTTATATAATAAACTCGTTAACTACTCACTCAATAATATACATATTACATAACAATTACCTGTATTTTAAAGACGTGTTTCTGGAAGTTAACTACAACGAAATGAAACCTTTAGATGAGTACATGTTGTTTACAAAAACTGGTAGTGAAAAAGTCAATGTTACTAATTCTCAAGGCGTTCGTAGTGCTCAATGTGCTTCTTTTGATGACATTCATAAACCCAGACCGGGACCTTCGCTCAACATAAGTTATGTATGAAATATTTATTTTTACTGTAATTTATTTTAATAGATGTAGTATAAAAGTATTTTTTTATTATCAAGGGAGTGGAACAAACATGGGTACTCGATCCTCCTGCTCGAATGCCCTATGATTCAAAATACGCAAAAGTATTAACTCAACGAGATAACACGTTCAATGGTAAAATGTGCCATCTTAAAGAAACTTAATGTATAGTTTGTAAATATAAAACTATGTATAGGTAAAAATACGATTTTCATGTAACGTTCAACAAACTTTCAGTTAAAACCGGGTTAAAATTTTACATTATTACTCTTATTGTATATATAATCTACTATCGTAGTTATTTGTTTATACAGGGTCCGGCAGTGAAACGGGATGATTTCAATACTTAATTACTATTTAATGAATGAATAAATTTTAATTTTAATTTTAATAAATATAAAGTATAAGAGTTACAATTTTATGTTCAATACAAAAAAATACTATTTTTTATGTACTACGTTTGCCAAATGACCTCCATTGTTATTTATGCATTCTTGTAGGCGGAACTTAAAGTTTTGCAGCATATTAACGGCTTGCGATTTTTTTTATGGGGATACCTTAAATCAAAAGTGTTTGAGGCCAATCCACCAAGAACTATCCAAACACTCAAACAACGCATTCGGGACGATATTGAATCAATTTCCATTAATATGCTGCGAGAGGTCATGCAAAACTTTAAGTTCCGCCTACAAGAATGCATAAATAACAATGGAGGTCATTTGGCAAACGTAGTACATAAAAAATAGTATTTTTTTGTATTGAACATAAAATTGTAACTCTTATACTTTATATTTATTAAAATTAAAATTTATTCATTCATTAAATAGTAATTAAGTAATGAAATCATCCCATTTCACTGCCGGACCCTGTATACCAAAAAAAAAAATGTTGGTGAGGGTTAAGATCCCGTGACACATTCAGACCACACCATCCAGGCGGGAACTTACATTTGTATTTTATATGGCAAGATATAATAAGTGAAAAAGGGATTGTGATGACCATCAATATTCAATATTGTTAAGTTTAAGTGTGACTCAATATAGGTTCTTTAGATGGGTTTGGGATGGAGTTCTAAAGTCTGTCAAATAGCAGTCATCGAGATGCGCTCGAATCGGCTTTTCAGTTCTCACTGAATTCGGGGAGTCTTCGTAATCAAAAAATAGAATTTATATATAGCATTATCCGAAGTCACTAATCTGCAACATAAAGGTGAAAAAGATCAGAGTATTCCATATTCTCTAGTAATTCTTTAGTAGATGTAAGACGTTTTAGAGAAAAAGACAATGAAATGAAAAGACAGTAGATTGACCAGTAGGTCATTACTTGACATGACGCGACATTGAGTGATGAGTCAATTGAATTAATGTTTAACCGACCATTTTCGCAAATTAATTGTATGTGGAGTTAATGACGATTGACTGCCCAGAAAGTAGATTAGGTATCAATTATTCCATTTTTACAACAAAACAACATTCTTAAACTTATGCCACGAGGTTAGATACCTACGTGGATTAAATAATGAAGTACCTATTTTTACGTGTTAGAATAGTTTTTGCGTCACTGGACATCGTGTCTACAGAAAAATACCAACCAGCTAGAAAATTATATAAAATTATCGCCAAGTTATGAACTTAAACGACTGAATCGATAAAATTGTAATTTCACATTAACTGTGCTTTGCAAATTAACGATTGCAGAACTACAATATGTTATAAACTTCTTTGTTTTTTCTAGTTGTCACTTTGATAATGGCATGTATTCTTTTATTTGTCACTTTGTCAGTATCATATCATGCGTATCGTACACACGTGCAATGGAAAAAACGTAGGGATGAAGAGATTAACGCTGAAATAGTGCGAAATAAAAGACAATCGATTCAAATGCAAGATGGCTATAAACTTGTTAAAGTTGGTATACAGATCTATAAGTATTTAGAAATAAAAATTTGATTTATACATTTTATAGGATGATAAACTTAATGGAATAAGTTTAGAAATGAAATCAATGAATAAGCAACCTTTAACTATTGTAAGGTTTTATGCTTCACCTGAAGACAACGATGGAAGTCTTAAATCAAAAGAATTACGAATCGAACCAAGAATCAAACATTCTACCATACGAGGTTATACAATGATAATTAAAATACTATAACATTGTAACATAATATAACATATATTAATATATAACATTGTTATTTTTAATAGGGTATTTAAATAAAGTCGAAAATACATGGGAACCCATAGAAGAGTCATCAGAAATCTTAGAAGAAATTCCGGAAGATCAACATATAGATGGCCCTATTGATGATTGTAATAAAACAATAAATTCATATTAGTTCAAATTAAATTCAATGAATGTTTTGCTGTCACGAGTACAAGTTTTTTAAACACAGTATTGCGAAGTACAAGTTGTGTATTATTGCAAAATGAAGCTTATTCCATTCTACATAATAATAATACAAAATAATATAATTAACAAAATTTGTTTAAACATATCTATTGGTTAAACGTTTTATTAATAATCACATTATTCATGAGGTTGTCCTGTGATTATATTGATATACTAGTGCTTAATAGCAAGTTTTTAAATAACTCATTCAATGCAACATTCAAAATAACAGTAAAATTACAACCATAAAATTGTTACAGAATTAATAATGATAGTAACAATCGAGTAAAGTTTCACTAATTGAATAGTTTAATTTTTGATTGATCTACTTTTGATTCTAAAATTTTACACGGTAAGAAAAATAACAGCTATAATAATAATTCTATTACTATACATTAACAGCATACTTGGATTCTAAACCTAAATATTTAGAAACACCATTCTTTTTATCATGAAATTCTTCTAGTTTTTGATCAATGCATCGGAACTGCCAAGGCCACATGACATTATAGAGGAATGGGCGATGGTCGAAACGATTATCATCTGGGCTATAAGCTTCAGCATGATAACTAGGAGTCAAAACTGTCATTTTATGTCTATTGATTGCATAACACCTAAAAAAGTGTTTCACTTTTTCCGCTATTTGCTCGGGTGTATACTGGTTACCCCATAATAACAACAGCTTACAAAACATACTGTATGGGCCGCAATAATTTTGTTTTCTTAGCTTACCATATACACTAAGCTCGTTGTAAGTCATTCCCATATCTTCTTCGTCCGACTGTGTAATTTGTCCTGCTACCAAAGGTTCTAATTCAGCCGTAGGTGTAGCATTGATAATATTGTCAATGGCTATTAATGAATGTTTATTTCTAAAATATCCAAGGAACATTTTTAAGTCAGATTTAGATATTCCACCAATAGGATTGACGTCAGCACTTGAACAGTCGTATTTGGTCATATAGCCTCTAAGAGCTTCATCAACATTACCCGAGCCTAAGACTAACAAACCTCCTTGACGGCCACGAACCCAAAGCATGAGTTGTGCAAATAAATATGTTAAAACCATTCTCAGTCGAGCTTGCACATTTTGCAATGCTAATGATTCCCTTGGAGATCCACCATAAATCGCAAATTGTGGAGTTTTACCTGTTAAGCTAACAAAAATGGATACTACTGCTGAAATAGCTTTATCAATACAAACATTTAAATGGTAACTAGATATTTGACTGGATAAATCTTCTGCCCGTTTTTTCGTTTCAACAGATGAATTTTCTGTAGCCATATAACAAGTTGTCAAAAGCTGTTTACAAAGATCCCTAGCGTTTGATGGGAAATATGTTTGTTGACCAACAATAGTGCGTATTTCATTCAATACTTGAGAGTCACCACCTTGACATGCTTGAACGATCATATTACACATTGAATAAGCAATGCATGCGGTACTTGATGAATCAACACCACCACTTAAAGGCAAAAAATAGCCACCTTGTTTTGAACGCCTTAAATAATCCCATAGCCAGCATGCAGGACCTAAAGAAATTTCTTCTTCAGGGGACAAACATTTAAAGTCTAATAAAATAGGATCTGGTACTTTCTGAGTATCTCTTGATAAACTGAAATCAGGAACCTTAATTCTGTGATAAGATTCTGAACTTGATCCTGATCTAGATCTAATGGCATTTCTATAGCTTCTAATATCTTCTAAATCAATTGTAGCACAAGTCACTTCAACTTCTTTTAAACTGAACTGTGTTCCGACTTTTATTAAAGCTCCATTTAATGCAATATTAGAACAACCATTAAAATAAACTCGTTGCCCATCACAACCTCTTAGATTACTGTATAAATAACAGCCACCACTTTTAAATGTTGCCGACTTGATGAGGTCTAAAACTATTGAAGACTTACGTAGCTCCATATAAGAACCAGAACTATTAACAACTATTTCAACACCGTCTAAACACATTGGAATATGGGTACTGTTGGGACTCCAAAGTTCTTCGCATATTTCATATCCAATACACGTATCAGTTGTCGCAATAACAGCATCTCCGAAAGGTACAACAGTTTGACCTGTGAACTTCTGTACAATACGAGGTAAAAAGAAATCTTCAACTGTGCGAATTTTTTTCCACGATGTAAACCAACGAGTTTCTCTATAATTACCAGTATCGCACATAAGTAATTTAGGTCGGATTAATAAAATACGTTTGTTCAGGAACACAACTCTACAATTGTAAGTGGAATTTTTGTGCATTATAGGCATACCTACATCAACCTAAAACAATTAATTATTTTTAAATACATTCATTTCCTATTTTTTATCTGAAACACACCATTATATCAACAGATGATTGATGCATCATCAATTCAACTAAAACTTGCCACGAGTGCAAAAGAGTATCACTCTCGAGAAAATGGTCTTCACAGCTATAGCCACAAATTTCAAGTTCGGGTCCACTTCGATAAGTGGCACCACATTGTTTAGCCATCTCAATACTTTCTAATATGCGACGTTTGTTATTTTCAAAGTCCAAAGCCCACTGATTTAAACAGCAAACAGCCATAGTTGCTAAACGACCCATTTTGACTGTAACAATCCAATAGAACAAAGTATATATAAGTAATAATAAATTTAGTAACAAAAATAATGTAGCTTATACTTCATTGATAGATTACATTGTTATATACTTAATATATGATACCGCTAAATTAGAATGTGACAATGGTGTTTTTTTTATAGAAAACCCTAAAGTTTTAGAATTAAAATTAAAATAAGAAAATCAATAAATATTTGAGGATGCTATTATTTATGAGACTCTTTGTTATAGAAAGTAATCAGTAAGACAAGATCTATTCAGTATATGTTGCCTGGCAACAAAATTGTTAATCGGTATGACGGAATGAGATCTTTGAAGATAACAAATCTCAAATTTGTATCCTTGCATTAAAACACTGTTGTCATTGTTACAGCGTAACATTATACTAAAAAAAACATTTTGTAGGTAACACACTCACAATTTAAATTTAGAATGTTTTTGTAGATAGTTTTTTGCATAGTAAATAATGTTAATTTTATTTCTTTATGTTAATTCTTAAAAATTTGACATGTTAGGAAATTTTTACTGCATTTTATTTGTTGAATTTAAATAGTTAAAATGAAAAGTCAGTGTCCTATACCATAACAAAAAAAAAAAAACCGCATTAAAAATGTTGAGTTGATACTCAGCAGCCGTCAAATTTTTTTCCCCGCCAACACCTTTTTAATAGAAAAATTGTTATAGATCAAAGAAATATAGATGTAAAAAATCTAGTGGGTGGACTATTATAAAACACCCTTTAATCAAGTTATTAAGTTTAAATTTTTTTATAAAACACCTTAAAAGTATTTTTTTAATTTCTAGAATACTTAAGAAATTTGCTATATTCAATTATACCAGTCTTAAGAACTAAAATTGATATTAAAAAATGAATTATTTTTTTATCAGTCATGTATGTTAGTACCACAAGACACACAAGTGATATTTTTGTTGTAACATTGTTACACAATTTAAAGAGGACATATTAGGTATTTAAATCTTAAACTCTTAAAGAAAATAAGTAATTTTTAACAAAGTTACAATTTATGTAAAAAGAGGTAAAACTATTGTTATTGCGCTTGATAGATTAAAAATAGAATACATTATTTTACATAATTACCAGTCGACGAATGGGTTAACTTGAAAAATAAATTACTTACTCTTAATATGATAAAAATATTATACAACTAAAAAAGAAATGGTACAATAAAATGGTCAACAAAATAGTTGTAATAATATAATTACATATTTAAACTGTAGTTCACTATTCACAAACCCTTTTTTGTATAACTAGTAACTATATAGGATATTAGAATCTTGAAGTTTGTTCGATACTAGGAAGTATTATTTTCAAATTTATTAATGCACGGCGTATACCGTATGCGCCTAGATCGGACTGGTATTAGATGATACTATTATCAATGTTTATGAATTATTTTTATCAATGTCATTATTATACCTTCTCGATTTTTAGTGTGGTTGTTTCGTAAACTGAAATTTAAATAATAACTATTAAAAACGTGATTCATTAATGCGCTGAATATAAAAATATATAGGTATGTATTATTTTAAAATGTAATTATAATATCGTTGTATTATAACTTTCCAATTTGTACAATTTGTTAAAAATTATTTAAATTTAAAATAGGCATATTATGGTAAAATTTAAAAGTAGCTTATTAGAAAATATATTCATTGAAAACCTATGTGCAGTCAAAATTATACAGTAAATGCATATATTAATGTACATTATTTAAATTCAAGTTCATGTTTATGTAAATTAATTATATAATTATGACATGATTCATGCCAAAACTGTTAAGGAAGACCAAGTGCAAAAACGTGTTTAAATGCCTTATTTTATTCATACATAGTTTATCTATAAATAATGATTTATTATTTAGGTAAGTTCAGAAATTGTTAAAAAAATGAATGAATTTAATCCAACTGAAAGAGTTGTTAATGGTGAAATTAATGAACCAAAAAAAGCTTCAGATGCAGTTTTGAAAAAAAGTATTGAACTTGATGCTCCAATAGTAAAAGGTATTATATTTTTTGATTTTCCTATTTGTTATTAGTTATTTATTTAAATATTATTGTATTTTGTAAGGTTATGATTGGAATAATGGAATAGATTATGAACGTCTTTTATCTGTTTACCGATATTCTGGATTTCAAGCTACAAATTTTGGACTAGCTGTGGAACAAATAAATAAAATGGTTAGATTTTTTATGCCATGTAGGTTGCATTGTTAAATTTATATTATATTTTTAGCTAGATGAAAGAGAAAAACCATTTGAAGAAGATATTTATGAGGAAGATGAATTTATTAAACGCCGCTCTAACTGTACCATATTTCTTGGTTATACATCTAATATGGTATCATGTGGAAATCGAGATTCAATACGATTTGCTGTGGAACACAATATGGTTGATTGTATTGTCACAACTGCTGGAGGTGTTGAAGAAGATATTATAAAATGTTTAGCTCCTACATTTATTGGAGATTTCCAATTAAAAGGAAGTACTCTACGTGAAAATGGAATTAATAGAATCGGAAATTTACTGGTGCCGAATAATAATTATTGTAAATTTGAAAATTGGGTCATGCCCATTTTGGATAAAATGTTAATAGAACAAGTTAGTTTTACAAATTAAGTAATTGTGATTTTAAATTTTGTAAATAACTATTAAGTATGTAATATGTAGTATATATTTAAATGTTTTTTTAGAATATCGCCTGGACGCCATCTCAAATAATTGAGAGATTAGGTTTAGAAATAAATAATAAAGAATCTATTTGTTATTGGGCAGCACGTAACAAAATTCCTATTTTTTGTCCAGCATTAACAGATGGTAGTTTAGGAGATATGATGTACTTCCATTCTTTTAGAAATCCCGGTCTTATAATCGATATACTTAAAGGTAATTAAATCACTATTTATTTGTTTTTATATCATGTCATTATATAGTTATTATTTCCTTTACAAAAACAACGTCAACCATCCTAAATCCATACTTCTAATACTAATTCACTTTAAACACTACTGCATTAATGCATAGAATTCTTCTTTGGTTACCTCTACTTGTACTTCTATCTATTCTATTGTATTCTTATATGTTTTACTTATGATTTTAGATCTAAAGCGATTAAACACCATGGCCGTTAAAGCAGCCAATACTGGAGTGATTATTGTAGGAGGCGGATTGATAAAGCATCATATTTGCAATGCTAATTTAATGGTATGTCCTTGACTTGTCAGTATTATGTTTTTAGCCAAGTGTTAATTCTGTCATGACAATTTAATTATAAATAATTTATCAAAAATAATTGAAATAAGTATATCTTATTTTAACTGTCATGCTGTAATATTGTGAAATAAAAGCACATTAAAAAAAAAAAAGTATATCTTATGAAGTTTAGGCATTATTTTGATTAGAGAAATGGTGCAGATTATGCAGTTTACCTAAACACTGCTTCTGAATATGATGGCAGTGACTCCGGAGCTAGGCCTGATGAAGCTGTTTCGTGGGGAAAAATTAGAGCTGAAGCAACACCTGTAAAAGTAAAGCAATTTAATATTGTTATCTGTTCTTTTTATTTTATTAATTATAATTCACAAACTTTTAGGTTTATGGGGACGCAACACTTATACTACCACTCTTAGTGGGAGAAACTTTCGCTAAACGATTTCATAATAAAAAAAACAAACAATAAATAAATTTACTTGAACATTGCAGTTAATTTATTTTCCTAATTGGATACTATTTCAGCTTTGATGCATAGCTGAGAAGGTATTGTTTTTACAATGGTGTATTTATTTAGTTTTTTTTTTGTGTCTACCCACGATATCTTCTCAGCCATCTTAAAATTATGATGCTCTCTAACTTTTTTTAAAAATAATCCAATTAGATTTAAATTTGTAAAGAGTATTCTTAAGACATACTAATACCGATAAATGTTGACAACCCTAACAAATATATCCACTCTTCCCTAGAAGGGTTGAACATTTTTTATTTATTTAACTTTTTAGGTAAAGATTTAGTAAAGTTTTAGGTCTGAAAATTAGACCGAAGGTAGATCTAGAATGGAACTATAACAATTTTCTCAAAAATCTATAATCAAACTTTTTTTTTATTAAGGAAAGTTCCAAATAAAGGAAAGTCAACAGGTAATGAAAGTATTTTCATTATATTGGTAACTACGATGTATGGGTAATTATGTCGATACATTTTTATAGACAGACGATTAACTTTAATCGTATCCATCCTAATACTAAAAATTAATTTTTAAGCACATAATCAATTGTCAAAAATATTTTCTGAAGATGATCAAATTATGTATGAAAAGTTCAACGAAATTGAACCACTAATAGATATTTTCGCAAACGGCTTTTTTGTGTTATCTATCATTTTGGAATATTTTACTTATTCCCTTTCTTTTATTTTCATTAAGTTATAATAAAAATAATTTTGAAATGATTTACTGTTACAACTTTTATTAAGTTATATAAAACAACAGAAATATAGGTACTAAATTTCACAATTTTCTCATGAAATAAATTTTGACCCAGGATGTAATTTATTATTTGTTATCATTAGGTATTTTTTAAATTAAAAAAAAGCAGCTCCTCGCTTTAAAGTACTACACCGAACCAGAAATTGTTTTTATCATGTTACTCCTAAATCTAAAGGAGAATCAAATTTCACGAAACCATGTTTCTATTTCTTATTTTACTACATGTATGCATTTTGAATATAAAGTAAATAGACATTTTTTTTTTAAATAAAAAAAATAAATCCTTACTGTACTCATCCTATTGTAGAAGTATATGATGAAAACATTCAGTTTGAGTGTCCAATCCTATAAAAAAAGTCTTATCAATTTCAAAAATACCTATTACTTTGTGTTCTATTCAATTTCAAAATATTAAAAATGACAGCAATATTAAGTTGATCGAAATTTTTCAAAAAATTAAGGGTCTCATTGAAGTCAATACAAGCCAATAAGTCCACTGCTCATCAGAATCCCCCGGGTATACAGAGTGATTCATTAATGATAAGACCATGTATACAATTTACATGTATAAATTATTTCAATTGTTAGACAGTGAGGTTTTTGTATAATTTCGCACATCAGCGCATTTGTTTTGAAGTAACACTGAGTTCAAAAGTAAACAATCATTTAAAAATATAACGTATTGGTTTTTGATTTCTTGCGTTAACTCGAAAACACAAGTTTTTTACTTAAAACACTTGTATGAATTGATGTGCGTTTTCATTTTCACCGATTTCATTAATAAAAATGTTATAGTAATAATTTTTTTAAAAAATGTTTACTCGTTCAAGACTGTATTAAATTAAATCTGCTTAAATCCGATTTGATATGAAATAACATATTGAGTAATAAAAATACTTAATAATGGACTCAAATGTATCATACTATTAAATGCGTTAGTATATAAAAGACCTTGAAGTAAAAACACATAAATATCCCACCTCAATAGACCATCCTAGTAGGCGTAATTTTTGTCAGGCTTTTAGATCTAAAACTTCTAAAAATTCTACTGCTTTCAATTCCCTTAAGGTTCTATGGAACTTATAAGAATTTACTTTATTTTTAAGTATAGTTATTACATGTTTAAATAAAATATAATATTTATTAGCACGTTATGTGATAATCATGTAACTTAAGTGAAATATAAAATACCTTAGGCAATATTTTCTTTAATATAAAATATGTATTAAATAAAATGTTAGCTAATTCATAATTGAACTAATAATTAATATATACAAATTTTAATTTTAATAATAATGTGTATAAAGTAAAGAACATTGATGCATGATACTGAGTTGGATTAAGTATAATTTTTTATAATAAAAATAAATTAATCATCCCATTCATCATCTTCGTCGTCGCTTGAGTCACTGGTACTGCTGTCACTATGAATTACTCTCGCCCGTTCAGCCAAAGCTCTAGCTAATGCGCCAGCTAACCCATTACCTTCCAAGTTGTTGATAATCTTCTTTTCCACTGGTTGTACCTAGTAAAAAAACATCATTTATTATCTAGTGAAAATAATTATCCTAATAATTAAAATTTAAGTAGTTGGTACCGATTTTAATTCAACTCCTTGTCGAATTTGGTCCAATAATTCGTTCCTTGATACTGATAGATTAGGGGCTTTTTCAGAACTTGATGCTGTATCAACAGGCTGTACATATTTAAAGATAAATTACGTGAACGAACTTTCTAAATTGATTATTAAGTGCAACCATAATTTAAGTTTTCAATGGTGACAAGTGTATAAATGCTTTCATCAATTGAAAGATTAAATTGATAATCCTCAGAAGTATCCATGTATTTGATTTCTTGCTGTAGTTTTAGTCCCAATTACAGAGTCCATCTTCAGAGCAACAGTATTTCTAGCGCTCTATTTAGAGCGGTGACTACTGCTTTAAAGATGACTCTGCAATGAGTCTGAAACAACAGCAACAAATCAAAGACATTGATACATCCAAAAATAATTAAGTTAATTGTACCGATAAGATAAAACTTATTTTTTTTGTTTTATCTTATCTATATTAATAGTGACAAGGATATTTAAGAAAAAGAAATGGGACTTATAATTTTAGAAAAAATTTGTCACCAACATAATTGGAAATTTATATTATTATATTTACCTTGAGCGCCTTGCCTGATCGAATAGCATCTAAGAGGGCAGACCTTGTATCAGGAACAGATTCAACGGGTAAATTTACTTTTGGTAAATCAAGTTGTGGAGGAGGAGGTGGTGGTGGTGGTGGTGGTGCTGAATTTATTAAAGGAGGTGGAGGTGGTGGTATAATAACACTGTCTGAAAAATATAATTATAACTACTTAGTACAAATTTTAAAATGAGGTTAACTTATATTTTTGTAATACCTTGTTTCTTAGCAGGACTAGGTAAGTTATTGGGTCTTGGTGGTGGTGGTGCAAGACTTCTCATAGGAGGCATACTATTTGGTGGAGGGGGTGGAGGTGGTGCTTGCCGGATTCTTGTTGGTAACGGAGGAGGCACTGGTGAATTGTCGACAGCATCTTTAATGGCATCTATACCACCATGTTTATCAATAAAATCATAAATAAATTCTCGAGTTTGAGGATTGCGCAGTTGGCTTTCAGATACACCAGCCTAAAAATAATTATGACAAGATAAATTTAAACATAATAATTGAAAAATAACATCTACAAATGTATAAATAATTTAATAAAACAACTATAACTAATATATATTTATAATAGTTAAAATTAATTATAATATTACTTTTGCAAAAAAAGTGTTAAGCTGTGGATCTTTTATTTGACCTAAATCAAACCCTCTATCAGGATCCCAACCAATATGTTGTACATGTATGAAGTTTTCTGGTAAACCAATTTGATCTTTGGTATATTTTTTGTTTTTTGAATTTTTGGCTTTGTTTTTGTTGCGAACTTTACCTAATTTTTAAAATATAAAGAATATTTATTATACTGACGTCCCTTGTGAAAACTAGTAGGTTTATTTTTCTTAAGAAAAATATCATATTTCAGTTTGCCAAGACTAAAATCACATTTCAAGTTTACTCACAAATATTATGACGCTTCAATATTCACTGCTAAAAATATTACGTTTTATTGTTTTCTTACAAAAAAAAAAAAACAATATGTTTGGTATACGCGTCAAATATGACTAACTTTATAGTTTCAGAACAGGTTTTGTTGGTCATCTGCGATAAGTGTACGTTTTTTACGACATTAGTCGAAAGTGCCTACTTTTTATAGATAACTCTAGAAGCTTGTATTGATTTTTGCCGAAGTTACTAAGTATACATTTTTTTATCATACAATTAACTAATGTGTTGTTGTTTTACAAGAAAAATGAAACATACTAGTTTTCATATGGAGCATCAATGATATCTTATTATACAAATATTATTATACATTAATACATATATTTTTTTTAAATTAATAATTTTTAATAACTTATTAATCTTTTCATTACACAAGGTTAACTTAATGTTACAATGTTTAATAATACATAATAAATAAAAAAAATTGTACCATTAACTTGTACTGGTGGTCCTCCATACATGTTATTAGGAGTAGGAGGATGTTGAATGCTATTTTGGTTATTGTGTGCCCTGTTTCTTTGCTCTAATGAAAAACACATCAATCATTTTAAATTATGAATTAATAAAACATTTAAATAACATTTATTAAAGATAAAGTGTTTCTGAAAAAAACAAAAGTTCTACTAATATAATTATAAAACAATATATAAATGAGAAATAGTTATAAACACTTCAAATTTTTATGGTGCAAAAAATTAAGTGTGTTCTATGATAATTCACCCATTATATATATTATTTATCTACATAGATTGAATTTTATAACGTGTGAGAGTATGAACTACTTAGTTAATATTTATTAATATACTAAAATAACTACAATTGATTTTAAATTTATTTAAAAATATCATTTTTTTAGAAATTATGATTTATTTAAGTCCATTGCAAGAACCTGATCTGCAAAACAATTTTTGTTTATCTATCATAATGAAATAGAAAATCATTACCTAATCGTTTTTCACGCCTTCTTCTTTGTAAATTTATAACAGTTTCTTCAAAAGTAGCTGCTTCGTCTTCACTTGCAAAATTAAAACCTACAATACACTCCTAAAAATAAATTGTAATATTTATAAAAAGAATAAACTATTTGATAATCTCAATACAAATTATTTTACTATTGGTATGAATTTAATTATGTTGAACAATAATACATTATTTAATTGTTATATAATACTAGCTGCTCTTTCTGCAGGGTTGTACAAGATAGCTTAAACCCCTCCTTGACACAAATAAATCGTGAATATTTTAACTCGATCTGTTGAGGGGTTCTGTAGTTATGGACATATTCGAAAATGTATATATTATAACTTTATATTTTACCTCTGCTTCAAAGCAATGAAAAAATTTTGCAGTACTTTGATACTGTAATCCGTTATACATTTCGTGTTCCCATAATAATTGGCGCCTTATCGGGCAGTACAAGCGGAAGTAATAAGATTTTCTATTTGGATCTCTTATAAAACAGAGAATACCAAAGTTTTTTTGACGCCAATCAGTACTTTCTGGGCCATCTGTACTAAAAAACTGAACAACTGCCATAGATAAACTCTATAAAATCATATACATATATCAATCATACATCTGCATATTCATGAAATTAATCTTACAAACTTTAATATAAATAACAATATTTACTTGACATTTTGGGCCTAACAATTGTAATACAGAATCGTTTTCGTCCTTTCCCAATAGCTGTGAACATTTTTGTTCATGATACAAACCAGGTTTCATTTTTAAGCACGCTTATTTAACTACACACAATACAAATACGCTGCATTCAGTTTTTACTGATTTTCACCGGAAATAAGTACTTTTAATTGGGATTGGGAACGAATTAATTTGTTTTAAATTTTAATACGCGACCAATAAAGTTGTGACTCATTTCCTGTGTAGTGTCACGTTATCAAAAATCGCCTGAATATAAAAACAATGTTTTCTCACCGCGACTTCATCGCAAAATTACACGTAATTGATAAGCCTATGATAATATGTACAGATATTAGTTAACCATGACTAACAATTCATGTGGATTCACCATGACCACCTTGACGACGGCAAAATAAATAGGTATGTCAGCAATTTGTGTTATCAAATTTTACAATATGGTAGCCGGTTTGCTCTCGTAAGAAACACACGACCACTCGAGAAATGAGCACTGAGCAGCCATATATCGTGACTATCTCAAGTTGCTGACATACCTACATACTTTTCATAAATTTAACCATAGATTCCGAGATCTTTTTTGCAGTTAGCTTAATCTTCTCTGTGGTTTACCACCCACGGCCACTAATACGATTTTCCACTTCCAGTTACATGTATTGCGAAGAAAAGTAATTTTCAAGTTTTGGCTTTTAGTTCTTACTTTGCAACAGCTTACAGATTTTATTATTTTTGTATACTTATTTTCATATAATTAATAAATGAATTATTTTTATTCTTGAGCATATAGAACTTTAAGTCAGTTCACACACGTCCATTCCAAGTAGTTTCAGGGGACTTCATTCACATATCCGAGCTGAGACCTTGTGTATTAGTTTATAAATTCTAAAATAATTAGTATAAAAAAACGAAAAAGAATTGTCATTACATTTTGAATCACTCATGTCATATCATTCAGTATGCTGTATGAGCTTTAATAAGTTCAATTAATTTTTCATTGTCTACGATAAAGGTCTACTTGTCAGTGATGTATTGTAAAGTGAGTGTTGACAACAAATGCGTGTATAAAATAATAGATGTCAAACAAACTAGACAGAACAAAACACATACGATCAAGCACCATTCCATGCTGCTAACCGTCTGAGCTCGGACAAAAATAAACAAACATTCACAATTTATATTTTACTTTTAAATTTTTTTAAACTTTTTCTTTGCTTGTATTAATGTAAAATTTAAGTTTTCTAAAAAAAAGAGGAAAGAATCTAGTTAAAATTTCTCTATTTTTAACGGTATTAAAATGGTTTTTCTATGACCATTTTGCTTTGACCTATCCACTTTTCCATTAAAATGTTTTTACAATTATTGTAAACCACCCTCTTAAATATAAAATAATGAACTAAGAATAATTTATCTATAATATATAAAATTAATAAATTCACTTAATTGGCAGTAGCATGGCCATTGTCAGTGGCCCAACAAAAATAACTTAACACTAAATCTAATTTGTCTTGTAATTCAATTTGTACTTCTTAATTTTTAATAACCTAACAAATATTAATTGTAAAATGGTACTTTTTCTATGAACCATAATATAACAAAAAAAAAAGTAATAATATAATTTTAAAATTATATTTTATTTGTATTTTTTTAAGTTCTAGTATAAAATTATGTAACTAAATTAAGACAGGATTGAATATAAATTCATTAGTACATATTCATTATTCATAGTTGCCCACATTGTGAAATAACTATTGGTATTTTTGGTTTATTATTAGGCCCTGTAGGAACATTTTCAATTTTCCTCATTACCAATAATCCATCAATAACACGTCCAAATACAACATGTTTTCCATCTAAAAAGTTACAATTTGCACAAGTGATAAAGAATTGACATCCATTGGTGTCTTTACCACTATTTGCCTATAAGTGTAAAAAAAAATAATTATCTTTAATAATTTAAAAAAAGAGTTATTTTATTATTAAGTAATTGATATATATTGTTATATACTTACCATTGACAAAAGTCCAGGAGCATCATGATTGAGTTTAAAGTTTTCATCAGAAAATGTATCTGCTCCATATATACTCATTACTCCTGTGCCATCACCCTAAGTCCACAATAAAACAAAAGTCCACAATTAAATATTGAGATAAAATACAATTTTCTAATCAGTTTATTTATACTAACATTGACAAAATCACCACCTTGGATCATAAAATCTTTAATTATCCTATGGAAACAACATCCTTTGTATCCAAATGGAATTCCATCTCTTTTATGTTCCCCTGTACAAAATTGACGGAAATTCTCACTGGTTTTAGGAACTATGTCAGCATACAACTCCATAATTAATCTGCCGATTTCCTTAAATAAAAAATTAATTAATAATTATTTCTGAAGAATCAAGAGTATTATATACATTTGGTTAGCAGATTTAACGTTTTTTAAACACTGGTCATACTAAATAGAAACGCATTTGATTTGCCTACTAAATTATCTCTATCACCATCAAATATCTAAAAAAAAATGTATAAGCAAAACCTTGCTACGCATCAAAGCAAAGTATGTGTATACATTAGATAGATAATAAATACACAAATCATATTAAAAATAGTATCGTTAATAATTTAAAGAGATCAAACACCCTAAAGTCTTTATATAGCATTGATTCTTATAACACATTAACAGCTATTTCGTTCAGAATAAATGTGATCAGTGCAGACCAAAATTCATAAGCCAGCTGCTTAGTCATTCACAAAAAATACCACCAATACCCATTAGTGGACGACTATGGCAATATTGTGGGATAGAACTTGTGTGACTGGTCACATTCTGAATAGAGCATCTTCTGAAATTTGTGATGTATGCTACTGTCCAAAAATTGTGTTTATAATAATATTTCATACGGCAATGAAAAATAGACTCTTAGAAAATATAATACTTATACCAGTTGGCAAACTAACCTACACATTTTCTACAGTACTATCAAGTGGAAATTAAATTGTAATAATTATTAGTTTGCTAAAATTTAGATAACCATACCGTTCTTCCAACAGTTATATCAAAAAATACGACTGGATTTTGCGGGCTCCTTAATTGACTTTGAATTTGGTTCCAACTTGGCATTTTATAGCAACGTTATACCTTAATATATCAAAATAATTAACGATAATATTAAACTGAATCAATATCAGTTGTACCTTCAGTTGAAATTTTGTTTTGTTTAAAAAAAATGTATACGTTAATTGATTTATAGTACAGCTTTCTGTAAAAAAAACAAACAAATAATAAAGACGATAAATACAAAATAGATTTAAATTTAATCTATTTTGTTATAATAACATGATAAGGTTATGTCCCCTATATACGTTCTGCATTCGACAAGTGCCTCCTTTTTGCAGTTTGACCATCGACAAAAAAAATAAATTTATTAAATATTTGTACATAGATTAAATACATATAGATAGGCCACGGCGATATCCCAAATGGCAACCGCTATTTCGTTTTATATTTTTGGAGAGATAGCGCAGCATAGACTTATCGACAAATATTAAATGATAGTGAATTGGTTTGTTTACTAATACGTCAGCCGCATGCAATCGATAAAAACCGGTTTTTATATTACCTAGCAGCTATTTTTATTAATTATTTGAGGTAATTTTTATTTAAATTATGTGCTATTCAATAGGCCTAATTTGACAAAATTACCCCAGATTTGGGGTTATTGAGCAAAACTTACTAATTCTGTTTCCTTGACCTTTCCAACCCCAAGAAAAAAAGTTGAAAATATTATGTCACCTCTTGTAATTAAGCTTGCAAATTGTAACTTTTTAGATGGAAAACATGTTGTATTTGGACGTGTTATTGATGGATTATTGGTAATGAGAAAAATTGAATATGTTCCTACAGGGCCAAGTAATAAACCAAAAATACCAATTGTTATTTCACAATGTGGGCAACTATGAATAATGAATATGTACTAAATGAATTTATATTCAATCCTGTCTTAATTTAGATACATGTTTTTATACCAGTACTTAAAAAAATACAAATACAATGTAATTATATTATTACTTTTTTTTTGTAATTTTATGGTTCATAGAAAAAGTACAATTTTACAATTAATACTTGAAAGTTTATTCAAAATAAAGAAATACAAATTGAATTACAAGACAAATTAGATTTAGTGCTAAATTATTTTTTTTAAATCAAATAATTATATCCCAGTTAGACAATATAATTATTATTGTATAAATATTGTTTACCACCTACCTGGTCAAATATTATTTAGTTGGGAGAAAAAAGACGTGCAGTTAATAACTTTCCTACTAGACCCCCGCCTACAACCAGAATTAGAGTTACTGGGAAATTTCAAAAATATCTGGCCTGTAGGATATTGAAAGCAGTCACTTATTGCATGTTTGTTGGGCCACGGACAATGACCATGCTACTACCAAATAAGTGAATTTATTAATTTTATAAGTTATAGATAAATTTTTCTTAGTTCATTATTTTATATTTAAGAGGGTGGTTTACAATAATTGTAAAAACATTTTAATGGAAAAGTGGATAGGTCAAAGCAAAATGGTCATAGAAAAACCATTTTAATACCGTTAAAAATAGAGAAATTTTAACTAGATTCTTTCCTCTTTTTTTTAATAAACTTAAACTTTACATTAATAAAAGCAAAGAACAAAATTAAAAATATTCAGATGTTGAAAGAGTCGTATCTATTGAAAGATTTGTATTATTGAAAGATTCGTATTTATTGAAAGAGTCGTATCTTTTTCTTCTTCCGTGACTTCAGCCTTCAAGACCATGTCGTCGAAATTTCCCTATCCATTGCTAACTCCTTCCAATCCATCCCTGGTCTTACTTTATTTATCCATGTATTCTTTGACCCTATCTTCCCAGCGTAGTTCGGCCTTCCAAGTGGTCGTTTTCCTCGTTGTACATTCTCCTGTACTATTTTTACCAATAATCCTGTTTTTCGCCAAGAATGACATGTCCACTTCAGCTTTCTTTTGGTTATATTTTCTTAATGCTTGGCCTTTGATACAATTCCTAGATTTCCGAGATTTTATCGACCTTCATTTTTTAAAAAATAACCTTGGACTGAACCTACATATTATTATGATTTATGTTCTTCTATTTTTTTAATAAATTATTTTTCAGCTGCTCTTGTTCCTTGTCTTAATATTTTCCTTGCTAATTTTTAAGAAAAAAATTATTTTTACATTATTATGATCTATATCATCTACTATTTATGATATGATTCACGGTAGGTATATTAAATGACAGCCTCTCACAAGCTAACCGATTTGTCCGGTCTTAACTAAAAAACCAACGAATTCCCAGAATCTAAGTTGTGATAAATAATTTATTAAAGCATTGTATACTTGATAGTTATTAAACTTAAGTCTTTTTTTTAAATCGTGGGATTGTCACTTTTCCATACATTATATATACAGTATATTTAAGACACTTCCCGCCATCAAAATAAGCTACTACCTACTGCGGTTACTTTTATGCTATGCTATTCGATTGGAGTCCTTACAAATTTGTATTAGCATTTTTAAATTTGATTAGCTTTAAATAATTTGTAATTTGTCATTATCATTAAATGCTTTCTAAACAGTACTGTACCGCAGGATATGCATGCTGTGAACAATAAATTTACGCGACGAATACTTGGCACAGCGTTATTTTTAACTTTTCTTGTGGACGCGTGCATTGGTCGGCATGCCTTTTGACTACTGTATGTTATACACACCGGTCTTACCCATCGTCATCATTATAATTATTATTACTGCAATGAATCGTTCAGTTGCTGCGCTCGCTTCACGGCGAGTAGCTATACGATTTTTCCGGGAGGCTTACTCGTCGTCCCGGAAATTCCAAGAGTCGTCAAAATAACATAAAAATTGTTGCGAAAACGACAATTGCGTCTGAATCCTGTGTAGGTGTACATTTGTTTTGTACGGCTATGCCGATGAATTGAATGAACGAAAACAAACTGAATGGAGCGTGCACAACAAACAGGGATGGACGCAAACGTCAATAACTGCCGGAAGTCCAAACGCGGCAACTCGTCGAGCTCGAAAATCAAAAAGCAATTAGAAAACGAACTTAACCGGCAGCGGAGTTTTTTCGTTACTGGCACTCCGCGTCAAAACAATGGACAACACGTTCAGGTATTTAATATAAGTATATCTTTTTTTTCTGTTGATACCATATTATTTAAATAGTATTTATCACTATTGTTTTTTATTTATAAGTATTATTTATACATTTATAATCAATGCGCTCTTGTGTAAACATTAAACAGCTAACGATCTGTAATATACAAAATCCTGCGTACGGTTGATGATTTGGAAAAAAATATTTGAAATCGCTTGTCTCGGACGTTTAGCTCGTAGTCAGTTGTGTTTGCCAAAACTGTACCTATGTATAATCAATAATGAATGTAAAGGATACCACTTTATGTAGTTTATTCATAGGATATGTTTTTATCAACTATACTTACAAATTACAAGGTGGCTTGTAAGTCGTGACCACGAGGACATATTTAGGAAATTCTACGACTTTTATTAAATAACGACGTTTTTCCATTTAGGTATGATGGAAATATTTTAGATTAACGCGATCACATTGGCCTAATTGATCAATCCCGATTTTCAATTTTTATTAGATTGACCATAACAGAAAAAAATTGTGATCGAATGATTCTTCCTTTTCAAGTTACGTTTTGACTTTTGAACAAATAATTAAATGTGTATTGATCAAAGTTAATTCAAAGTCAGTCTTCAAATTTAAGTTCCCGAAAATCCAAAAACGGGGTGCTTATTTTTAGATACCCTTAATAATGCCTACTCCCCAGTCGAAACTTTTCGGGTTAGTCGTTAGACAACTCTAGATGTAGTATGTGTAAATATAATTGAATATTCCAAAATTAGAATTCGAACACTTTACTTTTTAAATTTCGAGTATACAATTATTTCAAAAATGATTGAAATAATTGTTACTATTCGAATCGAAAATATTAGAATAATTTCCATTATTAGTGTATGGAGACATAAGATGTTCACGACAATCATATTTACAGAGAGAAAATTTCAACAAAAGCATTAATGTGCTAACGGGAGTGAAAAAACCTACTCTCGAAATCTATCGGCCACCAAGTAAGTGTTTAGTAAAATGGAATAAATAATATAATAAACTATAGTCTATACCTAATATAAACAAAGAAATCGGACATAAATAACTTGAACGTTCTATAGTAAAGTTAAGTTTTAAAAACTAAAAAAAAAATATTAATAAAAAAAATAATTTATTAATTTATGTCACTATGTTTTAATACACTATTAGCATTGTGGTATCTTTATACAAATTAATGATTCTAACTTCAATTAAGATAAAATATGAATTGATTGTTGCCTATTGGTGATACTGATTTATAATTATTGTACACACGTACTACACGTGTTTTTAATATATATTCTATCATCTTAAATTAAAATCTATATTTGTAAAGTAATATGAGAAAAAGTGCCCTCTCCAGTATAACTATTATATTAGAACTAAAATAAATGGAATCTTAAATTCTTCATTATATATTTTAACAATTATTATTCTTATGATACCTAATTGATAAATTACAAGGTTCCGTTAACCGTTATTTATTCGTTCAGTTCAAAATTATGTTCATGAACGTTAACTAGGAATAACGTTATAACTTTTTTTACCCCGAGAACGTTATACCGAATAACGTTTTAAATGTATTTGCTCCGAGAACGTTATAACAAAAAACGTTATAACTTATTTTACCCCAAGAACGTTATACCGAATAACGTTTTTAGTTTATTTGTTCCGAGAACGTTATAACGAAAAACGTTTTAAATTTATTTGCTCCGAGAACATTATACCGAATAACGTTATAATTTGTTTTACCCCGAAATGTTAAAACGAATTTTGCTAAGTTAGGCTAGGTTAGAAAAAATAGTGATAAAGAATAATGTAGTAAACATTTTGACTGGTCAATAACGATAACGATTTAAAACGTTATTCGGTATAACGTTCTCGGGGTAAAACAAGTTATAACGTTTTTTGTTATAACGTTCTCGGAGCAAATACATTTAAAACTTTATTCGGTATAACGTTCTCGGGGTAAATAAATTTAAAACGTTATTCGGTATAACGTTCACCAAACATATCCTAATATTATGTTATGTTCTGAGAACTTTATTTTGGTGAACGAAATAATTGAGTTTATAACGTTATATTTCGTTACGTTACGGAACCCTGATAAATTACTCTATTTTTAACGAAAATATTTTACTTGTTACCACCCTTTACTTATATCTACCATAGGCAATATTCAGTTTTCCGCCAAAAAAACTACTAGCCCTTCTCAATCTACGAGATCTCAATGATAATATAATTCAGTACAAACATTGGTTTTCTAGTGTAAAATCATACATTAGCTTAGTACACATTAGCTTTTTTAAATACTAAACAGTGTATAATGTACATATGAACATGTACTATTGTCCAGTTAATTTATAAGCTTAATATACTATACACTGTACTATAACTTTTGTAGCATGCATTATTTATAATTAATTTAATTATTATTTTTATCTTACTTTATTATAATTGTGCCTAGTTAATATTTAAATGAAATTATTCATATGCCTACCGTTGTGGTTTAATGTTTATGACAAATAGCTGTTGTTGCCGATCATACATTTGGCGAAATTTAACTTTCATTCTATATTTACTACATCGCGTACTTAATACTATACATGTACTTTACTATACAATAGTACATGATCAGCTTCTGATACCATTAGTTTGTAATAAGTATTTTTTTAGAAAATATATTAGTTAAACACTTGCTCATCTTGCTGTATTATTATCATTGAATACTTACTTCAATTGTATAATGACTATGCATGATTTCGTTAGAAATTTAGAAAGCACAGACTATCAGTTTCTTTAAATGTAACAAACTTGTTTAAAATTTTAGGTAAAATAATAATTATTATTGGTTTGTATGCTGTAAAATTAGACATATGGTATTTTTGGCGGAAAACGAGAACACCTGTTTTGGTTTTCTCGTGTTTTTTTTAATGCTCGACATTTGTAGCATGACATCCTTGCAGTGATCCTTGTATACCTTAATACCTTGCGTGCCATAGGTTTGCGGAATGGCGACGTAAATAATAACAATGATAATGTATATGTAGCCAACGGATTGCAGAAATCAAAGGGTGCAAAAAATTCGGAAAATTCAGCAGTGCCTGTGGATGAATGCAAGTTGAATGTACACGCCAAGGAGTTTACCATAGAACGTTCAAAAACTGCTCCGCAGTCTATTATGAACTACACTAAACATGAGTAAGTGATAGTAATAAATAAAATCATGGTAATATCTATTATTATACATGTTTAAGGAACTAGTGTTATTTCATTAAAAATAAGATCGTAGGTGTTAACATGTTAGAGGTTTATACTCGATGCACAATCAGATAGGTAAAAATTGTTTTCCCGTTTACGGTATAACTATTAATTTTAAAATACCTATACTTAATTGTACAAATATATTTTTAAATCAATTTTATAGCATAAAAATGGTATGCTTTACGTTAAATAAAATCTTAGAAATTATTTAAATTAATTTTTTTTAATTATTCAAAATATATTTTGAGTTAGCTGGACAGTTCTTCCTGAAATTTTAAAATTACCTTTCTTTCTTACTATTCAGTAGTCTATGTCTTGTTTTACCAATAAGTATCATAATTTCATTTACTAACATATTGGCTGTATTTGTTCGATAATAATAATTAATAGTACCATAATTCTGTATTATTTCCTTATTAATTAACATGCATATTTTCGTGATATAAATTAATAATATTACAAAAAAGTAATATATATACTTTCATAGTTTCACATCAAACCTGAGGATTAGGTCAGGTTGTGTTATTGCCTGTTATGTAATTTTAAACATCATTAATTGTGTGTATAAATGGCACTCCCGTGATAAAAATTGAAAAATGTATGATGGTTTTTTAATCGATAGGTAAAGAATATTATAAATATATGTAAAAAAATGAATCCAGAGTCTTATAGAAAATATGTAAAAAAAAAAAAATCTTTTGCTAAAGTTATTATTAGCCTTATTTGTTCCAGCTAAAGAATAATTTTATATTAATTTCAACTGTCTTAGGAAATATGACAAAAACATTGGAATCGGTGCACTATCTAGATCAAGAACGTTTTTTACAAATGGAGATTTTAGACCGAATAATCAGAAAAAAAGCTACGATTACAAAAGTTATAAACCTAACTTTCAGCAGACAAAAAATATTTTACACCAAAAAGATTCTCTAGTAAGTATTTTACTTTATAAAATATAATTTTGAAAACGGCATATGTTGGTATAACATATTTTGTGTATAATACGTGCTATAGGGATTGAAAGTTCAGTTTAAAGAACCGTTCAAACAAAAAACGAAAAATGAAGAATCAAGTAAATGTTCAACGATTTTGACAAACGACGATTATAGTTTGAGACGGTCAAAAAGCTATAATGGACAGGACAATAAATATGTTGACACGTCTAGCAAAACTTTGTTAACAGACTTTAATGTTAATGAACTGAATAATTTCCCCGAAGATATTAGTAAAATGGCAAAATCAATCTTGAATGGTAAAGCTATTTAAACAAATTTAAGTACCATTTATCATATGTATTTATAAATGTAACATTTTATGCTATTTATGAGCAACTTTCTATTGTGAATTTGTTTTTTCAATATATTAGTTCAGGATATTATGTATTGAAGTTTATTAATATCGTTGTTGATGGCTTTTATCTACATATTCTAGACACAAAAAATTCCCCAGTTAAGGATTTGATGTTGCTAGCTTTGAAAATCATTGAGCATGCTGTCAATAGCAAAATCGAGGATCTAAATCCGTCGGTAAATCTTTCTCTGCATATAATCGAGGTGAATTTTAGAGCATCGCGTCGTTCAAACATGTCTGCAATGTAGGACCTACATTTTAACAGTGTAAATTGTAACAGGAAGACACCCGAGATACTTACGTGAATATGATCATCAACACGGTGCAATTGTGGTTTGTCAAACGAGAAAAGCTATTGCAACCACCTAGACTATACTCATATGCTACGTTTGTACTTCAAATTTATAGAGGAGTAAGTACGCCTACATAAGGAAATAAGTATAATTAGTTAAAATATTGCATCAACGAAAATTAACATATAGGCATATAATAAAAATATACAATTAAGTTAAACGATTAATATGTGCTCTTAGGCACTTATAAATAATAATAATAATAACAAGCGTAGATTGGGTAAATTATTTTTAACTATGTATTTAGGTATTTAATTTTTTTCAAATGTATTAACATGTCTTTTTATAAAATAGATTCTACACAGAATGTATTCCAGAAAAGTAAAATACAAAGGGAACTTTCCAACATATTTTTTTAAAATTAATGCAATACATTGTACCGTTAACTAAAACCAGGTGTCTACAAATTGTATGATTTATTTCTTAGATGAAACAAAATAAAGTGCTTTTAAACCGAATGGAACTCGAGTATTATTCACGAAAGCAAGCGTTGTTAATGTTACTGGCTAAAATTTGTGAACATTGTTTATTGCCCGACAAAGGAGAAAATGCCAATGCCGAAGTGAGTTATATTTTTAATAGCATAAACATTTGTTTGAGTAAGGTATCAGATTACAAAAACAACTATAAATATTTCATAATACATTTCAATGGACATTATGAGAAGCTCAAATGTTTTTTCTTATTTATTTTTATAATTAGAAAGACTTGTGATGTTTTTTAAACTATCATAATAATATACTTGTATATGCATATATGTATTTATTAAAACCCTATATATTATTGTGCTCTTCTTTCCCATAAATATAAAACAATAAATACTGGAAATGGAAATTATTGGTTATTTTTAGCCACAAGAATAGTTGTTGTTTTAATAAAATGTGTTGTTTTTTACAAAAGATAATTCTTATTCTATAATATAGGTACATACCTAATTTTTTTCTGAAAATAATTACTTTAACATTTTTTAAGTATATTTTCTTCTTTATACATTAACACCTTCGGAAACTCAAGTGACAAACCGTAGACAGTATAATCCATATTATTCAGTTTACTAAAATCGAAATCATAAATAATCTATTGACTGATGCATAACAAAAATTTGTTTGATCAATTGATTGAAAAATATTAACCATCAAACCGTACAAATGGTTGTTGAATATATTATATTATAGATACTAAATACCAAGTAGGTAGCGTTACACATCACAGTGATACTGAATATGACGTGACGTTTTCAGGTAAACTGCATGTTCAGCATAGTAAATGCTGTTGGACCAGACTTGGAACAAGAAATTCCGGACACGCTACAGCAACTGTACGTTACTATGAGAGACACTCTGTTGACCCAAGACTGTTCAACATTTGTCAAGAAATCCTTATTGCATCTTATCGAATTAAGAGCTTTTAAGTGGGCATTACCTCAACCGACTCTAGATTTTTACAACTCCATGAAAACCAACAACGCTTAATTAACATTTTTAGAATCGCCAAACACTTATTAATTATTGCACTCAAAATATGATTCAATTGTATCATTATATATATTTCACTAATGATTGACTCGTTACATTATCTATATATAGAATAGACAAAATATTTGTTAGCTCCATCCAATAACTAGAAGCTATTTTTTTTTTGTTAAATGTAAAACAGATTGATTTTTGATAATGTTTAACTGAAATAATTTTTAACATTTTTGTATACGATTAATTAAATTTAAAAAAAAGTTCTATCTATTATTATAATTATTTCAACACCTTTCTAATATAAAGTAAAAGACTTATGTACTGCCATAAATAATTCACTGAAACACATACTGTGTACAGTGTGATTCAAAACGAAATAAATCTCTGTTACAGTTTACTTGATGTGTCCAAATATAATACGACAGCAATTTGTATGCAGAGCACTTAACCCTATTTACTATTATCTCAATTCTATTTTAATTGAATAACGAAACCTATATTTTTTTAGGATTAATTAATTTTGAATACCTACAAACGGTATAATAATGACACTTAATTTTAATTTTGTATCGTTAAACGTAATAAAATTAGAGAACATCAATATAAATAGTTTAAATACAAAACAATATAATTAACAAATGGTTTTATTAATAACACAAAAAAATTTAATTACATAACATCGGAAATAATTAAAATAAAAAGAATGACTATAATTATGAAATAAAATATATTTAAAGTACAATAAAATTTTAAAATAATAATAATAATAATAATAATGTTATATAGTTATTAAAGGGAAATACTGTTTAAAATGATTTATTGAGTAATAGACATAAAAGTTTAGTCCAGATAAATAAACACTTATTACAATTAAAGACAATAAATCAGGTACCAATATAAATGTAACAAATTTAAAAAGATATGATCACTAAAATATGCTAATAGGTTATTGTGATATGTTATATTAACTTGAGTCTTTGCCAACAGGTGATAAAAGTAGCTGGAATTTAAATGTAATAGCCATATTTACAAAAAATAAAATAATAATAATCGAACATTATTCAATATGAAACATATACCATTTGCAGTTATAAAAAAAATTCAAGCATTGTAACATTTGGTATATATAATAAGGTACGTTATAATACCTTTTAAAAAATTATGGTATTAAAATATAAATAATTAAAAATGATCAATATTTGTCTGAACACATTTTAGAAAAAGATTTTGTATTTATTTTCTTTCAATATTATTACTTTTTGATATAAATAAATCAACTACCATGATCATCATAGAATAATTGTTAAAATCCCACAACCTTGGTAAAAGAAATTAGGAAATAGATAGTTGAGTTTTGATATTACAAATACAATAACAAACAAGTTGATTTTTTTTATTCTTTACAACAAATATCACTTAAAACTCGGCGAAAACGCTTGCTGGGAAGGTAGAAGTACATCATTAGTGCTGAAAAATGCATTTTGTTTGCCTGCTAAAATAATATTAACATTTTAATAATTATTTTATAATGTCAGAATATTATTTACTTATGTAATTTTAATAAAGTAGTAGTAGTATGGTAACCAAAATAGAATAAAGTATTAAAGACTGTGCTTGTACAGCTTAATTTAATATAATTGGAATAATAATTTAATTGTATTTACCAATAGTATTATTATTGTTTGAAGCCATTTGGTTCATAGACATTGAAATTGAATTTGGTGATTTGCTACCTGGCGATAGTAAATTGTCCAAATCTATGTTGAGGTTCTTTACTCCACTCCAAGTGCTACCCACCTACAAAAACATCACGAAAACCTAGTTGATTTTTTTACACATTTTATAATAAAATGCAATATTATTTGAATATTTCATTATTCAAATTTAACAGTGAATACGGTTAGGTCAGAAAATATTTCCATTATTACTTAATTAAATATACTGATTAATAGCACAGGAGCATCAAGATTAATTCACCTTATTGGCATCATTTCCTGATGTCTTATTGTTTTCGGTGTAATTATTCTGAGCAAACGATAATGGCTGAATCGCATGATTCAACGGTATAGACCCTGAAATGAAATGAAAGAATAAAAAAATAAACAACAACACATATATTTGTGTGTGATAAGGTAAAGAAGTACAACTCCATTTAATATCTTTGTTTTATATTGTACACAAATTGAAGTTTGAAAAATGTGATATTTTAATTTATGACAAAAATATATTTATTTTATGAACATTCCATCGCCAAAAGTGTTCTTGTAAAGTATCAAAACTTGTACGGCAAACTTCCTCGCTTCACTATCTACTTCATTGTCTATTTTGTTCATAACGCCTTCCGATACAACAACATTTTCCAGCCACATGACAAATTCTAACAGAGAAGTTGACATATCATCAATAAGTCTTGACTTGGGCACTGATAGTAGTACAGCAGCTACACAACCCATGACCGCAGTTCTGATTTTAACATCATTATGAAATCTTAGCGACCAAGTCCATTCTAAAAGTTCCATACCCATGCGGACTACGTGCATCGAGTTAACAGCACAGCATAGTATAACAGAAAGAGAGTTGAGTAAATGTACACCGAGAAAGTTTAAATCTTTCATGTCGTCTGTATGTTGATGAATAATTGGATCTGTTAAATTTCCACGGATTAGTGGAAAGAAAAACGCATTGGCTACCAAAGCAAAATGATTGCTTTGCAATTTAATTGGAGCTTTTGGTGTGGATATTATTCTAGTTTTTTGTTTTATTCGTTGTTTAACAATACATTCCAAATCATTAACATTGACTTTAACCGCAAGACCATCATTTGTGTTATCATCGGTAATTTTTTCAAAACCAGATAGCTCCTTAGCAGATCCTGTCAATATATTTAACATTAAAATACGATGACAAACAGCATACTTGCCGATGGACGCATAAAACATACTACACAAATGTTTTGCACATTCAAATGGAAAAATTTTAACAACAGCCACAGCAGAATGATACCTAAGGCTTTCAAAATTTTCCAAATAAAATTGTTTTTCCATTGATATTAGTAATGTTAACAATTCAATAGCAAATGTTATATCATCGTTAGGTAACTGAGTTTTTATAAGATTTTCAGCCACTTCTAGACTTCCTATCCAGATATCGGCATCTTTTTGTTCATTAAAACCATCAATAAGATCACGTAAATATTTCGGTTGATTTTTTATATTTGTTTTAATATCATTGGATAGATCATAAGGTTCAAGATCGTCATCACTGTCGAGCTGCTCTTCTTCGAGTATTTTATTTTTAACACGTTCGGATGCCTCTTTTAAATCAGGCTTAGATAGCACAGTCCGTTTAGGATTAACAACATTAGAGTTTGCAAGGCAAAAGTTCTGTAATAAATCGAAAGCTGTATCAAATTTTAATTTGTTTTTAAAATTATTATTGGGGAATTCTTTTAGAGTTTTAGCAATAAGTTTTGATTCTTCTTGTAAACTGTCATACTCAAAATTTAATTGATTTAAGTTATCCTTATCTTTGATAAAGCCAATAACAGTTTCCGCCACAATCATTCCTATGGTTCTCATTTTTTCTTCTGAACTTTCTAAATGTATGGGTACTCCTTCGAATAGCTTAATTTCAAAATTGGTTATGAAATCATTATTAAGCGCCATGTCAGATAAACAATAAGCGCCAAAAACAATTAATTTTGATAAATAATAGTGTTGTTCAATTGGTGTGTGTAACATAGCACTTCTATTACTCCAGACCTCGACTAGTTCTAAAACAATATTACAGAGTATATTTTTATTTGAATGAATTTGTACCAATTTTAAATAGTTCATAAGATTGATAACAATATTATTGTCTTCGTTGTAAAAGAGAAATAATAATTTTTTACATAATGTGTAATTCCAATTCGGTATGTCAATAACTGAATCGCCTAATAAAGTATAAAGTGATCTGGGTGTTGATAAGTTACAGCATAGCAGTAAACCAAGTCTGTCAATTGCTCTCCTGTCAGCTTCTATCAATGCATTTCGAATAATTATCGCATAATTGTCATCCATACACCAACATTCTAATATTTTTATGGCCGTTGAAAAATTATTTTGAGGAAAATATGCAACAGTTTTGAATAATATTGCCGAGATGGGCTTAATATTTAGTTTGACTTTTTCTAATGTATAATATTTACACAATTGATCGATTACAAACAATATATGTTGTACCAATCCATTAGAAAACTCTATCGGAGAAAATTGCTTGGGTAAATTTTGTTCCACTTTGTTAGCAATCCTACTCGGTAAAGATAACAAAAATTCCAAAACGGATGTAAAACGGTTATTATTTGCATTTAAAGTTTCAAGAATCAATGAAGATTTAATTAAATCACTTTTAAAAATGGCATCTATCAAGTCGATCGCGCAATCCGTTTTGAAAGACAATGGATTTCTTGCTATATAGTTCCATAAAATATGCAGCGACAAATCAAGCATTTCCAAGTTACCACCATCTGGTGCAAATATAGGCTTGATAATTTGAAAATATTTCGTAAAATCAGTTAGTTGTAAAACTATTTCTAGGATTTGACCATATATTTTAGTAATTTGTGAGTAGTCAGCGCTATCTAGTTTTGTTATTTTTTGTGGAGTCATTGGACCTGGCATATATTCAATAAATTCTTTCAATCGCATTTTTATGTCCAAATCTGAATGCTTGTGAATAGATTCGATAAGTTTCTTCAACGTTATCTTCAATGCTGAAAAGTCATAATAAAAATACCAGTTTTTGGTCCTCTATGTACAAATATTGAATTATTGGAATACTAATTATTATTTATAGATTTGGAATCAAAATAGGCGTCAAGTACTACACTGTACATACATACAATTAAAAATATACGTACGTAGTATTGTACATATATATGTATATACGTATAATTAAAATAAATACTAAAGCTAAATTTATCGTAAATTACCTGTATTTTCTAATGCATCAAAGTTCAAGTCTAATAAATTACTACTTGGTTTGTTGTTAGATGATTGTGGTAACGATGTCAGGAGATCGGTATTAGTAATTAATTTTTGGTTAGCTAAAAAAAAAATATATTTAAACATAAATAAAAATGTATAATATTTATAAATCAAAATTATTTAACATTAATAACTTACGTGTTTGAACTGAACTCACTGGATTACTACTAAGGGACATAGACTGAGTAAATGCCGAACTAAAATCAGCAAATTCGTCACCACCAACACTAATGTTGGGAATAAAAATACAAAAAATGTAAATTGAATATATTTTATACAATTAATATTTATAAAATATTATTTACCTTTGATTAATAATTTCACTGTTTTTGGTATTTGGCGCAGTACTAAACACTGCATTAAAATCTCCAAAATCATTTGATTGTTTATTACTGTCATCTACTATATTTAATAAGTCAACTGAACTAGTTTCAGTGTCTAAGAGGTTGTTTGTTGTTGTTGTAGGGTTACTGATCACAGATTGTTGTTTACCATAGTGTGCTGCCGCTCCTAAATCAATGCGTTTTACAGGAGTTCTGTGTTTAGCTGGACTTTGAACTTTAGTGGGCGAAACACTTCGATCTTTAAATATTTCTACAGGTTTCTGAGGAATGTCAAGTTCCGGTTCAGAATCGACAACATCGTTTTCATCACTAAAGTATAGAATTTGGAAAAAATCATTAAGTGGGGTCACATTTTTCCAATTAAAACATATCACAATTGTTGAATAATACTTCAAACACTAAAAAGCTTCAATTCTCACCTATTATTAGGCGATTCTTCAAAACCTAAAGTATTTGAATTTTTTTTATCACTAAACTCGTTACTGCTACTTTTTTTCCATCGTGGTACATCGTCCCATTTTTCAATTCCTAACACATATCGTAAAAATATAATTATTTTAATATAAAAAATATAAAAATATCTATTGTTCATTACCAGTTCCTTTGTAACCCATTGCTTCACTAGATAATCCAATATATTTATCTTTGTTTTTCTTTGCTTTCTTTCTTTCTTCTCGCAACTTATCGTCATCTTGAATGAAATCAATAAGCTCTTTAACTTTATGCCTGTTTTTTAAAACCAGATAAATCAATTTTAAAATATCAAATTAATTTGTGAGAAAACCAAATCTTGATTAAAAATCTCACCTTATATTGATTCCTTGATCTTTTCCAAACTCGTCAACATAAGAATAATTTTCTAATCCTCTTAAATCATAAATGTGCTCCCGTGCAGATGTAACCACTCGTTCTGAACCATTTTTAACTAAATAATTTAGTAATAGTAAACTCTGAAAATTGCATGTTTATGTTTTTGTTATTAATTAATAAAATGTTCATTATACGTAATTAAATTTAAAAGCCAATACATTGGAGACGGAGCGTATTGGGGTAGAGGTTATAGGTTACAGGAGTTACTTAACTAAAATAAATAAAATTACTTTCAAAACACTTTAATGCGAATCTTTAGATAGTAGATAATATAATAGAAGAATAAGATAGAAGAATTCTAATGGTTATAACAACCTAAAAATGTATTATGGTTTAAATGTAATTTTCACCTTTTTTTCCCGAATATAAAAATTTAACTACAGAATTTGAGAAAATTGTATGTTGTACCTCCACTCTAGATCTACCTTAAATCTAAAATTGCTGCGCTGACATCCATTTAAGTTTAAAACTACACCTACAAATAAAATAAATAAACAATTTGTCAACCCATTCGAGGGAAAGGGGTTTTTATATATTTTTGGTTTGTCAATGTATATTGATATTGGATAATACTATGTCTAAAGAATATTCCATACAAATTTTGAACTTATTATAATTATATTGAACCTATTTTGAAAAAAGTTTTAGTGCGCAAGATTTTTAAGTTTAAAATAGTGTAATTAATTTGGATGTTTTTCAAAATTTTGTAGGGTAAAGGGTGAATTTTTAAATTTGTAGCTCAAATCCTTTATAGTATGAATTTTTTTTTTTAAATGAAAAATTAGGAATCATTAATATTGCAACTAAAATATATATGCCATATGTATGTGTTTAATGCACTCTAGTGATAAAAATTGTTTTGAAAATCGATAGTTCAGTTATTTTTCCGACAGAAAGTGATGTAACAAAATAAATATATCAACCATAATCAATAAATGATATCAACATAAATAACCTAATGCATATATGCACTTACATGCAGTGAAGGTTTAAGTACCATTCTGGTATGATTTCTGATCTTTAGATTTACTACATGAAGAAATCGGTTCAATAGTTTTAGTAGTCACAAAAAAAATTAAAAAAATAGTAAAATCAATACCATCTCAGTTAACAATATAGTTCTTTAACATAAAACAATAACTTATCATTTTAATGCAAAAACCACATACTTTGTAAGTACGTCTCCAATTTTTTTTGTTTTCATGTAACATTCTTTTCCATAGCATTCCCATAACTTCAGGAAAGTGTTCAAACATGAATGTAGCTTGTGCAACTTCTTGCATTAAGTTACCTAAAAAATAATACCCATAATAAATTAGTTGTTTTATGACAGTTTAATTGTATAGATAAAACAATTTTTTTTTGTATTATTATTTCATCAGTGTAATTGATTTTACTTAAAAAGTGAAAATTGGCTTATTTTTTTATCTCAACTTAATTTTTTTTTATGTATAATGTAATTCAACGATTTTTAATTAAAGCAATGTCGCTGCCATCTAAATATTTGGAATTGGAGAGGAACATGAAGATGGAATCTTGGTTTGACTTGATTTATGTAAGTATTGTTTTTAGTTAATATACAGGCGTGTGACAGAGTGAGATAAGGTGGCAGTATACTAACGCACGGTCGCCGGTTGAATCTCGGCCACTGGCAGTTTGTTCCTCTAGTCGGACAACTGTCTTGGGGGAAGAAATAGCCACCTGCACCTTTTTTGGGGGCCAATTTGTATGGTAGCATTAGGTTAACAAGCTCAAAAATGCCAAATCTAAACCGTCTAAGCCCCGATCGGTTGGAATAAGACGTTAAACATAATAGATATTGATTTTAGTTCAAATTAAAACAAATCTAGAATCATAAGGAATATTGCAATAACTGCAAAATTAATTATCTAGATGAATCTATAAGAAAAAAACAAATTTAGGAAAAATGTTTGTTTTTAAATAACTTTAATGCATTTCAAGAAAATTGCATAAATGACATCACTAATATCATATATGTAATAAAATAAAGATGTTAGGTAAATGTTATTTTATTTAAATTACAGAATATGCATCGTTACTTTCTTAAGGATTTAAAAAAAATATATTACTGGGTTTTAACTACATAACTCTAAAAACTATAGTTCAGAAAGTTGTAAATATCAAATAAAATTGACACCCGAATAACGGGTAAACATTAACGTACCTGTTGGTCCCCATGCTTCATCATTTGTCGCTTCACGGACTTTGGCTTCGATTTCTGTATAGTTGAGAACTACGTTTGTTCTGCAAAAACAACACACACAAACATCAGTAAGCATCCTAGTCATGGGGAAATCATTCGAGACTAAAAAAATTAAGTAGGTAAAAATCAACTTACACTTTGTCGGCGAGTTCTCTTACTTTCCACATTTTGTGAACGGGCGGGTATTGTATGGCAGTGATATGGACAAGTGTATGGTACTTAAACGCCGAGACTTACTCAGGTTACGGACTCATCCGATTTGTACACATTAAAACTCAAACGCAAACACGACCACCGCGAACTGGCGAAACGGTTAATTATTGAGCGATTTTTCAAATACTTTTTGAACGGTTCCCAATCGCGAATGATGACGAGAGCAATAACGCCATTTTCACTTAGAAATCAGAATAACAAGTGGTGGTATGTACCTACCGCGGTTATCTATGACTATCTACAATTTACAATGATGCCCACTCGATGGATCAGTGCGCGCAGCGCGTGGAACAACCTTGGAACCTCTATACCATAGTCGCCACTCGCCACTCCACGGCCAACATAATAATATCATAGGAGTATAATACAAAGCAGCAATGTTAAGTGGTGCCTACTGCCTACTACCTACTATATACCTACTTTCAAAATGTACGTTTACAATATTTATGGATGGTAAGTACATTATTCAATGTCTACGTCGAAGGATGAAATTATAAGAAAGCAAGCGCATGCGCGACACACAAAAGTCCCGCGCAAATTGAATATAAAATAGTAATAACTATAATAAATATTATATTATAAATGTTATGTTTGTATTTTATGTAATAAAAGCATAGATTAGATAAAACCTATCTTTTATTAGTTTTATCTAATCTGTGATAGAAGTAGTTACTTATGTGTTAATAATTAATTATTTTTATATAGTTGATAATTTAATAAATTGCTTTATAAAAACAAAAATAATATTCAAACAGATTCACGTTGAAATTATAATAAAATGGTAACACATTACCACATTATAAAGAATTATTTGGTAATAATTGTCAATGGGATTTGAATATACTACGAGGACGGTTTTTTCTTTGTTACGTAAATCGTATTTGGAAGGCTTACAATTTTAAAATGTCACATGCCCTTGTCAAAATGATTTGTATTATTTACTTATCCTTTTTTTTTGTTATTTTCATATAAGAAAATGCTTACTTAGAATAAAGAAAATTTATTACACGCATGACTCATTTAATGTAACAAGCGAAAAAAACAAGGCTACAGTTGTTGAGAAACTTATATTTACATAGTGTCGAATATCACATCTAAAAGGAGATTTTTATTCCAATATTTTTAATATTACAAGTAAAATGAAGGCGAAATATTAAAAAAATTAAAATTAAAAAAAACTATATTTAAAACGCTTTGATGCAAAATTGTAGAACTGAATTCATATTAATACATTAAATATCCTAATTACTTTCCTCAGCTAGGTATTTTTTTTAACGAAATTATCCACAATAATAATATTTTAATATTTGATGCAGACAATGACGTACAAATAAAAATAAGAGATCGAATTATTTAGTGTTATTACAAATTTTGAGTAATCCACAATACTACTTTACGTAACATAACCAAACCGTCTCCAGGCCAACAGCTCCTTTTCTCCTTGTAGTATTAATATAAAAGTAAACGAGGGAAAACTATTTTGAGCAAATACATTTTTTTATTTATTTCATTGGGAAGGGCCTCCCTAAGATATTTTGCCTTATAGTTTAAAATATCTAATTTAGGCATGTAAGTAGGTAGACCTATTTATAGGATAAGGTTTATGCTAATTACTTAAACGAATAGTAATTAGTAAGCGTCAAACAATAGCAATTAACACTATCTAACTGTAAGAGAAGAAATCTATTAAATATGTATTATATAAACTGTGGTGCTAACTAGTGTACCACATACTACTATAGACCACAGTCTATGCGATGTGCATAATATTATAAAATACTTAGTTGCAGTAAGGTTATTGTTGTATAGATATTTTATCTAAGGCCACAGTTTTAAAATTTTTATTTACCGCCAGAAAAATATTTTCCTCCTGCTTCCTTTAATTGCTCATTAGGATTATGGCATATGTTTCAACTTTCAGCACTGTATAAAAGCCAAGATGATAAAAAATCTTTTATGATAAGTGATAACATTGGGCAAATTTAAATTGATAATGGCCCGCACGTTCTTATATTGAAATTTGCAAAAGTAATTGAGAAACTAGTAACGTCTAATGTAATTCGGAATTTTTGTGTTTTATTGTGTATTTATTTAGTCCGATTATCTTATAGTTTTAACTTATTTTGGACAAACAAAAAATTTATAATTGAAGGAATCTCTTTGTAAGTGAATTAATAAAATACATACTTTGTCATGTCAAAATACAATACCAGTAGATTGCGTCAAATGAAACAAGGTGTAGAGAAAATTCAACATGGTAAGTTGCGCACAAATATACCGGCAGGTATGGCTACGCCAGGTCCACCTCTTGGTCCTATGTTGGGTTGTAGAGGTATTAATATCACTGCATTTTGCAAAGACTTTAATGAGAAAACAAAAGACATCAAAGAAGGTATACCCTTACCAACACGAGTACACGTCAATCCTGATCGAAGTTATCAAATAACTATAACCAAACCACCATCTATGTACTACCTGAAACAGGCAGCTGGAATACAGAAAGGTGCAATGAATCCTATAAAGGAAACGGCTGGAAAGGTCACATTAAAACATATATATGAAATAGCTAAAATAAAACAGTCTGATGAAACTTTAGAGTTTAGGAGTTTACAGGATATTTGTATCATGTTAATTTCTACAGCTAGATCATTGGGTATAAAAGTTGTTAAGGATTTAGATGCCTCTGAGTATCAGCAATTTTTAGAAGAAAGGAAAGTTATACTGGAAGAACGGAAACGTGAATTACAAGAACTCAAAGAATCAAAAATGTTAAGAACTGGATAAATATTATACAGTTTATAAAATTATGTATGTAAATGTTAGAATATTAATAAAGATAGAATATTAAAAACACATTTCCATTTTGTTCTGGGTATTTTTTTTTAGTAACAAACAATTTAATATTTTTCGAGAAACTAATTGTTGAAGTATTACTATATTATTTTGACAAATAATTTTTTTGTTTCAAAGACAATGGGTATCAGGATAGATCTGTATGATAGTACTAAGGATTGTTTTGTAGCTTACACATATTTAATTAATTTTTATCTTCTTTTAATGAAAACAATTTAAAACTGAAGTACAAAATTGTTTCATAAGACAGCTGTTATATCATTGAATATATTGTATAATAAATAATTGCATTAAAAAAATATTAATTATTTACCAAAATGTGTTTACATGAATTAATCTTCTAGGCATGTATGAATTTATGAAATATTATAATATTGTGTATTGTAAAACATAATTTTCTTGACGATTAAGATTAGTTAGAGAGTAGAGTTATGAGTTATGACCATAAATTAAATCTTTATTATATAAAATTATCAAAAGAAGATTTTAGTACTCCAAACCTAAATGTTATATTTAACCTGTGGACAAGGTGGGGCAAATATGATGCCAGAATTAATGGCTTTTGGGGCCGTATTCGCTCCACCCTGTCAATGCAGGATTAAGAGTAACTTTTCATACAGTATTTATATATATTAAATATAACTACGTATTAAAAACAAAATAATTAAATAATTCTTATGACTTCCCAACAACTATTTTTGAGTTATTATCATTTAAAGTGAAGATGAGAGTAAGTAGTAAAAGTTATTTACATAACCAATTGAAATATATCCTGAAAAAAGTTATATTATTTAGAAGACAAAAGGAAAAATATGATATTTAAATTCTTAAATATTTTTATAATAATGTACTAAAATGTATGTATTTTTAAAAATTTTAAGTATCTGTTTTTATTTAAAAAAATAAATTTCTCTAAAATAAACAAACAATATTTTTTACAAATATTTTATATAATAATCTTTAAAAAAAAATATTTTACAAAAATTAGTTGTGATAAACTTTAGTACAATACGGTTTTTTACATAAACCGTTGCATATTGCTTGTACATTTTTTGGTCAAATTAATATTGATAGCAATATTAAAATAGTATGTGCTGTAATCATGGCAGTGCAATTAAAAACTTTATCGTCAATACTCAATAATATACATAATATAAATAGATATGATTTAAAAATTAAATATATTTTCCCATAAAAATAAAATAACATTATTGATTATTGTATGAAGGTACATTTATTGTTGGATTGATTCATTTTCTTTATATAATGGTTCCATTATAGTCCATTAAATCATAAACTTTAATATTGGCAATTTACAAATCAAAACACATTTGTTTTGTAAAAACAATTTTTTTATATATTTATAACAATCTTTAATTAAGAATAAATGTACAAATTAAAAAAAAGTTTTTATTGGATAAAAATATAAAATTTATTTTTGTATATATAATAATAATAATCATACCACATAGGAATGGTAATCTAGTCTTTGTAAGAATGCATATATACAATCCTTAAATTTAAACTACAACATTAAGCCCAGCTTGTGATGAAAAGGTATATAAAATACAAGCTTAACATAATGAAATCAACATTTAAAAATTAGAAATAATCATAAAAAACTAGGTAATAAATTTCAAAAAGAAAATCCACATTCCTTATAATTACCAAATTATGGCACTGTTGTTATTTATAATACTACCAAAGTTCCCCATCTTTTTCCTTAGCAGGTACTTCAATTACTCTTGGTTTATCAATTATTCGAGCTGTGCGGTTGCCTTTTTCTACGATACCTATAATCCATGCTTGGTATCCTTCAACTTTTTCGATATCTTTACAATAAGCAGCTGCTTGTTCTCTAGGTAAGCATATTAAAAGTCCTCCAGATGTCTCCGCTGAATGACCTTGTAATAATTGAAACATATTTCCACATGCCTTTGCTACTGATGCCATCTTTGAAATTACAGGAAGATTATGAATAACAAATGAAACTTCATTCTTCTGATGCTTTGCTAAGGTTTGTGCATGACCCAATAGTCCAAAACCAGTTACATCTGTTGCCCCATGGGCATTGTATTTATGCATAAGTTTAGCTGCAGTTTTGTTTAATCGAGCCATTGAGTCCATAGCACGTTGATAGGCTTTCCTTACATCTTCTTCAGAAACTATAAGCTTTATTCGGTTCCACTTATCTTGTTGGTCTAGCCATTGGTGAGCGTTAACAGCCACTTGTGTTCCTAAAGGCTTTGTTAATACAAGGACATCGCCAACTACTGCATTGTCAGGGATAATAAATTCGTTAGGTTGACATACTGTAGTAGCAACTCCTCCGATAGTACACCACGGATTGACTACTGTTTGGCCACCAGTGACAGTTGTACCAGCTTCAAAAGCAGTTTCTTTAAATCCTTTCATAATTAAAGGTATGACTACATCTCGTTCTTTTTCAGTCATTTTAGTAGAAACAGATAAAAGCATGAGCATATTGTCACATTCAGTTACACCCATGGCATATAAATCACTTAAAACATTCGAACATGCTATTTTACCCATAACAAATGGATCGTCAACAAGAGGGTAAAAATAGTCTGTAGTTTGTACTAGAGAAAGGCCACCATGTCGAAGAGGTACAACCGCTGCATCCATTCCAATACCAATTTTCGTCATTGTCATATGCATAAAGTGAGATTGTTCCCCATGACCATTTTCATCTTGTTGAAAACTTTCCAACAGTTTGTTGAGAACTTCTTGTGGAACTTTGCAACCACGTCCTTTAAGGTCTGCAAAACGGGTCAATTTAAAATGAGGGTCTAAATCATGTATCAAAGGATCAAATGGTCGACGCAATGGAATCTGATCATTTTGCGCTAATTCAAGTCGCACCATAGCTGCATTGTCCTGAGATATGTTTGCATGAATGTAGTCGCCCATAATTCTGAATCACAGTAAACAACACCATTAGACATTTCAGTAATAATGCTATGAATATTAAAATTGTCAGTTTAATTAGATAATACTGTTTATACATATATACCATATTATACACTTATAAAACACTTATTATTGTCACTGACTACAGCCTAATAACACAATATACTTACTTATTACTAAAATATTTCCAAGAGGCTATTATACAGTAAAGACGGTAAGGTTAAATATTGTGCGATAATTGAAATTTGTAAATTTACCGGGAAACAATTATAAAAGTACCAACAAAAACTCGTATGAAAATATTACTTTTATAAAGCGGCAATCAATGTATTTCACAAACACAACCCCAAACAAAACAAACGACAACGTCGCTCTATAAACACGGTTGCGTTTGCCACGGTTCCTCCATATCTATGTTATAGTACTAAGTCTTAACTGCAGTGTCGCCGTTATATCCAAAACAAATGTTGGTTAAACTGCTTACTGACTGTTTTGGCGCCATTTATTGGGATGAAATTTTGAATACAAATGTTCACTATTACACAGATTGTTGTTCTCTCTTTTACACGTTTATATAATATATAGTAAAATATTGCAAAAGCTAAAAACTATTGCATGTTGACGTTATTAACTAATATAATAATTTCAAATGTAAAATTTCCTAACTACCCGATGTCCTTACAAGAGGGAGGTTTTAAGGGTTTCTGAAGGGCGAAGGCCCATATTATGTATAACTGTTCAATATTTATATCTTAAATAATTTATAATGAATAAAGATAAAGCCACTGCCTATGTTATCCGCGGAACGCGGTGTTCAACATCAAACCGAAATTAATCAAAACTACACGTATTACTATTTACTAGTTACTGCGCATGTTCAATAACTACTTCACAGGTTTATCGTATATGAAAATAGTCTGTGATTGCGCCGCATGCGCAGTAGAGCAAATTTTAGTTTGCTTGGCCATTAATCTCGAAGTTATAGGGCATGACATAAAATATATTGCTTAAGTATATTTAAGCTATGATGTTCTATGATATATCTATCTATCTATATAGATATTATCGAGGCGTTTTTATGTGAATTCTCATTTATCTCAACGACCACCCACCGATCGCGTTTATGGTGGTAGATAGGTAGCTGTTAGTAACCTGACAAAAATATGCACACAGAATCTAAGGAATTATTTATTATGATTTATGACTGAAAGTAATAAAATCTGTCTCAAAAACTAACTAATTAGTTATTATACATATATTATAAATGCAAATAATAATTTATTTTTTGGAATAAATAAATATTCATTATAAAATACCATCACAGCTACGCATTAAAGCTAAAATAAAAATATTAAAATTATTTTGTTTTTTAATTTAAAATATTAAGGTTAAAAGTTATTTTAAGGGGAAAGATTTTTTGAAAATGTTTGAAAACTAGTTTTGAAAAAACACTTTTAGAGTTAATTGTGTTGCAAAGTATAGGGAATGGCAAGAAAGGCACAGTGAAGTATTATTTTTAACCGTGTGTCAATACGTTATCTCCGTTCACAAATTTAAATCCTATGATGTCCAAAACTATTAAAAACTGTTTTTCGTTCAGTAATTTTTTTTAGAAAATATAACTAAAACAGTTACAAATGGAATTCCCTACTGCTTTTATTATTAAATAACAATTAACATATACGAATGGAAAATTTGTTTAGTGTATTATTACAAATAATTCAAATGTGTATTGTTACAATAGTTTTTTATTTGATTTGACATTGATAACGTAAGTATTACATTTGATAAATAAAAGCGATAAACAGATATGTTTTGAGTAAAATAATCAGTAAAAAATGATTAGTTGTCAAATTGTGTAGAGTAGTATTATGTCATACAAGATGTTTGTATTTTGCGTTTTTATAGTGTCTAATGATTTTGATGTAAAGGATTTAAATTATATTATTAATAACATGCATGACTAATAGGAAAGAAATAATACCGGGTAATCAACGTTTTCACGCGTTTCCAAGGAATAAAAATTGCAATTTCATAGTTTTCTTTTTGAAAACATTTTTGTTTCGGATCCTTCACAATATTATAAAATGTAAAAATAATTACCTATTTTATTACTTTTTAAAGCACTGCCGACTTTTGACGTATAAATATTATTCTTAAAATATATGCTAACGCTTATAATTTATTAACTTTTTTAATTAAGATAAATATAATAAAAACGTTAACTATTTGATAACTAGTTTTAAATACAATTTCTACAGAGTTTTTCGTATTAAAAAGTTTAGGTGGGTGGTGAGTGATTTTTTAACTGTACTTCTAGAACTTCGACGTAATGTTTTAATTTATTTGTAGATACTAGTTATCAGAAAATATTTTTTCAGTAGGTCTATAGATATATATATGCTTAGCTGGTTAACTGGATTTTCGATACTTAAAAATGGAGCACAAAATAATACTTAAAATATTTTTATAACTTTTGAAACACTTATAGGCCTTATTTTGTAGAAAAACACATGTTTTTCTACTTTTAACAGTTAACATAAACTGTTTATATTTAAATTTGAAGTTGTCATTTTTCATTGTTGAGAGTATATCTTATATCAACAAAAATTATATCTAATTTCCAACTTGCGTATTGCGCTATATTACATTGTACAATATCCTTGAGAAAATCCATTAGTTTTTAATTATTATGTACACGCATTTTTCTGGTAATTAAAATACGCCTGGAAACGTATTATGGAGACGAATTATATAGGTTATTTATAACAATTGTTATTATACACACTTGTTTATGAAGATTTGTTTGTATGGTTTGAATAATTTATTAAAAACATAGTAATAACATTTGTCAGTCTACTCGAATGTTTTGTCAAATAAGTAATAATTTGTATTTTAATGTGTTTGTACGGCACATTTACACTAATCTCACAAAATGACTTGTAACTATAATTTTGCCTTAACTAAATATAGTTGCGAATTAGTGTTGAAGTAGAATAATACTTCATTTACGGACACCTCTTAATGATGGATAATATAATTATTATTACATTATATAATATATTGCTATTCTATTGGTAGGTATAGCAGTAGATTAATAATGCGTCTAGATGCATCTTACATCAATTAAAATAAAAATCTATCTTTAGGTTTATTCACGGTTATAATTTTAATCTAACAAATGTATTTTTATGAACGACTAGCCATAGACATCGTGTAGTTATCTACATGTCATATTCGTACTGCATTTATTGGCGGTATATTAGACGTCTACAGTCTACTAGACGTTGCAGTGTTTGCAGGGATATATTCATATAACGAAAGGTGATGGTAGAGATTCCCTCCCCCATCGGGTTTTAATTTTAAATTAAGAAATCATTTTTTGGCCAATAATTTCTTGTTAGAAAACTAAGTATTAGTCGATTATTTATATAACAACCATTAAATTAATCATAACTCACGTTATTGATGATGATCTGGTTAGAAATTAATGGTTATTAACAACTGAATTAGTCAAAATGTATAGTCTTAGCTTCTGGGTAAGTAATTTTTTGAAAAGATGGACCACTTGTGACTATTAAAATATTTTGGATCGAAATAAGAAGTTAAACCGTAATTGTCATCATGTATTCAAATAAATTGCCACTGTCTTCCCAAGGGTCCAATTTAAGTGTAAATATATATTACACTCCTTTTAATATTTATACTTTCATAGTTTAAATCCGATTGTTTACATTTTAAAATTTTTTTTGGTGAACGGTCATAATATTGCTTTGGATTTCATTTATACGATTAAAAAAATCATATAAAAACAATTTAAATCACATTTGTGTTCCAATTGGAACTATTAGTTATTTGTTGCATGGCGTGAATTTTATTTGTTTTCATTTTATTAGGTAGAAAGAAAATAGTATTTTTGTTTATAAAATGTAGTTCAATAATTATAGACAATTATAGGCTTAACAGAGCCCACAAAGGATTGTGGGGGCAAAGTTCCCATGGCTCACTTATTATATTTTTAGGTTTTCTAGTCATTTTTAAACAAAATCCTACTTTTAATGTATTTTCAAATAACTGTATCTTCGATTTTTTTCTCGTGTAATTTTGAAAATCCGGCAATGTATTTAGAAATATATTTGATGCGAATCGCATCATGTGATAAAAGGTGTTTTTCAATTGAGTAAGTTTTTTCATACTGACCATATTTCAACAGTCGAGACCACTATTGTCCTGAAGATGGGACTCTGCAAAGAGTCCGAAACGTCGGCATAAAATGTGTGACGTGGATACATCCGAAACTTACTCAATTGATATATCAATCCACGAAAGTTTTAACGCATTCATATAAAGGTGTTTTTATTTTATAAGTCTATAAAAACAGATCTTTTTGGCAGTTTGTTGTTTATATCAAAATGTATAACACCCTATAACACCCTATTAAGAAATTGGTTAAAATATAAATTATATCGTAAAAATGTTGTAAAACAATTTGTTTACTATAAATATATTGTCTATATTTTTACTATATTATAAGTATGGGTTCTTCATTAATGGTAAATATTTTTTTTAGTGCTACCCACTGCTTCTGCCTTGCATTTTTTATTAAATTAAAATGTTGTGTAGTATTTGTCATTTTAATACTTAATTGGATTGGTGAATTAGTAAAAACTAAAAAGTTTATTTCGTTCATTTATTTGGCTGTTTACACTGTTGTAGGATATAACAGTGACTCAACTGTCACTGTTTAACTTACTTGTTTTGTGGTACAAACAAACAAAATTACCCGAATAATATTTAATACAATATTAGGTAATGCTTATACATATTTTGTAAAATATTATGTGTTACGATGAAAGCAGAAAATTGTATTTACTACATAGTGTGAATCTGTATAGTGTGTTGAATGATACAATTTGTTTATAGGCGATTACTGTGAAACCGCATTATTATGTCACTTTTCAACATAATTCGCTGTATAACAAGCTAAATACGAATTGTTATTAAGTTTAGGGGTTTCAAGGTAATTATCAATGAAGTTAAATAAGAAGACATGACATTTTATACTATGCAAAGATTAGTTTAGGTTTTCATTCCGCATTCTTGTATGAGTGTATTTCATCTTTGTGGTTGAACAGCACCTGAACGACAACAAAACAAAACGAAACGCGGAAAATGTTCGCCGTACTGACAGACGGATGAACGAGTTTTGAAAACAAAATATACCCACGATGATTCCATCTGATTCGATGTTGTTAAAAAAATGACACGATTATACGTACACGTTCGCGTTTAAAACAACAACACATTTGTTATGTTTACAGTTCCACTTGGAAATGTCCATCCATCCATATATATATATACGCGGATCAAGCATAATATCTTATAAATTGTGTCAAGTTTTCAGAATAGCGTTAAACAAAAATCGGCGCTCCACTACTGTACGTGTATGCTTGTATGAGTGTTTTTTTTACAAATTTTTACTGATTTGCAAAAGTAAACGCTTGTATTCACTGAAGACATTACAACTCCGTTCTTGGTAAGCGGTTATTCATTTTTATATTGTTACAAAAAAACAAATTGTTTCGTCCTTTGGAAATAGCGGTAAAAAACGTGGTTTTTATAGAATGTTAAATGAAATATGTACATCTCTGACATAAATGCTTGCCTTTTGAACACTTTTACTTATATATCATTGTGTTGGACTAAATTTAGATAATAGATCGCTGATCGCGATTCAATTAGTATAACCGACTTTAAAGAGTAATAGTTTCGTTTATTTTAAAGATCATAATGTCAAATACCATTTGGCTAGGAGCTTTGCTCCTGTTCGGAGCTTGTTCGGCTTACCCTCAGAATCCCAATGTTCCAACCTTGTCGCCTCCACCATCGCCTTCCAATATCGTATCGGTGAACGTCAACACTAAGAGATACGCGCATGCTGTCAATGACCATTTTTTGAGTATCACGCTGGATCCGTCAACGATATTCTCCGCATTACAGGACAATCTTGGGTACGTTTTTATATAATATAATATAGTATGTTTTGTATAAAAATCGCACTTGCATTTTAAAAGTGACAAAAGTTAAAAATCGACATTTGTAGTCGCCGAAGTATGCAATAACTATTATATCGAATACTTTTTTCCTAGTGCCTATAGAATTTAGAAAAAATTATTATTTATGTAAATGCTTTTTGATAGGCTTACTTAACGGGTTTTCGCAATTTCCTCAAAACATTAATTTTTGACTCGGGTCTTTCTTGAAACACACGTGCGTTATTATAAGACATACATTTAAAACAATTTTTGGAGTCGACATGCGATAGTTTTCAAAAATATTCTACTCGCAGGTCTGCCGCTATTAACATGGCCAAAGCGTTAAGTCCAGCATACTTGCGAATATCAGGCCCTGAATGCAACAGCTTTATATTCCAAGGGGCCCAAGATACATCCCAATCGTCGCCGGCCATCCCCGTTAAACGCGGCAAGAACATCACGATCACGGGATGGCATTGGTCGCAGATGAACGATTTCATAGCCCAAACTGACCTGGACTTGGTGGTCGCACTTAATGTGATGAACAGGCAACACGGTAGTTGGAACCTCAGCAACACCTTAGATCTTATATCTTTTTCGGACAAGCATGGTTATGATATGGCATTCCAACTTGGGCACGGTAAGCTTTCAGGAGTTCGGTTTGAATGTTTTATTTTTATTTTTTACAATATAAAAATTATTTATACAAATTAATGTTGGTTATTCGTTATCAAGATATGCAAGCAGGCAACTCACGCGTTGACGGCGCATCTCTAGGAAAAGATGCCACAAGACTGCGAAAAGTATTGGAGGCGTTCCCCAGATACATAAGTACACCGATAGTAGGCCCCGACGCTAAGTCTTGTGACTCCCAAGACGATGCTCGATATCTGAAAAGTTTTATCGCCGAGGCTGGTCCATCCCTTACAGCATTGACATACCAAGTGTAAGTAAAGTTATATTTATTTATCATACATTGATGGGGTGTAAATTATATATTAAAAAAAGAAATAATAGTTTTAAAATCGAAATCGATTAACAATTAATTAGTTCAATGTGAATTTAGTAAAATGTGAATTTTGCCCGTAACTTTATCCTAATGTTAAATAATAATTACAATGCATAAAACTTTAAAGTCAATATTTTTACATGCTTTTCTTTAGCTCGCTAACACGTACGTACGTACGTTTGTACGGGTATTTTTCAAATCTTGCAAAATTAATTTAAACCACTTCCCGATGTCGTAGAGAGCTGAAACTTGGCACAGACACTCATCTTGGACGACAATACAATATCCTGTAATCATATCAGCAATGATTTAATACCTTTAATAGAACTAAAAAGTAAAAAAAAAAAAACTTTTTTAAAAACATGCTTTTCTAAAAAATAGTAAAAAGTGATCTAAACAACCGAAAATTAACAACAATTTTACATAATGTTAAACATCTTTAATTTTTGACTAAAAAGAAAAGCGTGGGCCCTATTCAACAAAGTCCCTAAAAAAATCATCAGATAATATTTTATACTGTAAGTTCTTTCGTAATTTAAATTTAGTTTAATATTTGTGTGTGACACATACATTTCATAATACTTAACTCAATAAATTTGGACTTAATACGAAATCTTGGACCAATAATACATTTGTATAAACCCTATTTTTTACAAAGTTTACTATTAGAATAACACGATATTGTATTACACAATTTTACAAAATAGACATTTTAAAAATTGTTTTCTCGTATACATTTTTTATAGAAAAATTAACAGTATGAAATAAATGGCAGTAATGCAATTGGAGTGAAAAATATAATTTTTAATTATTTTCAGGCCATTTGCGAGTGAAAGAAGCGTTGAAAACCCAACAGAAATGTTAAATTATATTGAAAACCAAATGGAAACGAAAGTATGGCAAAGGGATTTAATGAATAAATACTTGGGAAAATTAACAAGCAGAAAACCAATATGGATTGTTGAATCCGGAAACAAAGACCGAAAAGGAGACTTTTCTGATGGATTGATTTGGGCTCAACGACTTGTTGCTGGTGCTCGAATTGGAATAAATGTCATGATGAGGAAACCTTCAATGACTTCTCTAAAAGAACCAACACCGGTAAATATGATGTTTTAAATAATAATGCTCTTATGTTTAGGAAATAAGGTTACAAATATAGACTTTAGTCTAAGACATACAGTCTGAGATAATAATATTATAAATATCCGTAGAAAAAAAACAAAGTATTGATTTAAAAAAAATACTAGATTAATATTGTTATTATAAACATAATTAGAACTCCTGGTTATTGCATATAGATTAAAATGCCACTTTATTAAAAATGTGATTTTAAAAATGTTCATTTTATTGGTCATTAGTAAAATAGGGGTTTAAAATAAACATAATACGATTAAATAAAATTATATAAGTAACCACTTGATATTATATTTCTTTACTAGGGTATATCATTTATTTTAAATAATAGCTTATCCTAATAATTTCATAAAAATATTTTGGATATTTATCGCTTTTACTGAAAAAATTGTTATTTGTTAATCATTTAGGGGTGGTGTTAGAAATAAATATTATTTATTAGTTAATGATGACATAATATTATATTAGTTTTACATACATATTTAATAAGTTAATTTTTTTCCTCCATACAAATATTATTAAATACAAAACTATTTTTAAAAATATGTTTAAAATTATATTACAGGATTATTGGGTTTCTATTTTGCACAAAGCTTTGATTGGATCTGAAGTTTTTGATGTCAAAATACAATCAGTAAACAAAACCCGTATAGAATCCGTCGCTCATTGTACTCGAGAGACTTCATTTAACCCTAATGAAGGCATATTAGCTCCAGAGTTTCGTTATAATAGAGGTGCAATAACAGTGTTTGGTGTAAACATGGAATCAGAGAGCGTAAAAATATCTTTAAAAACTGGCAGCCGTCAAAGTGTACCATTACATCAATACTTTTTGACTGCAAACAACAGAAAAAATAAAGACAAAAGAGCTGTTAAATCATTGTAAGTATATCGAATTATTTGAATTAATAATTATACTGATATTATTTGTTTTATTAATAACTTAGGACTACTTTGCTAAATGGTCAAAAGTTGAGCTTGTCAGTTGATGGAGAACTTCCAGTTTTGTCACCAAAAATACGAGAGTCAAACCGCATTATCACTATTCCTAGTCAATCTGTATTTTTCTTCGTGTTACCTGATTCTAAGTCAAAGGCTTGCATGGCTGTCCAGATCGAAGAACGTGACATGTCCAAGAATGGACCTAAGAACTCACTTTCGGATCTCGAAGATTTTGACAATGTTGACTATGATGCACTCTTAATGGACCAAGATGATGAATCAATATCAGGCGAGAAAAATAATTATGTGTCATTCAGGACAAAATACACAAGAAGCAGTGGTAATTATCATACACGAAAAAGTGATAATCAAGAAGAATCAAAAACCTATAGCAACGAAATGAAAGAAAAACTTAACGAAGATGAGAACAACGGGGAGCGTTTTTCTGAACCCGTTGTAAAATATGTTACTTTTTCTAACAACAATTGGCTTTCCAAATTCCCAAAATCGTTAAAAAATCCAGAATATAGTATGGAGCCACCGACGACAGCTGCACCAGAAATAACCACAATGACAATGCCAATCGATCACAGTAGCGTATCACCAACACATAGCAGAAGAGAGAAATATCATATTCTCGCTCAAGCAGTTGTTGGCAAAAGACATCCTGAGAGAAAAGTCCGTTTCGATCCACATGCCAACTTGGATACTCCTACGGAACCATTAAGATCCACTCAAAAATTAAAAATAGTTAAAAGATCCATCAGCGACGATTCTAGTTCAACAGAAGTTGATGAATTAATTAAAGCTATTACTACAATCAAGCCAGATGAAACTTTAAAAGAACTTTCAAAATCTGACGACCTACCTGTAATTGATATGACAATTGCACCTACTTCTGACCAGGACGTGGATAATAATACCGACCGACCTAAAAGAGAGGAAATAAAAAATCATCCGGCAATTCCTGAATCACAATCGCCCGCTAAAGCTTCAGAGATGACGCAACAAACTGCAACCAGCCCAACTCCAGCAACAACGCCGGCTAGTGTAACAGAAGCAAAACCAGTACCAAAAAGGGAATCTTACATTCAGAAAATTAAAAGCAGAAAAGAACAAGCTTTAGCAAAAGCCAACGAACGAGTTTCTTCTCATAGACTGCTTAGACGAAAACAGCAATATAAATCCAAAGAAGAATTAGTAAGCTCAACTACAACTGAAAAAGTTATACCAAAAGAAAACTCAGAAACCATCGTTGCAAATTCCGCCAAAACTCTTATTCCCGTTGTAGATATAAACGATACTTCGCTTCAGATGAAGAATGAAGAAGCTAATCTGGAATATAATAAAAGGTCAATTGAATCTTCTACGATTGCTAACACTGAGAAGGAAATAGAAAATGTCAAAAATACCGAAAACGAAAAAATCGAAATCGTTAGTGCTAGTAAAAATGTAGAAAATGTGAAAAACTCCGAAAGTGAAAAGACAAACACTGATCAATTGACATACACTTCAACGGATACACCTAAGGACATTAAGAGTAAGCTCAGCAAGTCTTTGCCTTCTATACCAAAGCCATTGAGACTGCCAAAACCAAAAACCCTTCGAAATACCCATGACCTAGAAGAAATCGACAGTGGAAATTCGAAAGTCAGAGAAAGCCGTGAGACAACGGAACGTCATATGCAAAAATTAAAGACTAAACCAGCTCAAGTCCTGAGCAAAGTAAGAACACCAAAGAATGTTGACCAAATTCAAACTGAAACCAATGAAAAAGTCGCCGAGGTAATATTAGACAATCTCAAAGACGTTAAGTCAAAATTGCAATCCGAACATATAGTCAGTCCTATTGGGAAAAAGGAGGAAAGAGTGGCTAAACAAGAAAAAAAATTCGATCTGAAAGAAGGTTCAACTGCAGCTAAACTTAAAGCACTAGAAGAAAAACACAAAATGTTCCGAGTTGAATTGGAAAATAAGCTCCGCTCAGCAAAACCAAAAGTGCATAAACGTTCATTGGAAAATGATATAGTTGAAGATGATATGATGGATATGAATGACATTTTAGTATCGGAGAGAGATGGATTTGGATCTAATGATATTGACATTGACGTTGCCTCTGTTTTGAAACGTGAAGCCGTTCGGTATCCAAGATCATTAGCTGACTTAACATTGAAACTGAATGAAGTCAACACTTATGTTGATAAAAATAAGCAAGAAGTTGATCCAAAAACCAACGAAATAATAGAAGATGACATGTACCTAGGAAACTGGAAAATGTCAAATAATATCAGACCAGTGGACGATGAAGACAATCTAGCGAAAGAGGATCTCAACGCATTATTAGAAAAAAAATCTGTTTTAGACAATATTGAAGATGACGAGAATATAAATGCTAACAGTAGCAAAAGAGCAAAAACTAACGTGAAAAAACGAAAGTCCCTCTTGGAGGATATCGACTTCGACGAAGATACGCCTAAAAAGATGACCAACTCTGTCGTTCAGACATTTTTAAATCATATGCAAAACTTCTGGAAGTATATTAAAAGAACATTCCACTTTTAAAATTAATTTAAGTCCGTTGTCATTCAGTATGATATAACATGTTGTATTAATTAAGAACCCACTTTATGTAATGTGTACAGCGATAAAAAGCTTTAATTTATTATTTATTTACTTACCTATATGATAACATATTTTTTATTATTTGATTTTTATTCACTAGTATAATACTTTAAATATATTATATTTTGATATTGTAATAAAAGTGAATTCAAATCAACAGCAGTTTTATTAATAGCTAAAAATTCTTTATTAATGTATGTATACATTAATTAGGGTATAGTGAAAAAAAGGAATTTTGCATCATGGTGTACACAAATTGTAAGTATCAAAGAAATATATTGTAATTATTTCCTTAGCCTGGAGTAAAAAAACGAAAAATATTTAGACTTCCCACAATAACTTAAAATGTTTTAATACTATGGAAGTAAAAATTATATGGATTTAAAGGTAATTAAGTTAATATACATATTTTTGACATTTACCTATAATATTATATTATTTAAAAAATATTTTTTTTAATTGACAAAAAGTAATAGGTATTTGAAATTTTTAAAAATATGACCCAAGTTAAAAAACGTTGACTTCAATTTTTATGTGAATGATACAAATATTTTGAAAAACGAGTTCTACCATTTGATAGAAAATACTGCCCGTTTTTTCGGGTTCTAGGCACCTCTAAAGTACAAACGAACTATTAGCTTCGATGCAAAGCGAGAAGGTATTGGTTTTACTCTGATGTGGGCTTTTTTTTTCGCTGTATACACTGTAACTTATTTAATGCTAGACCAATTCCTTCGAATAGCAACTCTATAAATCACAAATTTTATCTAGTTTGTACTTTGGGGGGGTAAAAGTTGAAAAAGTTTAAGTCTTCACAGACGAAATTTAAAAAAACAAAAAAAAAACCGTACGAGTTTTTAAGTTAAAACTTTTATTGGCTATAATTTCGAGAAAAAGAGTCGGATCGAGTTGAAACGTATAAGAAATAATTATTTGGTATGCCCGCACACGTCAGTTGTGTCAAATTTAAACTATACCCATTTCCTACCCCCCCTAGGGGGGGTACAAGTTTTTTTGTTTTTTGGGGTTTTTAGCCGTAATTTTAAAACTTTTGGGTTGAAAATTTGCCAGTAGTTGGAACTCATATGTATCCATAACATATTAAACGGGTGAAAAATTCGGCACTACAGTTTTTTTTTAATTGCCGGGAAACTGCGTTTTCGCAGATTGCGTATATTTTAACAAAAACACCTAAAATCTTTAAAAAAATTGATCAAATCATTAAAAAAATTTTATGTATATCTATGCAGAATGATACTATTAAGTTTTGTGCTCAAGTACCACTTTTGACTTAAAGTTTACACAAATTCAATTTTTTTTTTTTTTTTACTAAAAACCCGGTGTAGGGCCTAATGATCGGTGTCATAATATTGTGTTTATTACATGATATCACAGACAACTGATTATAGTAGACACTCGATTTATTGGGAAAAAAACATATCCGTGTACTTATTAAGACACTTAATGATTCTGATACGACAAAACCACTGTCGTTATCTCGTTATTTTATAGCCTACGTTATATAACCTTATCGAAGGTCAACTATGAGTATTTAAGGTCCAACTACCTGTAAATTATGAAGAGGACTGTTGTTTTTTGGATTCAGATTAAGTTTTTGTTTTTATGCAGTATACCGCCTCAAAATGTATTTTTTATTACACAATTTTTTTAAAGGAAAATTAATGTTTTGCATATTGTTATACTGTTATTCATTTAAAGAGATTCACGCTTGATTGTTAAAATTGTCTAATATTAGATAATCTGCTTCGTGCTAATTTTAATTTTTTAGCTTATCAACTTGTAGCTCTAATTTTGTATAAAATATTTCATTATTTTATTACTATGTACAGATTAAGATAAATTTTAATAATAATTAAGTCATAAATGATAATACTTTATTTTATGACTAGATCAAATCTCGTGAACATTTAACATCATGATACTGCTCCTATGCGATTATTAAAAAAACACTATTTTTAAAATCTCCATAAAAGGTTATTGTTAAATAACAGGCAACAGCCGACCGCTAGTGGCTATAGACGTTAATAATATTTAACTAATAAGTAATATATGTAGGTAAAATTTATTGTTTTCTCCATCACAGTACCAGTATAAGATTTATTTTAATTTAAATGTAAGAATATCGATTTTTCTTTAGAAAATAACAAGAAATTAATATACAGGATGAGGCAGTAAAACGGCGATTTTCTAATGTATTTAAATGGTAAAACCCGTTTCACTATCCCACCCTTTACATTTTAAGGATCTATGAAAAGGTTTTTTTAGTTGCATTTTATTTTGTACATTGTCAATCTAGTAAAATAGAAGTATAATATAGCTTTGAAATAATATAATCTATGAAGTATAAATAGTTTGTGTGAGATTGCTCTAATGGAAGTATATAATAGCGATTTTATTCAATTTTATCACTTTTATTTATAATAATTCTTGTAGACCTGTGACCTCTCCGTTTCCTCATTGCTTTGATTACATTATGCCAATACTCTACTGTACTGGTCCTCTCGGATAAAATTGCTTTCAAATAAACGCTTTGATGCTCATTTGTAATTACAGAACCTTCATTTAAAACTTCCTAACTTTGCTGGTTTAAACTGTGCTTGGTTTGGACTGTACTGGCTTGAAAATACTAACTACCGATTTGCATCGAAGCGTTTATTCGAAAGTGATTTTATCACTTTCAGATTTAAAAATTCCTGTAAACCTGTGACCTCCCCCTCACCACTATGCCCCGACCCAACTATGCTCCGTCCCCACTATGCCCCGACCCCACTGTACTGGTTTTTTTTTCTTTGTTGCTACACTGCTACCTATTAAAGATTTTAAGTTAATTTTGGATGCAACTAGAGTTATATCGTATTTTTTTAAATGTTTTGTTAAACCATTTAAGATACCTAGAAAAAAAACCATACTCGATCTTAAAATTGTTGCATCATTTCCCCTACTAAGCGTGCTAGCTGTTTTAACTTCACTTGATCATTTATATTTATTAATTACTTCAGGACCTCCTTAACACAATGGTATATGTACGTGTTATTTGTTTTTTGGACGAATATTAAAAAAGTTATAGAATTTTCAAAATGTAGCTGCTTTCTGGAACACTATATTTATAGCATAAGTCAAACACTGCTTTTATTCTGGAATATTAGAAAAGGTAATAATTATGAATAATATTATAAAATTGGTATTAAACGAGTGTCTTAACCAGAGTGTCACAAACTCTATTTTTCACAAACTATTATTTTGTGTCATGTAATCATTATTGTATATATTTTGCTTCCTCTCAACTAGCTGCTTCCACTGAACGGCTGTTATCTTCCTCGTCCTTATACGGATTTATATTTAAAATGTACTGCATTTTTTAAAAAAATTTTTATCTTCTATACCGCTGAACTAAATTGTTTGTGTAGCAACTCTATAGACCAGAAACCATACCTAAAAAGTAACTTACTGGGACAAAATTTAAAAAGTCCTTGGCCTTTAAAATCGAGAAAAATACTAAAAAAATGTACATATTTCTCTTACTTACCCTTTGAGTTATAGTGGTATTAATTGAAACAACCTTTTTAATATTTTTTCTCTGGTTGTTAATTGTGGTATCTTTTTGGAATTGCCGTCAAAATAATTTGGAGAAAAAAATGTATGTATGACTCAAAGGGTTAAATTAAAAAGTAGTCGAAATCGAACTAGTTTCAAATTTGGCAACGTTCAAAAAAAGCAATGGGTCGGTCGACATGTATTATGCCGTAATTATTAGCTTATTTTTTTTTCAATCCCTCTGCCAAAATATTTTAATCTAGTCAAGTAAATGGCTATTTCCAGATCCGAGCCAAACCAAAAATTGATTTCAACGTAACGAGCAAGTAAGAAATTCGGTGACGCATCGAAATCGCCACTCCACTCCACTCACTGTTCACCTTTGTCCGTCCGTTAAAATATCTTAAACTAGTTAAAATACTAAACAGTGATATACTTTTTTAAAAACTTTTTTGTATTATTTTTTATTTAAGCATTTTTTGTATTGTAATTGTTTCAGTGTTACGTATTTTTGTTGGTATTTATTATTTGTTTATTACTGTAGTTTTTTTAACGAGTAATCCTGTTAATAATAACGTTATCGACTTGATAATATAATTTATAACTAATTAAAATATATGGAAAAATATTTTTTTTAATTTACTCTTAGTTTTTTCATACTTATTTGCGTTTTGTCTTACTTTTTGAAGTTGGTCATTTACAACGTACAAAGTTGCACAAACACAAGTTCCGCGTAAATTCTCAATATAATATAATAGTCGTTTCAAATAACTCTTTATTTATTATTATGAAACATATTGACGAACACATAACATACAACTTTATTTAAAACTTTAAAAAAAATTGTAATTATTATATAATAACTATGAGTTTATATAAAATTGAGCTTATTTTTTTCTTGTTTTTCCTACGGCTTACCCTATCAACCGATAATAGCCGTTTCAAATAAAAACCCCTAAAATTTAAAATCCTTATAGCTCAATTCTAAGTATTTTAAGATGTCATTTTAGTCTAGTGTGGTTCGTTGTTTATAATGACGGTCACAAAATTGAAATGCCATTGATTTACTGTTGACATTTGTGTTACACTATATTATGTTTATATACATGAATAAATGACACCATAAAATAATATATTATATATTTTATTAGTTTGAGTCAAAGTATAGAAAAAAAAAACGATATTGTTATTATTCAATCAGATATAGGGTTATTATCTGTTAGCCCATGCGACGAGTACCCGGTATTCGTTAACGTAGTATTTTTCTAGTTAAAACTTTGTTTACAAAACAAAATTCTAGCAAAAAAAAAAAATCCTTAGAGAACAAGTATGTGGTGGCAGACCGTGTTTACATAATCTTATGCCTCCATTTGGAAGTGCCGTTGTCCTCTTAAGAAAACAGTCCAGTTTAATGCGTCTTGAAACTCTGATGTGACATTGTGACAAGTGTTTGAATTTTGGAGTATAATACTAGAATGAATATTGAATAGTGGTTATACATCTGAATTAAGCAGAGCGTTCGTTCGAATTTCTTGGTGAGAAAACATTTAATATATTTTTATATTTAGGCATTTAATATATGTCAAGCTAAAATAGGATTACAGGCGTAAATTGTAAAAGTACCTGCTTTTACTTCAACACAAAAAGTATTTATGAAAAGGTACAGAGTTGAACACTTTACATTTGATTTATTTGTTTTTACTTAACTTATCAGCAATTTCTCATCTATCATTGTTTTAGATTTTAATATTGTAATTTTTTTTTAACAAAATACCATTGTGAAATAAGTCGTTAAAGAAACGAACAGTATGAATAACATAAACATTAAACGATATAATGATAATAAGTACTATTATTGACAACTATTTAGCATTAATTATAATTTTTAAATTATGCGTTACGTGGTCTCCTTTTTATTTATTAATTTACCATCAATTGCTTTTAATTAAGAAAGTTCAGCTTACTTTTTGTAATCGACCTTGATTTATGATCAAAATTGACCTAACGCCTATGCACTACATTGACGTAATATAGTCGTTTATTATAATTTATAATAAGTTTAAGCTATTACGGTGATGTGTTTTGAAATATAGTATATTTGTTATTGTATTTTTGGATTGGCGATAACTTTTTTAACATCTTAAGCCAATTCGTTCAAAAATAGAATGTCCCATATGTCTCGAAAATTACATTTTGATTCAAACATGTACTAGTTTAAAAATGTATTCACTAGCGTATAGTGTAATTTTAAAATTTGTTTTTCTTCATATAGTTATTTAGCCAAAATGTTAGCCCATTCATATTAAAATTAAGCGTTTTAGGTCTTTTACTGTATTTTACTTTGCCAAATTAAGTAAAATATTGTGTTAATTTAACAAATTTAACATATCGTATCCATGCAAAAGTGGTAAAAAAAGTAATTTTAAAATAGTAATATTTATTTCAATCATAATAACAATAATAATCTTTATTTAGGAATGAAAAATTCTAATTTACATAATATAATATTACACGACAGATACATTTAATAATACATGGAAAATAAATAAGGTTTATGTAACATTTATAAATATATATAACATTATTGGTATTAAATAAACAAGTCTGTCAACATGCATTATTGTTATTTCAAAATTATTAACTGTATAATTTGGACAATATTTCTGCGTATACTAGGTCTAATGATAAAAATAATCGTTACATGAATGTCATTTTCAGCTTCGACGCGTAGCTGTTTTTATAAAATATATTTAAATTTATCTATCATAAATCATAATTAATATTTTTTACATAAATAATAATCAATAAATAATGCTTACATCTATATATTATGCTATTGATGTTGTGTACGTGATCACTGATCAGTAATTTTTAAAACGCTATTATTCATAATACAAAACTTTTACAACGCGTTAAAAAAAAATTAATTTTCTGTTGTTGTTTACTTTTGTCACATTGACCACTTCCTTAGTTCATTGTTATGCTATGCAAAATGCTACCTGCACGATGTGTAATTGTGTTAATGTGAAGTTTAATGACCCATTTGTTTAAATTTCGTTAATTACCATAATATCAGTTAAAGCTAGTAAAGTGACATTCAGTTTATTATAGTGTGTCTTAGATTATGCAAATACCTAATAATACGTGCCCGTATCCATACATAAAGGTTTTTAAAATCATAGACAACTCTGTTATTAGTCAGCTGTTTTATTATTTTTAAGTACTAAACAATTTTTTTGTTATGTCGTACAGCTTATTATCGAAATTTTGCTGACAATAGTTGAATTGAAAATTTAAATAATAACAATGGATTAAAAGGGTTCAGTGTTGGGTAAATATCAAGAAGCAAAACAATTAAATATCTAAAATGTATTCCTAAATAAAATGCTTCACGTAAAATATGAGATACATTATGGACTTAATTTAATCACAATTTGGGGTTGGGAGGGCTAAAGAGGCTAAGCTTTTTGGATTTTCTTAAGATCTTTCGAGATTTATCAACAAGCTCCTGCGGATCAATCTTTATTCGGTTATTATTAGGATGGTCAAGAACTAAACCCCACCAAAAATTGTGAACCTAATTGCGCCACTGTTATATATATATAATATATACAATAATAGGTACGTCGCTACATTACTCACCTTATTGACAAGTATCTAATTTTTTTCTGAAAATAGGTATGAGTGTCGAATAAAATAATAAAGTATTTAAAAAACCTTAAACTACGAAAAATAATGCGTTTTAACTAAAGTGTATTATTTTTTGTGGTTAAGGGTTTTTTAAAAATATTTTATTATTTTAATCTTTACTATACCACTTTTCTATCCTTACTATATCACCTTGTAAATGTACAAATTATGTCAATTTTACACAGCGTGGAATGCACATCTAACCAATGTCTGTGGCGTATTCTCCACATTTTTTTTTGGGTGGGGGATTCAAAATGGTTAAGGTTGTTCTTGATCCGGCAAAAACACACTATTTAGTTCTTAAATCATCAAATTTAAAAAACCCCATTTTGTTATTAAGATTAGTTCTTTTAAATTGCACAGAATCAGCCGTTTTTGCTTAACTAATTTTTTACCATTTAAATCACTCGCACTGACAATATCGTATCTCCTTGAATATATCCTACTATAATTTCGATACTTTAAAAACTTTACCGTCGATTATTCGGCTATGCTTTTGAATGGTAATTTTGAGAAGTATACTTCAACTAATATATTTCCTTTTTTATCTAAAGCCCTTTTCACACAATTATAGTTATTATGTTATCCCTTGTATAGTAGCTTGCATACTAGCCTCTAGATTGACGTTAATTATAAAAAGTATACTATAATAATTATATAGTTTATAGTTAAGGAGCACTAGTGAGTACATGGTCTTCGTGAAGGAGTATCTACACCTGCGTACTTTTAGTCGAAAACAACTCTTCTACTTGAAACATACTAGAACGTTCCTAATACATCGATTTAAGTTTTGAAAAAATATTTTAACTCTTCATAACATTTTCAAGGTATTGATGGTGTCATAATTTTTTATTTATTAATCATTTTAGTTTAAGCATGTTAGAAACTGCAGTTTTTTACATTGAAATAATTAATTAACAAAACAATTTTTAAAATTGTGTCATGATTGATGTCTAAATGTTATAAAAAATTCAATGTTTTTTTCAAATCTTAAACGGTATTATTTTAGGTAAGTTCTGTTCGAAATAGAAACATATGTTTTTGTACAAAAATAGATTCTACATGCGTTATAAAGTTGAAAAAAATTAAATATTAAAAAAGATCCTTACTTTTTATGGTAATATGTATGATTACATATTTTAGCTTAATGTTAAATGTTAATGAGAAATTGCCTATACAATGCGCCTTAATAAATTATAGGACATGTTCTATTAAAATGGTTAAACACCATGTGACAGTATAGAAATATTAAAAATCAATAAAATTATAAAACATAACATCAATGTTATCATGACCAACTACTAATAATTCTGCATTTCATATTTAAAAAAAAAAATGAAATGGTTTTATTTATTCGGTTTCTTTTTATAGTTTATACTTGGTGTAATTTAAAATTAATATAATTTCTCACGAGTTTATATAATAGTAGTAAATAATTATGCCTAGTATATTTTCTAGTGTTTGGCACTTTTCTTCTTTGTTGGCGACGATGTGCTTGCCTTTTTTTTCTGTTGGTTTGCTTACTTTCTTTGTTTATTCCCCCCGACTAGGAAATTTCGATTGTCTTCACTTTTTCGTGGCAGATTATCTTTGAGATTAGAGTAAGATGTAACCTAAGCTTATCCCAATTTTTAAAACATGGTCAATTATAAAAAAATGTTATTTTATGTTAATATTTCACTGATGATATATATTTATAAGAAAATATAATATGAACTTTGATTATAAATAAATAAAAGGTAACACTTATTAGTATTTATAAAATCTAACTATAATTTTTTTATACGTAGATTTTTTAAGTTTAAGTATCTAGATTAATTTGTTTTCATTATTATATTTTAGGCAGAATTATGTGCCATAAAATAGTTTTTTGGGGTTTGTTCGTTATAATTACGGCTAAAAACATCAATTCAACATCGAATGAAGATTTATCTGTTAGTATCAACGATGAAATCGCAAAAGTTACACCAATATTACCACAAAACGAGTAAGTTTTCCTCATATTATATTAATGGATTTAATAATACTAATTCGGTGCTTTTAATTTGTTTGTTAATTATTTCATACATTGATGACATATTTATAAATTTTCAGTCTGTCGTGAGCGCTGATGATGATAACATTTTATGTATTATTTTTGTAATTAAGGATTTTTTTATAAATATTTTTTCATTAAAATCACAAGTGTCGCTTACTAATTATATAAAAGAAAATTATTTTATATTTACTAAAGACTAAGCCGAATAAGGTACACGTGTTTGAGTAATAATGTTTCTTTAATTTAGGTACTTAATTAATTATTAAAATATAAGAAAAAGCGTTTTAATAAATTTAGTAGTGTTATATTATTTTAAAATTGATTTTCAGGAATTTTAGTGACATTGAATCAAATTCATCTAATGCCGTAAGAGCAAGCACATTCAATAGTTCTGTGGAAACTTTCATTGTTCCTATCGCTAAACCGTTAAAAGATATTCAAATTATTAGTCCCTCGCATAAACGTTTTGCTAGGTATCTCGATCAGAATGACATTCATGGTGGCAGATGGGATGATTCCGGTCGGCACATTAAAATAATGTTAGATTTTCAACCGGTGCAGGATGAAACGGATCCTTATTATAAAGACAGTGTGTACGACGACGATTATGAAATAAAAAACGTAAACGGATTGGTTGAAGATAAAAGTTTGGAAATAGAAATTGAGAAAAATTCAAACCCAGTAACAAGATCTCGAAGTGAATCACAGGAACGAAAAAGATGTGCAAAGAGATGTGACCAAAATGTTAGTGCTCGGAGAAATAACAATCCACAGGAATTATCGCCTAAGAATGTTGATGATGAACAAAATGCTGTAATTACATGTAAAGACTGTAAAATTATACAACCATTAAATCAGCAGAGTGAAAGTAAAAATACCGAATCCGATGATACAAACTCGACAAATGTCGAAGATAAGAAATTTCAGACAATTTTACAAGAATTAATAAATGAGCTACGAAAGGCAAAAAAATCAAATCGTACTTCAATTCGAGAAACTTTGTCAAAAAATGAAGACAAAAATATCGATGATAAACTATCAAACAGGTCTTCAGAAGAAACTATGGTAGTCAAGTTTAAAAACACGAAAGGCGCTAAAATAATGGATATGTTAAATTCAAGTCCCGAAAATACATTTGTAAATGGAAAGTGGGTAAGAAAACAAATTCTAAGAAATAAAGCAAATGTTCCAAGTCAACAGCCAACATATTTACAACCACAAGACGTTGAAAATATAGGTTCAACAGTTGAATATTCAAGTAAAACTGATGAGAACAATCCATTGACACCAACAACTGGAAGTATGGATGACACTTTAGTAGATTCAGCGGTTCGAGCCGATGAAAATGACAGCACGTTAAATGATAATCCAAGTAATATGCCAATGTACTATCCCGAAACAACAATAAGCGACGCAGACTCAGGGAAACAAATTCTACATACAGGACAAAATAGCAATGAAAATGAAAGAGAATCTAGTCTATATGATTATCCGAATAACGACGACATGGAAAGCGTAATTATAAACGCAGATTCTAGTTCGCTAGAGGAAGATAGAAGTTCTCTAGAACATGAATTGGAACGCGAATACCATGAAAATAAATTTAAAAATATTGTGAGTTCAACGACAATAAAAAATTTTACAGAAATAAAATCAAACACCTATACGTCACCGAATAAACATAAAATACATAATCAAAAATTTCTTGAAAATATTGCCAAAAAACTCAATAGTAACAAAAGTTCAGTGAATCATAATAACAAAAAACCTATCGACACCATACAAAAAACCAAAAAGAAATCAGAAAATCAGAATGGTAGAAAACCAATGCTACCCGACGATTTATCAGTGTACGAAAATACAGAAAATTCGGAAAATCTAGCCGGTACGAGAATTTTTGATGAAAATTTTAGCACAACTTCCGATGAACACAATAAGCCAAACAATAGTGCAACTACTAATCAGACGCCAACTAGAAATAAAAATAATAGTAATAATTCAAAAAATACTTTACCATTGAGCAGGAGTTCAGAAGATATTATTGAAATACTTAAAACGCTTACAAATAAATCTATACAAACAACATCTTCTCCAATACCGCTAGATACACCTGAAGATTCTGACAAATATTTAACTATGAAAATACCTAGAAGTTCGAAACTTTTATTAAAATCGTTGTCTTCGCCTAAACTTGACGAGCATTTAGACAGAACTTCTGAAGAGAATGATGAAGGAAACGCAGTCACAGAAAAATCTTTAGTAAAAAATAATAAAGCTAAAAATAAGTCTATAAAAACTACTCTTGAACCATATAAGGATGAAGAGACAAAAAGAAATCCAAAAGTCTTGGAGATATTACAACGAATGAAAAGTTTAAATGGACCACTTGCAAATTTACATTTAGAAAATGAATCTTCTGAAAAGAGTAATGGTGATAGCAAAGCAATTAAGGATCTGACTTCAACGTCCCAAAAGTTATTAACTAAAAATAAATATAATACCCAATCAACAGGAAAGTTAAGTCAACTATCGCTGAATGAACCGATCGAAAGTATAGATGAAGAACAAGAAACTATAAAGAATAAAAAACTTTCAAACCCATTTTTGAAATCATTGCAACCATTTAATACAGAAGAATTATTAGATGACAACAAAAAACTTGGCAAAACTACAACGAACCAAATATCACCAATTGAACATAAAAATAGCACAAAAAAGTTAAAAATCGTTAATCCAACAATTTCCAATAAATTAAAAAGTTCGGAAAATGTAACAAGTAAAAAACCATATAAAGTTAATTCAAACCGGTTAACTCCTTTAGCGTCAGAACCAAAATTAAACAACAGTGATAGTGCTGAAGAGAATGCAGTTACAAACAAAACACCAATTTTCGTAAGGAAGGCCCCAAAGATCTTACTAAAGCCACTGGAGAAGTCTGCATTACCTACAGAAGTATCTAAATCTAAACTAAAGCAAAAGACTAATCATAATAAAAGGGTCAACTCAAATTGTAGTGAAAATGGAAGTTGCAATAAGTCTGAAGAAGAAAACAAAGATATTGCTATTAAAGAAATTATTACAAAACAAAAAGAAATAACTGAAACCGTTCTTACAAGTAGTAACAAAAATCGTTTTGATAACAAAAGAAGATACTTAACAGAGACAGAAAGAGGTACGTATGATAATACTAAAAGAAATCCAACACCTAGTATACTGAAATATTCAGACCGTCTAAATGATAAATCTTCCGAAATCGGTAGGAATAGTGATAATACCGATGTTGCAAAAAAGAGCCATACAACAAAAAAACAATTTACATCGTTACCAAATGTAGCCCAAGAGAAATCGCCTGAAGATAGTAGTAATACAAGTGAGCAAAAAAAACAAAAACTGAAGACTTCAACGTCACTAGTATTGGAAAAATCTTCAGATATTATGTCTGATGACGGCAAAACAAATGTGTACACAACAAAAGATGGGAGAAAACAAGTTAACAACGGGGTTTTACAGAACCCACAAGAAGAAAATGATGATATGACTAACAAAACACAAATATCTCAGAAAACAAAACCTAAGACGAAAATAAATGCTTTATCAAAGTCTGCACCTACATTAAAATTAGACGCACAATTGAACAAAGATCCAGAAGAAATTACTCGAGTAAACGATTATGTTACCACAGAAGTACCTATCAAAAGTAAAAAGCTTACGAAATTGCCTAAAAAGTCTTTGATTAAAACCATGTCAATAACAACAACTATACCGTCTCAAGAGGAATTCGCTGAAAAATCGTATGAACATTCAAATGCTAAAATTTTGAGACCATTATCAAAAGCATTGTCTCCTTCAAAACTTAATATACACTCAACAAGTAATCACGAAAACGATCTTAAAGTAAATGCTACTAAACCATCAAAAATAAATATGAAAACTTTAATAGCATCCAAAAAGCTTTCCAATAAAATTGCAACAACTACTTCACCTTCTCCATCCTCACAAGAAACAGGCGAAGATACAAATGAATACTTAGCTACAACAAAATTGAAATTATCATCAAATTCCATATATTCCTCCAAACCTGATTTACACTTAAAACAAACAGACGAAGACAATACTAATGTTAACGATAAAAGTGCAATGAAGAAGTTCACTGCTGTAAATCCAAAAATTGCAACACCTTTACTGGCACACAAGGTAGCTGATAATAATGGTGTTTATGTACCCAAAAAACTCTTGACAAAAATAAAATCTAAATCAGAACATTTAAATTTGGGAATTATTTCTACTAGCAATAGCGAAGAGACACCTGAAACTAATAACGATGATGTTCTGAAAAAAAATTCAAATACAAACAACCTATTATCGAAAAGGCCTTTAAACAAATTTTTAATAACGACACCAATTCCGTTTTCACGAGAAAACCCTGGTGATAGCGTTATTACAAAAATCTCAAAAAAGTCGAAACCATTATCTTCAAGTAAATTACATTCTATAACGATGTCTGCTCAACCGACACAATTTATCCCTGAGATTGATAAATATTCCGATGAAACTACCAACGATAACAACGACTATAAAACCACTAAAAAAATGGCCAGAAATAAAAAAATAAGTAATGCTGAATTGCTACAATTAAATTCGCAGGTCTTACCAAATGACGTAACAGAAGAAATAGAAATCGAAACAACTAAAAAACCACCAAAAATGTCAATTTTAAGATCAAAATCTTTTCAACCATTTAGTGTGGATAAAGATCCCAACGATGAGTTAGTTGAAGATAAAAGCATATATGATACAGAAAATAATCAACCATTAATTTCTGATTCTAAAAATGAAGAACTTTACATTCCTGAAGAGCCAATAAATATGGACTCACCAAATGAAAGCTATCCAGATGAAATTTCCAATTATAATTACGATGCCGTGGTTGAAGAAAATGAAAATGCCGTGACTTTTGAACCAGAGTCTATTGACAAACCAATGATATCTGAAGAAAATGTTAACTCATCTGTTAAGAATGTATCAAAATTAAAACCAAAATTTATTTCATCAGCCGCCGCAATTAGAGATCGTTTGCAATCGTATACTAGTAATAAATCTAAACCTACATCACAAATAACGTTGCGAAACCAAAATACTAAACAAAAAGCTGAAGAATCACGCTATAATTTAAAATTTAAGTCATCGAACACTCCAAATTTGATAACTAAATCACCTACACTGTCTTCAAATAAACTAGATAGCGATGAACATGCACCGTATAATGAAGAAGATTTAACACCAATACGATTTGAGGAATTAACTAAAAAATCACTGCTACCAAATACAAACGCTAGGGAATATTGGTCCGCTTCTGGTAACTCAGGAAACGGCCCGAGACCCTATCAACCCACTCCAGTTCTGAATCACGAAGATCATTATGGTTATAATCAATATAACAAAAATTATTGGCGAGGAACCAAACCGAACTTAGAATCCAGTCAAAATGAACAGTCGTCGAATAATCATGCGCTTGAATCTTCATTATCCAGTCAAATACTGGACGATAGTATGGATAATGTCCAAGATTCAAAAAAAAAGTTATCTTGTCAAAGTAGACTGGAGGTATTACCACAAGTGAAAGTCCTAAACGGCGTGTTCAAAATCCCGTTGGTTGGACGCAAAGTCTGCGATAGTGAGAATTCTGGGCATATTTCCGACATATTCGTGCCAGTTGATAAATCAAATGGACAACATTCAGCTATATCCCTTACTAAATTATTGACTGGTGATTTCCGTTTAGTAAATGGACATAACGAACATTCACTTGCAATGGAACCAGTGTCGGATAATGTTGATCATTCAAACATGGTTCAGTTGCCTATGGACGACTCTAATTCTGATTCTGACAAACAAGCAATAAATTCCATTGCACCCAGAGATATTCAAAGTAACAAAGAAAACAACCAAGAACCAATACCACCCATACACATAATACAGATTATAAATAACGATTTGTACTTAGGCACACCAAACGACACTAGACAATTACCGCAATCCGGCAGAAACGACGAGGATGATTTGAATAGAACCCGTAATTCGAATCTACGCTTAATGTTAAGTAAGCCTCAGATTAGAACCTACGTTCACAATGGACAAAATAACGAGGATCTAGATAATTCGTATAACTACTTCGATTCCGAAATTTTGGATAAAGTCTTGAACGTGTATGCACCACACATGATAAAATCCAGAGAAGGGTACCAGATTTCCGGCGAAAACGATGTTGTACCAGAAAACCCCAAGGAATCCAATGCACATGATGGTCATTGTCCTGTTTGTCATGTTGATCCTAAAACCGAACACAAAGCTGATTCATCCAAAATCGAAAATGAAGATGACATTGAAAAACATGTTCGAAGTGAAGCTTCTTCAGGTTGTCCTGTATGCCACAAAAAAGAGCGAGAAACGACTTTAAAAGAAATGCCAGATCAGCAAGAGACTCGAGTGAAAATGCACCAAGCGGATACCAATCAAGAAATAGAAAATGAATTCGATCCAAATGAAAAACCAATAATGAGCTCTCGCGTAAAAATGCTCACTGATATGCTCGTAGCCATGAAACATTTATCCAGCACACAACCCTAGTGACATCATCAAGTACAAATGAACCAATATTTAAGGTAATTCTATTTCATAAGTGATAACAATTTATGTACACATGGCGTGAACTTATTATTTTTAAGATATAGCTAAATTATAATTGAGAAAGACTTTAAAAAATGTTATCTTATTTTTTTTTTTGTATGTAAAATGTAAATATATAATTTAATGTTGATAATTATATTGTAGTATACGAAAAAGAAATCATCGTAATTTAAATTATTTTATTAATATGTTTTAAGCTTAAATACAGTATAAAATTGTATGTACTTTACAATATAAATTATTTTTAGAATAAAATATGGGAAAGGATACATACCTATTCAGTAGATATTAGAACCGTGATTATTAAAGTGTACATATTTATATTTTTTTTACTTTCATAATTATAATTTTATTTATAAAAGATATAACGTATTTTTTATATATTAGTAGTCAATCAACTAGTTATATTAATTATTTATATAAATAAATAAAAGAGGGTACAAAAGTACAGTACATATTAGAACTATGTTTATTAAATTGTATAATATATGTTTTTTTTTTATCTTTTTAATTATAATTTTGTTTATAAAAGATTTAGCACATTTTTTATTTATTAATTGCTAAAAACAAATTTTTTTTTTATACTTTAAACAGTAAAGATTGTCTTGCTAAAAATAATATAAAATGTAGGGTTTTATGTAAAATATTTTATAAATAATTGCTGAAAGAAATATAATATAGTCCATTACGTTCCATTTATGAATTATGAAGTAATAAAAACTATAAATACAATATTGATAAATTGGTAGCTGCTATGCAACGTTTTTTCCTTTTAATTGTGTTGATAGGGCTTAGGTAGCATACCGTTTTAAGTTGTAAGTTTTATAGTTGAGAATAACTACGTTCATGGAAGGACCTCATAAATGCGAGTCACGTTAGCCGTTGTTAATCACACCATTTGCAGCCCATTTAACTAGTTCAGCCATTCTACAATAGTCATCAGTCCAGATCGTTATGATTAATTGCGTATGATTAAATAAATCCAGCACCATAAACAGATTCTCATTTTGCAGCAATAAATTTTTTTTAAAGAATAAAATGTATTTTTATTTATACTCTAAAAAAATATTGTAATACCTCAATTTATTAAGGAGTCAGAAATGGGCAATTTTTACAAAATCGTATTTTCAAGGTTAAACTATAATATAATAATGTGTAATTATTAGTTTAGTAATCATAATTCTTATTTTGCAACTAATTTATTTTTTGGACTACCACAGCATCGTTATCAGCGATTTTAAATATTTTTTTCATCTAAAAATAGTTACGCAGAATGCGTTTTACTAAGTTCATGGGAACAAAACATTCATTATGAAATCGAAAGATAACAAAATTTTGGAGACAAAGTAAAAAAATGTGATTTAAAATGTTAAACATTAAGCTAAATATTAGGGTTATCATAAAAAAGAACATGAAGTTGTTGCCAAAATCTTGTCATTTTTCGTATTTTTTAAGCATTTTTGCTCTAAAATCATAAGTTTTTACATTCTTAGTGAAAAAAATTATGTAAAATAAAACTTATTTAAAATTTCTAATTCATTATGTATGTATAGAGCTAATTTTCGGTACGTCTTCAGTTCAACTACAACAATTTTCTCTTTTAACATAAACTGATGATCTCAATACATTTATGTTTATTAGCATTGATACATTGATGTAATATTACAACAGTGCATTATATAACTATAATTATGCTTAGTTTTTTTTATTTTGTCTTTTAAAACACAAATAAGTAGACAATACGCATAACATGAAATAACTCAGGTTAGATTGTTTTATTCAAAATGATTTCAATAAGAAATTTAGATTTAAAAATCCAATTAAAATAATCAAATAATTTAGATTTTACAATTATTTCCTTATACGTGTAAACCTAAATTGTAGTATGTATTGTTGTAAATACAATTTTAACTGAAATTTTAAGATATCTAATTGTTTTATTCTTAACGTACCCACCTAATTTCTTATAATACCTTGCTATATAAACCGACCAAAAATTGGCAGGTAATACGTGTAAAATATATTTTTTTTAAGTGTAAAAGTAAGTTTAAAAAAAGTGGTTAGCTACCCCAAAACAACTTCTATAATGTATTAATATATAATATATAGGCGATAACGCTAATTTTGGAAAACTTTTGGAGCACCCCATCCCCGAAAAATTAACTTTTTAGATAATAAACTCAATTTTAATGACTTTTTGTTACTTTAAAAATACAACTTTAAGTAAGCTGTAATTATTATTTTACATAAGAAACTGAATTTTAATAAAAAAAATTGTATTTACTTTCGATTAATAATAGCCACTCTAATTTTTAACTTATTTCGATACAATAACTTGTCAATTTAAGTAACTTGACTTATACTATAATAGAATACTATTATAATAAACACTACATTTTTATACTTGTACTATTTATTTAGCTCTAAGCAATACAAATTGTAAAGACATTTTTACAAGCTAATTTTTTATTAACTTCAGCATATATATTCATTTGTCTTTTAGTGAAATTGAAATAGTATTATGAGATAAGTAGTACCTGCTGCAATTGTCTGAAAACAAAATTGATAAGGTTTTAAACTAATTAGGTAATGTGTAACAACGTCTACTTACTGAAGTTATAAGATGTGGATTGAGAGTAAAAAAATCGCATGCAGTAAACTCTATGTCATGGCTGGATATTTGATTCATAAATAATAGTAACTGTGTAAAAACAATATAAGAATCAAAATTATATTAATTTTGTAAAATTGTATGTATTATGTATTCCTTATGTTTTTACTTGGATCACACACCTTTTATTATTTATTTTAGTAATGCCTATAATATTTAAAAAAAAACATTAAGTTTTAAATTTTAACCAGTTTGCACATACCTCTTCTTTTGTGTTATTGTCCAAATAACGATTGTTTATGTCAGTTATAAATTTTTCTGATTTGCGTGCCTAAATATAAAAAAATATCCATTTTTATATAGTTATCAACAAAGTAAGAATGACATATTTGTGATTATTAGTCAAATGAGTTTGTCTGGCCGTGTACAGAGTGTAGATATGAGGTGATGTTTATCCATTTTATTATTTACCTAAAAATTGGTAAGGGGACGATCATTTTGTTAAGTGCAAATATTTTATTCAAAACTTTTGGTGGGTATTCGTATATTATACTTGATTGCTGATTTGTGATAAGATGTGTGATTTCTCTTTCTATCCAGTAAGTCACTTGATATTTTACCATACAATCTTGTATGTAGTGTCTCTAATGACTGATCGCACCAAATTGTAAATTATTGATGTAACTTAAATCGAAATTACTATATATTTTTAACTTTAAAAAAGAACAGTAATTTTAGGTACGCGTAAATCATTAATTTTCGGATTTTCGGTAATTTTTCCAACACTCCGATGTTGTTTAAATGTTTATTTGAAAATAAATATAAATTTTGTTTTACCAAATCGTCGCTTGAGATGCTACACCACATATCTAATTTTTTCAATTTTACAGGAGAGCAAAAAAATAATTTTCAATAACATTATTAATGACTACTATTCGATTATAGCGTTACCTAATACATATTGACTTTATCATAAGTATAAGCCCACCGTTCGCTTTTTCGTCTACACTGAAAAGAAAACAGTGGCTCAACTTGATTTGGCAAAAAAAAAAAATGAGATATGAGATGTCGCATCTTATGCAAAGAAATGGGGAAATTTAGATTCAGAACGACCCGGGGCCGTACGCTTTTTGTACACTCTATATGTTTTTAAAACATTCCTAAAATCCTATAAGAGGTACCTGTTCCGTAGTGAGATGAGCTATGATCACGATTGCACAAAACCTGAACGAGTACTGTAGGAGCCAGCCATATATGAATATGAATGAATTTGACGAATCGCTGTCCCTAAAAGCTTCACCGTAGATGTCAAACAATGCCATGGCACACAACACGCACAGAGACAACCCCAGTTGGATGCCGTACAACCCGTTCAAGTCCTCCATAGCGTTTCTGGCATACTGGTGTCTGGCCCGAAGTCGCTCCACGGTCCTGGTCAGCGGCCGGTTGACAAACGATCTTAACGTTCTCGAATGGAACATTGGTATTTTGCTGTTGCCGTCGTCTTTGGTCTTAAGAGTAGTTTGATCGCGCCAATTCGATCGCAGCACGTTGGGATACTTGTTGATTTCGATGATCACCGACCGAAGTTCGTCCATGTCCTCGTTGATGAGTTGAAATTTTTGATTTAGTCCGAAACAAGTCAGGATGAAGTTCACCTCGGTCAGGCACATGCTCAGGTTCTGCATGTACAGGTACACGAAGAACACCACAATCACGTAGTCGCCTTTCCACTGGTAACGGCTGATCAGATAGAGCCGGAATAGATTTATCGGTACTATCATGATCAGACAGGTAGACACGATGATAAACGAGAACAACCGATGCAGCTTCGCTTTGGCTACGGACGTCGGCGAGTACATCTCGTAACGTTCCATCTTCTCGTCGTACTCCGGGAAACCCCTGATGTTCTTGTACACCATTGTCACCCTGGACACCAACGTGGCGATGGCCATCAATTGAAAGTACATGGAGTGCACGAGCTTGGACATGGAGTCCGCGCAGTAGCCGTCCAACACGCACACACAATACGGCGTCTTTAGATAATTATAAATGCAAGTGGCCACCAAAATGGCTGAATAAACGAAATAGCCTTTGTTTTGAATGTGTTTCAATATTTTCGAAAACATCATAGCTTGGTATTGTGTTTCTCGTTCATTAAATCTCACCTGTCTCGTAGTAGCATATAATATGATTTTCGATAGCTTTGGAAATGTGTTCAAAATTAAACCTTATGCGTACTTATTTTTGTTTATAACAACGTGTTGTACTTAATAATTTACACCGTCTATGTCTATGTGCCGTTTATTCGGGTACCCATTACCCCGTGTGTATTTGACACTCTCTTATGTACATATCTGCGTTAATTTCCCATAATAAAATAACGGTAACGGTTAGTTTCTTTTTTGTATACTTTATTTATCGGAACTAACGAATTGTTGTTATAGCTCTACAGACGTCGACAGTGTACTTATGAATTTTACATCATCATCATTATGACTTCCACGTCAGTTCCTTGAGCAAATTTGAAAAATGACATCACAATCAATTTTGTTTTTATAGATATTTTAGCTGCAACTCGACGCCGAGAAGGTATTGGTTTTATAAAAAGGTGTTTTTTTTTTAATTTAATTTTTTAATTTTTTGACCTAGATCCATGATAATTTTTCTCAAACACGACGTATAAGGTACGTTATCGGACCAAAAATCAAAACGAACACCTCCCCTTATTCAAAATTGAGAAAAAACTATAAAAAAAATACATTTTTTTTCAACTTAAAAATTATGGCGTACTGTAACTTTAATTAAAAATGATCAAATTAGTTTAAATGAATAGGTATGTAATATTCTTTAGATGAAGTATTATCCATAAACGTAGACAAATAAAGTATAGGCCAAGAAGGGGTGAAACTGTTTCTTATATTTACTTTTTTAAAGGAAGTTTTGGCTTAAGATCTAAAAATTAGATTCAAAGTAGATCTAGAAAAGAGTTATAAGATAAAGTAATATTTTTAAAAATCTTTTGACAAACTTTTTTTATTTATTAAGGAACCCCGAAAAAAGGCGGAAAATTACATTTTGGCCGTAGTAAGTTTTTAGGCTGCTGTATGTGAGTGAATCAACAGTCAATGGGTATCTGAAAAATAGTTTTTATAGACAGACGATTCAACTGAATCGTAGTTTCAGTTATAATAATTATTTTTAGTAACTAGGAACTAGGAAAATAATACATATTAAAAGCATATGCAAGTATAAATTAAATTATTGTTTATTGCTAGAGTTAAACTGCAGAAGTATAACCAAGTATGTCGTTCCTGCAGCAATTGCCTATTAAACATATTAAGTTAATAATTAAATAAAATTTTATGGATAATTACAATAAATAAACTTACAGAAGTTATCAGGTGAGTATTTAAAGTGAAAAAATCACAAGCTGTGAATTCCATTGAATTGCTGGATATTTGATTGAAAAAAAGTTGCAGCTAAAATAGTTCAAACATGGTGATAAATAAAGTAATTTTAATTATAAGCGAGTCAGATGAATTACTTCTTCTTTTGTGCCTGGATCTAAAAAACGATTGTTTATATCGGTTATGAGCACTTTAGTCTTGCAAGCCTAAATTATAGAAATATTAATTATACATCGTTTAAAAAATATCTGTATGTGGTACAATATTATTACATACGTTGTATCGTATATTGAATTCTAAAATTCTACCTAGTATAAATTTGTATTTATTAGAATTTGACAACATTTATATTTTACCAAAACAGGCATAAGAGATTCATTTTTGAAGTTTTAACAATTAAAATAATGTCAATTTAAGGTTTTTTTATTTCCACTTGCAGATTTCCTAAACCAATAAATGGATTTTTTTTTGTTTAGGAACTTATAAGAATCACCTTGACATGTATTAGTTCATCTACTACAACGCTTTAAAGTTGTATACCATAAACATATTTTTTATAAACATTTTTGAAATAATTCTCCAAAATTTAAATATCAAGAAAGGTTACATGTCGACTCGACTTCGCAAGCGTTTTTGTAGTGTATAATAAATGAATTTAAAGCCTCATGTTAATTATTATGTGTACGTGAGCGTCTTAATTTGTTTAAAGTAACACGAATAATTGACCTCCAGGAGTTAAAGGTAAGTTAATTCTAATTGTGTTTTTCTTTAGCAGTTTATAAAATAGGCAGCATCGATTTACATGCGATTTTTTATATTTTATAAATAGGTCTGGGTAACAACAGACGACGGGGACGAGTCGACGACTTGCCTGTAACCCGTGAATGTGTTATGGGGGAGCGGCGACTACTAAAACATAATTCCACTACCCGTGTGAAACTAGGTACAACAGATAGAAAGCTAGGCTTCTTTGATTTTAATAATTGTATTGTTTATTGTATCTATAAACATTCCTATGGCATTGCACACCCCAAACAAAGCAGACCAGACCAACTCATATTATAATATAATGTACATCATCGTTTGCAATATCTTATCAAACTAGTTTACACCTCATTTATTATTTAACATTAGTAAAACCCGCATGGATCTAACCTTTAACTGATAATTATTTATTATCGAGACTATCGTTTTTCTCGATAACTACCCGTAAGATGGACATGTTTTAGCATGTAATATTTAAACCATATTTACCTCTTTAGTCGTAGTGTGTGCGATTAATGTGATCAAGATAAATCGAGTTGTGTATTGCAAAACCCATCCGTATAAGATTATTTTGGATATGGTAATATTATCATAGCTTGAATGTTCACCACGGGTTAAATCATAATACATAGTCAACGAGGTCATTAACCACAAGGTGCACAGGAACAAGCCCAATTGTATCCCAAATACGTCGTTCAGATTCTTGACAGCCTCGACAGTAAGTTGATATTTGATACGGAGGTATCTGACAAAACACGCTTTGGACATGCCATTAAACTTGAAGCCGGAATAGTTGAAAGAGTTGACTATGTTCAACTTTACGTAACGATCACCGGAAGGTAAAAGAAACGGATAATTGTTTGTGATATTCGTGTCTACTCTCAGCATAGTCAGGTCAACGTTGATTAGCTGGATCTTTTGGTAAATGATGTAGCACAGTATGAAAAAGTGCATTTCTAGGCAGCACGTGCTAAGGGTTTGTAGACAAAGTAACAGATATAATAGTAATTTGGAAAATTCTGGCTGATACCTATAGTCGATGTATATTTTTAGCCCGTAAACCGGAAAAACCAAAGCAAATAATAAACATATGATTTGAAGGGATATTTTCTTTATACGTTGTAGTTCGTCGGGAGTCGCCGCGGTTAGAGTTTCGAACGCTATTATGTTATTTTTGTAGTCGCCTAAATTGCGTTCAATTTTCCAAAATAAAATCAGTCTCGATAATATGCACGTTGTTGCCAATACTCTAGGAAACGTTCCTTTGATAATAGCGAACAAGCTTAACTTGCGCCAATCAACTAAGTACGGTGTACTGATGAAATTGTAATAGCACGACACGAACAACAATACAGATGAAACGAATTGTAGTTTCTTTGGACGGAAATCATTCGAGAACATGCCGAACACATTCCAAAAAACTAGCGCTGGCCAAGCAAGCGTTATACAATACATAGTTATCACCCTGCTAGACAAGTACGACAACTTCTAATGTTTTACTAAGGCGGTGATATGGAATTTCGTTACTTTTCGCTAACAATTTGTTATGCGAGTTATATTTTCCTTAATAATCCCCATTTCTTTAATTCTTGGAACTCCTAATAATTGTTATGAAAACAATATTTCGACTGTAGTAAAAAACCTTTTTATAATATATTATTACGCTCATTATTTTACACGATAATGGTATTTTTATGTTATTGACTGGTTCCGTGTTTATTTGTTATTAACAGACAACATAATATTTTAACGTGTGTGGTTAAAAGGTTTGATGAGTAGGACTAGGTTTTGGCATTGCTTTAACATATCAGGTTAATATTGCAATGTCCCCCCCCCCCATATATCGATATTTTAAAATAATAAATATATAATGATATCGTATAGGGATCCAATTTTATTAGTATCATTACAAACATATTATGTATATGCTCGGTGATTCTTTTAACGCCCAACACTACTATACTCTCAAAAAATTGAAATTTTGTAGCGTTTCTTTTTGAAAACATTTTTATTTATGTTTAAAATTAAGGACAGAGGGTGGAGTTCGGTTGAGGAAAGCGCGCAGATAAAAACAAATTCTATGCTCCACGCTACGTCACGTCTTAATTTTTAAACTTTAAAACTAGTTATCGACCAGCCAAAATGTTCAACAAATTATTTTTAACTAAAAAAGTTAATTAAATATATACGTTATCATTTAAGATTTTAAAGTTGATATAGCTTTAAAAAGTACTAAAAAAGATAAAAATTTACAGAATAAACAAAATTCTTTAAAAAAGAAAAACTACAAAACGGTTTTCTGCCTACTCCATGGTAGGGTTTTATTTAGTGTGTATAATATTAAAAAATACTACATTATAATATAATCTTATCTTACATAATCTTAATGAAATTATGACTGTGAAATAGGACTTCGGAGAGAAGGTGTGCACAATCGACCTGCAGATCTGAGTGCATGGGAACTTCTTAGGCCCAACCACTAACCAACTTAAACTAAAAACTATATATATCTTAAAGATCTTATTGTGTGTGATCTCGCATTATAATGTTTTCTTTAAGTAAATTTAACGATAGGGAGCTGAAAAGGTATTATTTTTACAATGCTGTGTTTCTATTTTTGTGCCTGGGCCTGCAATACCCTCTAAACCACTGAACCGATTTCTTCATGTAGCATATCTAAGTTTAGAAATCATACATGAAAAGGAACTTGACTCTTATAAAATTTTAAAAGTTTAAAATCGAAAACGGTATTGACTTAACAATTTTTTTTGTTACCTCTAAAACTACTGAACCGATTTCTTCATGTAGCAAATCTATGGATAAGAAATCGTACCAGAAATGTACTTAGTTGAGCCATAAATTAAAAAATTCACTCTTTATCCTTTCAAAATTTGAAAAACACTCAGAGTTATTACATATATTTTAACTTACAAATACAGCGCTCTATACCTTTTTTTAAAAATAGTCAAATTAGTTTCAAATTTGTACAAAATAATCTTTAGGTATAGTATTATCCATATACATTGGCAAACCAAAAATATATTTAAAAAGCTCTTTCCCCTAGAAAAAAAGGAAACTTTTTTTATATTACTTTTTATGACTTCTTGTCTGAAAATTAGACTGAAGGTAGATCCATAGTAGAGCTATAACATATACAATTTTCTCAAAAATTTGTAACCAAACTAATTTATTAATAAGTTAAGAAAATAAAAAAAATCCAAAAATTACACTAACCATAGTACATTTCTAAGTTGCTATTTCGGAATGAAAACATTCAACAGGTATCTAAAAAATATTATCATTATAATTACGATATATGGGTACCAAAATAGGATAGGTGGACAACCAATGCTAATGGTAACTATCCACATACTGAAAACTCAATTTTAACCACATTATTTTTTAACATGATCCTTTTATAGATACTTGAACTTTTATCATCTATACTCTAAAGATTAGCATCGAAGCGTTTATTTCTGTTGTACGAAATTTAGAAATTAGGTATTGGATTTTCAAATGAAGATATACAAAATAAAAATGGTATATGTTGATATGTTGAAGTCATGAAAACAGGAAACATTAATGAACAAGTATCTAATTATAAATTTAGTACACAACATATTAGAAAAAAAATTGAATTTTAGTAATTCGAAATAAATATTGGTTGACGTTGTTAATTACATTATCATTAGATCAATTTTTTTAGCACAATTTGCTATAATATTTTTAATTTATGTACATAACCATAAAACCGTATCTAAAATAAAATAAATACGACTTTTATCTTTGTAGTCCCACTTAATAATAAATGTTATCACATAGATTGAATACATCACTTAAACCCCTATATTTAATAGTTTTAATAAGTGCATATTTGTTAATTTTAAAAATAACGCTCACCTGCTTCATCATGGTATTAGCAACCATTACAATCATATAGAACCGATATGAGTATTGTGCCAACCAACCATAAATAAATAAGTTTGATCGATTCCGAAAGTTCATCAAAATGAATACTTCGTAGTAGATATCAAATAATGCCATTACGCACAGTGAGCATAAAGACAAACACAGCGGAATGCCAAACAATTCGGTGAGATTGGTGACCGCTTCACGGATTAGTCGATGCCGGATTCTAAGGATTTCGACAACAGTGGCTTGTCCGTTCGGTGTACGATGAAAGCTTTTATCATTAGTAATCCGATGTTGTCGGTGCACCCATCTAAGGTGATAACGTTTTTTTAGCTGCCCGTCCGTTGACAGTGGGAAATCATTGGAGACTTCGTCCTTGAGCCGTTTTAGGTCAGAGTTTATACTGCTAAACTTCAAGTACAGATTCCAGCACTTGGACGCGAAGTACAACTCCAAAACGGAAATAAAAAGATTTTCTATGTACAAAAACACCATAAACATCCAAGCTACGAAAATTGTTTGATTTGCGTACAAGATTTTCAACCGAAGGATATTTATAGGAAGGATGATTGACAATAAGGAGAGTGTGACAGTCCAGGTAAATACCAAATAACTGCGACGGTCCTTTCGAGTAACTGGAGAGTAGTTATCGTATGCCTCGACGTTATTGTTGTACCCCTTCATCGAAAAGCTGTATTTATAAAGCATAATCAAGCACGATATAAAACAAGTCGTGGCTACGAACCTCGAAAACATTCCTGACAGGGATGTAAATCCTTTGTTATTGCAATCAACTCCGTCCATTATGCACGGTATCCACGAAGACAATGAAAAGTTGACAGCACATGATATCAAAAGTGTGCTTAAAGTAATGGCATATACCACACGACCAATATATTTCAATACAGTCATGATCAATTAAAACAAATCAGTTAAAATCACCTTTTCTACTTGGTCATTGATATATTCTAATTCTGTAATCGGCTGTCGTTTACTCGTCATGAATACTTATTTGGTGTAAAACCTTACTACGTAGATAAAATACTTTTATTATGGTATACTTACTATTTAACACGACAGTTTAATGGTGTATAAAGTTTACCTAAGACAAACTATCCCAATGTTTGCTCATTAAAACAATGTAAGCGTTTGTTTGAAATAAAAACCTATGTATAATAAATAACAATATTATAAATAATTTTCAAATGCCTGCTGGACAATTGATTCACTCGCAGATAACATCCTAGAAACTGACTACAGTCAAAGTAAAAATTTTCCCCTTTTTTAAGTTTGACTACAGATTTTTAGTCCAATTTAGATTCTACATTCAGTCTAATTTTCAGACCTTAAACCCTAAAACTGTACCTAAAAAAATTAAATAATAAAGAAAAAGTTTCCACTCGTTCTAGAGAAAAGAGTATATATTTAATAAGTTTGTCATCGTATATTGATATTGTACAGTGGCGTATTTAGGAATTCGTTTAGGAGGGGGATAAAATAAGTAATATTCCACAGACTTGTGGGGGGCTTTGCCGCCACACCCCCCAAGCAACTAAACAGCATAACAACAATATTTTTATTTTAAAATCTACCAAACTTATGACTCTTAATTATAACTTAAAAAATTATTTATAATGTATTATTCCTAGAATAATAAGAAAATAATGTTTAAGTTCCACTATACTATTATAGTAGTGGCAGTTAAACATAATTTTCTTATATACTGTCATAATCATAACACAAAATCTAGTTTTCTATTTTTTTGGAGACTTAGTTAATCGATAACCTCATCTGGCAACTTTTTTATTGACCGGTGACATGTCAATAAAGCCAACCCATTCAGTCTGTTCTAATAATAAAAGAATAAACTATTAACTAATTACCAATTAGGTACTAATTTATAATTATATTCCAATAATAAATTTAAAAAAATATTTACTTCTGTCATACTATTCCTAAGATAGGACTTAATCCTCATTAAACTAGAAAAGCATCGTTCTGGTGTGGCAGTAGACACAGGAAAAGTACAAAATATTTTTAAGAGTTAATGGATATTGGGATAAAATGTAAAACAAGAATAAATCAAAATCAAAAATTTAATTTATACCGTGATATAGCAATTTTCAAGTACTTAATTAATAATAAATGAATTAATTACAATATTAATAATATATATCTTATATAATTCATATTAAATTAACTTTTAATGAACCAATATATGTTTAGAAACATAATTTAGTGGCCAGTGATTGGTCCATACAATTTTAATTAACCATTAAATTCATTAATTCTTTATGCAACGCATCATTAATAGTTGTGTGAGTTTTCGATGTGGAGTCAAATTAAAATACAACATTTGTATGCATAAATTTCACAATACAAAAAGGCCAAGGGGGGATCTATCCCTCCCCCCCCCCCGTAAATACGCCACTGATATTATATAAAAGTTATAGCGCCTCATAATGTATGTAAAACGTTGGAGTGTTTTTCACGCGACCAAACCGTCCACACTGTCAAAATGATCGGTGTGCTAACTGCTACATGCGTACACCATACGCGCACAAAAACACATTTAATTGACAAACACTTGCGCGGCAGTTTGGACTCGGTTTAAGATGGACAAATATTGATTGGACGGCCTGGTTTAAAAATATTGTCATCCAACTCGACTAACAGTCTAGACATAATATGTGCTATTTAATCGATATTTACCTCTTTAGTCGTAATGTGCGCGATTAACGTGATCAAGATAAATCTAGTTGTATATTGCAAAATCCATCCATATAGGATTATTTTTGATATGAATCTGAGTCCGGATAGTTACCTCGGGTCAAATCACAATACAAAATGAACAATGTTATTACAAGGACAGTAAGTTGATATTTGATACGGAGGTATCTGACAAAACACGCTTTGGACATGCCATTAAACTTGAAGCCGGAATAGTTGAAGGAGTTGACTACGTTCAATTTTACGTAACGATTGCCAGAATGCGAAAGAACGCTAAGGGTTTGTAGACAAAGTAATAGATATAATTTTAAACTTTATACATGAATAATTTAATTTTATACATAAACTATTTTTTACTTCAAATATATAGTTTAATCTTCATGTATTAAAATTTGATAAATTTTATGAAATATCTACAATCTACTTAATAATTGAGTATTGACTATAATTATGTTATGCAAAAATATTAAAGTTTAAGTTAAATGGATCATTTCACGTGAAATCACCTAATGTGGGTGCGACTATAGTTCCTTAATATTAAAAATATATTTATTAAAAATTGATTAATTTTTATAAAATATAAAAATATTATATATTGTAAATGGAATCAATTCAGTAAATAAATAAATAAAACAAAATTAATGACAAAACATTTCAAACATTTTTTTTTGGACCTATGTAGTTTTTCCGGATGCTGTAATTTAATCGCCGATTGTGGTATAGACATGAGACCTGCACAGTTAAAATTCTAATTAGGTGTAACTTAACCATGTTTTGAAAAAAAAAAATTTTTAATTTTTTAACCCTGAGAAATGGTATTTTTTTAATTTTTCAAAAAGAAATTTTGGGGTTAAAAAATAAAAAAAGGGTTTATAAAAAGGTTTGGTTATGACCCATATCATTTTTGAACCAATAAGTTTTTTTTTATTACTAATTTACGGTTTCAAACATGGGTGGATTGCTGAAGACTACCTACATTAATAGTAGGTAAGTAGAACATCTGGTAAAAGTTTGGCGGTGAAGATATTATTTCAACACCAGTAGCAAGGTTTCAATTTTTTTTTATTTTACCAGATGTTCTACTTACTTATAAGAGAGTATTGCATGAATTTGGAAAATTTTCGTTCAGTCATATTTATGTTGTGGGTCATTAAAGTAGGTAGTTATACATACAGTATACATTACAATTTCATATAAAATAATATCCACCCGTAGAAGATTTCACTTGAAAATATTAATTTTGTTTTAAAGTTTAAAAGAGTTAAAATATTAAGTTATTTTTACAATAGTCTCTAAGAACAAAAAAATAATATACCAGCAAACTTACTGCATGTATTCTTCGCTACAAGCATATGCAAGTATAAATTAAATTATTGTTTATTGCTAGAGTTAAATTGCAGAAGTATAACCAAGTATGTCGTTCCTGCAGCAATTGCCTATTAAACATATTAAGTTAATAATTAAATACAATTTTATGGATAATTACAATAAATAAACTTACAGAAGTTATCAGGTGAGTATTTAATGTGAAAAAATCACAAGCTGTGAATTCCATTGAATTGCTGGATATTTGATTGAAAAACAGCTGCAGCTAAAATAGTTCAAATATGGTGATTGATAAATAAAGTAATTTTAATTATAAGCAAGTCAGATGAATTACTTCTTCTTTTGTGCCTGGATCTAAAAAACGATTGTTTATATCGGTTATGAGCACTTTAGTCTTGTAAGCCTAAATTATAGAAATATTAATTACACATCGTTTAAAAAATATCTGAGTGTTGTAGAATACTATTATACATGTTGTATCATCTTATAAATTCTAAAACAATATTTAATGTAAATTTGTACAGTTAGAATTTGACATTTATTATTTATAAAGCAGAAAAAAGAGATAAGGTAGAACATACGTTATACACAATTTGGTAAAATCGTTGCCTTTTAAAAAAAGTTTTCTAAACTTTTTCCGGATCCACGCTTTTAAAAAAATGTAGACTAATTAATGTTTTGCTAACATATCTTACTAATTCACCGACCCTCAATTTTTTATTGATATAAAATATTGATTTAGAGCGTCATGATCTTAAGCTTATTTAATTATGATGTTCACGTAAGTGACTTAAGATTTTTAACGAAATACAAATAATTTATTTCTTGAGTTCTGGAATTAAAAGTATGTAATAAAGACCATTGTGTTTTATCTACCTAATTTCTAATACTACATTTTTTTCTTCAGCAGATGTGTATCATCAGATTAATGACCAATTAAAACAACTCATAATTTATGTACAATTTGCTAAATTAAAATAATTATAAATTATTTTATTACTTTATTATGCCTACCTAATTATGTAACTTATTAATTAATATATTGTAAAAACAAGAGTATGTTGAAACAATTAAAATATAATAAAAAAAAAAAAAAATTAAATGTGTGACATAATATTCTTGTTTTAACTAGTAAGTAGTAACCAAAATTGAGGAATAAACTTCCTTAAATATTGTTAGGCTTTCGTTATTTATCCAAAATAAAACTTACGAACATTTATTAATATAGGCTCACATTAGTAAAACTAATCCGGATAATAGGTTTAACCGATTATTACCTTTATTGAAACTATCTATTTTCTTGAAAACAACCCGTTAAGCCGGGTCTATACTGTCGAAATAATCGGTACTCTATGGAAAATATCAAATATCAATAAAATGTTCGTGGGAACGTACACATACACATGCACAAAAACCCATCAAACATTCGATGACCGTGTTTAAAAATATTGCCATCTTATCCTACTCGCTAACAGTCTAGACATAATATGTGCTATTTAAACGATATTTACCTCTTTAGTCGTAATGTGCGCGATTAACGTGATCAAGATAAATCTAGTTGTATATTGCAAAATCCATCCGTATAAGATTAGTTTTGATATGAATATATTATCTGAGTCCGGATGGTTACCTCGGGTCAAATCATAATACAAATCGAACAATGCCATTAACCACAGCGTACACAGGAATATGCCCAATTGTATGCCAAATACGTTGTTTAGATTCTTGACAGCTTTGCCGATTATATAGTATTTGATACGGAGGTATCTGACGAAACACGCTTTAGACATGCCATTCAACTTAAAACCGGAATAGTTAAAGTTCGTTGTTATGTAACGATCGCCAGAATGCGAAAGAAAAGGATAATTGTTCCTGATAATCGTATCTACTTTCAGCATAGACAGGTCATCGTTGATTAGCTGGATCTTTTGGTAAATTATGTAGCACAATATAAAAAAGTGCATTTCTAGGCAGCACGTGCTAAGGGTTTGTAGACAAAGTAACAGATATAATATTAATCTGGAAAATTCTGGTTGAGATGTATAATCGGTGTATGTCTTTAGCCCGTAAACTGGTAAAACCAAAGCAAATAATAAACACATGATTTGAAGTGATATTTTCTTTATACGTTGTAGTTCGTCGGGAGTCGCCGCGGTTAGAGTTTCGAACGCTATTATGTTATTTTTGTAGTCGCCTAAATTGCGTTTAATTTTCCAAAATAAAATCAGTCTCGATAATATGCACGTGCTTCCTAATACTCTGGGAAACGTTCCTTTGATAATAGCGAACAAACTAATCTTGCGCCAATCAACTGAGTACGGCGTACTGATGAAATTGTAATAGCACGACACGAACAACAATACAGATGAAACGAATTGTAATTTCTTTGGACGGAAATCATACGAGAACATGCCGAACACATTCCAAAAAACTAGCGCTGGCCAAGCAAGCGATATACAATACATAGTTACCGCCCTGCTAGAAAGTACGGCAACGTCTAATGTTTTACTAGGCGGATCATATGGAATTTAATTACTTTTCGCTAACAATTTGCTTTCAAGTTATATTACGTATTCATGAATAGAAATATTATAAAAACATTTTTTTGATTATACTAACAACATTTCATTAACGGATAACATATTATTATTACTCTCATTATTTTACACGGTAATAGTATTTTTTGTTATTGATTGGTTGCGTGTTTATTTGTTGTTAACAGACTAAATATTTTAACACGTGTGGTGAAATGGTTTGATGAGTAGGACTAGGTTTGGGCATATCCTAAACATACCTGGTTATTGCATTGTAACCTCCCCCCTCGGCATCGTAAGGATGTCAATTATATTAGTATACCATGTATACACTGGGTGATTCTTTTCACGAACGCCTAATATTAGGTTACTCTTAAAATAAATTGAAATTTTGGAGTTTTTTTTGAAAATATTTTTATTTATGTTATACTCTAACATAAAAAAATATAAATATTTTATTTAAGTTTAAAATTAAGAGGGGTCGTGAAAAAAGCTGTTTTTTCCTATATATTTTTTTTTATGAAGTGCTAAGATTTATAAATAAATTACATCATAAAATTGACCATTCAAAGTATTTTTTTTAAAAATTCTATTGCGAGAAAATTAAAAATGGCGGTGTTACAGCTGCTCAAATTTGGTATTCCGATCTTGCGCCGTGCAGCGGACAGGTCGCTCTAATTATTTAAAAAAAAATTCCATCATTTTTTTGTTATAATATGTTTTTACGCTTTGTGTGATGCTAAAATTTAAAAAAAAAAATGTAATTAAAAATTCAGGATCATTTTTAACGAATAATAACTATTTTTTGTATACAAAATGTCTAGAAAACAATATTTATTATTAATTAAGTAATCATAAATAATACACTTTAATGTTCATGCAATGGCCAGTAAGTTAAGGAAAAAAATGCGCCAAACCACAAGTCAACCGAATTCACTACGTGCGAATTATTTATTTTTTGACAAAAACACGTTTAAAGTTGCCAAGTTTTCGGCGCGCGTTGTTGGTAGAAACCCTAAAGGACAGGAGGTTCAGTGCAGTTGGGTAAAGCACGCAGATGTAGGTTGAAGTGGATATGAAAATGGAGATAGAGATGGAAGTGGAGATGCTGATAGAGATGTGGACGGATACAGACTGCAGTGTAACTTTTATATTGTCATATTATGATATTATACTTCTGTTAAGAAGAGAGTATAGGAGGTAAGAAATTGTTTGGTAGGGGAGAAGGGTTGGGCGGTAGGGGAATGGACGGAGGATGAATTATATTGTATCATAATAAAATATAACTATATAAAATATAGTTATCTATATTTTATAATGCCAAAACATATCCATGATATGATTCAGTGATGTTCCACTAGGCACAATTTTAAAAGTCCACCTACGTACAGCTCACAAAATTATACTACTATTAAATTTATTAGGATAATAATTGGTGTTTATACTTCTAACATAATATAAACGTAACGCCTTTTAAATAAGAAAATACTAAGGAATAATACAAATTTGTTTTAACTAATAACTTAATCCATACAAATGTTAAAGGAAACCGTCCCCACTATGTCCCGACCCTACCATGCTACATCCCCACTATGCCTCGCCCCACTGTACTGGCTTTTTTGAATGTTACATTTTTTAATATAGGAACTACTTAAGAAACTGTAATACACTATTATTGGTAGTTATGGCTTATTTCAAAGTTGAGAATGGGTGGCTTAAAGTTGGTTATTATTTTATTAGCTTCGTACTAACTTGCTAAGTACTCTATGACAACCGCTTTTTGTCAACCCTTTAAAACTAAACCGCTGCTTTCCCTTTGCCTTAATCTTTTTTAGAGTAAAATGTATATTGAAATTAGGTATAATATATGGTATAAGTAGCTTATACTTGCACTGCCATCAGAATGAACTTGACCCATTTAGTCCTTTCGGCCCTGAGAGTAGTGCACGTTAGAATCTGTTTAATGATTTAAAACAATCAGCGTGTGATAAGGCAACCGAACACGTATTTAACTACCAATTATAAACCTACTTATTTTGGTTCAACTTTACACTATCTAAAATGTATTATTATAATTACAAATTTCTAATCAAAATTACTTAAAACCCTATATTTACTATGTTTATATTTGTTAGATTGTTAGTTTTAAAAAAAACTCACCTGCTTCATCATGGTATCAGCTACCATTACAATCATGTAGAACCGATATGAGTATTGTGTCAACCAACCATATATAAATATGCTTGATCGACTCCGATAGTTCAACAAATTGAATACTTCGTAGTAGATATCAAACAATGCCATTACGCACAGTGAACATAGAGACAAACACATCGGAAGGCCAAACAATTCGGTGAGATTGGTAACCGCTTCACGGATCAGCCGATGTCTGATTCTAAGGATTTCAACAACAGTGGCTAGTTGTCTTTGTCCTTTCGGGGGACTATAAAAATTTATAAAGCTAGTAATCCGATGTTGTCGGTGTAACCATCTAGGGTGATAACTTTTTTTTAGCTGCACGTTCGTAGACAGTGGGAAAACATTTGACACTTCGTCCTTGAGTTGCTTCAAGTCGGCGTTTATACTGCTAAACTTCAAGTACAGATTCCAGCACTTTGACGCAAAATACAATTCCGAAACGGAAATAAAAAGATTTTCTACATACATAACTACGAAAAATATCCAAACTAACGTGTTTGTATGATTGTTGTACATGATTCTCAACCGAAGTACATTTATAGGAAGGATGATTGTCAATAAGGAGACTGTGACAGTCCACGTAAATATCAAATAACTGCGGCGGTCCTTCCGGGTGACTGGTGAGTAGTTACTGTACGCCTCCACGTTATTGTTGTACCCCTTCATCGAAAAACTGAATTTGTAAAGCATAATCAAGCACGATACAAAACAAGTCGCGGCAACGAACCTCGAATACATTCCTGACAGGGATGTGAATCCTTTGTTATTGCAATCAACTCCGTCCATTATACACGGCATCCACGAAGAAACCAAAAAGTTGAAAATACATGATATCAAAACTGTGCCTCCGGCAATGGCATATATCACATGACCAATACATTTCATTAGAGACATGATTAATTAAAAGAAATCTGTTGAAAACGCCTTGTCTACTTGGCCATTAATGTATCATAAGCCAGTAATCGGCTGTCATTTATCCGTTCTGGACACTTATTTAATGTATTATATACATACTTACTACGTAGATAAAATAATTTATTACTTTATGGTATACTTACATTTATTATGACAGTTTAATGATGTATTTTTAAGAAACAAATCTACCTATGATAAATTATCCCAATGTTTGCTCATTAAAATAATGTATGAGTTTTTTCGAAAAAAACTTTTATACTCAAAACTCAAATTATCACAGTAATTGCATAAATATAGATCACATCGTTTATTCATGAAAACTATAGAAAATAAAATACAAATTTAAGTTTAATTTTACATGTTTAAAATTATTCTTTGTTGAGAAGGACAGTAATTATGTTTATACAGTTAAAACTACAAACAAAATATTATTAAAAAAATACGACTACTTTTAGAATTTAAAATATTAGTTGTTTTATCATTAATAAAAGTAAGTTTTTTCGGTTAAATCGTTCTAACTATGGATGTTATTCTTCATGTTGTATAAGTTTTAAGCCATATTAGAATGAAACTGAATTAGTATAAAAAGGTATGTGATTCCAACAGTTATTGTCTGAAAAAATGTTTTAAAACATAATTTATTATTCAGTGAAAATATCCAAGAAATCTATTAATTATAAATATCAACTATGCTTGACAACAAATAAACTTTGAACAATTAAATGAAAAAAAGCGTTTCCATTGAATTACTCTCCGAACGTCTTGAAAGTAATAACAATTGTTATTACAAGACTTAGGATTAGTTTTACTTAGTTAACTCATTAATTCTATTTTATTTTAAACGGGAACCTCGACCTATTTGCATCAACTGCAACACTTCTTAATCAATTAAAAATGTATTATTAAAATCCCCTTGTTACGTTACAGATAGTTCAACTCTCAAGGAACCTGTCACTATTAAAAGAGTCCTAAGAAAAAGCAATATAATCAACATATTACACACATTTTTTATAGTATTAAATTTCGACTTTATATTTTATACAATTTATATTTATTATTTATAACGTTTTTTTTATATATTAACCCAAATTTCATCATTTAATTAAGTATCTACAAATACTAGTTACTAATTGACTATAAAAAAAAATAAATACTTGTTATACTAATTTTTCCGGAAAAAAAATAAATATATATTTAAAAATGTAAGTTTTTTAGATTTTATTTTTTATACTTGTGTTTACAAGTATAAAAACTTACTACATAATTACTAGGAAATTCATACTTTGTGTTAACATTGAAATAATTTATATTTATTAACGCTAATTGATTTTGTAATAAAAATACAATATTTTTTTATTTTAAACACAACAATTTATTACTTACAGAAGTTATGAGATGTGTATTTAGTATTACACAGTCAAACGCTTTGAAGTTGAGTGAATGATTGTTTATCTGCATCAAAAATAACTGCAACTAAAGATTTAATGATTTAAATGAATTACAGGTTAGTATCTCCTAATTAAAAAATGTATAGTTCTTGTTTGATTATTGTCCAGAAAATGTAGTGTATTCTTGTAAAACTTATCGTATATTAGAGTTAAAGTTAAAACTATTTTCCATTAATTTTTGGAGGGCAAAGGATAACCTAATTCATTAAGTACTAATCAATAAACCCAACGGAAAGAGGCCAAGAGGAAGGCCCCGTCAGCGATGGCTCGATAGAGTAAACATAGATCTGGAAAGCTTGGGAACGACAAATATTGAGGATGCGGATGATCGGGAACTGTGGGTGGATGTGGTAAAAGCGGCAAAAGGCTTTCATGGCCTGTAAGCCAAAAAAAAATACATATATACATGTTTATTTTACAGCTATAAATGCTGCACTACAACATGCCCCTTTAAACAAACATTTTTGGACATGTGTGCGTAAAGTATATAACTTTTGATTAATCATAAGTCATTATTAAAACAAACAGGATTTTTAAATGGTTTTTGAATTATGAAATATACCTCATATTTTGTGTTTTTATCCAAATTTCGATGATCTGCATCAGTAATAATCATTTTTGTTTTCAGAGCCTAAAAAAGTGTAATACACATATTGTTACTGGCAGCATTTAATAAACTAAATAAATAATGGTTGTTATTGTGCGGCTACTTTAAAACACTAATGCCGGGTTGCGTGAATATTCCAAAGTATAACCCGTAAGTATGATAGGTACTAGACTTTAAATGTGTTACAAGTATATTATCCATTTATGAATTTATAATTATGTGTGACGCATTTTAGTAATTACCTAACATGGTAGTATAAGGTAATCTTAATTAAAACAATTATCTAGTTAAATTGTATTAAAACATGCTCAACAATTTTTGTTTTACTTGAAAGTAGTTATATTTAACATTTTTTTAGGAAATTTTTTAAGTTGAATTGTTTATACAATAAAAAGGTAAATACAAAAAAAAAACTTTTGGAAAACGTATAATATGCATACATTTTATAGGATTTTTTCCAAATCCGAAACTGGCTTTAGATTTTTTCTAGCACGTCCATTTGTTTTTAAAATCGCCTACAATGTTGTAAGCAATTTACAAAACAAAAGTCAGAATTTTCTAATTGTCTTGTGTTTAAAAAAAGCCATTAAACTCGACATTAGTTAACAGTAAACAGTATGAGAAAATACATAAAAAATAGAATTTAAATTTGGAATGCTCTCCTCAAACATAATAAAAATCAAGTTACGACTTTTTTCGCTGCGGCAGTCGGTATTATAATAATAATAATATATTTATTTATTTATTTATTTATTGTATACGGGCTGGGCCCTTTATATATATATATATATATACATGCATACTTGTACAATTTAGAAAAACATTAAATACACAACTGAACAGCAACTTATAAACTAAACAAAACTAAATATAATTACATAAAAAATTAGACTTAAAAATTAAAATTAAAATTGGGTTCTACATTGGCATTTGACATTAGCCGCCGTAATGGCTCATTTGCCAAATAGTTTGTGGTGGCACGCGGGATGTAAAAAAGAGCATTAGTTCGCGATGGACGTTGAGGCACTTTAAAGCAAAGTAGTGTGAGGAGAGCAGACGATTCCACTTTACCCTTCAACAGCCCATCAATAAACCTAATACCAGCAGTGCGTCTCCGCTCGGCCAAGGAAGGTAGGCCAAGTAAATTAGCTACAGGGCTATAATCGTGCGGTGGACAAGGGATTTTAAGTAGGTAACTAGCAAAGCGCAAAAACTTATATTAATTGCTAATCATTATGAATGCATACAGTTTTAAAGTAAAATTATTATATTTACGTACCTCTTTGGTGGTATAATGAGCCGTTATTGTAATTAAAATATACCGTAATATGTATTGCAATAACCAACCATAAATTAATTTTGATCTGGACAATGTTCCACTCATGTGAAAAGATTCGTTGTAAATATCAAACAGAGTCATTACGCTCAATGCACACAAGGAAAGTCCCAGTTGTATTCCGAACAAATTATTTAAATCGCTAATTGCATCTCGAGCAAAGGCATGTCTGGTCCTGAGTTGTTCCGCTGTATATGCTATCTGAAGATTATCAATACACCTTTCGGTGGACGTACGTTGACACAGAACGGTCGCTCTGGTCGAACGCAACACAATTGGATACCTGTTGTTGATCATTATTTTAGTTTTTAGTATTTCTAATGCTTGGTTAATATCACACAACTTCAGGTGTACCGAGAAGCACAGCAAGAGAAAATGAGTTTCCATACAACACATACTCCAATTCTGAATGTATGCACATAAGAAGAATACTATCAAATATGTAACGTCACTTTCCGGCTCGTACTTGTACATCAAATACAACCGCATGAAATTTATAGGGAATATAATAGCCATCAAGGTGATCATCAGGTATGAATACGTTCGAAAACGTTTAAGATAGTCGTCACTGATTGGCCAACTTTCTTCGTAGGCATCGCTTCTCTCTTTGTATTTTGTCAGATTCCTCTTGACCTTATAGGTCAAGGTCAACCGCGATAGTAGACTAGTACATGCCAACACCCTGGTATACAATCTTCTCAATGCGGTGGACATCTCATCATCGCACCATCCGTCCAACATGCAAATGCTCCACGGTGTAATAGCAATACTGAGTAAACAAGTAATCAGAACGAGTAATGTGAACACGATTTGCGATCGGTTATAGTCGAGCTGAATTGAAAACATTCCGCATAGCTTCCAGTAACTAGATATTAAGCACATTAAGTTGAACATTGTTTAACGCGAATATAGTCACTGCTGTAACTGCTTCACGGAAAGCTGGTTCGTTGAATGATACATCATGCTTTTCGACGCTCCTTGGCGTACACTATTTACTAACTAACTACTGGCGTACGCTGTTTACTAACTCGTCAAAAACGTTTTCTAAGAGTACCTACTCTAAAACTGTTGTATGTTATAATATTATTATACATTCACTTTTTAACTCTTTAATAATTGGATATTGTTTTTGGCTTAATGAATAGTAAAATACGTTTTATTAGATAGTTAAGGGTAGTGTAAAATGTTAAGTACAAAAACGTTGAAGTAGCATGCTCCAATTATTTTTTGTAGGTTTCGATTCTACAAGTGTTCTTGAAACACCTCTTGTCTGGGAGTTTTTTTCGATCTAAATAGAGATTTAAATAGGGTTTTGCCGTTCACAAGAGAAACACTATTAGTAGCAAGACGCTTTTTCCTTGCCCTGTAAAATTTTAATGTTGTGACTTAAGTCGTTCTCACATAATCGATTCATAAACAAGGTGAACAACATTATGATTTCGAAATTAGAATCGATTAGGTTCATTGGAGAACGATTTTAAATTACCTATGTTCAAAATTTCAAATCTCTATTTGCCGTAGATTTGGATTGGCATCGCAGACAGAAATAGGTACATGTTCAATAATTTAAAGTTAATTATATTTGTAGATTATTCCAGTGTACGGTTGAACAGTTTGTTAGTTATAGATTTTCTTATAAAAACGTAATTTACACGTTTTATTAAATTAAGCGAGAAACTCTTAATTTGCAATAATTATATTTATATAACCTATAAGTATAACTTATAACTAGCATACACTTTTAATAGGACGAATGATCTCTACAAAATCGAGACGAAAGATGCGATCTATCTTTAATACGTCCCTCCCTTCTCGCTAATTGGATCCTTATAAATCTACTTTTATAAAATCTATAAGAAATCTAGAGCTAATAAACTTTATTTAGAATTACGATAGGCGCAAAATTTAAAAATCGAAAATTAATCGGGCACCAAAAAAAAAAAAGGTGTTGATAAAGTATATTGGCCCGCTTTATCTCCAAGCATGTGGCTCATAAATATTAAGAATAATATAGTATAATAATTTGTTCACAATCAAATAATAGTCAAAGCAATTTAATAATTTAAGCATGCGAAATAAATTATTGATATTTTTTCTTTTAATTGAAAAAATTACAATGCGTTCTCGCAAATTGCAAAATTAAATGTAAATAATAAACAAACAGTTTTATTTACAACACACTGAATACAACTCATGTGGGTTATGAAATAACAACGCTATAATATTATACTCTTTTTGTTTACATTCACTACGGAGTTCTATTTCCAATGGCTTAATCATTATCTACGTATAGTTTGCTTATTTCAAAAACTACATACCTAAATAGAAATAGTATTACACTGTTATTGTTATACAATTAAAAACGTACCACTAATTTTTTTTTTTTAGTTTTTGTTTTGTGTTATAAAGAATTGTTGATATATCAATATAGGTACACTTCCAATTGGAGCACGGGATATAAGTTTTCTATCTATGTATAAACTATAAATTGATTTTTCTTATGTAGTATTGCACCTATACAAAATAAACAAACACTTATGCTTTATTGAGGGCGGATAGCAACCTCTTACCTTTGCTTCGAGTTGTGTGGAAAATGGATATATATCCCTATTATAATTTGATACCCTTCAAATGAAATTTGTTTTATTATATCACCTACTGCGTCTTATAAGCATACTCACTACATACATAGTTGTTGTCGTTATTATTGGTTATTTCCCTGTAACTGTGAGGTGGAGTTGAAATGGAAATATTAGTGATTACAATTTCTAACACGTTAAAAAATCATTATAAATAATTAAGTACTTATTGTTATCAGTAGTTATGATTTTGTTCTGGGGAGATAGATGAATTTTTGAATAAACATAAAGTGGGGGGCAACGTCTCTCACACTCCTCATGCAAGTTTACTTTTTTTTTTAATATACTACTGTACACAGTTATGTATTTTATAATATAATATACATTGAAAATCTGAAATAAATTAACTTTATTGACTTGGAAAACTCATTTTTTTAAATAATAATTTATAAAACAAGATCTATTTTTCGAGTTCCTTACGCTAGTTAATTAATTACTGCCTCAGTGTCAAGTTTTATATTTTTACGAACTGCCAACATAGCTTATCCATTAAATCTATCCTGTTTTAAGAGAAATAATAGTAATTTATTATTAAAATGTGTTGACAATTATTTAATCACAATGCATAAAATGTTAGCATTTTTTGTTCTTACTTCCCACATGGTATTTCTTAAACACGTGTTTACTCTTTTTAGAGTGGAAAACATCTGCTCAGGCGTGGTGGTAGATACAGGCAATGTGCATAAAATGTTTATAATTTTAAAAATATTAGGGAAAAATTTTAGCATCACACTCAGTAAGAGCTTGAAGAGCCTATTTTAGAACTTTATTAGTTTTGCTAATTTTGCGCGTCCACAACTTCAGCTCAACAAGTGAAACATCAAAATTTTGTATTTCTGGAGAGTACTTTGTTATTTTGATAAAAGTATCAGTGTTGTCACTTTACACATGAGACGTGGGTAGGTATGGGCACAGAATAGATAAAAGTATAGTAATGGGTACATTGCGTCATTGATTATCAGACCCTAGTTATCACTAGTTATCATACAATTAAATATTGGAAAAAAACTAGTTTTCCGCGTGGCTTATTGCATATGATAGGTACAATTTGAAAACTAAGATAAGGACGGGGTAGGTTAAAGCTATTATGTTTCTACTTTACATATATCATAAGTCTAACATAAAAAAAGAACGTGGGGGGGGAGATCTATCCCCATCATCCCCCCCCCATAACTACTCCACTGATTGTTATTACTAAATAGTATCGTTATTGCTATTCTAGAAAAATATCTGAGCAAGACGTGTGGAGTATATATGTATAGTGTACCTATATGCGTATACGCTTATGTTGAAAAGTGTACAATTTTTGTTGTGATAGGTACCTTGTCAAAAGTATTCAAAACTTATTTTCTTATTTGTAAATAAAAATTGTGCGACTTCAACAATTCAAACTAGAAACGGTCTTTAAAATTAAACTAAGGTATTTATTTAATTTCTAATAGAAATAAATGAGGCCCTTAAGCGTAAGCGGATACCTCTGATTAGGAACCTGCCATCTAATTACATCTTATATCTCGAAAAGTAATTGATCACACAGAGGTGCAAGTAACGTCTGACACGAATCTAAAATTCAGCGCCATAGCCCTACAATAATAGGAGGGTCAGTACAATTCGATTCTGGAGTCTGGACCAAAACAGGAAAGTCTTTAACAAAAATATTATGATAAATAATACAAAATATATTAGAAAAAAAAATGAATATACAATTATTTTGAGTTTTAAGTTGGTTTAGATTTTAACCTAAAATTTTACTAACAATCAAGGGTCCAGATATAGTTACGGGTAAAGTACTCAATTTTCTTTCCAACAAAAAAAAATGTTTTTTCTGAAGCAAAATACCTTTTATCGAATCCGATTACTGTCATTCAATATATACACCTGATTACAAATGGTTAATGCTGTTTCTTAATTCTTTTAACATTTTCGATATAAGGTACCCATAGAGAATTTATTTGCAATCGAACCTCATGCTGTGGTACACATGCGTCATTGCTCAATGTTCTTAAATTCATAAATCGTTACAATAATTATTTATGGCTCTCTCCGTCTCATTTTCCTACCTCCCTCTCTATCTTACTCTCGCATTCGACACGCGGTTATTATGATGACCGCCGGAAGGTCAATTGCTAAATTGATTTTAAATTAGTTCCACACTTTCTCTGATACCGCTAAACTTCTGTCAGCGACAACCAGGATTACGATCCACCACGCAGTGTACAAAAAACGTCTGTCGACAAGAACAAAAAAAAAATCGTTTTCTATTCGTTCAAAGTCCGTTTAAATTATAATAATTATACAATATACAATATTAGGTATATTTGTGCTCGGTTATCGCCGGTTGTTCCTGGTCGGCGGTCGACAAAACGATCATCAATATTTACACCGGTCGGCAAACGAGAGCTAACGAACGCGCGCGGTTGTCATGATTATTATTGTAATTGGTTGTAGTTATTGTTCATCGATAACAATCACAGGTATTATATTATATTAGATGTAATCTACGCGTTTGCAAAATATCATATTGTTTAATCAGGTGCATAACAAGATAAAACGTTTTATTGCTGAGCTTCGTCGAGTGCGGTTGTTTTAAAAGTTCCGGTTATTCGGTCAAGGGAGAGATGGCAGCTATTGTTACGTCGCTTAGACTTTCCAGCTCGTTGATTTTGATCGCAGCAATTATCGTTGTAGTCATTGTTGCCATGAAAACGGATAACGGCGGTTTAGGACAATCGTACAGGACCCCTGACCGATTGACTCGTGACAAACCGGTGAGCAGTGTATATAACATACGTATCCGATGCGATCCTTCCCATTAAAAATCAGTGTTTGGAAAGAATTTAAGAATGTATTCATTGATTCATTCCTTTTTAGAAAAATGGCAGTGCATTCGTTTTACAAACTTTATCTATGCCATCTACCTAAAGTATAGACTGTGCTAGTTTCAAAGTCTAGGGGTTCAACAGATCACGGGGAAAAGATTCTCTTCAAAATGAAATCCAATCACTAACAATTTTTTATTAGTTCATTTAGACAAACTGTAATCATACTTGTAAAATTTTAGAGAAAATTCGAACCCACATTATTGGCTATCAATGGATATAAAAATTACACAGTCGACATACACGAACAGAATGCCAAGTTGTTCTATTTTCGATAAGAATGCGTTCTTTATTGGTCTTACTCCCATCCCGAGATTTGAAAAACAAATTTTCCAGAGTCCTCTTTTAAGAAGCAAAACTCAAAAAACAAACCCATTAAGCGTAGACAAAAAAAAAATTAAAATTTTTTTTATATTGCAGTATAAGTTAACCCTATACATTGAATTTTTTTAATCATTCAAAACGGGGTATAAGTAATGAAAAAACCCACATGTATTTTAGTCAGGGCCGTCTTAGACTATGTAGAGGCTCTTTAATAAAACAAAAAAAAAACCAAAGGCAGATAAAATGGCTTAGCTATAACTAGTAAATAATAACTTTATGAAAATAAGTATTTCCGGTATATCAATTTGAACTTCATTAGGTTAATATTTATCAGCGTGATAAAAGCGTTAAAAAACAATTTTAACAAAATATCGGGGTACAGTAGGGACGGGGACGTCACAGATCTACAAGAATTATTATAGCTGAAAGTGATAAAATCACTTTTAAATAAACGCCAGTAGTAGCAGTAGTAAGGGAGGTCTAGTGTACACAGATCAAAATACAAATATCGATAAAATCATTGTACCTAATGACAATTATGTGCTTAAAAATACATTTTTAGAATTAGATACCATTAGAGTTGATCGTCTTTCTATAAAAATGTATTGCCTTAGTTACCCAATTATCGTAATTAACCATAAAATGAAAATATTTTTATTACCTGTTGTCATTTACACATAGCTACCGGGAAATTAACTACGGTCAGTGTAATTTTTCCCTTTTCTTTTTGGGGTTTTTCGTTAATAAAAAAAAACAAGTTTGACTGCAGATTTTTGAGAAAATTGTATATGTTATAGTTCTATTCTAGATCTACCTTAAGTCAAATTTTCAGACCTAAAGGCTAAATCCCTAAAACTTTACTTGAATAAGTGAAATATAGAAAATAAAATATATATATCCCTTTAAGGGTGAAAGGATTTATGATATTTTGTTGGTTTGTAAATGTGTACTCGTAGTCTAGGGCGCCCACATGGGGGGGGGGAGGACAACTTCCCCTAGCTTCTCTGCAAGTTAAAAAAATGTATATTCAATATCCCAAATTTTTAAAATATATTACAAAATCATAGCCAGCCCTCCCCCCTGAATTTTCATCTGCGGGCACCCTTGTCAGTAGTAATAATGTACTATGTTTAAAGAATATTCCATACAAATTTGGAACTAAATCGACTATTCTTAAAAAAGTTATAGGGTATCGTAATTTTAAGTTGAAAAATATGTGATCTTTTTGGGCGTTTTTCTCGATTGTGAAGGGGAAAGAGTGAATTTTTTTAATGTTTGGCCTATTTAAATACCTTTTAAGTATGATTTATAATCTATAAAAGTTGCTACACGAAGAAATCGGTTCAACGGTTTAAAAAATCATATCGAGGGTCTAGACACAAAAATTAAAATACATAATTGTAAAAACAATACCTTCTCAGCTTCGCATAGAAGCTAAAAATGATAACTAAGATGTTTAAAACTTCTAAATAGGTAAATTCAAAAAACTTTTCTTCAGTAATAACAACGACTTTTAACCTGATATCTCATGCCCTAAAAAGTGGGTAATCGAAACCAGAAATAATTAAACCAAACCAAGTATTCAATACCAAGGGCGCCCTTGCCCCCCTTGCCCTTCCATGTGAGCGCCCTTAACTTAAAAACAATTATGAACACTCGAAAACCAATATCTAAATTAAATAATTTGGGTTAAAACTACCTAACTTGGTGGATACAAATAGTTGGGTCTAATGTTTTAAGCCTGCGGTCTATACATATATAATATACATATATAAGTCTGATACAAAGTATGGGACACGTACGCAACTGCTAAATTACATCTTACGACTCACATTCATCTGAATGTGAGGCGTGAGATGTAATTATCTTTTTGTAGCTAGCTTTTTTCACAACTAGTCTTCACTTTGCTTCGGGCTTTTCCCCTGTAGACTTTTCGCGTTTAACCATACTCAAGTGGCGTATTTATGGGGGGGGGATATGTGGGATAGATCCCCTCCCTTGCCCTTTTTTTTTATAAGACTTAAGTATACACAGAACAGATCCCGTATTCTGTAATCTGTTAGGCGACTTACTAATCTACTAATATATGTAGGTATATATTTTTAACAGTTAAATATATACCGATATTTATTCACTTTGTTATCCTGTGAGTGATATCACAACATTAACAAATAAATTAAAAATAGGACCATCCTGGCGAAACCGGGTAAAACCTTATGAATAAAATAAAGTATAAATATTATTATGTTCATTGTTATTAAATGCCTTACACTAACACGGGAGTTACTGAAGTCAAAATCTTCAAAGGTAAAAGGAGCTAAACCCAATTTTATTTTTTGATGATAGACTATTTTTGGCTAGGACATGAGCATATTTTACATATTTTTGGGGGACTATTATTAATTTTGGGGTACCTTGCCCCCGAAAAAACTAAAAAAGTCTATGATACTTTAAGAAAAATTAAGCTCCAAAAAAAATATTTCATATCCCTTCCCTCGAGAAAATTGTATATACGCCTCTGACCATATTAATTTTATAACTTTTATTTTTATTTGGTTTTTTATTAAGTCCAAGTTTGACCAAAGATTTCTGGGAAAAATATACATGTTGTAGTCCTACTCTAAATCTACCTTCCGTATAATTTTTACTTTTTCTAGTCCCAAAATTAAGCTCAAAAAAAAGAAATAAAGAAAACGTTTCTACTCTAATAAAATACAACTGATTTTGTAAAACTAATAATTGATTGTTGTACCTATTGTCATCCAGAATACCTACGGATTATTATTATTAAAAATTAGTAAAATCCGGTAACTCTACTAGGCAATCATTCAAATGATTTGAACGTTATATATCTATTCGTCCAAAACTCGTTACCCAGAACAAAACTTATACAAATGATTCGTTTGTTGAAATTTGAATTAAAAAAGGTTTTAATGAATTTTGAGTAGGCAATTTTCCCAAAAACGAATGTTTTTTTTTTAATGTGTTTACGGGTGAAAATTAAAAAAATATTAATATTAAAATTTAATATAAGATGTTATGATAACATACGAAATCGATTAAGTTAAAACTTAAAATGCAACTGAAGTAGTAATCAATGTTAATAATAATAAATTGTTGATTAGGTCACCAAACCTTTAACTCCGGTATAAATTATGCCGGTACTGGTAGTTAAAATAACATAATATTATTATCACATAATAAAATACCGATGACCAGTTATAGATAAGTTATCAAATTATAGAATGACTGGATCTTTACTCTTTAGTTAGTTTTTTAAAACCTTTATTATTTCATAGTCACTTAAAGTTAATAAAAAACTGTATTTATAAGTTTTAATCAATAGCCATTACCCATTGGTAAATCATTAAGTCATTATTATTTATTTAATGAAGTGATTAATACTCAGCAAACACGTCTTTTTAGGATATAGTAATTTTTACTTATAGTAATTTAACTATAGTTGGTTTTATTACTATTTTATGCAGAAAATCATGGAGGTGAGCAATAAAAAAAAAGAAAACTATTGTATTGTTATTATTTTTCAAGTTTTTATTTAGTAAATATTTTACTATATTTTGTAAGTCAAATATCTGTAGTAAAATTACTGAATTAAATTTTTAAAAATACTTTTCTTATATTATTAGTAACACTAGAGTAATACATTTTTTTTTAAAGCTTTTAATGTGTTTTTACGAAAAATGTGTTATAACAACTTTTGATATTTTACTACAAATCTTAACAATATTACTGTATTGTTTTTTGATAAATTTTAATTATTTAAAGTAATTTAAAATTATTATTTTTCAATTTTAGATGGTTATGTCTGGAAAACCATGGGAATTAACACATCGTCTGTCTCAGTACATTCGTCCAACACAGTATTTCATTAATTTACATCCAAATCTTGAACACGGAACTTTCACAGGTTCTGTCGACATTATATTGACATTGGATAGTACTCAAAATTATATTAAATTACATTCAAAAGGGTTGAATATAAAAGAAACTGTATTGAATTCAAGTGTTGTAAAAGGTTTTCCATATTCTGAACATGAATCTTGGATTGTTGTTCCTGACAAAGCTCTGAGTGTTGGAGAACATAAACTGCAATTAAAATTTGAAGGCAGTTTAACCAGTAAAATAATTGGATTTTATCGTAGTGTGTATACAGACATTGAAACTAAGGAACAAAAGTTTATAGCTACATCAAAATTTGAACCCACTTATGCTCGTCTAGCCTTTCCATGTTTTGATGAACCTCAACTTAAATCAAAGTTTAAGATAAGCCTTATTCGGCCATCTAGTAATAACTATATTGCATTGTCCAACATGAATCAAGAGGTATGTTTTGATACATTGTGTTTAAAATTGTCTACAACACGCTTTATATTTTACTTTATAGTCTGAAGAACCGAATGTCCCGTCGAATGGATTGACATCAGTTAATTTTGCGAATACTGTACCAATGTCTACGTACCTTGCGTGTTTCATAGTGTGTGATTTTCAATCGCTTGAGCCTGTTATAGCAGACCAAGGATTTCCATTAACAGTGTATGCTAGACGTGGACAATCAGACAATATGAAATATGCTCAATTTGTTGGTCTTAAATCTATAAACTTCTATGTAAACTATTTTGGCATCCAATATCCATTACCTAAATTAGGTTAATAATTGTGTTTATTAATTCAAATACAGTATGAATTACTCATTTTTGACAATTTTCATTATTATGTAGATCTCATAGCGATTCCAGATTTTGTTTCTGGCGCTATGGAACATTGGGGTCTTGTAACTTTTCGAGAGACGAGTGTTTTGTACAAAGAAAGTGTTAGTTCTATTACTAACAAAGAACAAGTAGCATTGACTGTTGCTCATGAGTTGGCACATATGTGGTTTGGAAATCTTGGTAAGTAAATAACTATTCATACATTTTGGTGTTAATCTGAAATTGTGAAACTGCCATGTAACAATTGTCCCTATTTTTCAGCCACTATGAAATGGTGGAATGACCTCTGGCTCAATGAAGGCTTCGCTTCGTACATGGAATTTAAAGCAATAAATGTTGTTCATCCAGATTGGGATGTTGTAAATATATTATTTATAATTTTATTTAAAGGTAATTTTTGTAACTGTACATTTTTTAAACATCTTATTATATTCTCAGGATACCATTTTTTTGGTACATAGTTTGCAACCCGTACAATCTTTAGATGACAAACTTAGTTCACACGCTATTGTTCAAGATGTTTCTCACCCAGATCAGATAACTGAAATTTTTGATCGTATTTCATATGATAAGGTAGATTTAGAATATCTATTGAATAATTTATCTAGTTCTTTGTACCTTAAACTTAAGTATTTTTAAAATTTTAACTATTTGAAGGGATCTTCTGTTATACGTATGTTAGAAGGAATGCTCGGGGAAGAGGTTTTTCGAGCCGGCGTTAGTGCATATTTACAACGTCATAAATTTAGCAATGCCGAAACTGATGATTTATGGGCAGAATTACAAGCTGCAGCCCAAAATTCTGTTGATGTAAAAAAGGTAAATAATAGGTAATCTATAATGTGGTACAATATATTTAAATATTACCTACCTAAAATATAATAAGGTGATGGACACTTGGACTCGTCAAGCAGGATTTCCAGTGGTATCTGTTGTTCGAAATGGAACTAAGTTATCATTGACTCAGCAGCGTTTTTTGGCTGATCCAAATGCTGAATATTCCTCTGATGTATCTCTCTACAAATATAAATGGGAAATCCCAATCACTTATATTACTTCAAATGATAAAATAGTACACAAAGTTTGGTTGACAAAAGATCAAAACACTAGTAAGTTTTAATAAAATATGTAGCAAGATTAAGAATTATAATTAATTTTTTTTTTTAAAGTCAATATAGATATCTCGAACGCAGAATGGATAAAATTTAATCATAGACAAGTGGGATATTACATGGTGAATTATTCTGAAAACGATTGGGCATTATTGAGTCATTTGTTAAAAAACAATATTAACGTAATTGGTTTTTATAAATTATAATTATAAAACATAGTTCTTATTTTATTTACAGATAATGTAGATATAATGCATAAAAGTGCCATGGAATAGCTTGAGATTAAATATGTCTAAAAAAGAATACTTATAGTAATGTGGAGGTTATATGTAAGTGGTAGAGACCAAAACACAATATATTATTTTACTTAGAGAACAATTGTTAACTAAAGTAAATCAATTTAATGATGTATTTGGGATAATTTATAGGGAACATAATAATAAAAACTATATGGCAAGTTAAATAAAATGTGGTTTAATTAGGAGCGGAAAGAGGCTATAGAAGTGCTGTGTGAAAAAAAAGTGTTATTTTGAGTGAAAGAAAAATGTAAAATTGTTAAAAGCAATTTGTAAAGATGGATCGAGAAGTAGAAGGTATTAGGAAAAAACATGTAGCTGGATATTTAGACATTCAGATGTGTCGAATAAATAGAGCAATATTGATGAACATAGAAATTTGTAAAGTAAAGATTTGGTTGGCTGATCCCAGCTGTTTTTTTGAAAAAAGCTAGGGAAAAATAAAATACAAGTCATTATTTTATTTTTAGACTCTTAATGCTGCTGATCGATCAAATTTGATTCACGATGCATTCAGTTTAGCTGAAGCAAGCCATTCACCATACAGTATTGCTCTAGATATGACTAGATATTTAATATCCGAAGACCATTATGTACCATGGTATGTTGCGGCGTCTAACTTGATCAATTTAAGGATAAATTTATATTATCGACCAGCCCATTACAACTTGGATGTAAGAAAATACTAATAGCTAGATAAAATATGTTACAGTTCTAATAATAATTTTAAAATATTTTTTTATATTTTTATAGAAATATATTCAAAACTTATTGGTTAGTCTTAAACAAGACTTCTGGAACGATTCAAATGACAGAAACTTTTTGGAACGAAAAATACGAGGAGTCATTCTTAATTTGGGTTGTTTAGTTGGTTTGCCGAGTTATCAAGTAAAAGCTTTGGAACTATTTAAAAAATACTTAACTGATAAAGTTAAGCCAGATCCAGATATAAGAAGTGTAGTTTACTATTATGGTAATCAATAAAATTTTAAAAAAAGCAAGTATCTGAAAACATTTTCTCCACCGCTCATTTATTTTTAGGAATGGCTAGTGGGAATGTTGACGAATGGAATCAATTATGGAAAATGTATTTAAATGAAAACGAACCTCAAGAAAAAGTAAAATTAATGTATGCTTTAACCGCTGTGAAAGAACCATGGATATTAACCAGGTTAGTCTCATATTTAAGATCATTAGATTAGATAAAAAAACTTTTTCCATTTACTTTAACATATAACAATATTATTGTATACAATAAAAAAGAAACCACCACTTTGTGGGAAAATTTTGACCAATGGACTTTTTTGTTTAGTTTGTCCAAAAATGGACCCCTAGTTTTTATTTATTTTTAACTTTGGCGCAATCTCAAACATCAAAAATAAGTGAAACATGAAGATGAAATTTTATAAAACTTTTCCTATAGAATTGGACACCCAAAACAAATGTTTTCATCATAGTTTCAAAATGGGATAAGTATTGAGTACAATAAGTATTTTTATTTTCAAAAAAGCAATTTCTCGTAAGTACCACCGAATTGGTAATCATTACTCTGGAACCAAAAGAAAATCATATTTTACCTATACCCTGTTCGCTAAGAGAGCATGCCGCTACCCAATGAAATTTAGCTGTTCTGCGCATCCCCGCGCCGCACCCAGTGTGACTAGCGTTCCCCCCGGAGTGCGCCCTGTCTGCCAGCCTTAGTCTTCAGTCTACATGCGCAAACCCGGCATGCTCTCTCAGCGAACAGGGTATAGACAAAATTCCTTTTCTTTTTTAAATTCAAGAAGCATTATTTAATATTAGTTACAGACATTTTTTTTACTGTTGTTTTTAACTGCTTTGTATTTACAATTTTTGTTTTACTTAGATTGTTGTTTATGTTTATGTTTTGTGTGTGTATATTGCTTTTATTAAAACCTATTATTAAATTAAGGTTTAAGGTACAGTAAATGCAACAATATTTGATACAAGTAAATTGGATGTATGATTATCGCTGTTGTAAATTATACAATGTGCAACTACTCATGTTATCACAAATAGCGCGCCCACTGGAAAGTTAAATACAAAATTTCAAAAGAAATACTAATTGTACTCGGCCCATTTTTTTATTATGATGAAAACATTAGTTTTTAGTGTTCAATATTTGAAGAAAAAAAAAGGTATATATTTTAAAAACATCTTTCTCGTGTTCCACTCAATTTCAAAATATTTAAGACATTAATAACATTAATATATTATAATGTTGATTTATTTATTTATTTTTGCCCAAAAGGCACAGGAAGTTCAGTAAACAATAATACATATTAAATTTTAAATGAATTAACAAATGTTTTTACAAATAATGACAGGAAAATTTTCACAAGACCTATAAAAAGACAAATAAGAATATACATAACCAAATAAATGTAAGATTAACAATAAAATATAATTAAATTTATGATAAAAAAAATCCACTTTATCGCCTACGGCTGTAATGCCTAACGGGTCATTCAAATTTTAGGCCAAAACTAACCAAAAAGTCCACTCATTATAAGAATCCCACAGGGTGAAGCCTCTTTTCAACCGTTTGTCGGCACATTCGGATGGGTATAGCAATTATGTCCTTCCTAATTCTCATCTTAAATTCTTCCAGGCTATGTGGACGATGTTTAAAAACTTTTTCCTTTAGAAACCAGGTGGTCGGGGAACATTTGTCTCAATTTCAGACCTGCGCGCTCACCAGATTTGAGCATTTGCAACTTTTTTCTTTGGGGATACCTAAAGGAAAAGGTTTTTAAACATCGTTCACACAACCTGGAAGAATTTAAGATGAGAATTAGGGAGGAAATAATGGCTTTACCCATCTGAATGTGCCGACAAGCGGTTGAAAACTTCGGCAATCGTCTTCAAGAGTGCACAATGCTGATGGTCGCCATTTTACTGATGTAATCATTAAAACTGAATGTAAGAAACTAGATTATCTACTGAATCGAACAATATAAACCTAATTTCTCTAAGTTGAATATTTTTTTTTCTGCAGCCCTTAAAAACCGATGCATATCTTTTACCCCACCCCGTATATGGATGTCATGTATAGATTCGCCCATAATAAACTCTTATATAGGCGCTTACATACAATAAGGAGGCACAATAAGTGCCTTTTTTTTTTTTTTTTTGAGAAATTGAGCAATATATTATAGCACTAATAGCATTATACGCCGTGTACAAATATTGGGAATCAAAGATTAACATTCTTGCCTCTACATGTCATTAAAAATACATGAACAGATATATGGGTTATATTTTTTCATTATTTAGTTCTTGTAAAATTATAAAAAAAAAAAACTTATTCTACAGTAGTCTGGCTGGTAAAGTATGTTAATTTTACTTATAAAATAATTTATGGTTATTTAATGTGTACAATTGAATAAGACACGTGGAAGTCAAAATCTATCATTCACCTGATTTTTTAAAAAATTTACCATAGTTAAAGCTAATTTTGATGTATTTTTTATTTTCATTAGATTATTACAGCTAGCAAAAAATGAAAGTTATATCCGTTCACAAGATTATTTCATTCTATTAATTAACATGGGGCGAAACCCATCTGGATCTCCTTTACTGTGGGACTTCTTAAGGTAATTATAATTTGATTTTTCAATAAAATAATTAATCAAGTAATTTTATATTATATAATATATTTTTTTCATTATTTAAGGGATGAGTGGAAATATTTAGTAGATCGCTTTACTCTTAATGATCGTGCATTTGGAAGACTTATTCCTTCAGTTTGTGCCAATTTTAACACTCCAAGACGTCTAGAAGAGGTACAAATATTACTAAATAAAAAAACCATACCTCTACTTAAATAATAATTTAACACCTTTATATTGTTTTCAGATGAAAGAATTTTTCAATAAACATCCAGAGGCTGGTGCTGGTGCATCTGGCCGAAAAACTGCTCTTGAAGCTGTATCTAACAATATTAAATGGTTAGAGCGACACGAAACAATTGTCACAGACTGGCTGTCAAATGCCACCAAATAGTTTGGTGGAAATTGGAATAAATTATTATTTAAAATTTACTAACGCTATATAATATTATCTATTATACATGTTTTAATTAATTAATACCAATATATACATTTTACCTTTTGTTCCTATTTGTATTTTATCATTATATTCACCTACCAATTGTAAGTTAAACTAGTTGTTAATTATAAACAACTTTTCTAACCATTTCAATAGTTATCTATTTGAAAATCATTATACTGTATATTTGTTGAATAGTCAATTTTTTATTTGCTATTTGTAGTGATGGGAATTATTATTAGACATACAACATTGTTGTTTTAAAGAAACAAAATAAATTAGGATAAGTAAATAATATTTATTAACAGTGCCTTAATATATGTTACATTCTAAAATAACATTTGTTTATTAGCCTTCAAAAGAAACTTTATTACCTACTTATTTCTCGGCTTGGAAACAATTTACAGTATATTTTTAAAAATCCATAGATTTTAACATTTAAAAAAATATTTAGTATAGCTTATAGAAAAAAAGTAAATAACTTTAATTAGGTTCCAAGTACAATGTTTTACACACATCTGCTAGTTCAAGGTCTGATACTGTTGGTATGCCTCCTGATCTAATATCTGACATAGGACGTCGAGCAAAAGCATCAGTTATTATACGAGTATCATTCATCGGTGGGATAAGCAGCATATTAATAGCTGGATACAACAAAGCTGTCGCCATAATGGCACAACACGTCCACACAGGCAAAACAACAGCCCAATATTTTTGAGGTAAATACGTTAAACCAATAACTGCTAACCAATGACTTGGAATGAAAGCCCATACCAAATATACTACAAAAGCTGTCTTGGATGCTAAATACAAAGCAAATCCATAGTTAGCACGACTTTCAGTTGGCGAGGGTGTATTTTGACGAGGAGCTTCAGAAGTGATCATATTCAACTGATGGGTGTTGGAGATCAAAATTCTTAACAACTTCAGATAAAAGTTTTAGAATATCTAACAAACCGTTAGAGCTTGCACGTAAAGAATTTAGATGAGGAGACTCGAGCTTTCTGAAATGAAGAAATAATAAATTGAGATACTAATTTATAAATGTAGCATGAAAAACAAATAGAAATTTATTTTATAAGCTTACACATTAACATAGTGTCCTTCAACATCACATTTTCTTTGAACTGAATTATTTGGTTCTTTTTCTACTCTAATGGCGTGGTAAATAGCTTTTGCGTGATGTATTGTTTCAGCATTAAATTTAAGAATCCTGAGGTAATTATTATTTAGGAAAGATGTTCAACAAAAAATAAAATTATGCAATTTATTTACATGCACATACATAAATATATATATATTTATATACACGCACAGGTCTAGTTAATATAAACTACACTTAAACAATATTTCTTTTTAGAGGATGTTCTAAGTAATAATCCTTGTCTACAAAAATTTGTTGCCCAAGTAATTTGTATAATGGATCTGTGACGTTGTTTGGAGCATCCAATATTTCAGTTACGGTTTTACTACAGTGAGCACGTGCATTATTGCAAAAAACACTAGCATGCACCAACTCGGTTGGATATATTTGAGAATTTTTACTTGACAAATGTCCTGATACATTATGTAAAATAGCTGACATTGCATATGTATTTAAAGCAACACTATTTATCCGCTCGAGTATCATTTGATAATGACAAGTGTCAGGACCAAGATTGATAAACATATTTTGTACTGCAAACTGTATTCTACTTAAACAATACTCCAGGTCGAGTGCTTGTTTCTTTAATGAAGGATGTAGGTAGCGTTCAATATATTGTTTTAATTTTGGTTTATCTTTTAAAGAACTTTGTATCTTAGCAATATGACTCAATGTGTACTTGGGAAACATTAATGGATTTCTTAATTGTTTCACTTCATTAGCCATAAACTGTCCAGCATGCTGAATACCTAGTAGTGAACCCACTATTGAAAGTAGAGTTCCTCTTCCATCAAACAATAAAGAATCTTCAATATATGAATATGCAGTTTTAGGTAATCCCAAATCATTTAGCAAATCTAAACATGCATAGGTAGATTCAGTTACAAATATTCTTGCAAGTATTTGTTCATATTCAGTTTCTGTTTTATACGAATCTAAGATTAAACTAGTAAAATGTAAAACACAATCCATTGAGTATAAAATACTGTTAATTTTACCAAGTTTTAGTAATTTTAACTGGTTATTAGTGATAAAATCTTCAGAAAATGATTTTGTTATTTTCTTCAACTCTCCAACAGTAGCAGACGCAGATTCTATGAAATCTGCGGTAAATAATATTGAATGACATAATAAACCTTCATTTTCTAATCCCAACATAGAATCCACTTGAACATTATCAAATATAACATCAGAATAACTTCCATTATCAATAATTTTAACACCATTCGATGACTTTTTTACAAGAAATGCGCTGAAGAACTCCATCTTACTTTCTGGTCTATTACATTCATCCATAGTCTTAGCAAGTACTAACAATACATCTGATTTTTTAGCATTGACTACCCAACTTTTTGTTCCATTTATAACCCATTTGCCATTAATAAATGATGCTTTGGTACTTGTATTTTCAACATCATAACCATGTTGACTCTCATAAGCACAAAACGTTGCTACATTTTCACCAGATGCTAATAATGGCAAAAACTTTGTTTTTTGTTCATCAGATCCATGTTTAGTAATGCATTGTACTACACTTCCATGAGCCAAATAATGTTTATAATTTTTTAACCCAATAGCTTTGAAAGCATTTGATATTTCAGTAACAGAAAGTTCCGTACCGCCAAAATGTTTAGGTACTTTTACACCAAAAAGATTTGAACTGGATAAAACTTCAGTAGCTTTTACTTTCAAATTAAATACATTTGTATTGAAAATTCCTACATAGAAACTTTTAGCAAGTGGCGGATTTTCTGTATTGATAGAATAGAAGGCGTCGGGTCTGATATTGCTCACCGTTGCAGAAGCTGCAGCCGCTACAGGGGTGGTTGCATGGTACATGCGGCTAATAATGCCCCAATTAAGTTTACACAACAACATATTTAGAACAACTTAATTTAACTTATTATACTAATTTTACTTAAGGATACACAGTATGTAATTTTTCTTGAGCTGTTGCTTCTCCAGATGACATGATAATTAAACATTCGGTATTGTAATGATCGGTAAAAAAAATACAATTATATTTTTACAGAAATAGAAATAAGTATTATTTACAAACCATACAAATATGAAAAACTGTCGGCTCGTGGCTTCGATTTTACAGTATACGGTTTTCGTTAGCAACTAGCGAGACGAAACATTAAATAAATAGGCATGTTAAATGTTAAAAAATAGGAATTTGTTATCAGCTTTCACAACATGGCTATACCGGTTGCTAGATTATTAAACTCGTTATAATCTATTGTTTTAACTGTACCATGGTCACGGTTTTATCTTTATCCGCATTCATGGTTAACTCATATGTTTTCTATATCAGCCGTGGTACCTATGTAAATTGTATAATGATATTATGATAATGTACTTTTATTCACGGTTAAAAAGAAGTAAGAACTTTATAAATTTTAATCGAAAAAAAGAACTTTAAAAATTGTAAGTTCTTTATAATCGTGCTTTTATATAATGCAAATATCCCAGTCTCCCATCTGATTTCTGATAACTCAAACTTATTAAATAAGTTTCACAAGATGTGATACACATTTTTTTTTTGGTTTTAGATTATTATTATTAAATAATTATTAATTATCATATAATGCCATTTTTGACGCTTTTTTTCATTCACTAAAGACTTTACCATTGTTTACAGGTTAAGAACTATTATTAATCGATACATAAACAATAAAATGTTAACAATGTAAACATATTATTTTAAAATGCATAGATTTCAACGTGATTTGAGTGCCATTGTACTCGATGAAATAGCTTTAGAAGGACTGGATGGTATTACTATAGAAGGTAAAATTTTAATTGTAACAAATTTGTATTGATTTAACATACATTATTTTTGTTTCTTTAGCACTATGTACAAGACTTTCAGTTCGTCCTGATTGGCCCATCAAACTTATTGATGGATCTGTAAAAACAATAATATGGTCAATCATAGTGTGTTTAAAAGATGTAGAGTTTTATAGACTCCAAAACCCTAGAGAACCATTAGTGATTTTCAACAGATATGAGTACATTCACAGTAAATTTGGCTCTATTTACGAACCTGTATGATTTAATATATTATGTGTTTTGAATGAGTAGTTTGTTACTATTAATAATATTTATTTTTAGAAAAATATGCCTAAAGATATATACCCAAATCACTGTATTGAAGATGGTCCAATTATGGGATCTTGTAAAGACTATTATACAAGATTTAATCTTGGAACATTCCCTAGGAAAATTACAGTTGAAGAAGCTGAAAAACGGTACACTAATTTATATACTTTCTATTTCATTCTTTTTTTTTTTTGTGAAAGTTACAAATTCAGAAATAAATAATCTTTGAATTTTTTAAATACTTTATTTTTATTTGTAGGTGGAGTAGATGTTTGGTAATTGTGGCCTCTCAAGAAACTCGAAAAAAAGCTTTAATTCCAGAAGAAAAACAATTTTCTTTAAATCTTCCAGTTCGAACCTACTTAGTTTTAGAAAGAATAGGACGGTCACGTTACTTAGGAGAAGCATCTCATGGTTCACATTCATTAAGAAATGTTTTTCCTGATTCTAAAGCATTATCGTATATAAGGAACCGATTAACTCTTGATGGTTTGATAAAAAATCAAGTTAGTTAAAGCTGTTTTAAAAACTAACATTTTTCAGTATTAACAATAAAGTCGTATATTTTTTTATAGATAATTTCATATGCTGGGAATAGTTCTCAGATGTCCAATCGAGTTGTAGTTTCAAGTTTAGTAAGATTTTTTATAAAACAGCAGTCGATAATTGATGTTATGGTATCTAAAATTGTGGATTATTTAAAAAAACAGCCAAATCAAATAGCTACTTATGATCAAGTTAAAACAGCGTGTAGTGTTAGTTTAGCTAAAACATTTAAGCAGCCACAACTTAAAAAATTGTGTGATACTAATCTGGTAAGCAAAAAATTTTTATTTTATTAAAATTATAATAATACAAAATGTAAAAAAGTTTCCAAGTACTTTATTATTTTTACAGTTTATTACATACAAGTTTTATCTTACTCTATTAAATTTAATTAATATTGTAATACTATTCCAGATATTAAAGTATAGAGAACTTTTTCCAAATGCTACTATAAATGAATATTTAAGTAAAAAAGAGCCAAGAACAGAAAAAGTCCTTAGATGCATTCAGTTGAAGTGTAATAATAAACCTGACAATCTTAATTCAGAGCCAGAAACAGTTGTAACATCTAAAGGTAGTTTAATTAATTGTTATAAAGTAAATAGTAAATAAAGCATAAGTAAAATTAAATTTTTGATTGTTACTAAATGAATAGACCGTGAATTCAAACTAGACTGTTCCTTTGAGAGACAAATTCTTAGATGGATTGAAAACCAGAGTGACGGTGCTACACTTTCAGAAATTTCTCGCAAATTCAGGTTTACCTCTGATGGTAATTTAAATAATATTTTAAAACATCACATCAAGTTGGGCAATCTTAGTAAAAATCATTGTGACCGAGGCCGTTCTAAAGCTCATGTGTAATTACTCAAGATATACTAATAATCAAACAATAAATTCTAATATAAACATTTTTTTTATAGTTATTATGCTAAAAATCATTATCCAACACCAAATATTAAATGTGAAAATGTTGATCAACAAAATGTTCTTACCTATAAAGATGAATTGGAGTTACAAGAACACACTTTTGAAACGGGGGCACAATTTGATGGTACAGTCCTGAATACTGCTGGTGTGTCACTAGACAATAATATAAACAATACAGAAAATAATATTGACTTGCAAGAAAATAGTCAAAAAGATAATTCAAATATAGATAATACTGGTAAAAAATTAGATTCAACTATTTCAAACAGCCCAAGTATTTCTAGCAACACATCACCACCTAATGTATTAATAATAGTAAGTTTTAAAATGTATTATTAAATATTGATTTATTGATAGTTTTTATTACATAATGGAATATGATCAATTTACTAGTTAGTAAGACATTAAAACTATTTATGGATAAAGTTATAATATAATAAAGTCAACATTTAATCATAGGCATTAGTATAAAACAATTCTGTTTGATATAGAATGATGGCTGTAAAAATAATGCAGAACAAACAACCACAAGAACAATGGAGTATGGGTACTGTCAAAAATTATTTGAAACTTCTAAGTGAGTATTAAAGTACTTAAGTTTTCATATAATTTTTTAATTTAAACGTACATTAAATGGTTATTTGATAAAGGAATTTATACATATGATAGACACAGGGGAAGAAGGGTATTTGTCCATTTTTGACAATTTTTCAGAAGAGTCAAAAACAAAGTAAGTTTGTGAGTACATATCTACGTGTCAACCATTTTTAACTTGTTCACCTCTGCATGTAAAACTCCGGACGGGGCGCCAGTAGCCGTGATTTCCGATAAAATTTTGCTTGCACTGTCCTGCGATCTCGTGATAAAAAATTAAACCAATTGCATGAAATTAAGTATAGACACATACTGCATAGCCAATGTAAAAAAAAATGGTCGTTCCCCGATGGCCAAATCATTTATAAACGTATCTCTAGATATGTACCTAGTAATGGTCACAGATCGGCGGGCGGCCACTACTGCTGCCGATTAGAGATCGGCACTGGAGGTGAACATGTCAAAGCCCTAAGTTGGTTGGCCCCACTATAATAGTCTTTCGCCAAATAGATTTCAAAATTCAATATTAGCCCCAATGTACCATTAACTCAAAAATTAAGAAAATAAAAGAACACTACACTTCTTCCTCTGTGCCCTTCATATTAGTGTATCTGATGCTAAAATCATTTTTGTGATTTATTTATTATTATATAGTGTTATAATAATTTTAAACTTTATTAATGATAAATTATTACTATTGTTACAGACAAAGTGTGTCTATGACTGATCGTTTTTTCTTCCGACAGAGAATTATATTCAATTTGTTAAGTAAAGATAATATAATTAGTTTAATAAACTTAAAAAAGGTAAGTAATTTAAAAAAAAAAAAAAGAATTTATTGTTGGGAGTCTCCAATTGCTGTCTGGCAAATAAAACCGTGTTTTGGGAGCTGAAGTCCACCCTTTGGTGGTTCCACCACCATCAATCACTAGTCCACTTGAACCCTAAAATAATTCACAATATTGATGGTTACTAAAAGGTTCTAAGCAACTCTTAAGATCAAAGGAAATGGCGTATCGTCACTGATACTGCAACAGCATGTATATCAAAATTTGGCCAAATGAGATTATTACCAATATTGATTGATAAATAAATCGCGTGCCGCCGAAAATATTTTGTTAATGGTGTTTTTTTATCAGACTTATAGTTTCACTATAAATCATAAAAATGATAATACAGTTTATATCAAAACCTATACATTTGAATAACTTATTTTGCTTCTCCTGAAAATCCTTGGAATTGAGATACGCGGTGTTACAGTATCAGCGATGATATATTATTGGATGGAAAAAAATGTACTTCATCCAATGTGCATGTGCAAAAAAAGCTGTGACCATTATTTAACAAACAATTAAAATTTAAAGTTTACAAAACAGCACTTCATATGTTTTCTGCTCAAAAAATAGGGTCTCTCTATTATGTTATTGCTGTTTAAAAAAAAAAAATGTAATCCCCAAACAAATGTTTTTAGCTCTCGTGAAAACTACAAAAAATGTCGCTTAGACCCTTTAGCAGGAACCATCAATATTTTATTCCTAATTTGATGTTAAATATTTTTACTTTTTGTTTTCTAGACAATTATTAGTACAGAAAAAGAAAATCCAAAATTTATTGGTACCCTTGATGTTAAAACATTAATAAAAATTGTTGGCTATTTTGAAACTAAAGGCAGATTACAATCTGTTTTGTACAAAGTTAGTTATGGAACAAAAACTATTAATCAAACATTCGTCGCTACCCCCAGTGTCAATTTTTGTAAGTAAAAATTAAGTGACATAAATACTCAATACTCTTAATTAGTCAAGGAGATAGCGAGATGTTTTTAAGTTTCTTATTTCTATAATATAATTTAAATTACTACTTTAGAGTATAGGATGATGTATATCCATTTACCTAAATAAGTACATTTAAAATACTACACATACCTTATTAAAGATTAAATGTTTGTTACATCAGGTAAATAAATGTTCATTTTTAATATGTATTTTAGGTCAGCCAGACATTATTTCATACATGAACAGTTTCTTAAATAGATTTAATAATACATTGAAAACAACCAAGGCAAATAAAAAGTGGAATTTAACTGTGCATAAGTCTCCAGAACCAAAAATTGTTAGTATCTTAGTCATTACCTACAATTGTTCTTAAATACTAAAGTTATATATATATATATATATATATATATATATTGTTTTAGGATATATTTAGTCTCAAACTACCAAGATTTATGAAAATGAGATCATTACATGAGTATCTATTTTATATTGTATACGATCACCCCAATAAAAGCTTAGTAAACTCATGTGAAGAAACTGAAAAAACTGTTTCAAGTTATAGAAAAGATTTAGTTCGAGGGGAAGAAGCTCAAATCCCAAAAGTATATAACCCAACTATTGGTTGGAAAATGTTTGTGCCTCCATTACCAAAATATCCAAGTATAACAATTGATTTTACTTTATGTTTAATTTCATAATTTAAAAATGTTTCCTTTTTCTTTAGAATATCCTGAAGGATGGTTCTTTGTGAGCGACATTATTCATCATATGCCCTTAGATTTGATGTTAAAAATCGTAAATTTCAATAAATCAAAAATTAATTTAGAGAAATTGGCAATTTACGCTACACATCCTATTTATAAATACTTACCACTAATGACCTTGTCCTCTGAAGTTCGCAGCATGCTATCACAAGGGTTAAAGAAGTAGGTATAATATATCTTATACAATTTATAATACTATATTATTAGTGTAATTATTTGTTTACAGACACATTCGAAATACTTTAAATGTTTTACGCCTATTATGTACTATAGGCTTGGTACAATTTGGTCCAAAAACCTACAGAGATACTGAATTGGTAATTTTTATTTTTAATGCTAATTTATAAGTATTTATATTTTTATAGCACATATCCGATATCTTTAGATTTACGCTTATTTAAATAGACGAGCCTGTCTTTTAAATACTGTTCAAAGCAGTCCAAGCTACTATCAAGTATCTGATATGGAGTATGAACGCCGTTCATATGAGTTCTTTAGCAGTTATGAGATAGAAAACTATTGGTTAGACACTTGGTACTTTTGTACAAACACTCCTCTTGGTTAGTAAATACTAAAATAGAAAATGAAGAGAGTAAAAAAGTAACATAGTTGAGTCCTTTAAAAAGTAAATTTAAAAAAATATATATATTATTATATTCTTAGGTTATAGAATTTCAAATATTTCAAATAAACTCAAACGTCGAGAGATGCTTCAAAGAACTAAGGATGTCATAGAAGAATGTTGTGCATCAAGAAGTACATTGGAAGCTGTATCTCAAGATAATGGTACTATACCTGGTGATAATAAAGGAGCTGCTGGATTTGATAGCCATTTATATTCGTAAGTAGACTGTATTGTTTTGTATTTCAAACATTTTTATTACATCTTATTTTATAATTAGTTGTACGATTCAAAATCTTAAAAATGTTGGGCTCTTAACTTGCGAATCTAGTTTGAAAATTCTGAATAAAAATCCAGACAAAATTCAGAATTTCTGAAAATTAGGAAATGTTGAAATAGATCGACTATGTCATAGGATTGTAGATTACTTTTAAAAAATAAATAATATTAGTTAATTATTAAATTGTATTATACTTATTCGTTTTTTGCAAACTTTTATAATCCCTTTCCTGAAATAGAATATAATATGACTTTTTATGTTTTAGACATCTTACTAGAAACTGGAATATGAAAAAAAAAATTTTGGCTCCTAAAAAAAAAACTAAATTAAATATTTTGTTATTACAAAGAATGCAAAAACATCGTAAAAAAAAAGAAACCAAAAAAGCAGAAATTACTTCCAATAAACTATATCAAATGTAAGTATAAATATACTATTGTTATTATTGCCTAATCTTATCAAATATTAAACTTTTTTCTAAACCTTTTCACGTATCACAAAAACCATTCACACTTAATAATATATAATATCTTTTATTTAGAGACGTGTGTAAGAGGAGGTGTCCAGAGGGTCTATTTTAAAAGCCTAATGAACCGCGTAATATAATATTGTAGAAATAGAAAAATCAGATATAGAATCCTCAGTATTTGTTTACTGGTTATAATATTGATGTTATGTGGTGGATAATGGTAGTTTTTCACTATTATTTACACAGCAATTTTATGAGAAAGTCATGAGCGACAAATTTAGCTAGATTTTATTGCTAAATATAGAGAGTTAACAGCACTGTGGGATGTGGGTAGTAGAAACTATTGAAATTACAATAAAAAATATATGCTTATGATATACTGCGAATTGTAAATAAATCTCTAAAACCGAAGCTACAGTAGACAGCTTTATGAAAAATTAATATAATTTAATTATATTTTTATAATATAAAGACGTATTTACAAAAAAAAATTAAAAACGAGAGTTGACATCAAAGTCAACTGTACAGCAGTTGAATACCGAAAAAAAGAGTATCGGCACTATTAGTACCTACTGACCTTTTGAGGACTACAGAGTATTTCAGTCAGTAATACTGATCGTGTGAGGCCCACTTAATATCCCCCCTTAGTTAACAGGACAAGCTGCAAGCAACCGCAGGACATATATGACCCTTAGATGCCTATGTGTATATGCGTTTAAAACAAAATTATCTAGATTTAAAATTTTAGGAGATATAAATGGACACCTGGCGAAGATAATGTGCTGCTATTTTGGAAAATAGGGACTTTTCTTATTAAACAAGTCAAGAGTCATGCATTTCTTTCATATGGTATCAAAGACATTGTAAAAACAGTTTTTGGAAAGGTAATTTTAAATTATTTATTTAATTAAACTAAAACATACATTTTTTTTTTAAATTATATTTACAGTTTTATCGTATGAAAAGTGTTGACAATTATCTTCGACGTATACGTTACCTAATGAGGAACTCATTGATTGAGAGCAAAGTTAACAATTTGTATGAAAATCTTAAAAATGATGAAGAAATTCAAGAATTATTTAAAGTATTTATGTAATTTAAAGAATAACATATGTATGTATAATATTAATTACAATTTTTGTTTAGAATGATATTCAAATGCAGTATGAACTGCACAAAGCAAAAAAATTTAAAGCTATGAGAGAATTGATGGTAACGGATATTAAGAAACTTGTGTTATTGTTGCAAGAACGTGGAATTGTAATTGAAACCAGATCTTTACTTCAGCATAAGATAGAACAGCCAATTGATAAACCCAATGATGAAAAATTAGATAACTTAATGTCAGACATGGAATTTGACAATACCTCCAAATCATTTGTTGATTTGCAAAATATTAGCCAAGAAATTGATTACAATTTTTCATTACGTGAAATTCAATTATCTTTGGTTAATTCTCTTATACATGTGAGAGTTGTATTTGATGTAAAACATTATTATATTAGGAAATAGCTTTATTTTAATTCAATATTTTTATATTTTTAGAGTTCGTTAAGCAATCAAAGTAGTGATCCTAGAATTTCGTTAAGTTATTTACAAGCGTTCAAACAGTATCCGGATGAAATTTTAAAGCACGCATTTGATATCATAAAAGAAGAAAACCTAATTACGTGCAGTCAGTATCATAAAGAATCCCTCCAAGTTTTGCTGTCTACCTCACATATTATTCAATCAAAGACTTATGATTATTCAACTAAGTAATAAGTATTATCTGATAAATTTACTTTTACTCATAATCCGTGTACCTACTTATTTACAAAACTTATGTTTTAAATTAATATAGATTCAGTAACACAATTGTTGGGAAAGTAGATGTGAATCGTTATAAAGAAGCTTACCTTACTTACGGAGAAATTAAAGATGATTTGTCTGAAAGAAAAATGCTCCTACTTTATCCATCTTGTGGACTTTGTACATTATTTACAAGTTTATGCACAAGTGGTGTAATAGAGCTTTCTATAGAATTTGATAAAAAGGCAAGAAATCTATTTATATTTTGATTCTTTAGTGGTTTTTTTGTAAATGAAAAATTAATTAATTTTACTTGGGTTATGAACATGCTAGAACGCCACTTTTTATTTAGCTAAATTTAAATTACTTCTGTACTACAATATTTTTATATTTATTTTTAGTATTTGGAATACATGCCTGATGAAGAAGTTTTAAACACTGGATCTAATTGTTTAAAAAACACATTAAAACGGTAAATCATTGGCATATAGTATCCGTATCCCAGAGGTGAAGTAACCAAGTTGCAAACCTCATATATTACATGAATAAAAAAAGAGAAATAATTATATTATTGTGTGAACAAGATAATATGACTCAAATTTATAATTGTTTGGCTATGTAAACTTATATGATTAATATACTATATAATGATCTTTAAATGGATATATCCCAAACAGAGAATTAATTTTTGACAAAATCTACTTGCGTTACTTTACTTCAATAGGGTACAGTTGAATATTTTCTATGTTAAGCATACAACGTCTATTTTTCAATAATTTATGTCAATTTGTTTTTTCCAGTATGCGAAGTCGCCATTTTGACTTGCTTTCAACTAGTAATGAATCTGTTGAATATTTAAAAATAATCACTTCTGTTACAAAACAGTTAAATAATTATCAAGTAAATTTTTAAAAACAAACACAGGAAATATATAATAATTACTTTTTTTTTTTTATTAGGTTATTTGTAAGTTAATAAAATCTATTCCAAACATTGAAGCAGAAATAAATTCTATTTTAGAGGAATTAATTAGGCAAGTATGACAATTATAAAAAAAACATTTATTTGCCGAAACAAGATTTAATAGATTGTTAAAATTATAATTACGTATAATCGTTTAATATGTTTTATAATTTATGATTTAAAACTTAAAAAACTGTTATAATTTCATCTAGGTGTCCTACTTTTAATCCAAACATTCAAGTTCTTAACAATCTCAATAATTTAAGTGAACGCTTATTATCTTTTTGTAAGGCAAAAGAACTTAACGGAGCGACACAAAAAGATATTAAAGTATAAAATGTTTTTGAAAATATAACACCCTTATACATGAATATTAATTTTTAATTTTTTTTTTTTTTAGGAATTTTTTAGTAATATACCTCTTGATGTTCTTATGAAAACCCTAAAAGATCTAATGAGCCACAATTTGGTATTGAGGGCTGGAATTGAATTTCCGATGTATGTTCATTACAAATTTGCAAACATGTGGTTGGCGAAAATACCTAGTGCCAATTGGAGTTGTAATGAAGAGACTGAAAAAAATCAGATGAACGAAGAAAACAAAGATGGGTAATTTTTTTTTTTTAATTTAATGAACACAATAAAATGTTTTGAATTCTTTAGGTTGTCAGACATCAGTATAGGCAGCCCTCCCGCTAAAAAATTACGAGGAGAACTACTAGTAGAGTAATTACAATACATATTTAAAACTTGTTTTTATTCCTGACCATTTAAATAATTTTTTAAGGAAAAAAAGTGAAGACTTTGACCTTATAAATATACGGCCATGGACGCGATTAGACTTAACTGTCAACAAACAAGTTATGGAATATTATTTGAATTCAGTTTTGTCAAAAATTATTATGAAACCTGGTATTTATTTGAAAAATCTTAAGAAGGAGTATTTGTCAGTTATTCCGCCAGTTTATATTCGAGAACTTGTCGAAGTATTAAAATGTCATGCTAATATTATTTTAACACCCGTTTTATAATTTAAAAAAAAACATTTACAGATGCTAGAAACTATGAAATGTGTTAAAATGATTCATATAAAAAATATTCAAAAGCAATCAATTTATTCTAAATCATGGCCAGTATACAACAATTTAGAATTGTGTAAGTTTATTTAGTAAATATTTTAATCTCTTGTTTGTATACCATTCTAAGTTGTCATGTGTAATTTACAGGCAACGTAGTTGGATTAGAAGACGAGTCATCAATAATGTTAGAGCCTACCGAGGACTGTGAATTTAGGTTTGGATATTGTTCTAATAAATTTCAATAGAATTTTAAATTTATAATCTTAAGGTAAATTATAAATTTCTTGTGCAGTAAATTTTACTTTTATTCATTAAAAAAAAATTAATGTACAACTGATTTTTGTGAAAGGTTTTATAAAACTACTGTGATACATAACAACAAGTAATTAAATATATATATACTTTTTTAAATTTAATATTACAATATATTAAAACCCTTTCCTTTTACAGTATAAATAATTTGTTTTTTTAACTTTATTTATTTTATAAATATGTTATGTTGAGCCTATGGTGAGATAGAGCACATAAACACAATATTTTTTTTATCTTTTTAGTAAATGAAAACAACAAATTAATAGTTTAAATAAAGAAAAACATAATTAAATGCATCAATATTAAAATGTTGCCTAAACATATTATTTTATTTACATTAAAAAAAATAGTACAATTATTAACACAAACTATGCTATTTTACTTTCAGTAGCATCTTCAATAGATTTTTTTTCAATTTCACCATATATTTGTAAGTAGCCTTTTAGCTCAGAAATAGCTTTGTTTATTCTATAATTCAAACACACCAAAACAAATAATTAATTTATAATTAGTAGTAATAAACTTTTTAAATACTTATACATATATATATTTAATGTAATTTTAAATGTTATGATATAGCTGGAATAATTTTGCCGCTACAAGTCCCAAACCCTATCTTATATCCGTCACCTTGGCAATAACCGGACAATATAACTTCATCTCCGTCATTAAAAAATTTCAATTCCCTATCAACTAAATTAATAGTCCTTTCGCCTCCTCTTGTCCTCTCAAACAGACAACCACATTGTTCGTCTTTGGGACCACTTATTGTTCCTGAAGACAGTAAATCCCCTGGCTGTAGATTGCAACCATTAATTGTGTGATGGGCTATTTGTTGCAATGGCGTCCAATAAAGATATTTATAGTTTGTATCGCAAATACTACTAATGTTTTGTGATCCTTTTGAGCAAACACTAGCATTGAGATGTATATTGAAATTGTATTTTTCGTCATGACGCAAGTATTGCATTGGTACAAAATCTTGTTTGAAGTTATCTACTTTAAAATGGTTTAGCGCTTCCATTGTTACAACCCATGGCGATATGCTTGTGGAAAAATTTTTTGAAAGGAACGGCCCGAGAGGAGTAGATTCTCTGAGTTGAATATCTCTAGCACTCCAATCATTTAACATTACCATTCCAAATATGTAATCAGAAGCTTTGGTAGTCTGTATCGGATCACCTAAAGAATTTAATGTACCACCAACGAAAAACGCCATTTCCAATTCATAATCAAGCATTTCTGTGGGACCAAAATGTAACTGTCCATTTTTTAAAAACTGACCCTTGGGCCGTGTAACTGGAGTTCCTGATATAATTACAGATGATGAACGACCATGATAAGCAATAGGCATATGCTTCCAATTTTCGGCTAATGGTCTCTGTGGCATCATGATGTTGCCACAGTTGATAGCATGATAGTAACACGAAAAATAATCTGTATAATCTCCTATTGAAACTGGCAAATGCATAGTAACTTCATTCTGATTCCAAAATACACCATTTTTAATGTTATCGGCATTTTCAATACTCAAATATGACTGTATTGATTTCCTCGCCTGAGCCCATGTATACTTACTCGAAGCCATCAGGCTGTGCAAAGATGGTTGTTGAAATATTTCACTTAAAGTATGATCGAATATATTATTTGTAGACTTCAAGTCGAGTATTTTTTCACCGATTGCAACTCCAATTCTATGTGTTGAGTCATTTTGAGTAGAAAATACACCGTAAGGTAAATTTTCAATTGGAAAATGTGATTCTTGTGTATACGGTATATAACTTTGAAGCGGCATGTTTTAATGTTTTCAATAATGGAGTAAAATAATAAACAATATAATGTTTCTCTGTTATAATTTTAACTATTACTAAACAGTTTAACTCTTCTAGTATGATATTGAATAATCGTTAATTAAGATATTATAAAAAAAATTGTTTACCAAAGGTTTATAATAAATGAAAGAACACAGTTTACTGATAAGACACTGATAGTGGTTATATTCTGTGATATAACGTTAATTACCTAATGTGTTTAAGAGATATTTATCAACAAAAAAAAACCCTATTTCTTTTTATTATATAATCATTAGTGCACTGTTATTATAAAAAAATGAAATGACTTACAGTCAATGTCAAATAATAATAAATGACTTAAATTTATATTTTATATAATTGAATAAGTATTCAGGAGTTAAGACGTATACAGTGTCTTCAGAATTGTAACGTTTCAGTTATATTTGAACCAAAAGGTTACACATGACCATTTTTCAAAAACGACTTTTTAATCATGCATTATTTGTTAACAATATATCTTACTACTTGTACTTGTTTTCAATTTTTCTTTAATTATTGAAGAAGATATTGAAAAAACAAAATACAATTTATTTTTCTCACCAGTAAAACTATACAAAATCACTTAAATCTTTTTGATTTTCACCACTGCGTTCTTACAAAGATACAAAATAAAATTATTGAGACCTTAGATAAAAAAAATGAAGTTAATCAATTGACTTACAAAAATATATCTTTGCCAAACTCCTCTAGGTATTCTACTTTACGTTGAGCATAAACCACTTGCTGTTCAACTTCAATAGATTTCATGTTTAATATTTTATCGATAAGTTCAACTACAGCATTTATGTCCATTGGATCGTCATTCATTTTGATTTCAATTAGTTGCAATAGTAGACGACTACTTTTTTGTACATTCTTTAACATACAAAAAAAAAAAAAATAAATAAAAATGAATTATCTTAAATGACGTTATATTTACTTGAAGTTTTTTTACTTCAGCCCATAAAATTTCAGAAGCTCGATGAATATCACCTTGTATCTATAACACAAAATCTTCATAAAAATAGAATTTGAATAGAATAACATGTTTTTCTACTAAAGGTTTTGCCTTGTCGTTGCAGGAGTTGCATTCTTGGGGAAGTGGGTATAGTGTGGTGGTTTCCCATTCTTCTGAACCAGTCGGATGGCATTTCTCACTCCAGACGGTTGCCCGCCCAGCTAGAGAAACGACCAGCGACCGAGATTCAAACTATGGCTAGTGCGTAGACACCACCGAGGTACCCCTCTCGGCCACGACAAAATAATAGAATATAAATTTAAATTTTACTAACTTTCCAAACGAATCGAGCGTACTTAACAGTTAACAAAACTGAAGTTAACGACGAGTCTGCTGTGCCGACATAATGTTCATACAGTTCGCATACTCTTTCATTACAACCTCTTCTTCTTTCCAAGTTAATCCTTCTTTGAATTATCATCATTTTGTGGGGAGCAATACTATCAAGCATATCCAAAATTTGAGCAGCTTTGTTATAATTACCTGATGATAACAAAACAAATTATACGTAACATTTACATAAATAACAAATAAATATACATTACCATTGTTTTCTAAATGAAGTGCCCAAGATAAATTAATCCCCGGTTTGTTTTTATGATGCACCATACAGGCTCTAATATATACATCTTCGATTCGATTTTTGAGCTCTTGGTCATCAGATTCTAAGCTTTCTAAGTAACTCACATACTAACACGAAAAATAAACTTAACAGTTATACTCAGTTGCTTATATTATACATTACTAATCATTACTTTAGTCCAAAACTCTTCATAGAGTGCACAAGCTATTAAACATCTTTCAAATAGCACTATTATGCGCTTATAACACCCTTGTCCAATTTCAAAATCTAGATATTCTTTCCAGTTCCTTATCTGTGATCTCTCCAAAGGTTTAACATGAAAATATGGTCGTTTTATCTGAAATAGGTAATATGTATTTTTATATATTTTTAGACATATTTTTAAATAATGCTAACCATTTCTTCATAAGGCAATCTCAGCGCAACCATTTCTGCTGTAGACTTGTTTACCGGTATTCGTGCAGATATCATTCTTTCTTTCATCATGTTTTCTTCTTTTGTTCTCTAATGGACAAAACAAAAAAAGTTTCTCATTTTAAAGCAAAAAAATATTATGATTAGTTATAATACCTGCTCCATGGGATCAGCCATGTCATCTGAATCTGAACCAGAATCCATTTTTTTATTCTTTTTTGCATCAGCTTCTTTAATTTCAACTAACACTTCTTTCCTTAGTTCTAAAAATTTACCAGTCTCCAAGATTTTATTTTTTGGATACTTCTTAATAAAATCTTTAAAACTATAGCAAACATAAAAAATAAACTTTAAAAGGAGGAAAGATGAGGTTATTAACAAAAATAAATGTTTTACTTTTCAAAATTATTTAAATATCCATGAGTAGGGGTGGCAATAAGGCGATCATAAATACTAGTCACCTTTGAGTATTGCTTACATTCCATTTCAAATTTTATGTAATGGTCCCACAAACGATCCGATCTATAATTATCAATTTAATATATATTTATTTCAAAAATGGAAAATATTTTTTTATTATTAATTTACTAACCGAAACTCAATTCCACATGATTCTATTGCTCTTTCAAACTGTTCTCTTATCATGTCTTGATCATCCGGATAAGCAGATTTCATATAACCCATATAGTGAATCCACAAGTCAACACTCAAAGGTATTGCTTTCAATCCACGGTCAAATACCTGTACATATTTAGCAAGATTATCACTATCATTTATATATAAACACATTGGTTTAATTAACAGCCATATTATATACTTAAAGTAAAAACTATAAACATGCCTTTTAATTTTTAATGTAATTATTATTATATCAATTTAACACTTACAAAAATAACCTTAAAACTAGTTTGATAAATTCACCGCTTACCCAAAATTAATCCAAAACAGCTTTTGGCGTCTGTCGAAATGTTCCACATATTTAAAACTTTTTAATATTACAATACAATTAGCAATTATCTTAATTGACAAGAATAAACAATAACTGATCTTAACTACTAAATATTGAACAATACATAAATACATAAACAAATTGGAAACACGATCATTTTTCCTTATACATGATAAATATTGTGATGACATATTACACATAATATATATACTAGATAATTGATTTGAAAAATTAATGAATATAATAAACACAATTTTAGCTTATTTTATGAATTAATACATTTTTGTGAAATGATAGTGCTTTATTTGGGCCACAGTTGAAGCATGAAGTGTATTTGTTTTATCCGACAGCAACCTGATGAAAAAATATCTAGACCAAAATCATGTTAGTTATAAAAGGATTCTTGAAAGAATGTTTACTCATAGGGAATTGTAATTGAGGTTTAAGGATAAAATCAATCACAGTACCTGAAAAATTGTGATATTTTTTTTTTTACACTATATATTTTAATACTTGAATAATATAATAATAAAAAAACTAATAAAAAGTTAATTTACATCATATACAAATTGTTCTAAGTTAATATTGCTTTTCTTGAATACAACAAATAATGCTACACATCCAAACTGCACGTTTTTAATAAAGTTGTTGTCCAAAAGTCAAATGTTTATCTTCTGTCTGAATGTTAAAGATGTAGTTATCGGTGATCAAGTTTTGAATTATTTCTTTATACTTTTTTTACTGTAATTTTTCTTCAAATAAAACTAATAATGGTTGTTTTTTTCTTTATCTTAGCTCTTTTAGTTAAAATTATAATTTATCATTACTAAAGTATTTATTTAAGTTAACAATTTTATTACAAAAATATTTTATAATTATTTGTTAATTAAATGAATTAAAAAACTTCAATAGTAAACAACAAATCACAATAATGTACAAAATAAGTAAATGTATTACAGTTTAATAAACATTTAGAAAACATAATCTATTAAACTTTATCCATAGTAAAAAGTAGTAATTTTACAAAAATGTATATAATATGCTAAAGCTAATATTAACAAAGAAATAATTATAACAAAGATAAATTAAACTGTTAAAATAATGAATGCTGATTCATATGCTATATAAAAACTATTTAAAAACACTAAACAATTATTTTATCTTTAACAAATATGCTTATAAACTCACAACTAACTATACTATATGAAAACACATGTTCTATTAAAGTCATTAAATTCTAATAACTGATAAACAATAAAATTATTGTTTTTATACCACCTGTTTCTAGTTAACACAACACGGGTTGAAAATGAAATGTGCCATACAGAATCATTTATAAGTTATTGCTTAAATGTACCCCTCAAGTATTGAAATACCAAATTAACCAATTTTATTGGTTACTAACTTTTATTGTTTTTTTTTTAAAAGGAAGTATTTCATTCACAACTTTTAAATGAAATAATTGTAAATAAATCACTTACTTTTTCACAATTCTCTTTTGTTCCATTCTTTCTTTCATAATCTGCATATTTTCTCCAATAACCATAACAGTAGGGATATAAATTTAAAAACGCATCATAAGCTTCACGAGCTGCTTCAATATTTTTCTAAATAAAAAAATTAGTTAATATAAATATTTTCTTATAAATTACATTAAATATTAACCAACCAATAATCAGAATCTAGTTTTAAATAAATAAATTATAATTAAAAAATAAAAGACCAGATGTAAGCTTACAATCAGCAAGAGAGATCAAACACAAGTATTGACAAATGAGTCATGGGGACACTCAATATTTAGAGTAAGAACCACAAAGCAAAGAAATTTCCTTTAAACATGTTTAGTTATGAGAATGAGCTAAGAAGTGGCAGGAGGAGGATCTCAAAGAACGCTTCTATATTTTAATATAGGTCTGACAAGTATGCAATTAAACATTATTAGAGGGCCAGAAAGAGAGAGCTCGAGTTTGCTTATAAATTCAAGAGCTCTGTAACAAACCATCTTAATTTTCACATTTAAAATGGATAAAAATTAGGTATAAATTAATTCCTGAGGCAAGCAATGTCTAAGAGAAAATTGTAAATTTTAAGTAAACTACAAAAAGTTTATCCCTCTCCATGTGGCATATATTTGTCTCCAACTTACTGCTCCATCGACATATTGCAATAAGTATGTCCAACCAATAAAGTCAGATGGATCATCACGTACTGTCTGCCAAAATTTATCGAGTTCTCTAAGTTTTTTCGATTCTTTTTCTTTATCATTCTAAAATTTTAAAACTATAATTTAGTAATTTGCATATATTTATAAATAATAAAAATAATAATAAGGGTCATACACTTTTTGGTCTCTTTTTTGAGTTGTCTTTGCTGGACCTATCTTTACTCGGGGTTCGTGACCGTTTCTTGTCACTTTTTCTAGATTCTTCTTTTCTTGAGCGTTCTTTTGATTTAGAATCTAAAACACAAGTAATTTAAGTCTAACTAAAAAATAATGTTTATTATTTAATTAACTTTGAATATGTAATTTATTCTTTAATGTAACTAGTTTGCAATCATAATCACTAAAAAATATCACTTAATGTTTTAGGAAATAAATCACAAATAACTAGCAAAAAATTATATTTGAGGCTCAAGAGCCAAACACATAAACTTTAATGTGTTTGAGTATCTAACCTCTAAGTTCATTTTAACTTTAAAATTAAGTAATGTGACTCAACTCATTGTTATATAATAATATTATGATGGATTAATTAAAAAATGTTAAAATTAATTTATTAACCCACTATGAGTTGCGCTATGGTTACAACGACCACAGTCACATTTAGTCACACTGTGACTTAGGTAAGAAATATACGTAGTTCACTCTTTATTTAAGTGTAACCAAAAATTGTGCGACTAACAGTGGGTTAATATATAATCCGATAAAAAATAGAGAGAATATTTTTTTTGCAACATTGTGGCAAATTATCAGTCCATATTTCAACCTAGTCAGTAAACATAAATAAATGCATTTATTACAAACAAATATAAAGGAAAACTTAAACTTTTCTCTTTCAAAATCGTAATTTTGTGTTTCCAACATTTTTTAATTTAACCATCAATTAGAACCATTTCTGCATTAAAGTTATCATAAAACATACCTGTTTTTTTATCAGATTTCTTCTTATTACTATCTTTATCTTTTTTTAGTTTTTTGCTATCTTTTTCATTTTTGTCTTTATAATTTGATTCACTTCTGTCAGTTTCTATTTTATTGTCTTCCTACGTACAAAAACAAAATAATTAACTATTAATACTAGTAAACAAAATATTATTGGGTAACATACATCATCACTATCACAAGCTACTTCATCACAAACAATCATTTCAGATAACTCTAGCTCTTCTTTACCATCTTCAGAGTTATTTTGACTATCTTTACTTTCATTATAACTGTTATCATTGTCAACTTTTTCATCTTCTAATTGCTTATTTTGGGCATCAAATGAATCCATCATATCAGACAATACTTTGAGATTATGTTCTTGCTGTAAATAAAAACATTATTAAATACAATCTTAGCTTTGCATGGAAGCTAAAATTAAGATGATAAAAATTAGGCATTATGAAATAAGAAGCTAGTGTAATCAGAGCCGTACTCAGCTTTGCCGGGCCCCAGGAAAACTAAATCATCCGGGCCCCTTAAAAATAGGTGTAGGGCCGAGCCACGGACCTATGACCCGAGGAAACCAGTCTGAATACGGCCCTGAGTGTAATCAATAAAAAATGTTTTCATTTATAAAAGTAAAAATTCATACATATTGTGGACAAATTGTAAAATTTAATAATATAATAGAAATAAATAAATATTTAAAATAATACATACTATAGACAACAATAATATTAATAAATAATAATTAATTATAAAAATAGTTCAATTTGCTATAAATTAAATAGTATTCTTAATGATTTTATTCTAATATTTTACCTCATCTTTACTGATTTCAGGACTAGATATTCCATTATATTCTTTGTTATTGTTTTGTGTTCCATTGCAATCATTATTTTTTTCAGTTTCTTTCTAAAAAAAAAAAACCTTGCAATGTATAAATTTGTATGCTTTTAGTGTCCAGGCAGTCACAGATTTGGATGTACATATAAAACTATTAAATCTGTATCATTTGCTTTGATTTGGTTATGTTGTTACTAATAGTCAATACAGTATGAAATAGCACATTATAAAACCACCACAATAATAGTTTAGCAGATCACAGATTTGTATTGAATAGATACTTGTCATTATTAGTTAATATTATCTGCATTTACATTTTATTTTTGTTCAATAAAAAAAAAAAATAATAATAAATGCCTTAATACTAATTTTTAGCAACAATAAAAAGTTTCACAATACATTAATGCCTATGTTATTTTAATAAGATTATTTTCTTATAATTAAATGTAAATGTTTTACAAACCTCTTTTTCTTGAGCATTGACTGAGCCAATCAGTTCATCTAATGCATCATAAAGCTCATCACTGTCCCGAGTAAGTTTATTAGGCTCTGACATTGTACTTCTTTAAATTTATCAAAATAATGTACAATTTTTTTAATTACTAATCTATAAATATGAGTCATAAAAAACTTACGTTTTCTGTAATATTACAGTAAAAATGCGTTCTAAGCTATAATTCACATGAGTTTAAAATGCCAAATATCAAAGTCACGTTTCACTTTTCACAACTTGGTTGTAACAATTTGAGGATACGATTAAATTAAATGAAAATGTTTAATCATTAAAATACATAGGCTCGATATCTACATACCAAATATAAAAAAAATGAAAGGAAACCGACAATAACAAAAAAATTCAATATTATTTAGCATATAATGCTTAAATAAGAATTAACGTTAATTTTTATTAATTTGTAAATCTTGATAGGTACATGGCATTTGCCTTTCTGCTAAAAAGTAGGTACACTTTACAAACGGAATTCTATAATGAAATTCCAAACATTAGCCCGTACGGTGTACACTATTTATGATTGATAAGACATCTTGCATTTTTTACGTATACAACAAAATAAAATTCTCCATGAATTAAGTAGTCCATGAATTAACAGCTGATTACTGATAATGTTTTATCAATAATTTATAGTATTTATATTATATATAAACCCTGTAAAATTAGTTATTCGGCCTTCATGTACAAACATATAATCATATCAGCATATCGTTAAAATAAATTAATAACGCATCGCGATTCACGATTCTAATTGCGATTCAACTTAATTTCGTGATATTGTTATTTGGTACCTAATAAAATATAATGAATGCCAGTCCTTTCGATTATAGCTCGATGTCTTTCAGCAGAGTGGCGCCGGTATCTGACAAAATAGACGTAAGTGTCTAGTTTTAACTATTTCAAATTACAATTTTTAAATAAGAAAGGTCACGAAAAGATCGAATCATATTAATTAATCTATAGTCGATGTATTGAAGATTTTGCACGTTTTTTATTAGTCTTAAAAAACTGATGTTTAAATATGTATTTTTCTCAATTATTAAACTCATTAGTTAGAAGTCAAATGAAAGGACCTAATATATATATTAAGCCCCTTCATGTGTATGAGTGTATAATGTTTATAGTTAAGGGTTTAAATATTAATTTCATCATAACATGCCTTTTTGTAATCTTTGACACAATGGACAATCTTTTCTTCAAGTCCTGAACTTATTAGAAATCTTTTGCAATTTTTTGTTTTCTCTTGATTACTCCATCTCTGATATTTTTCTTCTAAATTCCCATTCATTTCCAGTGATCCAATAGTGATTTCTTTTATTTTCAAAAACGGGTTCTTAATTTAATGTTATTGTAATTGTCAATCTATAGTTGTATTACATATAGTAAGTTAAAAATGAATTAAAAAAAATAAATGCATTTATACTACAATGTATATTTAATAAATTTTTAATTCTTTAGTTGTTAGAATGTCGTGTGTGTGAAGATATATTCAGTCTTCAAGGAGATAAAGTTCCACGTCTCTTATATTGTGGCCACACTATATGTCATTCCTGTCTGTTACGATTGTACCAGCGATGTTCTTCAGTTCAATGTCCATTTGATAGACAAACAACACCCATTGGGTCATCAGGAGTATGGGGACTAAAAAAAAATTTTGCACTGTTAGAGCTATTAGAACGCTTACAAAAAAGTAATAAAACAGAGATGAATATTAATACATATATGAATGCGGAGACAATAAAAAAGGAAGAACAAGTAATAAACATTAAAACCATTATTTAATTTATAAAATATTCCAATGCCAATAATTTTATAGCTACATGTGTCTTGTGATGAAAATGACAACCATATAGCTGTTCTTTATTGTACAGTGTGCTGTACAAATTTATGTTTTTATTGTTCTGAACAAACTCACAGTACACGAACATTAGCGAAGCATCGAAGAGTTCCGTTATCGGAAAAACCTCAAGAAAGACCTCGTTGTCCATCACATCCATCTCATGTAGCTGAATTTACTTGTTTACAAGATAGTTGTCGTCAACCTTCACCTCCTCTTATGTGTTTTGTTTGTAAGGACTATGGTATTCATAAAAATCATAAGGTATTTAGCAAACTTAAACTGCCATCCTTGGTTAAATAATACTTCATTATACTTGTTTATTATTTAGCATGCTTTAGTTGAAGCGGAAGCAGAAAACATACGTTCAATGGTAAAAAGTGCTGGTCCATTAATGAGAAATCTAATGGAAGAAATCAATGATACCATTCAAAGATTAGGTAAAAATAATCCACTTGAACTCAAATAGATACTGTTAGTTTTTATATTTATATTTAACTGATTGATTTTAAAACTATTACTTGTCACATTATGTTGAAGATCAAGTTATGTTACGCCTAGAGGGAGTGGATTCAAATAGTCAAGTCGATAATGATCCATCTAACAATGGTACTGGTTGTATGGCACGAGCTCGAGTACAATTGTACTTTCAACATCTGCGTGAAACTTTACAAGTCCAAGAAGCTGCTGCATTGAGTGCTGTTGATACACATATCCGTGAAAGATTGGCTTCTTTAAGAAGTTTACAAGAAGATTTAGCCTTGTCATTATCCCAGGTGGCTGTAATTTGTGTACAGTGTGAGCAGGCTGTACGTCAAGATGATTCTCGTATTATATCTGCAAGTGCAGATATCAGTCAGGCTTTAAACGTGATTGAAAAGCACAAACAAATGTTTACTGAACTCGGGCCCGAACAATTGCAACCAGATGCCAGTATACCAATTACTTTTACAAAAGTATAGTATAATCTTTGTATAGTTATTTATAATTTATGGCTTTAATTAATACTTTTCAACTTTGAACTTTTCTAGGATAATCGAGTTCACATTGGTCCTAAAATGGAAATTCGTGTTGTTACTTTAGGCTTGGATGGAGCTGGGAAGACAAGTGTGCTATTTAAGTTGAAACAGAATGAGTTTATGACTATGATACCTACACTTGGATTTAATGTGGAAACTGTTGACTATAAAAACATGAAGTTTACAATATGGGATGTTGGTGGACAGCCTAAATTAAGACCATTGTGGAAACACTATTACCTGAATACACAAGTAAAATAAATAATCATTTTTATTTTTTTTAATATGAATTATTTGACGAATAATTGATCAAAAAAAGTTATCTTTAAAATTCCATTCAATTTTATTTTTTTCTTTGTAGGCAGTGGTATTTGTTATTGATTCTAGTGACCAGCAGCGACTTTTAGAATCATCCAATGAATTGGCTAAGCTTATGACAGAAAAAGAGTTGAAAGATGCTGCTTTATTAATTTTAGCTAACAAACAAGTAATTCAATATTATTCGTTGTCACTTAAAAGCTGTTTTATGCAATTTTTTTTTTCTCAGGATATACCGAGTTGTGTGACTGTTGAAACTATAACAGAATTGTTTGGCCTGTATAAACTATGTTGTGGACGTAGTTGGCACATACAAGCATGTGATGCTCAGAGTGGTGCTGGCCTTCACGATGGACTTGATTGGCTGGCAAGACAGTTGGTTGCTTCTGGTGTCCACGATCTCAACTAATCTTGCATTTTTTGATATTTTTGATATTTTTATTTATTTAGTATTATAGAGATATATTATCGCATACACTTTCAGTAAGACCAAATTTTATAACAACATTACGTAATTAAATAAACCTTTATTTATTTACTTAATTCAATTTGTTATAATATTTCTGTTATTTTGTTTTTCTACTAACTTGATAATATCATGCTGAAAAAAAATAGAATTCTATTTAAAAATGTTTAAAAGTATTTCTAAAAGAAAATTAAAATATTACTACTTACTGTGTACTTGATATATGAAAGAAATGTATCATACATAATAGAGATTACATTAGTGAATAAGAGTCTGTATTTTGGGCCCACAAACTTAAAGTTAACACATTGAGTTGGAATAAATATTCCACAATCGACCTAAAAAATAAAAAAATATTAAATAACTTACCTCTCAGATTAAGTTTGATTAGTATAATTATTTAATTTGGTTTTTTTTCAAACCATTATATACCCTTTCTTTTTAGTCATTATTATACATTTTTTGTTAGTTATAAATTTTTTTTATGGAATGTAATTGATGATAATGTGCTATTATTCAATAAGTACCTATTAAGCTATTACTTCAATTTATATTTATAATACTTATGTTTTGTAAACAATGTAAAGTAGGGCCCAAATTTATTTATATTTTTTTAACTGAAATTTTTAAAGTATGATAAATGTATTTTATAACTTACCATAAAAATTGTTATGAATTTGTCTTTAAATTCTTCATTCATTTTAGTCCATGTTCTATTATCTAAAAATCCCAAGCCATAAATAAAAATGAGTATGTTAATAGGTGTGCATAAAGTTTGGTCGAAGAAAATTTTTTTTGCTATTGTTTTCATTTCTTGACCAGGATATTTTTTGTCTAGCCTATGATAAAAGAAATGTTGTGCTGTTCCCAGAATGGTACCCACTATAGCTATTCGTGCTAAAAACATTCATTCAAACGATTTGATTATTATCAAATATAGAGCAAAAAAAAATGTAGAATTGGTATTTACCCGTTCTTGTCCAGTCATATTTATCAGATAACCCACGATAGCGCTCGATGTTCTGTTGGACGGCATCACCGGTACACATCAGTAAAGTGCCACTAGCAGTATTGATGAAATACAGGTGTCGGTCGAACAGGTAAGTTGCAGCACGAGTCACAAGAGAGTAACATTGTTTCCCAGGCGACATACAAGCTTCAGGTTTACAATCAGTGAGCAGAATGACTGTAGGACTCGAAACCAAATGAGTTTTCATCAGTAAAAACAATGCCAATATATTTTGCAATATTTTCATTGTTTTATGCTGACAGTTTTTTTGGCTTGAGGCCTAGTAAGAAGGGGAGAAATGCCAATGCAATATTACAGTATTTTTAAGAAAATCATTAGGGTAAATAAATTAGCTTGGAACAAAGAGAAATAAATTGCATGTTAACAATACCTATTTGTAAACATATATCTCTAACCTAACAAGTCTACGACCTGTTAGATCGGTTGGACGACTCATGCTCTACAAGAGACATCCTGGGGAAGTGGTTATGGTGCAGTGGTTTACATCCGTTGCATACATCCCAATAATACAATAACACACGTTGAATAAGATTAATTTTAATTTTGATGCATATGAATATTTTTCATAGTATATAACGTTAAATATATATATAAACACATTTTAACTGTTATGTTATAATGAAAAATTACAATGCGCCTTAATAAATGCTAGGGTAGATGCCCCATTAATTACCATATAATTAAAAAAAAACTGGGGATGTTAAAAAATATTATGGAAAGCAAAATGCAGTTTTATATTTTCCGATGCATAAAAACTGCAAGACGACCATTATTTATAATAAAAATTAAAATGTATGTGCATATCGTTTTTTCTTTTACGTAAATGCTAACTGTTTTCAATTTTCATAAGTTGTTTATTTTTGTTTTAAAATATTATTTAACCTAACATTGTACTATTGCTAATTGCTGATTACATATAAAGTTTTTTTTATGGTTTAGAACTGGTTTTGATATAATTTATTATAATGAAAGTTTGACAATACCCTAGTATAATAATTATAATTATGATATCATTGGACATTGCATGTTGTTATCACCTAAATAACAATGTACACATTTTTCAGTTTCATTTATCTGTATATTGTGTAGACTGTAGTTTTACAAGAAAAAAACCTAGTTAAAATATTTTAAATACTTTATTAAGAAATATGGATTATATTTCTATAGTTTTTATTTCAACAAAATTTATCATGTAGTATGTCGTATGTTGATAAAATAAATACAATATTATTGATAACTAAAATGTTTACCCATATTATCAATTATACAAGACAGTGATTTTAACTACATACCATATTTATTTATAGTTATACGTATAAATTATTCACACCTTATACATTTTAAAAAGCATTTCTAGCGCATTGTAATGTTTATTATTTTTCAAATTTTAAAAAATATTTTTAATTCACACAGGATTTACAAATATTTTATCACAAGCTTACTAGATTTTAACTAATGAAAGCTTATCTGAGTTTTCATATTAGAGTTTTTAATAAAAACTTTTTATTTGGTATTCAAATCGATTTCTGTATCTACAGGAACTATATTACTTTAAAGTTTAACAGAAGATAATAATAAACCAACATACATATATTACACAATATTTTAAAAATACATTACCCACGTCCCACCTTCTTTTGTAATCAAGTAAAAATGAGCAAATATGTTAGTAAATCTAAGCGTAGTTGGTTCTTCGGTTCAATTGCATTGTCCGGATAAAAATGAATAAATATTTGAAAAGCAAAAATGTACAGAACACTGTAGAACACTTTAGGTATTACCGAACAAGTTTAATTAATTTAACGCCCTGCGTAGGTCGTTTAGAATATCTATCAATTAATCTTACACGTGAATAATATAAATTATATTCTTTCTTTTCAATATAATATTTTAACTGTGTATTTTAACAATTACCACTTACTATCAACATTTAAAACCTTTTATATGATTTTTTAGTCGATACATTAATTTTAATTGAAATATCCGATAAATGTATTAGTATTATTAATTATTGTAATTATAATTAATTACTTAGGTAGAATGACAATTATACAATTAAAAAATTATATTTATCGTATTTTTAAAAGATACAGTTATATCACAGAATAGACTATTCTGTGGTTATATCATTTAGAAAAAAAAGAAAATATTAAATCAAAAAATTATTATTAAGCCAAAGAATGCGAATATATTAAAATTTAATGTTACTAACGAGTGAAATTGTTGAATGGATATTTGTGTTTAATGACAATATAATGACTGTGAGAAAGGAGGGTAATTTTTGAAAATAACGACCAAATAACTCTAAATACGATTTTTCTTTTAATTATAATTAGTAATAATTTGACTTAGTTTTTGTTTTACCTAAATATAGTTTTAATTATGCGGAGGTAGCCTTCTTATTACTATAATACATTAAAATTTAAATTAAATACTACGTTGATCTAAGTAATGTATATAAAATTAATTTGTACATCGAGTATCATGTAATTGCGATCTATTGTATAGGGTAGAATACAATAAATGGGGAATAAAATGGGATACAATAAATTATTACATCGCATAATAGTATCAATATATAATACATTAAAGAGTACCTAACTGAAACATCACCTAGTGAATCTATTGCTCTATACATACCTTTGCGGTTAATTTATAAATTAGATACAATTAGAGTAGGTAACATTTTTTTTTAGCTGTAAAATACAAATTATAACCTAATAATATAATGCTGTATCAATAGAATAATAATTAATACGTGTACACAGCTGTTGTCATCAATCATGTTATACATATCAGCACACTTGCGATATTATCTAACTATCTTTGTTATATTTTAAATAATAGAAAGTTCAATGTATGGTTATATTTATACATAGATATGTATATACATATTTTATATACAATTTTTTTCCGAAAACGGTTTTATCCTCCAATCTATGTATTGTTACAATAAAATAATAATAGTAATATTATATTACATTTAATATTATTATATAAATTTGCATATAGGAGGAAAGTGCAAATTACTGTTTGTTTGCTCTCATGTAAAATGTTTCAATGTGCATTTATCCAATTGTATAGAACATTACACACGCTACGGAATCAACATTTTTGAATTTTCGCGGGAACCACTATTACGCCGCGCATAATAATATATTAGGATGTAGTAGGTTTTTTTTATTATAATTTTTAGGTTATGTGGTCGACACGACTGACGGCGCGGCGTGTTGTACCCCGGTTGGCTGAAAAGCCGGGCCAATCACCGTTGTCCATCTGGCCGACTTCAAAAACTACATTGCGATAACTCCCGGCTCACGTCTGCCGTCGTTGTCACTCGTCACTGTCATCGCTGGTGATTGCGTTTGTCTATGGCAAACACGTATTACATTTACTTACACAAGTACTCGTCCGGGGTGTGAATTGTACTTTTTTATCGTGTGTAACCATTTGTATTTTATAATAATTCAATTGGAACATAGCGTACAATCTTTAAGCGACACCCGCGCAAGATGAGAGCACCGATAAATTTGGCGTTTTGCGCTCTGTTTTGTTGTTTGGCCGTGGCCAGGGCGGAAATCTACTTCGAAGAGAACTTCCCCGACGGTGAGTGTTTTTCAATGATCTGCAAGTCGCAAATAATGTTTGTCCAAGTTGTTTTGTTTTATTCCCTCAAGATTTACCTATATGTTACTTATAATTAATTTTGCTTGTGTCTAACAGACTCGTTTGAAAACGAATGGACGTACTCCGAGCATCCTGGAAAAGAGTTCGGAAAATTCGTGCACAGTTCTGGAGCATTTTATAACGATGGCGAAGCCGACAAAGGCATACAAACGTCACAAGATGCACGTTTTTATGCAATTTCCAAGAAGTTTTCACCATTCAGCAACGACGGAAAGAACTTGGTCATTCAATACACAGTCAAACACGAACAAAACATTGATTGTGGCGGTGGATATGTCAAATTGTTCAACTGCGAACTAGAGCCCAAGAAAATGCATGGCGAAACTCCTTATGAAATTATGTTCGGTAAATATAATAATACTATACTATCACTTTCCATTATTATTTAAATTTTTTATCCTAATTAAAAGTTATGTACCTATTCATCTACCTGTCTTATCTTGACCAATGATTTTTCACGTTGTATGAAGTATTCAAGTATTCCATAAAATTAATGGCTGGGTATTTTTTTTTACATGTTCTGTAGCATTTTATCATGTCATTTTCATCAGAATTATTCATAACAGTAATAATATGCTTTATTTTAAGGCCATTCAGCCATAAAAAAATGTATAAGTATAAAGTATGCATTTTTTGGTATGACTATTACATTATTAAACAATATAAAGAGAGATCACCTTGTAGATAGTTCCATGTATGATATATTTTGATATTATATCCTAACTTTGCATTAGCAATTTGGTTCAATGACCATTTTATAATCATTTTGTACTAGTTGAAAACGAGATAGTTTATATTAGACAAATGTTTAGAATTCTTTTCTATTTAATGTTGGCAGTTATATAATAAATATAAATACACTAATTATGATAATCTAATAATTAGAATGTAGATAGTATGTTAATATAAACTATTTATCTTTAACAATTGAATCTGCAGCTATTGCTCGTCAGATAAATAATATATTACCAATATCTATATAATATTATATCTATCTTGACATTAAATAGATAATGATCACATTAAAGTGATTGAAGCATGTAGTTAAAAAAAGTATAGTCCATACTTTTAAGTGTTGATTAACTACACATAGATTCCCTATACAAATATAAAAATTAGAACTCTAGCTTCTGTATTATCTGGCTCCCATTGCTGACTGAAATTTATGAGCTGCAAGTTCTTAACACAATTTTTTTTTTTTTTGTAACGTATGGCGCATATTGATTGGGAATTAGGGCCTAGTTTGGTTGCCTAGGTGAGCGCATGGCATTTTTGCCATGCATAGCAGGGAAATGGCGGTCTCATGTCCTAATTAGGTTGTTCTGACTAGTGAACGGTCACGCTCATGATCAGATTCGAACCAACGACAATGTGCAGCGGCACTGCTGCTTTAATCTATTTAGCCACTCCGTCCCCTTTAACACAATATAGAATAGGCTATCGCCTATCTATATGTAGTTAATCAATGCAAAAAGAATAGTATTATTTAAGTGTGACAGTTATTTTACTTGGATTAGTAAAAGGTAGATCATAATAAAAAGTAATATTTGAAATGAAAGAATAACATTTTTAAAGTTGTTTTTCATTTGTTATGTTAAAATGATTTATTTAAATAATTTTTATATAGATAAGTAAATTATATTACATGTTCAAATTTAATAATAGGTATGTTATTTTCACTTAATTTATAGGTAAATATAATAATTAATTATTAATGGGTACACAATATTCAATATCTTTAACCTGTTGTTAGTTGCGCTGTAGGTTAAAACAACCAAAGTCACATTTAGTCACTGTGATTCAGGTAAGAAATGTACGCACTTTATATAGGTGTGAACAAAAGTAGACAGATTAACGGGTTGATAAATATTTAAAAAAAAAAGATTAAATATTGGATTATAAAAAAATTCAGGTGAAAGTTATTAAAGCAATTTAATAACATAAATTGATAAAATAATTTTCAATTTAATGTTTCGATGCAAATCTGTAGATGTTAGAAGTCCTAAAGTTAATAAAAGCATTGTAAAAGATATAATGTGTATAAAATTATATTTTGAATATTAAGAGAATACGGTAGGTTTGATAGTCTGTCTATAATAATTTGTTGCTGTTATTACCCATATATTGCAATTAACTAAATAATAAAACTATTTTTAAGAAATCTGTTGACTGTTGTTTCGCTCTCACATAGCATCCTAGACATTTTCCAATAGTGTCTAATATCCTGTACCCTATTCCACCTAAGTTCGTATGTCATTTAGCTGCTTAACTCACACCCTTATATTTGATTGATTTAGGTTGATTGTAGCTGTGTGTTTTGGAAATTATGATATGATTTAACACTTGACTATTTTATTCATAAGTATCCACTGAATTTATTTTATTAACATGGACTATTGGGATAATGAACATTATTTTCAAAAATAAAATAGCTATACTCTATTCAGAATAAGAACATACTTCGGCGGCCGACTTGTGCGCATGGGCGTGGCTTCACTACGAGCAACGGAGCTTGAACACTGCCGCCGGTGGGGCTACAGACGAAATATAAAATGGGCGGTGCCAGACCGCTGCCCGACAAAAACTGGTCGGCCGCCAAAGCCTGTTCTTATTCTGAATAGAGTATAGTTAAGTTAAAATATTTTCTAGTTATTTAGAATCATCTGCTAGTTAACTTATGATGTATTATGGTAGCATGTTCAAACAGAGACCAAGGGGATATTATGAGTTTAATAGAATTATTATGTCGCTACAATCTTTTATTTATTTATAATATTTTTCAAGAAAATGTTACATGAAATCAAATTTCATGACAAATAAAAACAAGAATATATAAATTGTATACCTATTTTTTTCAGTGGTTTTTGTCGTAAAAGAAATTATAATATGTTTTACCCATATATAAAATAGAAGGAAGAATGGTTAGGATAGTAGTGCGTTAGCGCTCACTGTCATCGGTTTGATACTCAATCTTTGGCAGTCTTGCCCTTTCTGGGCAGGCTGAACTAAGCCTAAAAAAAATAGTCAAAAATTCCATATGAGAATAATAATACTAAAACATCAAACTAATTTGTGAATTTCTAATTGTTTGTTTCTAGGACCCGATATTTGCGGACCAGGTACCAAAAAAGTACATGTAATATTTAGTTACAACGGCAAAAATGTATTAGTCAATAAAGATATCCGTTGCCGTGATGATGTCTACTCACATCTTTACACACTTGTTGTAAAACCAGATAATACCTATGAAGTTTTGATTGACAATGAAAAGGTAGAATCTGGTGAGTTGGAAGCTGATTGGGACTTTTTACCACCTAAGAAAATCAAAGATCCTAATGCTAAGAAACCAGAAGATTGGGATGAAAGGCCAACTATCGATGATCCAAATGACGAGAAACCAGAAGACTGGGAAAAGCCTGAACACATTCCTGACCCTGCAGCTGTTAAACCAGACGATTGGGATGATGAGATGGATGGAGAATGGGGACCAGCAATGATCGATAACCCAGATTTCAAGGGCGAATGGAAACCTAAGCAAATTGATAATCCTAACTTCAAGGTATGTTTAAATATTTATATTGTAAGCTAATAAATACATATTATAATATAATATATTATTATAGTATTACGTATTATGTAAACTAATAGACGCATGATTGTTTATGAAATTGTATAGGGTGTTTGGGTGCATCCTGAGATTGATAATCCAGAATACAAACCAGATGACAAATTGTACTCGAGGAAAGAAATTTGTGCTATCGGATTTGATTTGTGGCAAGTGAAATCTGGTACCATATTCAACAATATTCTGATCACAGATGACATTGAATTAGCCCAAGAAAAGGCTAACGCTATCTGGAAACCTAGATATGTAAGTTGATTATAAACTTCTAAGTATTTTAATAAAATTTGAGATCTTACGGATGTTTTGTGTTTAGGAGGGTGAAAAGAAAATGAAGGAAGCCCAAGATGAAGAAGAGAGGAAGAAGGAAGAACAAGAAGCAAAGAAATCTGAAGACTCTGTACCTGAAGATGAAGACGAAGATGAAGATGAAGAGCTTGTAGCAAAATCAGAAGAAGCTCACGACGAATTGTAAAAAAAAAAAGACTGTGTTTGATGTCGTTGTTTAAGTTAATGATTTTTATTTTACTATATTATTTATTTTGAATTTTATCCGACCAGTTTAGGACTGCCACACATTTGTTTTCCGTTGAGCACTCAGCAAACTTCTTATTCTTTGTATTTCTACATAGTATATGGTCATTTTTCCTAACCTAAACCCATCCGTGACTGGTCTCATCAATTAATTCATTAATCTATAACGGCAGTTTAGGCAACTTAAAAAACATTCGTTTCTATTATAATATATTTATATATAAATATAATTAACTGTTTAGTTAAATCATTCTAATCATCCTTTTTTTATTTACATTATGTATCAAAATTATCTTCTTATAATGAGCATTGTGTGTATGTTTATAGTTAATAAAGAATCAGAAGCAAATACACTACTTAAGTTTTATACTATTTTATAATTAAAAGTGTGTGTAAAAATAAATATATAATAAAATAAGTAAAATGGTTGTAATTTGTATTGTTGACGATAATTATAAAATAATTTTGTTTATAGATAATAATATAACATGAATTATAAATAATAAATAACAATCCATTAAATCATAAAAATTCACAGCTTGAGCTTTTTAAAATTATTTAGTTTATGTGAAATTAGTAAAAACCATTAGTTCACAATAATCTTAATAGTATACTGTAATAAGTTATTTATACAAAGTTTGTTGGATAGCAAATGAGCTACCAACTATGACATCTTTATAAAATTGAATGTTTTCTTTTTATATATTTGTCACCATGCTTACTTTGGTGTTCCCAGTTTTTTCCTAATAGTAATGGCATTAATTCCTTTGGGACACAGAATTCAGTTTATTGAATACTATAATTAATTTGTTACATATTAATCTTTTTTTAGTGCTTTCAACAACTTTGCAGATGTTATAATTTTGTATTGTAATTATTATAATTTTTAAATTAGAATAGTACATTAAGAACTTTATATTTTACTATGGGATGTTGTTCACTTTATTTTGATTTTTGACTAATTTATATACAGTATAGTAGCAGTGTGAGACACATTAAAAAAATCACTTAAGATACTATTAGTTTTTAATTAACTGTGTATCTGTTAAGAATACCACAGTTGAATTCATAATAATATGTATAGAATATTATTATTCTATGGCCCAACAGATCTATATAATAATTGATTACCCAAATGGATAGCTTTTTATTATTTTATAGATAACCCAAAAACATTTGCTATTAATATGACAATACCTTTTTTAAATAAAAATTTAAGATTTTGTATCATGAAATGAAAAATCAATAATGAAATCAATGACAATATTTTGAGAAACCTGTTACTATTCACACATAACATCCTGGGAATTTAATGCGGTCAGTGAAATGTCCCCCTTTTTGGTCTTCTTCTTCTTCTTCTTCTTCCTCAGCTTATCGGCCCATTAAGTGCCATCGCTGCCATCACAAAACCTCTCCATTTCTCTCTATCGTATGCGTCGTCAAAAGATGACTCTTCTTCTATGTTTTTGATATCTTGAGCTATAACATCCACCCATCGGGTCCTTGGTCTTCCTAATGGACGTTTTTTATTTATTTTGTTAACTAAGACTTCTTTTATTACTTGTCCATCCGCTCTCCAAACATGGCCGAACCATTCTAGTCGTTTGCTTTTTATATATGAAATAATATTTGGCCTGTTATATAACTCCTGTAGTTCTTGATTTTTCCTTCTTTCGTAAGTTTGTGTTTCTGCATTGAATTTCGGGCCGTATAAATTTCTCAGTACTTTTCTTTCGAAGGTCATTAGTCGTCTGCTGTCTCCTTTGGTCAGTGACCATGTTTCACTCGCGTATGTGATTATTGGTCGTAGATAGCTATGATACAGTAGTGTCTTTGAGTTATGTGACAGTAGTTTTGATTTAAGGAGTCTCCTTATGCTATAGTACCATCGATTGCCGCATGCTATTCGATCATTGATTTCTTCATGCATGTCGTTGTTGCTATTTATGTTAACACCTAGGTACTTAAATACCTCCACTTTCTTGAAACTATAGTCATCTACTGTTATGTGGTCTATGTTTGGACTTCTTCTTGTTACCATTAAGTATTTCGTCTTTTCCTCATTTACACACAGCCCTATGGTTTTACTTGCTTTCAAGAGTTTGGACGCAGTATTTATGACTTCATCTCTAGTTTCTCCCATTACTACAATGTCATCTGCGTATGCCAATATTACTCGTTCCCCACATATTTCCATTTTTCGACCGTCCCATACTTCTTTAATTGCTTTTTCTAATGCTAGATTAAACAAGGTGGGTGATAGAGCATCACCTTGTCTGAGGCCTGATTTTACCTCAAAGGTTTCAGACATTTCTTGCAGGAAACGAACTCTGCACACAGTTCCATTGTTACATCCTTTTATAAGACTTACGTACTTTTTAGGAATGCCTAGTACTTTCAGTGCTTCCCATAGTTTGTCCCTATCAATGCTATCATAAGCTTGCTTATAGTCTATAAATATAAGGTGCAGTTCTTTATCAAATTCATAAAACTTAGCCATTATCTGTCTCAGTGTAAAAATATGGTCCAATGTCGATTTACCTTTTCTAAAGCCGCTTTGATATTCCCCGACTATTTCGTTTACATATGGGTTAATCCTTTCTAATATTAATGACGTATACACTTTGTAACACGTGTCTAAGAGAGATATACCTCTGTAGTTCTTTGTTTTGGTCGGATCCCCCTTTTTTAATATAGGACATATTACTGCAGTATTCCAGTCCTCTGGAAGGGTTTCTGTATCCCATATAATTGAAATCATCTCCATAATTTCTCTTCTTATTTTAGCACCCCCTTTTTTCAGTAACTCGGCCACTATATTGTTTTCTCCGGGTGCTTTATTGTTCTTAAGCTTATTGATTATATTGTCGATTTCTTCTTGTTTAGGTTTTTCTATCTTCGGTTTTGCTGTATAGTAATAGACAGTTTCGTTCCTCTACTACTGGTTGATTTAAGAGCTGATTAAAGTATTCTTTGAAATGGCTCACTATATCCTTCTCTTCTGTGATTAGGTTTCCAAAATCATCTGAAAGTATTCTTGTCTGTGGTTTGAAACCAGCTTTGATACTTCCGCTTTCATTGAAAAACTTTCTAGCATTGAATCTACTCCTTTCAATCTCCTCTATCTTTTTCTTTTCATATAACCGTTTCTCTCTCCTCAAAATTATGTTTGTCTGCCTACTTTGTTCTTTGAAAATATCAATATTTTCCTGTGAGGAATTTTGTAACATTCTTTTTCTCAGTTCATTTCTCTTGGTTACGGCATCACTACATAAATCATTGAACCAGTCTTTTTTTCGCTGCTTTTTCTCCATTCCTAAGACTTGATTTGCACTGTTAGTCATTACGTGTTTTATTTGTGTCCATCTACTGTTTACACAAACGTTCATGTCATTCGTCTTTTCTATGTGACTATTGGTCATTTCTAGGTTTTGTTGTAGATGTTCGGCGTACTTTCTACTTATTTCGATATTTTCTAACATTTGTACGTTGAATCTTTCTCTGGCTTTTTTCGATGCCATTTTCCATTTCACTGATAGTCTTAGAATGAACTTTGCATACAGTAGGTAGTGGTCGGTATCTGCATCGGCTCCTCTATACGATCTCACCTTCTGAATGCAGCTACCGTGTCTTTTGTTTATTAGTATGTGGTCTATTTGATTTTGCGTCCTACCATCAGGTGACTTCCATGTATGCTTGTGTATGCCTTTTCGGGGAAAATATGTGCTACTAATTATAAGGTCTTTCGAAGAAGCAAAATTGACCAGTCTGGTTCCGTTGTTATTACTGATGTTATGTAAGCTGTCTGGTCCTATTGTTGGTCTAAACCTATTTTCTTTTCCAACTTTCGCATTGAAATCCCCTACTACCATCTTTACACAATGTAACGGTAAACTATCATATACTCCTTCCAGGTCTTCATAGAAATTGTCTTTTTGGTCTTACAAACAAAAATCTTAAGTTTGACTAAAGGTTTTTGAGAAAAATCAAAATTCAATCATTCTCTCAAAGGAAAGACATTAATGGACGAGTCTTATGATCGGTTGATTTTCTGTCTCATCAATTATCTCTTATCAGATAATAATTACTTTATCAATAACATCTTATCAGTTATCCAGGAATTATCGATTTCATTTTATCACACTTATTACTATTCCTAATTCCTGCCATACCCCTATCAATCATGTGATACCCATGTCATCCCTACCCTTTGTGTCACAAAATTGATACTCCAATTTTTTATTTATGTCTTATACCCTACCATAATACATTCATATAGATACTATTGAAAAATATTATGTTATATCCCACTATAGATCTACTGCAGTTAATATTTAAATTTAAGATCCTAAAACTACGCTCGAAAAATAAAAATTTTCCATCCACTCTGGGTAAGGGCTTTTAATATTTTTTTTTTCATTTTTCAACGTACATCGATAGAACTACGAGTATATCCAAAAATATTCCATCTCTCGACTATTTTTCGAATTTTAAGCATGCGGCGTAGTTTTTAGTTGAAAAATGTATTGGGTGTTTTTCTCGATTTTAAAGGGAATGGCTAAACTTAAAAGTTTGACCCAATAAAATTCCTGCCGGGTACAATTTCTGATGAATAGACTTGCAGCTTGCTACATAAAGAAATAGGTTCAGTGATTTAGAAGATATCGTGGGTTCAGATACAATAATTATACACAATTCTTCTCCTTTCTTTCTTCAGCTCCAAAGGTCATTTACGTCCATTGCTACACACTTCCTTCAAGTTCTATCCTACGCTGCCTCTTGGTAATACACTCTTAGTATTTTTAAATCCTATGCGACTTTATCAGACCGGCGTTGTTTAAGTTTCTCTTGTTGTTTCCAATTCAGGACTTTTGTGATCGTGTTTGACCTCAACACGTCACCTAGCCAACTTAATCTTTTGGATCGAATTACCCCAGTTATGTTTAGTTCTCCATAAATTCCTAAAACTTTGCTTGAAAAAGTGAAATAAATAAAAAAAAAGTGAATTTTCGCCTATTAAATTATTAATATAATATAATTTACCTATAAACATATGAACGTGAAAAATATATTTTTAAATCAACAAATTGGTATCTCCAGAGAAACAAGTAACAATATATTAGTATTATAACAGTTTTGTTATTACTAAAATAATTTTCCATCTTTAAGGTTTGTCAAATTTTAAATTCGTTTGTAAATTTTTAACCGTCTTATTTTTTTTCGATATCTCTTTAGCCAAATGTAAACTACTTATTTAAAATATACTTTGAAAAATGTTTTAACACCAGCAGACAAATTTTGGTTGAAATTCAATACAGATTGTGAGTAGTTTGCATTAATTATATTTTT